TCCGATTGGAATGCTGATATGGGCAAATTGCCAAGAGGGAGTTGTTGCGTACGCGACGCGGCTTTTGGCGGAAAACTAACGGTCGATCAGAAAAAAATCTTTTTTTTTTCTTTCATTATTTAACTGATGTTTTAAATCATGAAAAATAAAAATAAAATTACGCCAAAACTGTGAAGAAAAAGAGAAAAAAATTACTTGCGTTTTACTTTGAAATTCCCGCCGAAAAACCGCGTCGCTCTTGTCAATCTATCCGTCTCTGAAGGTTTTCAGTGAGGAAACCGCAGAATTTAATCCAAGTGCTTTTTTTAAAATTACATATCCACTAGACTCTGCAAATTATAACGGAAAAAAATTTTTTTCGCTGTTTTTTTATCGTATTCAAATTTTTTTATCTTCATTTTTCTTTTCACATCGTATTTTAAAAAAATTATTTTTTTGAGGACCAATAGAATCTCTTTTTTTAGCAATTTTGAAGGATTCTGTTATTTTTTTCCAGCTCACGCAAGCTTTTTGGTTGAACAATGCTCCCACGGCATCTCGAAAAAAATGGCTTATTTCTGGTCTTTTGAGAATTCAAAAATTCATTCATCTTCTGGATTTTTTTCTCTTTTCTGTTGATTATAATTTAGAATATGAAATCATAGTGTTTTAAAGGATAAATTTGATCATTTGATTGGATTACACGTCACCTTTTCGGAGCTGCCAATTCTTTACTTTCCTTTTTTGAAGAGCTCTCCAATTTTAAATTGGAAATTAATCAATATTCTTGGCAATTTTGGACTTTTGTCCTCTTTTTTCGGAGCCTCTTGAACAAAACTATCGATAAACACTCGAAGCTTTTGCCTCCTGACCGTGCGTCATCCACTTCTTTCTATCCAAATTTTTATCTTTGTTTTTTCCCTTTTTATTTTGAATTAAGAATTTCAGAAGAAATCTCATGTCGTATTCACTTGATAAGATTCAATTTGTTTCATCGAGAGTTGCTGAAAAAAAGAATGGGGAAAAAAATTTTTTTTTGCAACTTATGCGGTCACGAGATTCTAAATGAAATATTGAAGTTCTTTGAGAGTTTCGTTCGGTCTTAATTTTGCAAAAACCTCCGCAAAAGTTCTTTTTCCTTGTTTTTTCATTAATTTTGTTCTTCCCAAAAAGGACTGATACCGACTTACCAATTTAATTTGCCAATGCGGCGGAGGTCAAATCGTAATTGAAGTTTTTTTCTTTTCAATTTGATGATCAGACTTCTTTCCTCTTTTTATCGATTCTCACAAAATCTGTTTGGGGTTTTATTTTCTCAGAGCCTTCTTAACCTTTCTTTTAAAGAATTTACAATCTGTTACCTGCAGAAGTTTTCTGATAGCGCAGATTTCGACTTGGTTTTCAGAAATTTTTGTAAAAGTATTGCAGCATCCGATCATAATAATGTAAAAGAACAAAGTCGGGGGAGCGTTTTTTCGGTTTTTAAAATTATAATTTCTAGCTTGTTTCTTTTCAGATTATTGCGTTCCTATAGAACTTTTTCTAAAAGGATGTTTTTTGTATCACTAAATCTGCACATATTTCTTCTCTCATCATTTTTAATTCATTTTCTCTAATCTTTCCAAAAATAGCAAAAAGACTTACCAAGTTGATTTGCCAATGCGGCAGAGGTCAAATCGTCTGTGAGGCTCGTTTTTTCTTGTGGCGCGCCTTGCGGCTTGGCCTATTTGGGTCATTCCGAGGGTTCGAAGACTTCCTTTTTCCTCAAACCGCCATCAGAAATCCTCTTCTACCTCTTCTTCTTGTTTCTCTCCTGCTTTTTGTAATTGCTGCATCATTATTATCGCTATACTTTAGAGGATATCAAGCTGTCGATCTTGATTGAATCTTTTTTTCAGCGTTTTTATTAATTTTTTTTACTACTTAATTGAACACTATGGAATTTCAGAAAACCGTAACCTTGAAAAATCCCACTCTTACTTCCTTTTGTTTCACTTTTTTTTCTTCTGTAGAACAAGAATGATAACTTGCACAAAAAAGCAAAAAGCATAGAAAATTAATAATCATTCGTTTTTAGCTGTGAATATCCAGAGAAAAATTCAAAATTTGGGCCAAAAGATAAGTATATGATATCATAGCCGCTCCCTTTTTATTTTAGAAGAATCATTCTTTTTTTTATTTAAAGTCGGTTTGATAAAGTTTTTGAGAGTTGAGATTTTTCGAACAAGTTTCATCTTTAAACTTCGGTCTGTGAGAAAATTAAGAATTATTTAAAATCATAATTTCCTTTTTCATCACACCGATCCGGATTATGAAAAATGCCAGTTGTTGTTCGAAATATTTATTTTCAAAATCAATTGAACTCGGACTTTTTTCTCAAGGAAATCTCCTATAATCAAGGGATGGTCCTCCGGGGCTTTTACGTGTCCCTCGGACCAAAAAAAGTGTGTAAAAGGGTGTGGATACGACCCATCGAACAGCCGTCGTTCGTTCCTCGATTATGTGGAGATTGCCCTTGTCTGTACGCTCACAACTGGAAAAAAGACCTTCTTTGGGTGGTCTTTTTCGATTCATTTCATTTGTAGTCAACCCTATTTTTTTATTTCGATTTTTTTTGTTGCTTCGGTGTGATGGTGGTAAACAGGAAACTTTAAAAAAAGAGCAGATTTGAGAGACTCGATTTCCGTTTTTCCAAAATTTATTCCTCTACTTTTAACGCGTAATATACTCAATTTTTAAATAATGATCTTCTTTTCTCTATAGAAAATGCATGTGAAGATATTAGGAAAAAAAAATTGGTGGCTCAATTTTCCAAAAAGCGACTCTTGTTTGAATTTAGAGCTCCCGCCAAGAAAGTTTGAAAAAAACCAAGACCAGCGAAGTTTTCGGCCGGCTCAAACTGTCAGTAGAAAAAAAAGATTTGGGCGTCATTGAAATATTTCTAGACGTTTTTAAAGACTGCCAAAAGCGCTTAGCGAGTGGACTTTATCGTTTCATGTAAACTGATAAGGCTAAGAGCTTTTGAAATTGTCCTCGATGTGGGCGTTTTTTTTTCCTGCATTTCATCTTTCGGCTCATCACTATTTTCATTTTTGTCTTTTTTTGTTATATTAATCCTGCAATCCTGAAGCGAAATTCTCGGATCCAAATTTTTGAAATAGTTTTTAAGCAATGATGACTCAAGTCTACGAAAACGAGAAATGAGAAATTTTTTTATAAGTCTAACTGGTATTATCAGACCACTGGAAACTACGGTAGTGGTCGCTAAGACGCAAAACTTCTATAGAGGTTATTTTAGTGGTAATTCTAATGCCCTCTTCAATTGGTACTTGAGGAACCTCTTAAGTGGCCCCTAGAGTTTTTCCCAGTAGTTTAATCACTATTAATTGGTTAACAGAACTGAATCATCAAAGTTTTATCAAAATTTCCGTCCCAATGAGAAGTCTTCAGATCCGTGGTTGTTAACCCATTTGCCATCCTAACCTTCATAAATACGGCTTTCCATTTCCGACATATGAACTTGGAGATTGATCAATCTTGTAAATCTCCACAAAAAGCATGCGTAGATAATTGGGGATAGTCCAATTTGCGGCACTCGGAATTGTTTTTTTCTTTTCTGTTTCTAGGCCTGGGCGCGTGTTTGCCGGTGGCCGGTCTGCACTCATCCGCGTGGCTTTTTTTTGTGTTCCTCCCAAGTTCTGGAATCTTTTGCCGCTCTTCTTAGCTTCCCCAAGTACTTTCATTAGATCAATCGAATCCCATTGAACGGTTGGAAGGATAAAATAATTAATGCTTACGTGAGAATGAAAGCAGTTGTTTAGAATTTAGATCATTCCTTTTTGATACGCTTCTGAATTTTCATAAATTGATATAAAAAAAGTTATTCATGCTCTTCGGATCACTATGGTGCTGATAAAAATCTTCTGAAAATGGAAAACTCCGACGTTTTAAGAAAATTTATCATTTTCATATTTTAAAAAATTGGATATACGTTTCATCATCGCAGGAAGAAGGCAATTTAAACAACTTTTTCAGGATTCTGAAAAAAAAAACTACCAAAATCTTTTAATTTTACGAGATGAGACCTGCCCTTTTTTTCCTAGTTTTTCAATAAAAAAAACAGCTAAAAAAAGGCTCATTTTTTTAGACTCTTTGTTCTAACGGATTTTTTTAAAGTCACGGGGCGGGGCTTCAAAAAAATTATTCTTGAGACAAAGTTTTTGTCGCGGACTTTGACCAGCAGACGTCCGGTCCCCAGAGTGATTGCATTTTTTTGGCTCCGCCTCGCTCTTTTGAAAGCTCTTTACAGGTGTTTGAGTGAAACATACCTTCATGAAAGTAATTTTTTTTTAAAATTTGTTGGATTCCCAGGAGGATCGATAGCTTCCTTTGGAGTTTTAGAAGCGCTAAAAAGTTCAAGCTTTACAAAAAATGCTTCCATCAAGCTTTACTATTAACAATTCTTCATTTTCCTGCCGTTCTCAGTTTTTTTCCACCTGGCGTATCATTAAGTAAGTCGTAAAAAAGACGAACGCGATAAGAACAATTTATTTCCTGCCAATTAACGAGTCTCATCGTTCTCATACTAGTTTTCAGTTTGTCACTCTTTTTTTTTTTAGAGCAAATGGACTCTGAAAACGGTGTTAATCCACTCAATCTCACTTTTTTGCACTCGTTTTGAACTGAGTTATATAAAGGATAGTTCTGTTGGTAGATAATCTAGTTATCTTGTAGTTTCAAAGTTTTTGATCATTTATTCATGACTGTATTTTCCAGTAGAAGATCTTTACAAATCCTTTCTGGAGCTGCCCAATGAGGCAAAGGCTTTGTAGGACCTGAAGTTACACTGTAAACGACTCTTCGCCTTGAGACCCGTTATGAAATCTGTCTATGATCCTTTGAACACCACAAAAGTTTAAATTTTGTACTTTTTTGAACTTTTTAGTTCTTTGCTAGATGCTAGCCAAGCGAATAACTATTTGACAAGTTTTTTTTTTCCAAATACTGTTCATTTGAATGTAATGTCTCCTCTTCATGAGGCTTCGGAGATCTTCTGGATCTCAGTAGTCCTAGAAGTGCTGCAGAAATCTTCTGATCACTAAAAAAAAAGTATAAAGTGAGAAAATGGTTTCTTATCCGGCCGAAATCCAAGAGAGGTTGCTCATTTCCGGGCGCAGGCAGAGCGTCTTTGTTTGCCGCGTCAATGAGTAACCCGTCGAACATTTAGCGCCAAACCGCCAGCACTTGTTGTTATCGTTTGTATTTGTACATACATCAGTCGGCCTGTTCCACATAACTTTTTTATTCCTTTCCTCGAACTCGGCGTCTTTCCAACCTCGGTTTTTTGTCGCTTTGCCTCTTCAGACTAAGAAATGTAAGTTCTACGGGCTCCATAAATCTATTTTTTGAACAAAAGTAGATTTTATGGTTTTCTATAAATGAGACTACTAGAAGCTCTGAAATTCGATTTGGGGAATTTGACTTTTAAAGATTATAAGAACTTGAAAAAAAAAACTTTGAAATTTTTTACAAACAGTTTATAGAAATAAATGTAACTTGAAGGCCCAAGATTATATTGAAATAGTAGCCTGATGTTTCGCTATTTTTTTTTCGGAATTGAATAATCTGTGTCGTGTTCATTGGTTAGAAAATCGATTCAAAAAACACAAAATGAAATTTTCTTATGAGCGATAAAATGTTCAGAAACATCTTCTGAAAGAATGAATATATTGAACGCGCCATAATAATAATATTCATGAGAATACAACAGAACTCAGACCTTGGTAACGCGAACGGGACGCGAATCGGACGTGTCGGGGCATTTCTAGTGACCACTTTAGTAGCCTCAGAACTCTTAAGAGATCCCTAGAATCGCCCAGACACGTCCGGAGCACGTCCGTTTCGCGTTACCAATGTCCGAGAATTTTGTAACCGGGGAAAAAATGTAAAGAAATCGTTCCATGGAGCGCAGATGATCATCGCGGAAACGAATTTTCTTCAAAAGAAAGTTTCCCCTTGGTTTTTTTTTCATTTGTTGTACCTTTTTACGATTTTTGTAGTCGTGATGATTAGCTTCTTCGCACTCCACTTGTTGTTCCAGCCGCACCTTGTTGTCTTTCTGATGTTTTTCTTTTTCAGAGAGATACTTCTCCAGCTATCGGCAAATAGTGTCATGCTCAGCATTGTTTTGCGACTAGATTTGTGAGTTTTGTTTCAATTTTCCAGTAATAGTGGTGGAAGTTTACAAAAAGAGTTTTGAAAAGCTTTCGAAATAATTGTTTTGAGGATATAATTCGAAGCGAAACGAAGATGTGGGCGTCGATTGCAAGCCGGGGCGATTCTGGACCTGTCAACATCAAGCAGCGACTCCAGAAGCGCTACAAATACCAGCAGGTTCCGAAAATTTATTATATTTTTAAGAAAAAAAGCGCACTTTTTTTGTTAATTTTTTTGTGAAAAGTTCAAATTTCTCGCGGATTCTAGTACCTGAAAGATTGATGCAAAGTTTTCTCAAGTTTTTTCAAATCCTTAGAATATCGTCCTCAAAAATTTTTGAACATCACGTAAAAAAATATTTTTCTCAAGACGAATTATGAAAAATTACATGTTTCACGTGTGTTTTGAGACCTTTTCAACGACTTTTTCTAAATGATATGAAAAATGGCTCTTCGCGTTAGGACCACTATCAAATTTTCAATGATTTCCTTGATTCTGTCTCAATTTTTTTTATCAAGATTGAATTTTTTATATTTTTTGAATGATATTTTAAAAGAAAGCAGCGAATTTGGTGAAAATAAACTAAATTTCGCAATACTTTTGAATGTTTACAAGTTAGTGAGTACAGTCAATTACTTTCAGTACTTGAGAAACTTTTGAAAGTGAAGAGAACAATCTCTGGGGATCATTAAGAACAAATCTTGAAGCAAATTGGTTGGAATGAGATTTTCCAAGAACTCATTGTGCAAGTTTGGAGCCTCTGCTTACGGGAAATCGGCTTTTCGCGTGCCTTTTTCCACTTTTTGGTGTCGTGTTTCACATCAGACCCAAACCATCATTCCCCTAAACATTCGACTTTTGGCCGCTTTTTCCTGCCTTCGAAGCAATATTAACTGGATTATTACTTGGGGCGCAAAGATCCGAATCGTACCAGTCTTTTGAGTGTTTTCGGTCTCACGGCTTTCCGGATTCTCAGATTTCTCAGATAAATTTTGTCTCGATTCTGTTCGGTTCATTTCTTTTTTCACGTCCTCTTTTTATTTCGATCGACCTTCAGATCAAGTTATTTGTCATAGGTGAGACTGCTTTTTTTCTTCAAAAAAAGCAACACGAAAACTTTTTCTTTTTTTGAAAGTTTAAAAAAATAGGCAGTTTTTCTCGAATTTGGGATAAATTGACCAATTTTTGTTCAGTCGAAAATTTAGAGAACGAAAAAATAAAATTAAAAATTTTTTTAAATATTCAATTAGGTCTTCTGAAAGTTCAGGCTTACTGAAATTCAGAAAGAAATTCATGATTTTTCTTTGATAAAGTATCGTACTTTGTAATTCTTCGAATATATGCAGAAAAAAAATGGGGGACTTAAAAATTCAATATTTTACGGCTTAATTATGAAGTGGTGAAAAAAAAATACGATTATTTGATCTGTCTTATCTGAATTATTTAAAGGCTGACGACTATACATGAGCATGTAACTCAAAAAAACTTACAAAAAAATTTTTGAAAAAAATAAATGAAAAAAATCAAGTTTCAACTTCAGGAAAGTCTTGTTGACAAGATGAGAATTTATTTTAACCTCAGGAGATAGTACGGAGTTCAAATTAGTAGGACTCGGAAGGAGGAATTGCCGACCTTTTGAAAAGTGTCTGCTGACCAACTCACCACAAATTTTCGCATGCCAAGTCCAAAACCCTGGATTTTTCACCCATTTTTTCGGTCTGAACTTTCTCCAAGATGGCAAAAAAAGCAATAAAAGGGCAGTATTTATTGGATGCAACAACTGCGATCGTTTCGAGCGAATAATCCGATTTTATGCATATTGGCCGTGTGTTTGTCCTGCTCATGACCGACGCGGACTGAGCCGCGTTCACTCGAGCGCCGGCGCTATTTTCCGAGCCGCATTTACGCGTGTCGAGCCACTTGATCTCGCCGCGCATCTCTTATCTTATCTTTTCGCTCGGCATTTTTCATCCTCGCTCTTTTTCGAAATAACAGCCGATTCTTTTTTGCGTTTCATAAATAAGTTTTCAACCACTCTGTCTGGGGGATCATTTGAAAGCGAAGCCAGACGATTGAAATGAAAGATAAGAAGAAGATGATTTTTTAAACTTTTCCTTTTTTCCAAACTTCATGAAGAAACCGTTTTCGCTGTTTGCATCGATGAGAGCTTGAAAAAAAGTTTGGTCTAACCTGAAAAATTTTTCGATTTTAGATACTTTTCCGTTTGTCCCTGCTACTTTTAGCTCAAAGTAAAGTTTTTGAAACTGACAATATATTTTTCGAAATTTCAAAAAAGTACAGAGAATCAAGCAATTCTTGAGTTAACCTTTTTTAAATCAGAAAAACACTTCTTCTTAAAAAAATGAAAAAAGGAAAGAGTTTTTTATTTGCCGAGTAGATCTAATTTTTAAACATAGTAATTACACTACCGTTTTTTTGAAGCAATAATTTTCTTCTCAAAAAATTCAAATTACCCTGTGCAATAGTTAGCACGGAACCTTGTAGAAGAAGAGTTTTTTATCCGACTGGCGGACCGCCAACGCGTCTTTTTTTTCTGTCTTCCGCCGACTTTGGTTGCCGTTTTCGACGCACTGCTTTCTCTCCTATATTTGGTCGTTCCCAAAGACATCCATCACCTTCGCGGCTGATAAATCACCACTTTTTGTCGCCCCAAAACCTCGTGAAACAGCCTTTTTGTGCGTGTCACTGTGTGTTTATCCGCTTATCGAAATTGATCCGTTGATAAGGATGATTATATGTTTTGCTACCATTTTCGCGCGGGTTTCAACTTTTTTTTTTCTTTGACGGACAATGATTATCAAGAGTTTTTATTTCAAAAGTTAAGTTGTTTAATCATTTGTATCTCTTACCTTCTGAATCTCATTTTCACAATTTTCTGTGTAGTTTCTTGTTTTGTTGTTTCACGATTGTTTTAAATTCCTAGGTAGTCTCCCAGGACTTATTGGATCTAGTTTATTTTTTTTCTCATTCTAGAAAAAGGTCATAGTATTAAAGAGAGAAATTTAGCTTAATCATTTAATTTTTAAAATTTAATTTCAAGTTTTTCTTTTTTTGAGAGATTTAGTAAAAACAGTTTGATTTAGCTTCTATTGGAAATATTAACTCAAAAAAAGCCAAACTTGAACAATTAAAGTCCAATCTCGACTTGAGCGCCACCCAGATTTTCCTTACAAGTACGAAATAGACTAGTAGACGTAGAAATTAGCCGCAATCGATAAGGAGAACCTCCCGTTCGACCTAATCCGGTTAACAAATTGTTTCGGTCTCAGTCAGCCCTGAAACTGACTTTTTTGTCTTGTTTAATTTCTCTTAATTCACAGTTGCCGATAGTTTTCATGGTCTCCAAGGAAATAATTTATTTTTCTTCTGTTTTTGGCTCCTGAATTCGGAACGGCGGCACGAAAAACAGAAATGATGAAAAATTTCTTTGGTTTTGGCGAATCCCCGGAGGAAACGAGCCTGTCGCGCCTTTCACTCAAGCCTTGACCTCTGTGCCTTTTCGGGATTTTCCTGCACTGACGGGCTTATTCCGCTCTTTTGACTGACGTTTCGGATCATTTCAGTCACTGAAATCGCGCCCCAACTTGATTGCAGTGAGAGAAAGCAATTAGAGTGCTTGTTCACTTCTATTTCTGTACTTTTGTTTTTTATTTTCTTATTTTTAGTAGAGTACGAGAAAGATTGGGCCAAATTACTTGGCGAAAAGTTTGTCAAGAAAGGGTTGGGCGGCATTATTTTACTCTCTGACTGTAATTTTCATCGAATACGCGCCTCAAAGTGCAGTTTTCAGTTTCTCGGCTCTGACTTCTGCAATTTTATTTCTTAAAGTATATTTTATCTTTCTTCAACATAAAACTTAAAAAAACAAAAATGAAACAAAAAAATGAAAAAAAGGTCACAGTAGGAAAGAAACTTCTGTGCTCTAATAAACGGTTATTTTTGTGAAATCCAAATCAAAGAGCGCAATAAACTGTTTTCATTTTTAAGTCTACAGAAGTTTTTTTCTTATAAATCAGACAGCTTCAAAGAACGGTTCAATTGAGTTTTCAATGAAACATTTTAAGTTTATCCTTGAAGCAGATGAGCTCAGACTTACAGGTTTCGGTTTTTTTTAACCCTAGTTTTCTATTATCTGTCTCCTTCTTTCCACTGCTTCTAAAAAAAGTTCTCAGAAGGTTGCATTTCATCGCATCTATTTCTCGCCTTAATGTTCTTGCGGTGAAAGGGAAGAACAGCTGAAAATGATGGGAAATGAGGCCCGAAACCATTTGAAATGATCGGTTTTAGTGCGCGGCGCCTTTTTGTCGCTGTGATTTGCCCCCAAGGTCGGCTGATAACCGTTTACCTTTTTATTTTTGAATTTGGGTTGCTGAAAGGTCAAGCTAAGTCTGAAGATTTAAAGAAAGTTTCAATATTTTCCAATTTTGCCAATTTTTATTCATATTTCAAGTGACTTTTCTCCTGCAGTTCAAATTGATCATCTAAACGTTAATTTCATCTTATTTTTTTCTTTACTTTTCTCAAACGGATCAGTAAAAGTCAAGATATATTGGAATCAAGTTGATTTTATCGGAGAAAAGGGCTCATTGAGACTAAAAATTCTTTAGAAAGTGTGAAAGTTTCATTTTAAGCCCTGTAACTAATCTGAGGACTTTAGTTTAAAATATCTATTGAAATGACTGTTCATAAATTAATAATTTTTTTCACTGGGACTATTTTTTTAATATTACTTCTTTGTTTTTTTAATAACGGTTTTTTTAGGAGATTTGCCCCTTCTTTGAGGTGTAAAAACACCAGGCCGTGGTTTTGATAGACTGAAAAAAATTAAGAGAAAATCTCATAATGATTAAATAGCCCGCCTCGTATTGGTTTTTAGCATAATATTCCTTCTTCCTTCTACTTTCCTTGATGTTTCTCTAATGTGACAACCAAATGGCCGCTGGTCACTGGCGCACGGTTTCCCTCATTTCTTTTTCTTTTCTCTTTTTTTTTGTTGGTCTGTGTCCTCTTTTTGTGTCAATTCAAGCTGCGCGGGGTGAAATGCCGTACCAAACCGTTTGAATCATTCATTCGGTCCCTTGTTTTCCCTCAATTTTTCGATCGCTTTTTTGAACGCTGGAATAGGGAAACGAATATTTAAGGGGATAGGCATTAAATTTTATTTCTTTTTTTGTTTGCAAATTTTCAACGCTGAGAAAGCATTCTTTTTGAAATTGTTCACCGATGAAAGAAATGAGGTTGATATTTTCATGTGTTCTTTCAAAATCTCGAAACTCCATAAGTCGTCCTACTACTTGGACTTACTGGTCATTCGGGCAACGAAAACCGGACGCGCTCAGGACGGCTCTGAGCAATTCTAGGGGACACTTAAGAGTACTCGCGCGTTATCAAGGTCCGAGAAACTATAAATTTAGACTTATTGTTCTATTAATTATTGCTTTCTAGGACGTTTTGAAAATAACCTTCGGGGTAAAGGTTTTATTATTTCGACTCACATCACCCTTGAAAAATGTTTTATTTCTTTTCATTTTTTACCTTTTCTGCCAAGATTAGAACTTTTACAATAACACGATCAAGATTTTATTTGATTAGAACTGTTACAACAAATTAATCTATATTCTGTGAGTTGATATGTTGAAAAATGTGCTCTTTTTCTCAAAAATCGTTCTGCCTCAACAGCAATGAATTTTTTCCACTCAACTAATTAATAAACTTTACGATTATTTGATTACCATACTGTTATTTGATATGATGTAAATCGTGTCGTTTCGCCATAAACTCCGGATGAGAGCAAGGAAAAGGAGAAGGCTGGCGTGGTCGGGGACGCGATCGCTTCCAGATGTTCCGCCTCGTTTTTTACCGAGACAACCTTTTTCTTCCACCGTTTTGTGCCACTCCGCAACTTTTTTCGCGCTGCAAATCTTCTCAAATGTTTTCTTTCCAAAGTTCGCGTGGATGGTCCTTGTTATTACGTCGTCGAGTTGTATAATAACGCCCAGATTCAATGAATCGTCGAGTTGTTTTCGCCTTTCCCATGTTTGCCGTTTCACTTTTTTTTCTCTGATTTCATTATTTCCGGTCAGCTGGTTTAGGTTAAGGTTTTTTCGGTCATTAAAAAATTACATGAAAAAATACATAGTGTGTTTGAAAATAATTTTGGTTTGCAGAAGAATTTTTAAAATTTGATCCTTTTCGGGATTTTGGTTTTATTTTGCGCCCTCAACTACAGTAACTTTTTTTGGATATGGGGTTGATATTTTTGAAACTCATAAAAAAATTCTTCACGATTAAAAAGACTCTGGCTTACTATTTTTTTCTATTAGGTTTTTCTGAAAATTATATTTGAAACCAAATTTTTTTGTTCGTTAGCTTTGGGGACATTGATATTTTTGAAATAACTACTACCTCATTTTCTAATTGGATCGTTTTTTTGTCAATCTTATGAGTTCATTTTTTCAATTTAATCTTCCTTCTCACATATATTCTCAAACTATGGTGGAAAATAAAGGAAAAAAGTCATAACGTCTTTTTCATTATTATTTTTGCAGAGGGACATCTCAAAAAGCGCTTCCGAACTCCACGCGGAAGACCCATCGGTGGGACAGAAGCTCAGGTTTGTTTGAAAATAGAAAATTTCTAGATTCCAATTCAAAAACTGAATTCTCAGTGCGGCGAACGAGGCAGAAGCCGTTCTTCGGAGAAGAAAATCTGCCGCCGAACTTTCTGAAATCGCCGCTCAAGAGAACCGTCAACGAAAGGACCTCGATGAAATCGGTAGGGGTTCGGAAAAGATTTAGAAACAATTTTCTGGAAGTACAAAAAAGCTGTTGGTAATAAACAAAAGTTTTGAAAACGCTTTTGAATTATTTTCATTTCAATCTAAAAAAAAAAAAATTACTTCACCTGCACAAAACCTCTCCTATGGCGGAATGAAATCTGATTCAAACTCAGAAAATTCAGACGAACGACCGGTGCTGAGACGGCGCCGATTCACGCGGAAACAGCGGAAATCGGTGACGATCGAGCCGGAGACCGGCCTGATCTTGGCGGTCGGGCCTCAGTCTTCCAGCGACGAGGAGGCGCCTCTAACTCCCAGGCGTCGTTTGGGCTCGCCAAAGACTCCTGGAAGATCGGTCAGGAATTTTCCATCAAATGGTCGGGAATAAACAGAGTTAGGAGGGAAAAATGAAGTTAAGGTAGTTCTGATTGAAATTTAATGGAATGAAAATTTATTTTGAAAAAAAGCATTCTGATCTGAATTTGTCTGACTTGTCTGCGTCTCATCTCCCTCATCGATGCTCTTTTTTACATGAATTTTTTTCATTTCTCTATGACAGCCGGTGAAAGATAAGAGAAAGCAGACATGTCAGAGTGTTTTCAATCGTGAAAAACGGCCTGTAATTTGTTCATTATTTTCATAAAAATCAAACGAAAATTTTAAAAATCTTTTTTTTTTCCATGATGGTCCTAAAAATAGTTTGCAGCTTGTGAGAGATTTCAAATTCTTTGAAAAAATGGAAAAATTGATAAATAATCGCTGCTTAACAATTATTGAAAAATAAATATTCAAAGTCTAGTTCTAAAATCTGAAACTCTGTAATTAGAATCGTGTTTGAAAAAGATAACATATTTTTCTCAATAAATATATAGTATTTCGCCAAAATTGTCGATCGATCAGAACTAAGAATCTTTAGATATAGTTGACTGAAACATGTGTTTTCTGCTCGGTTGCTTGTTCTCCAGTTTCGAATGAACGAAATTCGGTCTTATCACACCCTGGCCAATCTACTGATAAAGCAGTTTTTTGCATCTCGGTGCCCGCTTTTCGCATTTTCGACGCCTTTAATTTCGACCTACCTTTATTTGCTGTTTCAGGCATCGTTCCAAGAAAGATCCAGAGGGCTCAGTGCTTCAACGACCGCCCTTGCACGGAGAGAATCTTCGCCTCGACTCAAACCTACGACCAGAGGTTGACATTTTCCCGCTTGAGCCAGATCAAAATTTATTCTGAAGATCAAGAGATCAAGGGAAGATGTGGGAAAAATAAGTATAAAGGACTTGAATGAAGTTATGAGCACTGTAAACAGCTCTTCGACGCGATTATTTCTAGAAAGTTCTTCATGTTCCTTTAAGCGTCCTCGAAAAGGGTTTTGTAATCTTTGAAGAGGGGTCGCAACTCATATTCTTGATTCGCTAAGAAATAAAAAGAACCCGCAAAATGGCTCGAAGCGTTGATTTTTCGTTGAAGTTTCGAGAAAGATATAAACGACTTGCTCTAACTCTTTGTTTTTTTCTTACCAGGGAATGGTCTCAGCTTACAGTAGGACATTTGACTGAGACCAAGTTTTCTAGATTTAGTTTTTTTACGCCATGTATATCGCAACTTTTGACGAAAGATTTGAAATCAACATAAAAAAGTACATCTAGAAAACATGGTCTCATTCAGAAGTCCCACATGGGCAGAGCAAATTTGTTTAGAAGCATTTTATCAAATTATCAGTCTTCAAAACGTATTCCTACAGATGAATCTTGAACTGCATGAACATATTTAACATCGCCTTACAGTCTTGTATTTCACGACAGCCGTGGAGGCTAATGATCCAAATTGGGCATCATTCTCAGACTGTGAAACGAGGAAAACAGCCCACACAATAGCCATTTTCACGATTTTTGCCTTGCCGAGAAAAAAAAACACGCCTGATTTACATTCTCACACACATTTTGTTTGTACGTGGACATATTCTATTTCTTTGTCTTTGATCGATAAAAAATGAGAGAAAGGAAGTTCTGGAGGCAAAGATATGGCCCATTACGTTTTAAGGTTTTTTCATACTTTTAAAATTATAAGCTTAAATTTCCGAGGTACTTTTTTTTTGAAATTTTGCTCTCGAAGTTAGTTTTTCTCTTTTTGCGATGAAAGACGATTCCCGACGATAAATCTGCATAAAAAAACCACGGCGCGGTTGGTATAGCAACAGTTTTGCCTCTTCGCATTTTCAAAATATGAACTTGATTCGACCCCAATTTTAATAATTGTTTTTTTCGAAGTTTGCATTCATTGTTCATTTTTGAATGACCAGAAATGTATCTCAGGGCCAGCCGCCCGGAGAGCGAGCCGTTTATTGCGGAGTCAACAGCAGAACGCGGCATCCACCAGTCATCTCAACATGTTGGACGAAAATGGATTACGGTGAGTTTTCTGAAAGGAATTTAGTGAGGGAAAAAGTGAAGATTTCCTTCATTTAACAGGACGAAGAACACTTTGGTAAGATTTCAAACTTGAAAAAATGTTTTTCCCGACGAAACTGCGCCTGAAGTTCCTAGAGTCATTTGATGAGTTTCAAGCTTAAATCGATTTTCGATTGAATGTAAATTTGCCGAATCATCATTCAAATATCTTGATAAGAGGGAAATTCTTTCTATTTTTCAGGATTTCAGAACATCTTTGACGCACCACTTATAAAATGAAAAGAAAAAATTGATACCGCAGAGAAAAAACTTTTTTTAACCGAAACGAACCAAAGATCTTCCATTAACTTGAAAAAAAAAGTGTGTACAATCATACTTTATAAATTTCACGTTTTTCGAAAGAAAACTCTTGAAACTTCTAATTTCAGCGACCAAGGCCGTTCATTGAGTGTGCGAGATCTGAACGGGGAAAATATCGACTTTACGAATCGAGACTCCGTTTCAAAGTAACTTGTAAAAAGTTATCATCGAATCATTTTCTGTCCATTTTTCAGATGGACTTCACAAATTCTCGCTGAACTCGAATCTTTGCCTTCGAGCCGCGTGGACTTGACCCTGCAGTCGGAATTGGAAAATGAAGGAGCGAATTTATTTTCAAAGGTTGTTTCTTGAATATCAAAGATGAAAATGGGGAGGGGGAATTCAAATATTAGAAAAAAAAATTTTTGCGAAATTATTTCTAACCATTAGATTGTCATGAAACATGTCACAAGTGATTGCACATGTTTGAAAAAATCACATATTCTTCTGTTTTTTTCGAGATCAATTGATTGATAAACTCGATTATCTTTCCGAATTTATATTCTTTTTGAAGCTTAGAGATAAGGGTGAAAAGCTTGAAGGCACAGGGTTACGAGGTGAATTTTTTTAATTCTTGTGAAAATTTCCTATCAGCTACACCTCGTTATTCAAACATTCATTTTCCAACTTTTTGAACACTTCATCTCAACGATCATTCTCTTCAGCAACTGAAAAAGACGCCGTCTCCGGTGAGCCATCGCCAAAGTCTGCACATTCCGCCGCCGAGCACCCGGATGACGTCATCCCTTTTCGAGCCGTCGGAGCTCGTCGAGTCGACGACGTCACTCCCGTGGGCCGTCGGGATGTCGACCTCGGCGATCAACCTCAACTCGAATCATCTCTTCACGACTTCTGCCTTCGACCTGGAGGCTGGACGGGAGCGAGAGGTTACTTCACTGTTTCACTAGAAGTTTATTAGATTGGCCCGTTCGAGTTAACGGTTCCAATAAATATACGTTTTCTGGAAAATTCGGTCGGGTCGGTTTTTATGAAACGGCGTATATCCAATGAATGACTATTTTGGATTTTTTTTTAGTTCAAATTTGTTCACGTCTCCAAAACGCTATGAATTCTTGATTAAAGTTACTTTGAAATTTTGAAAATCAAGAGAGAGATTTTCGTGTTTTTTGGAAGACACTTAGGTCGAGCTTTTTTATTTGATGATAGAATTCGAAACTGTGCATATTATCGAGAAATATGCACTTCTGAACTGTATTCACCTTGAAAATGTCCGAAAATATTTTCAAAATCAAAAAAATTCAAAAAATCGGCTACTATAAAAAACAACAGAACTGACCGAGTTTTCCAGCATGTCTTGAATTTATCTTCCTATAATTATGATCAGACTATAAGAAAGCAACCCTTTCTCCAGTGCCATCTAATTAAAGTCAGAACTGCCTCCTGAGATTGAAACTTCTTTTTGTCTGGGAACGACACCTTTTAAAGCATTGTTTTTGTAACTTTTTGTAAGTCATTTTCTCATTTTTCTCTGAATTGCAGCTTTAATTGATGAAGACCAACCAAATGAATCGTCTGTCTCAGGACTCACTGAATGCCCCCACCTTGGTCGGTTCTCCCACAGACTCTGAAGGCGGCGGCACTCCGATCTGTCTCAGTCCGACCACCGTCGGCCCAGAAACAACTCCGCTTGAGTTTGAAGCCACTTGTTTGGCGAAATTGAAGGTTTCTTTGTTCAATAGCTTTGCTGTCGAATTTAAAAATGGCTAGGAATAAAGTGTTTTGAGGGAAGAAGTAAAATTTCGTTCGATTCTATTCTAAAAAATCAAGGTTCAAATCATGAAATGGCCAGCGAATTTTACTGATTGAAAAGGAACTTTGATGCGAAGTAAACTGATTCGAACTTTATAATAGTAGTGATTGTATTCACTGCATGCGACAAAAAATAAGTAGTAAAATAATACAAGAAAAAAGTGCAGGTTAATTTTTGTTTAAATCGGTGAAAAAAAAATGTAAAAATCGCAAGTTTCCAAAATTGTTTTTGCAGGAACGTGAAGCCAGAGCACAGCGACACTCACTGCCGCCAGAGTCTTCTTCGCCGTTTTCCTTCCTCAGAAGAACTCCGACGGAACCGATCCAACCGCCCAAGGAGAATGCGCCGCCCATTCCGGCTAAAAGGACCCGTTTCTTGCCCAAAACTGTTCCGGATCTCGTCAATGGCCAGTCTAAAGGTAGTTTAGACTTGATAACGATATAACGAGAAAAAATGAAGTGAATTTAGTAAAATTCCTTTTGACTGCAATAATGTTGCGTGGAAAACAAAATAATTGACTTTGATGAAAAGCGCTCAAAAAACTTCAACTCACTGTATCTTGATTTGCTTTTATACCTTTATTTTTGCGATTTTTCGATCTATGCCGCAATTTTTTTTTGGCTATTCACAAATTTAACGATAAGAAGAAAGGATTTCACAACCAATACGTTTTTGAAAATGTTTTAATGAAACCTTCTCGGAATTAGTGAAATTAATGTTTGAAATTGGAAAGATGATCGAGGCAAAACTTTATAACTAAGTTCAGAGAAAATAGAACTTCGTTCATTGAGATTTGAAATTATTTCGATGGCTTGAGCCGATTTTGGACTCTAATGGGCGTGGCCTGTCTGCGCTCTCCTCGAACCAGACGCTATCTTCTTTTTTTAAAATCGTGTCAGGATCCTTTTTCTGAACTTGTGAAAGAGCGTGAATCATCTATACTGTTAGAGTCTTATTTTTATTCCTTAAGATTTTTTCAGAGTCAACTGGTCAAGCACCAAATCCAGCCAAAGGTGCTTTTGAAACGGTCAAAATGAGACACGAAGAAGTTCTGAGCGAATCCGAACGACGACTTCAGAATTCCATCGCCAGAATGTCGCAGTCTGTCTATGGAGATTTTCGAGAATCTAAGGTTCTTATATTTTGGAGAAATTTTCAAAAATAAATTTAGGATTCGCCGAGACTCTCGATTCCGGTGATCAAAACGACAGATTGGAGCTCTCAGAAGCAACTCGACGTCATCGGAGAAGACGACGACGCGCTGACCGTCTGGAAAAAGAGAGTACGCCTTCTTTCCTTTTCATCGAATTTTCTACTTTGTGGAATTTTTAAATAAAAATGGAATTCAATCATGCTGATTGAAAAGTATACATGGGCAAACCCTTTTTCAAATGCCAACCCTTTTCTCATTAAATTATTAATATCTCCTGAAGCATTTCAATTTTTTTCTAGTCAACGCCCTGTGTTTGTTGAAAATTTTCTTTTTACTTTTTTTTTCAAAGTTTTTTTTAAGTCAATTCCTTCTCCCGAACTTAGTAAGTTGATTCACTGGCCCACGTATGGATATATGATGATTCAAGCCGAACGCTTAATTTTGCGTTGCGTTCCATTGTTTTTTTTCCCCCTAGAGAAGGTCACTTCGTCTTTTGTTCTTCATTTTTTTATCCATGAGGTATCTTTGAGCTTTTTTGAGGCGTTTGATAATCTCTGGGGACTTGGCAGCTCATTTTTTTCAACCTCTAAATCGGAATCTCTTCAGATTTTGATTCCTTCTTTTGTTGGCATCTTTTCGAATACACAGAAAAAAACTGATGAAGTTAGAAGTTTAGGCTTAAAAAAATTCCTAAAAAAAATGTAATCGGACTAAATTTGATTACTAAATTTTTTTCTTTCCTCCCTCAATCTCGAATGAAAGAAGCTATGAATGAAATGAAAAAAACGATTTGAAATGCCGCCACGGGTTGTCAATCCACAAAAAAAATCAACCATATATTTCGACATGACTAGTTTCAGAAGTTGAAATAAACTTTGCTTGAAATTTGATCAATGGACGTTTTTTTAAAGAAAAATCGGCTACTTTTCCACAAAATTAAAACCATAAACTCAATTCCGAACGTCATCTAAAACCTTATGAATAAAAAATAACCTTTTTAAATAAAGTTCGATCGAAAATTTGACTGTATTCAAACCAAAACGGACCATTCCGAAGGAAATCTGCTGACCGCAAGGCGCAATTTAACCCGGTTAACGGACCATTTGTTTCGACCGTCAAAACGGGGAGAACTTCTCAAAAACGACAAAACAGCCGTCTGTTTTATGTGGATTCCGCGCCGAATTCGGTCGAGAGAGCGTGCTGATCGGAGAGAGCCCAGACACGGATCCTTACAATCTGCGCGTGCCATCATTCTTCCTCTTGTGCCTTTTTACCACTACTAGTCCTCGATCGCCAAGTTTTTCTTGCGCTCCATTGATAATCTTTCATTTTGACTTATCTGATTGTCTCCTTTTTTTATATTTTTGAGAAAAGCAGGTAAAGCCGCTAAAGGTATACTTCCTAATTTTGCGCAATTCATAATCTTCGGTGCCTTATTAAATTTCTTTGATGAATCGTAGAGATTATTCAGTTGAAGAATGATTTCCATTCACAACTTTTCGCATAAAGCTCATTGAATGAGATTTTTTTTTTGAATTTGTACAATTGCTAAAATATGATCTGGAATAATGATTTTCAGCTTTGATTTCTTCCAAAGTTAATTCACGATTTTTGCAAGGAAGCTTTTTCAGAGTTTTTGGGCCTTAATACTTTCATGAAAATCGTCTATTCTCTTTCAAATACCCAAAAAAAGGTTTTTTGAAAAGGCTAAACCTCCCCATAACTCGAGTCAAGAAGGAGAAGATGATTATTTTGGAGTTTTTGAAGCGAGTTACTCCTTTTTCAATTGGAAAAAAGGAAAAATAGTCTTCTAAATGAGTATTTCAATATTGCTTGGTCCTCCTGGCCCACAACAAAAATGGAGCTTTTGTGGATGGAGTGACCTTGAAAAGAGGATGGTAAGAGGGTTAATTCCTCTTCGGCCATTGTGTCCTGACCGCAGCAGATTCCCTCTCCATTGTACCTTCAAGTGTCATGTCTCTTTTGTCCTTTTTTATTCAGCAGTATACTTTTTCTCGTCTCCAAACTCATTTTTGCAATAGCTAATCCAGCTGAAAGTCGTGTGGGAATTTCAACATTTCCCGCCTTGTTTCAACTCGTTCTTACTTTTTTCCAAAAAATTTTTCTCGTCGCTCCCTTGCAGCAGATATTTAGAAGATTTCATTTTTACATCGTCTTTTTTTTTTTAGTTCTTAGCTACAATTCGTATTTTTAGACAGACTTGGAAGCCCATTGAAAAACGAAAAACAAAAGAATGAAGCTACATGTGAGAAAATGGAAAAGAGAGCTTCCGAATCATTATTTATTCATTAAGCAAGGACAATTCAGAAATCTATGGCGAATTTCAGTCGAAAAAAGAGCTGTAGTAGGCTGGAACTAGTGTGCTCTATTGTGAATTTCGATAAAAATGGAAATAATGAAAAATATTCAATTCTCTGATACTAGAAAGTTACCTACTTCATTCACTTGAAACAGTCTGGTTTCTCTGTACCCTCTTATCTCTCACCAAAATTCTTTGACTCACACGCTAAAACTTTAACGCCTGTGTGAGAGAGAAGAGGGCGCAGACAGCTCAGATTTTTTGCTCCATTCTGAGGAAATTGTAGTTTTTTTTTTTCATGTTTCGCCATAGTACTCCCTCGCGGCTATTTTCCCACCTTCTATTTTGTCATACGGCCATCAAAAGATTGGGAGGAAAGAATCGAAGTTGCATGGAATGAATGCGGAGATCTCGGATGACGGAGCCGAGTTGTGCTGCCGGATTAGCCATTCATAGGTGTCTCGTGTCACACTCGTCGCTCCAAAAAAGGAGCAGAAAAAACCGCTTTCTTCGTATTTCTCCACCCGATTTTGGATCTTTTTGCTCTTCTCAAAATACGCGTTTTTTCGAGTAAAAAGTGCCTTTTAAATTGATTTTCAAAGATAAAATGTAGAGCCCTTTTTCCAGCTTCAACTTTTTCTTTATTGATTTCCAGCCATTCTTGGATATCTTTCTCTTCTCTAAATCCGAGTTTTTTGGGTGAAGATTGATTTTTGAAGTGATTCTTGAGGAGAACCAATACAGCCTTGCTTCAAGCTGCAACGCTTTTTTCATATTTCTCCAACCAATTTTGGACCTTTTTGCTCTTTTTTGATTGCGTGCTTTTTCTGTGAAAATTAATCTGTGAATTGAATCTCAAGAAAAAAAAAAAAAAAAGAAAAAAGGCTTTAGCTGTTTTCTTGTGAAAAAAAAAGTAATTTTGAATTTTTTTTTTTCAAATTTGTGGCTCTTACAGCCGCGTTCCATCAAGAATTCGTTCGAAATCTGTAGAATCTCTTTTCTCTTTGTTCCGGAGGGCTTGTGACTTGAAAACATTCGCACATGAAAAGCGACTTTATTGATAAAATTTTGACGTCTCATGCATATTTCCCAAATATTCCAACCGATTCCGAAGGTTTATTACTTTTTCCGGACTAATTATGGACGTTATGAGCCCTCGAAATGGGATATGCGAATGGCAGGCCATTGAGACCTTTGACCACCAAGGCTTCAGTCGAGTTCCTCTTCAACGTCCAATTCCTTTTCTCTTGGCAATTTATCCCTCAGTCAAGGTGGAATATCTCACTTGCAGAGTTCATCTTTGCCCTCAAAACCTTCAATTTTTGATCTGAAGGTCCGTTTTGTGCATATATTTCGATTAATTATAGGCTATCATTGCTCATAATTACGCTCAATCGAACATTCCAGTCATGTATCTTATTCTATGAAGATTCACTCGAGAGAAATAAACCAATACTTTTCTAGAAGTCGAAGATTTTTTTTTGTTAAAAATGCAAAATTTTTTTTAAACTCCGTTTGACACGACTCAGATATGTCTGTGCTCTCTTTTCCCTCATAGATATGGTCATAGAAACAAGGAAATAACGCGCAAAGGCGAGAGGGTTCTCGAGAAAAATAGAGCCCAAGTAAGAGCAGGGCGTTCAAAGATGTGCCGAATGACTTACAGAACCACCACTTTTTGAAAGAAATGTTTAACAGAAGCTGTCATTTTCCGAGAACAATGTTTCAGGAAAACTTTAAGAACATCGAAGTTCAGTAATTGCCAATAGGGGACTGCTTTTTGTTCTATAAACCTCCAATTTTTGATCAAAGCTAGGTTTACTCATTTGTATTCAACCCGATTCCAGGATACCATAGGTCATAATTATGCTTAATTGAATAATTCACCCGCACACGCACACAATCTCGCGCAAATCCCTGCGAGAAAAGATTTAAACTAATTTCTGGCGAGTTATCTCAATTAAGTACAAATCCGAGGAGAATTGTGCGACCCGCGTTCGCTTCACTTTTGAAAGTGACAGACAAAATTGCGTTTTAGGGTCCTTAATCGGAAAAAGTTGTTTTCCGTGTGCCTCGGTTGTTGTTCCTCATTTGATAGCTTATCATTTGGCGGCCCGTTCTGATTCTTATCGTCCAAATAATACTATTAGCCGACTGAAGTATCAACTTTGATCAAGTTTCATATCGAAGTTTGCCTTTTTTTAATTTGTAAAAAATTTTGATTTTTTTTGAGAAAAGAGATTGATTCATATTTTCGAGAAAAGAAAAGTTGTTTCAAAAACTCGCAATAATGTTTACCTTGACGATTTGTGGCGTTTTTGGCCAGGAGAATCGTACAAACATTGGTTCAGCTTTATTTTCTTATCGCTCAAGATTTTTTTTTCGAGTTTTTCTAGTTTTAAACTTCAGTTAAGGATCATTTTTTTCAGCAGGAACGTCTCATTTCATATTCAAAAAAAAAATGTAGTTGACCTCGAAATTTTGGAATTCAACTCAAATTTTCTGGAAGATGTTAAGATGTGCTTGATAAAGGTTTCGAAAATTTCAACCTGCGCAATTTCGGCGAATGGTTCTTTAAAAAATCCTTTTTCTGGACACAGTTCAAGAATATAGAACCTAGAAGCAGTACTTCTTGATACTTGGAAATATTTCGACCTTTCAGTAAAAAGTTTTTGTTTTCAGTCATCTAAAAATTTTTGAATTCTTTATTTTTTATCTATCCTCTCTCGCTTATCAGTTGAAGAACAAGACAAGATGTTGCTACCTTAAACAGTGGTCAAGTGTTTTGAAATTGGCACCTTTGAGTCATTTACAGCGTCGTTAATCTTGTTCCAGTTGAAAACTTGTTGGAATGAGTGAATCATTTCGAAACGGTAGAAAAATGTGTGTTTTCTTCGGTTGAAGAATGAGAATCGGAAACCTTTGAGGGAGAAGAATTAGTCACTGCTAACGCACTTTCGGACGTCTTTTTTTGCGCGGCGCCGATGGACATTCATCATTGGTCATTCGGTTTCCGTCCTTTGAAGTAAAAAGTTATTTTTTTCGGTTCTCCAGTTCGTTTTTTTCACAATTATTCATGGATTTAGTAAATTGGAAAGTAAGCTAGAAAGTTTTTACATCTTCTGTGAAAAAAAGATATCTATGATTGTTGATTTTTTTGGATTTTTTTCAGCAAGAAAAAGAAATATTTGAGTTTGATCCAAATAGGAGAAACTGGCTTTGTGTTTCCAGGTTTGGTAGGAGAGCTTGAAATATTGAGAAAAATTTTTGACGGCTCCCGGAATTTTTTTCTTTTTTTCTTGGGGAAAATAAATAGTTATGAGTATTAAATTAAATTCCCTTCTAATATTTTTTTAAAGTATTTTTTTGTCTAGTTTTTTTGCGCAGTCTTATCTACCGTGTATCGACGTCTGAAAAAGGGCTTCGAAAATCTTGATTTCAGCCAAATTTTACCGAGAAAGGACAAGAGGTGTAAATACTTCTCCCTATTTCTTCAAAATAATTGATTTTCTCGATAATTCACACTATTTCTGAAGTCACCTAGGCCAGTCTTGACTGTGTTCTACAGCCACCGACCTTTGGTTTTGCCAAACGAAGGCTAAAGTGCCGTTCCATTCCTAAACAACGGCCAGCTTCTACGCTAAAAGCGTTCAACTGGTCGCTCCGCCCCCCAGATGTGCACTTTGTTCCGCTCTTCCCGTTTCGGCTCGCCTAAACATTCAATCTTATTTATTGGCTGTCGGAAGATTACTGTTTCTCAGCGAGAGACATTAAAATATTATTATTGAAAACAATGCCGTTAACGCGTCAAAACGAATGAAAATTCTGTTGAAAATATTTATAAAAATAAAATATTTTCACTTTAAAAAGAACGTTTTTTTACTTGTGCAAGCTTTTTCAATCCTTCAATTTATATCAAATTTGGAAAAATCTTAAATTCATTCTAATAAATTCTTTTCAAAAACTCCTCGTTTCTCACTTTACTACGTAAAGTTCATCGCAAGGTTTTTCGTTTACAATCTGTAAACATTTTTTTTTTCTTTTCAATATTTCAGGTTCAAGTGGAGTTTCGAAAAAAAAAGAATATGTTCAAGTGCCCTAATCGCTATTTTTTATCGTTTAGGTACCTCCATTCCTTGAAATTCTCCTTTTTTTTCTGTTTGGATAGTATTGAATTGTATTTGAGATTTTTATCATTCATGCGTTTGTTTGCGATGAAAACGTTTTATTCTCAGATCCCAATATTTGTATATTTTTCTTCTTTTTCATGTTAATTTTTTTTACAGGCAAAAATGAGAACATTTGATGCTTTTTTTGAAAATCTCTGTGGGATTAACTAGATAAAACACGAAAAATTTTAGGAATTTTGAGCCAAACAGTGTTTTCATTTTGAGTTCAATGAGTAATTTCCTTACAAGTTTTTTTCCAAAAAGAAATACAAGGAGAGGATTTTTCACCTTGAAACTTTGAAAAAGAATAAACCGATGCTTTTTTAAAGTCCTCTGGAAGTTTTTGAATATACCTGAACCGCTTCAGGAAGAATCGCATTTTAAAAAAAGAACCACTTTTTGAATTTAATTCAGAGGATTTTTTCTAGAACTACCCAATACGATATGTTTGCTCTAGAAATCTATCAATCATGTCGTGTTTGCCGGGAAGAAAGTCGTTTTTAAAGGTTTTGCTAAAGATCCTCGGCCCTGAAGTGGGCAATTCACTTCCCACGGAATGCTCATACACACTCGCACACACTTGGCGTACGCGAGAACAAATATTTCTCGAATATCTGTGGGCTTTTTGCACAACGAGCGGCTCCATCTCATGGCGGTTATGACCTATCGAGCACATTTCCGCTCTAGTGCCCGGGAACCGCCCACCTTGCTTTCCTGGACCTTTTTTCTCGAGGAGTTGTTGCGATACACGGATGTAGGTAAAATGAGCAGCCGAAAATAAATTATTTCACAAGAAAGCCGCTTTTTAGATTGTTTTGAGATGTAAAAAGACGGTCTCACAGAAGAATTCTTTTAAAAAAAATGAAGGAGAACTTTCCAGGTTTTTGTAATCAACTCTATATTTAATCAGTAGCAAATGTATACAAAGGGTTTTTTTGAGAAAATAAAAGTTTTATTTTCATGTTTTTATTTTATGCCCCCCCCCCTATAATTAAAAAAAAACCCAGAAATTCATTAAAAATTAGCTTTAAGAGCATTTTTTGGAAATTAGTCTGCTCCATGGACAATTTCATGATTTTTTAATTTCTGCCCTTTTTTTACTTAATTTTTCTCGCCGCCTTTCTTGTTTTTTTTTCTTTTTCAAATGGCGCCGTCGGAGTTTTTTGTGCGTGAGAAAGCCCTTTGAACCTATAAACGGAGTATTTTTCCATGCAAAGAGCTCTCAAAGCGAAAAAGAAAGGTTTTTATTTTCGAACCCTATACGAATCATTAAGTGAGTGATTTTTTTTTTGTTTTGTTTTTATGGTTGAAAGCAATTGCTGGGTTTTTGTTTGAAAGGTTAGTTCTATCGATAAAATACGATGAAAATGAGAGCAATAATGTGAGAAGTTGCCCCACTCTGGCGATTCACTAGAAGATCAAACAAATTATTTTTGTAATTTCGGTGTTAGATCATTTATTTTCTGTGGTTTTTTTATTCTTTCTGAATTCTTTAAATTTTTTAAGATTCCTTCAAATGAATATGATTCAAAAAAAGTTAGTTTTTTCTGATTTTTTTCAAAAAAAGATGAAATCTAGTTTTTTTACTAGCCTATCCATTTTTAGTTAATTCATTACTGTCTTTAGATTTCGATATTGCAATTTTCAAACGTTCAACCAAAAAGCAGAGCTTTGATATTTCTGCGATGATCTCCCTCTATGTACGCGTTGAATGGAGTATAATTTTGCTGTAAAAAAAAGGAAAAAGTCAAAAACTGTTCACGGGATCGCAATCAAGTTTCCGACAAAGAGTTTTGTGTAGAGAAAGAATTAGAAGCGTGGAAAAGAAATAATGTGAAAATATTCAAATGACGCCGAACGCTATTCCAACTTTTTCCCACTCACAATGGCCTTCCCTATTTGGAGGAGATTTGCATTTCTTCTACCTTTTCCTCTGCTTTCCTTCCTTTCTGAAGCGCTTCGAGAGATTTATTGCATTTTCGACGGGGAATGGTGTGGCGCGAAATGGGTAATAATTATTGACACACACCCAAAAGCGATCGATTAGGCGAGGTTCTTATCAGTCAATCAGTCGGTCTGTGGAATGCCTTTTGCAAACTTGGAATGAATGAATGGAGAAGAGGAGAAGTTGGACAAATAGGGGAACTTGGAAAAAGGGGCGGAGTCGTCTGTCTTCCCTGTGCTTCCTGATTTTTTGATGAGCGGTTAGAGTTTTTGGAAGAGTGGCTGGAGTTTCATTTTTTCTTTCTTTTGCTTTTAATTTGAAATTTTAGAGGGTTTTAAATTTTTCATAATTCCTTCCGAAGGATCTCAAAGCTTCGAATTGATATTCAGATTTATTTTCGCTTATTTTGGATGGAAAAAAATCCAGTTCGTTTTTTTCTAGATATAACGACACTTTCAAACAGTTTTTTTGAATTTCCAGTCTTCCAAAAAGTAACGAATCCTGATCAATTTTTTTATTTGCAGGTGATTTGAAATAAAGCGGCTTTTTTTATAAATTGAATTTAGAACAGATATTTTGAATCAGATTTCAAACCATTTTCTTCAGTTTTCCGAGTTTTTTTTCGATGGTAGACCATTTTGATTTTCGTTTGAAATGGGAACTTCCAGAACGTTTTCAAATTCCCCCATGTTGTTCTTCATACAGCACAGCTTTACAAAACTACAAAGCTTAATTAATATTTTAATTTTGAAAATTTTCGCCTATCGTGTGAGGATGAAACCGGGATGTAATGTTCAAAACCAGCTGGATCGGTTGAAAAATAAGTATAATTTCAGACTTTCCATTTTTTTGTGGACTTTCCTTGCCCTGTTTGATACATAATTACTAGTTCTCGCCTGATCTACTTTCCATGTTGAGAAGTCGTTTTATGGAACTAGCTGACAAGGCCTGTGGTCAGCGTAATTGGCGGTGTCGTTTTTTCTATTTTGGAGAAATGTTTGGGGTTGGGTCGGCGGCCCGTTTTACGACAAAATTACACGGTGCGAAACCATCAGCCTGCCTATTTTTTTTCTCCGTTTCACTTCTTTCCTCGCTCCATTGTCTTTTAATTATTATGGTTTTCAACTTGATCCAGAAAATCAAGATTTTTTTTTTGAAACTATCAGTGTTCATCAAAAACAGTATCTTTTTCCATTGGGTCTGAACGTATATTGGACGTCATTCTTGGCTTTTCCTTCTCGGAATCGACTTCTTCTTCTTTAAAGGGAAGAATTTAATTCCAAACGAAGATTCCCGTCTATTTGGATGAATTCTCGGGGCATCCTGCTCCCTTTCGAACGCTTTTTTGTCTCCTGAAAACGTTCTGAACTTGCATCTTTTTTTTGTTTCTGCATGGATGGGTCATTCTCCCTGAAGATCCAATATTTCCTGTTTCCCCTTTTTTTTCCAATTTTCTGGAAAAGTGTGCTGCAAGTTTTATTTTATGTTCGAATTCCTGTATTTTCTGTTCCTCTTTAAAAGTCAAATTTTTAGGAATAAGACAGTCCTGTTCAAATTCGTGAAACGAGCATACAATGTGATTTTCTAAAAATTTATTTTGATTTAGTAAAATTTTGGTAACTTCGTTTTCGATGACTTTATTCTCGTCGATTTTTTTCATTGTTTTGTGAATAAATAGCACACACTTTTTTGATCGCCTCTTTAATTTATAAACCTCTCTCGTGCGTTCGTTTTGCCACAAATCAACTCAGAATAGAAGAAAAAAAAATACTGTCTGGAAAACTTGAATCGGAACATAAATGAGTTGCTCCTTTTTTGTAATATTTTGTTGAATTTTTTTTTTTAGTTTTCTGGAAAGTTTTATCATTTTCGAAAACGACATAAAGGACTATTACTTCCGATATCTGAATTTATTCAGTTTTTTCATTGCAGGCAGAAGGTCGAGCCAAGAAAGAGCCTCAGCAGCGGAGCTCGGCGAGCATGGCGACGTCGAGTCCATCGCTGACGTCATCGACGGAGGAGAAGCCGAGTGTGAATCGCGTCGTCGCCGCCTTGATCCGCACCATCGAGGACACCCGCTTCTCTGCCGCGGATAGACCCACCGACTTGCCTCTCAGCGCCAGTTGCTTCCGGAATGACCTGTCTCCTCAGGTTGATTTTCCTTTTCTCGCAATGTTGGAATGTAGGGTGAGGACCTGAAAGTTCAACTTTTGTCTAATTTTGAAGAAAAGTCGGATGAAACTCTTCTCTTAGAGCTTTTGAGCAAAAACCTAGCCCGACAAATTCAAAGGCTTCCATGAACGGATAAAGCTATAGAAATAAAAAAAGAGAAAAATTTTTCAGAAACGTGAAAAAAATAATCTAAAGCAAAAAAATGAGGGAGTATTTAGAAATAAATTTGAAGTCTCTGTCGTTTACGTTACTTTTTTTCGGAGAAATTCAAATATTTTTTTATCCCAATTCCAGTTTTTTTCGATTCGTTTTATCTCCTAAAATTTTTCAATTTTTTTAAAGTTGGTGGTTTATAGAAAAAAAGCTCCTTAAATGACTTAATTTTTTTAAAACTCATTAAAAAAATCCCCGTAGACGTTTCGAATTTCTGGAAAATCAATTTTTTTTTTCGAAATCGAGCATCAGACAACTTCTTTTCGTTTGCTGGAACTTTGAAGTTTCCAAACTTTTTTCTGCATACTTCAGCGAACAACCATCTTAAGTGGGATGTTTCACAAAGTTTTCGAAAAATTCTCAAAAGACGTCATCAGCCACCAGATGTCGGTTCTATACAGCGGATTTATCGTTTTTTGAATTGAGTCCGGCGTTGCCCAACCCGAAGGATGTAGTTTCTGTTTCATAACGTCTATTTTTAGTTGGTGTTTTTCAGGACGCCGGCACTCAAACGACGCCTTTTTCCATTTCGAGATCTTCTTCCTTCGATTGGATCAACGAACCTTCGGAGGGAGCTCTGCGCGACATCAAGACTCCAATCAGCACGCCGAGGTTCATTTTAGAACTCTACAATTTTTTCTTTTAAGGGCTTGAGAAAATTGAAGTTCAATTTTACGCAGATTGGATCAAAAGTCAAGGAAAAATGGTCATTACCTTTAAAAAAAAAAGCCCCTATTCGCTTTTTTGCGCTTGCAAGTCGTGTCTTAAAAGGGTGGAACAGCTTGCAAATTCGCTTTTTGAGGTGATTAAAAAAGCAAAAATCGACTTAGGACAGAGTTTAGTTAGGTAAATTCAATATTAAGCTTTTTTTCTTATGAAAATTCGAAAAGTTTTTGGTCTTTTTGCTTCTAAAAACTTCTACCAAAAGTGTTCTATTAAATATTTTTACGTGCTTTAAAAAAATAAATCTTTAATTTAACTGTCTGTTTCAGATCGGACGGCGGCTTCCGACCGTTGTCGCTGAAGTTGGAATCGTCGTCGGAAACGGACGACGCCGACCGGGAAGTCGCCCAGATCGCAGACAAATCTGAGAGGAAGCAACGCGACAACCTCAAGTGCGCTCTATTGAGAATCTCTTCGATTAATTCCATTTTTCCAGCCTCTACCAGCAAATGGACGAAGGAATCGCATTGCTTTTGGAATATGGAGAGCCCAGCGCCGTTCAGATGCAGAAAGAGCTCGAAAAATACGTGAGTTTCTTGAAATATATGAGTTGTTAGGTTATTTGGAAATTTTTGGAATTTTTAGAGAAGCTAGAAGTTGGAAAGACAGAATTAAAATTAATAAAAAAGATGTCTTAAAATCCAAGAACTTTGCTCAAGAAAATCGGTTGAGAAGATATTGCGAAAAAAATTTTTTTTTCAATTTTAGCCATTATTCTGAGAAAAAAAGCTTGAAATACGAATATTTTTGACCAGAAAGTTCCCCGATCTTTGCTTCAATCTAGAAAATTATCATTCAAATAAAAAAATCATTTTGAAGATTTTGGCGTTCAAATTTTTGAAGTATTCTCTAAAGCAAAGTAATCTTGAATGTTTTGAAATAGCAAAAACGTATACCCTTTTTTGGAAAAAAAAAACAAAGTTCGAGTTTTTTTCGACGCTGTAGTGGTCAGTTTTTTTCCATTTGAAGAAATTTCAAGAGCAGTTTTTTTGTAGGAAAACAAGTCGACCATTCGAAGCAATAAAGGCAATTACGACTCCCTGCCAACAAGTGAGTTTTTCTTTTTTTTCTTTTTGTTTTTACCGATCAAGAAACAGAACGAGTTTTTTTGAAATCAGGACATTAGATTTATTTTTGCATTTTTAAAAAAATTCTTAAAAGATTGTCAGCTTTTTCACAGAAGATCCTTATTTATATTTCAAGTTACCTAGAAAAGCTGATCCTACTCATCTGCTTCATACTTTTTGACCTTGGAATATAAAACATTTTTTTATTCTTAAAAAACGTTGTGGTTTTCTTTGAAAAACGAAGCGTGCTAAAGAAATCTGCTTCAAAGCCGTAAAAATTGGCGTAAAGCTTCTCAGAAACAAGAAAAAGTCGTTTTTCCTTTCTTTTTCCACGAGATTTCAAAGGAAAAGAAGCGGAAGGAGGAAAAAAGTGTTTCGAGTTCCTCCACATGTCTTTCCAATTAGCATTTTTGTTGCTTTTTTTTCACTGATCCCACCGTATTTTCCGCCGAACTTTTCCTTGCGGTTTTCCTTTTTTTTTTGAACGTCGCAAAGATATCGAATTTTTCAATTGTTAGAAAATGATCTGTTCTTTCGTTCCATTATTAGTTCATTTTTCAAAAAGTCTTCAGAAACCGTGATTTTTTGTATTTTTTAAAACTTGTAACTGTGTCTTCAGCCTGAAATAAGTCGAACTTTTGAGCTTTTGAACCATATTTGACCACAATGTTTTTTGCGTGTCAAATTTTTGAATAAAATTGTGCGATTTTCTGACATCTGGACCTTCAAAGAGTGTTCTAGTTTTTGAAAAATTAGTAATTTTTAACCCAGTTGATTTCTATTAAAATAGTTTTTCACGGAAAAAGTGCACATGAGAATGTTTACGAAAATGTCTTGAAAAATCTCAATTCTGGTATTTTCGGAAACCAAGAGTTCAGAAGAGAAAAAAGACTTTTAATGAAATTTCCGTGCCTTTCTGAGATTTTTGTTCAAAACGAACGGTGTGATTGAAAAGTGTAAACTTTTGATGACGCTGATTCATATCGATGTCCGCCCACATGCAACTGAAAGCGATGGCCGAGCCATTGTCCCTCTATCAGCTCGTTTTTTTCTTTTTTTTCCGTGGTTTTTTTTAGTTTTAAGTTCAATTCGCAGTGATTTTCATTCACTTTAAACTTTTAGTTTTGCGCGAAAAGCTTCAAATTCACAACTGAAACTTGCGTGAGATTGATATGGAAATTGGATGCCCGAAATGTCGTTGAAAGGTTGCCAAGGCGGATGAGGTGGACCCAATTAAGCCACCCGATGACCTCTCTTCAGCTTTTCCTCCCATTGCATTGCATTTCCCACGCCTCGAGTTTGAGTTTCGGAGCTCAGAACCTCAATTTCGGCCTTCATCTCGCTCATTTCCTTGCTACATTACTTTTGGACTATAATTATTCCTGTTTCTTGTTTTCCAAAATTTTAAGTTCAGTATGAAACGATGAAAACGTTTCAAAAAAAGTTTGTTAAAGAAGTAGTGACTGTAATAAGACCCTCCATTGAAGTTTCTAATAATACTTCTTGAAAAACATTTTGAAAATGACGAAATCTTCTCAGGTTTTTTTGGTCCTTATCTTATTTTACCCCAAGTGGTTTGTAAAAATATTTTTTTAAAATTCTATTGTGTTTCAGAGCTGCGACAAAACATCGGTCGAAGGTCGGGAAACGGCCAAGTTGTCGACAGCATCTACGACAACATGCCCTGGGACAAACGGAAGCCCTGTAAGAGTTTCCACTGTTTCGAAATGAAATCAGAATAACCAGAAGCCGTTTAAAAGAATAAACGACAGCAGGAAATTTCCAGCAACGACGTCGAGCCAATTCTCGCCGCTGGTGCTGCACAGGACGCCGAAGCCCGCGGGACTCCCGCCGACTTCCGACGCGAGCCCTCGCAACTCGCTCCGATCTCAGACGGGCTCCTCTCCGTCGACGACCACCGGCGTTGTCGTCGAACAGTCCAAGTTCCCGAATCTTCTCTTCGTCGAACAGACTTCCCTGGGAAGGACTGGCAGCTGCGAAGGCGCCATCGACGCCACTTCGGTGATTATTTCTGGTTCAAAATTGATTACTAATTTAAAATTCTCATTTCATCATGTAGGAGAAAATGACACGGAGGACATTTTGATGTGAAGTGTGGAGTTTGTTATAAATTTGCATATATATATACTTGAAAAGTCTAGTTGAAGTTCCCATGTGGCTTTCTCCGCAATCTTCCCAAAATTTTTAGGCCTGATTATGTGTTTTAACAGAACGCGAATTTGGAAAAATCATATTTTAGAATTTAGAAGTTTGGACTCTATGATTAATCTTCATCTATACCTTCAAAAAAGGTTTTGGGAAAACTCAATTGAGGTTTTACTTTATGCAGTGACCATATTTTTCGGCACCTGTAAAATAATTGTGTACATGAACTTGAAGTTTTGTAATCAACTTGTTTTTTCAACTGTAAAAAATACCGACTTTTCTATTGCAGCCCGAGCCGAGGACTTCCTTCGCCTTGAAGATGGCAGGTTGGTATATTCTCATCATTTTATTTTATTTTTGAGTTGGAAGCTTTCAAGTTCAAATTACTGCAGCCTAGTGTGAAGAAACGCGTTATCAATAGGAAAAAAAAAACTAAACGTTCAAACAAGGTCTTTAAAAAAGCTTTTGATTGGATGTAAACGCATGTCTGATTTAATTTTTTTTTTTTCGTTCACACTTTTTTAAGATTCACGTTAGACTACAGTCGGAGAAAAATTTACGTTGAAATTTCGAATTTTTATATGCTAAAAAAACAGTCTCACACAAAAAATAAGTAGTGCCATTTATTGTATTTTGCTCCCGAAGGTTTCTCGGGAGGTGACCGGAGATTGTGTGATTAGAAGATTATTGTGGAGACCGGACGACGGAGGCTGCCTCTGTGCTCACAAGCAAACCGCTTTTCCTGCACCTTGCCCCCCATTCTCATCAACTTTTTTCTCGTTCTTCCTCATTTATTTAGATTATGAAGTTTCAATGACTTCTGTTAATAGAGTTTCGGCGTTTTCTGCTTTTTGAGCCTTGATTGAAGAGATTCTACGAACAATTTATCGAAATAGGATTTTGAAGCCGAACCTTCATTTTCTAAGATAGAAAGGTAACTGAAGCAAAAAAAGCTTTGAAATTTTAACAAGAAATGAAAAAAAATATTTCGATTTTCTCCCATTTTGTTTGTCCCAAAAGATAACATTAAATTTGTGAATCTTCTAGATTCCTATATCTTCACGATCCTTTTTTGTGCGCAGAGGGATTCTTGAGGAAAAAGAAGGAAATTTTCATTTTGATCGCTTCCATTTGTTCTCCTCAGATATTCTAATATTTTCGATTGTAATGCTGCCAGGCGTGTGAAAACTCATTTTTCGTGTGTGTCTTATGACGGCAGAAACGAAAAAATGGCAATATTTCGTTGAAAAATGGCGGTTTTTGTTTTTATTGAATGGGAGTTGTAACGTCGTTCTGAGTCGTTTCCCTTGAAGCTTTTCATTTTTTTTTTGTTGAGTTTGAATCGTGCATGGTTAAGTTATTTTATAAGAAATTTTTGAGAAACAAATATTTTTTAACAGACCTGAATGACGTTATTTTTCGCTTGTTTGAAAGCGGTTGTTTGAGCAGGAACGGTTGGACAAAAAAAGCTTAACGGGCCAGACAGATCGATTCATTTTTTTCAATGATTTTGAATGTACTGAAGAAAATGAGATATCATAAAAGGTTTCTTGAAAAGTTTGGAATTACGTGTAGATTGTTGATTTTTAGATTATCATTCATTTTTCTTGATGATACCATACGTTTTTCAAAGAAAAAGGTTTAATCACGTTCGTCGAGCGTGATAGTTTCATGTAGGGCAGGATAATTTCAACTCACCAAAATCTTTTTTGAAAGATTATTTTATCATCAATGTTCTCGAGTTCTTCAATAAGAACATTTCCTAGAAAAATAGGAGACTTGAACTTTTGGTTGAAATTCTTGTCAATTTTTCCACATTGATCCCGCGTTCAATAAATATCTCGTATTATCACTGAAAATCTTCATTATCTTAACCGACAAAGATCGGCGACATGTTTTCTTAAGCTTCTCTCAATAAAGCATTATCCGTCGAGCGCATTTCTCATGATTGGAAGAAAAACAGAAGGCCCAAAAACCGCAATCTCACGTCACGACGATAAATCTCGCTAGTGTCAATCTTAACACTCGCTACGGGTTTTCGCGATTGAATCGAAAAAAAAAATGGATGTTGCACTTTCTTCTTTTTTCTTCGTTCATTAAAACGTCGTTCTTCTCCCGCTGAATTTATGGGCGGCGTTATCGGCTAAATACCGTGACGATTCCATCAAACAACTTCTTTTCTTGTTATTCTATCCATCAATGAACTACTTTAATTACTATAATTACCGCTCGACTGCCGATTTTTTTATAATTATTACAACTCGCGACGCTACTGTAGGAAGAATGAAAGGTCCTGCAAGCAAAAGAGTAAGTTTTTTTTTTCTGAGAAAATAATAAAAAATCTTGTCATACGTAAGGAAAATGATGAAAAATTAAACCAAATATTTTTTTCTTAGTATTTTCGCTCTATCCAAACTTATGAACTACGAACTTTTAAAAATCTCAAAAATGAACTTTGTTTTTACAAAACGTGAAAGCTTTTTTTAAAATTGAAAAAAAGGTTTCTAAATGCTTTTTGGACAACTTAGAAAACTGGAAAAAACTCAAGTTTTGAGACCTAAAAACTTTCATCTTTTCAGCTTTGATTGGATTTCGAAAATTTTCGAGCTCAAATCCATGAATTTTGTTCAGAAAGAAGTTTTCTTCTGGGGAAGCTGCCAGAGAAATCCTCAATTTTCTTTTTCGAATTTGTAAGCTTCTTTGTCTGGTACAGCGGAAACTTCACAAATTTGGTCATTTGGTCTCTATCTATTCGAAATCAGGCTAATTTTTAACGATTTGTATGCTCGGCTGTGAGGTAGCCGCAGTCAAATGTCATAAAGATCTTTGTGTTGACCCGCAGAAACGACAAAACGATGGCGGCGGCTGGGTTTTACGGCGCGACCTGTGGGTTTTGAGGTCTTTTGGCTTCGAACGCCTTTAACGTTTTATGGGCCCTGGTAGCGGCCTCTTCCAACACCATATTCATTATATTCGCCGCCTGTCCATTGCTTATTATATCAACCACTTTTTCTTTTTCATCAACTTATACTGGAGTTTTGAAGCTCTTTTTTCCTATTAGTTATATTTGACTTTTCATCGCTCAAATCCATTGAGGAGCATCCTTAACACCCAATGAGCGTTCTGAATTAAATGAACCCAGTTTTTAGAAAGCCTTACAAAAGTTGAAGCCGGTAGAAACTAGAAAACTTTGAATTTTTCCGATATCATCGTTTTTTTGGATGGTAGACCATTTTTGCCAAACTTAAGATTTTTTCAGGATTCGCTGGAAATTAGAACCTTATTATATCAGCCGAAAAATATTATGTAATAATTTTTAACGGATTTCTATATCCAAAAGTGTAAATTGATCAGGAAACTCTCAATTCGCTTTTACGTTTCTCCAAGCCATTCCGATTAATTTTTCATCTTCCAAGTTGTCTGAGACAAACATCCATTTTTGTTATTCGAATTTTCATCCGTCTGGCTTTTTTATTCCTAATTGAAAAACGAAGCACTTTTGTAATTGGAGGAAATTAGTTTCTATTCCGAGAACGCTCGGTTTCAATTGAATCCGATTCAATTTTTGACCTCCTCCAGAGAAAGCTCAAAAAGGCAAGTAAACACAGAGACTGTGAAGACACTTGCAAGCATTGTGTGTATCGCGTATATCTCGGATCCCTGTTTCGTTTTATCCCCACGGACACAAAGCCAAAAGCAAATATAGTTTCACTTCGTTTTCTCGTTTTTTTCCTCGCCTATCGACGGCCGACTGATATCTTCTCGACCATTCCGGCAAATTTCGACTGATTTTCTGATTCACTGTGATTTGTGTATGCTGCGAGTCAGAGCCAGTCAGTTTCGTTTCTCTTTTTTTTCGATTTCTGATGAAATTTTTCAAAATTTTTCAATCATTTGGAAAATTTCAGATGTTCGAGACTCTTAATTTATTAGAAAAAATATTTTCAAAAGACATTTGGGCCCTACGGACAACATTTCCAATTAAGCTATGGCTTCAAGTCAGAAAAGGGAACTGTAAATATTTTGCCGCAACCAGAAAAAAAGAGAGATTTTTAGAGTTATTCAGGAAAAATGACCTCTGGAGGCAATTGCGCCCAAGGGCTTAATTTTCGGAACAGGCTTCACTACAAGTTTTCAATTTTTTCAAGTTAGAAAGAATTTTTCCTTCGATTTTTCTGGTTAATTTTTTTATCTTAATTCATTTTTGAGCAGTTTTTTGTCAGGCAGGATCATTTTTTGTTTTTTTTATTAAAGCGGAAAGAAAAAGTTTATGGACTTTGATAGAGTTCATCTCTCCACTGATCATTGTATTTGATAGCCCTTTCCGAGAAATGGAACGCTCCAAAACTCTTTGTCCAACAAGTGATCAGTAATAAACAATCAGGATACAGCCTACTTGTGTTTGAAGTGTTCGGGAGGGCGCGTTTTGAGAAAAAGACTTCTTCTACAACACAAACTGTGGGCATCATCTCGAGAGTCTCCACGGCGACGGGGGCGTCCGTTCCTTGGTTCCCCCCGTCATTCCTTGGATGGTGTCATACTCACCAACACACTTCAAACTCTTCCGTAGACCTTTCTTCTCATTATTCACTTGAAAAGTTTTTTGAAAATATCCCTATTTTTCAGGGCTTTTTAAATTAAAATTTTCTTCTTTTTGGTTGTGGACTTTATTCAAAAATTTTTTGCTTAGTGTTTTTTGATGTACTGAATGAAGATTCAAGGGAGATTCAATCTGCACAAAATATTATTTATTGAAAAAGAAAGATCCTGAAACAATCCCTGATATTTTCGACAACCATATTCATACACGAGGAAGATTACAAACTTTGAATACAGTTTGAACCTGTATTCCCTCTCAGTTTTGATTCATAGTCCCTTCTTATTTTAATGAATCATTGATCAAAAAAAAGAGGAAATTGTTTCGGACCGTATTTTTTGGTATTTCACCGCGCATGTGCATATACATACTTTCGAGAGACACTTTGAAAATATTTATTGTTATTTCCAAATTCATCGAAATTCTGAACACTGCTTTGTACCTACAAGTTGAATGGACACTCGAAAATTCCAAAGTTGATTGGTCGAATTTTTCGGACAATGGGTTCCTAGGTGTGAGTGGGGGGAAGAAAAAACAACTGGTTCAGACATGCGTTACAATCATAAATAATTTATTGCCGTTTCGAGGTCGCGTGCTGTTTGCCTCCACTTTTTCTGAGGAACTTTTGAGATGTGCAACCATTTCAATATTTTTTCTATATCTTATGTCGTCCGGAACCTCAAAGTTTTCCCACTAAAGTTAACGACTTTTTGTGAAATTTCCTCTTATGAATGTGTTTTTTGCAGAAAAAGACGCGGAGGAGTGCTTTGCGTGGCTCAAACAAGCAGGTTTCCCGCAGTACGTCAGGCAGTTTGAAGGTCAGTTGTTCTTATAAGTTTTCTATAGGAATACACTTTTTTTATCTTTGAAATTGAGAGTTCTATTTCCCAGAAGCATTTTCAAGAATTATAAGCAAGGGATATTTTTTGAAAAATTAGCCGCGATGTGCTTAAGCTTTTCAGCTTCATTGATAAACGTAGATGCTTGAGAGTCGGATGGATCAAAAAATTCCAAAAAAGAGTTTGAGAAAAAAAGGCTAGATAGGTCGCTCCATGCAGTCCGGTGAACTTTTTATCCCATTTCTTAAAATTCAATTTTTCCCATTTTATTGGTCTTTTTTTATTTTTTTGCTTTCTATCGACCGAAAAACAATTCCTGTGAAAAAATAGCTACTTTTTCAAACTAATTTTAGGTGTCATTCTTTGTTATGAATTTAGCTATGGAGCGCAAAAGTATGATTCTTGTCGTGTCCATTTTTTCCCAGCTACTCAACCCGAAGCTTTGCCTTCCGGTTATAGTATCATCTACCCATAAAAAGACGATTTACGCGCAGTTTGGACATCTTGTTATTTGCTTACCACATCCACAAGTTTTTTATTATCAGTCACGCTTTTTGGACAACCGGTTCTCTATCCGAGGAGGGTTTTTTCGTCTTTTTCTCCTTAATATTTCTTATTTTTTTTATCGTCTCAACTGTGAAATCTTTTGAGACGAAATCAAAGAACCTAACCAGAGAACGTTTTTGCAGTTGATTAGCTGTTTGTTTTCAATCTGGCTCGTCTTTTCTTTCTCAAATTGATAGCCGTCCGCCTTGGCTTGACCTTGTCTTTTTTTTGTTCTCATCCGTAGCCGTTTTTGATTGATTTCCGCTGGTAGAGGTCATCAGGGATCCAATATTTGGTTTTTTATCACACAAAAATGTGGGCTGATAGTCGCTGATGGAGGTTTCTTTATATTGCTGTGACAAGTTCAAACTAACGATAAAAAAAGAAAAAAATTATTTTTCAGCTTGAAAAAAAGTTATATACTATGAAGCTATTGTTGAGGAGGACTTTCAAAATAGGCTCAAAGTTTTTTTGGGAAAATTCTGAATTATTTTTTTGAAATAGATAAAATTATAAAAAAATAGTCGAGAACCAATCAAAAAAATTTAAAAAAATAAAATCATAAAACGGAGGAGAATAATATTTGATGAATTTTTGAACTCTTCGATCTTTTTTCAATTTCTAACAACGGTTCCATGTTTGGTCGATTAATAATTAACCTAATTGTCAATCCTCACAAAAATAGATTTAAAAAAGCCTTGTTTGAAAGTCACTGTTTTTTTCTCGTTTTCAAACGTTCAATAACTGGAAATTTCATTAAATTCTAGTAACTTCGCGTCGTTTTAAACAAATTTTAATGAAAACTAACAAAAAAGTTTTGAATGACCTTTTTTCCGCAATCAAAGGTGAATCTACCATTTTTGATCTCAAAGACTTCTCAACACTTTTTTCGCCCCTCTCCTCACTTTGCCAGATGTGTTCTAAGAGCCGTAGATGAACCCGAAACGACCTTGTTCTTGTCAAAATCGAACACGCCGACTGCCCATTTCGTCTTATCCGTTTCCCTCTTCTCCCTTTTTTGAATTTCGCAGTTTTCCGAGCAATCACTTTGCTCGGATCTTTAACTTACTACTGATTGGTTCAAAAGCTCTGAATATTTGAATGACGACAGATTAAAGCAATAACAAGTTTTCATTTTTGAAATGTAGTCTGGTGCTTAATTTTAGATTGGCTCTGTTGTAAACAATTATCTAATTGAAAGCGAGAAGCGGGAAAAATGTTCTTAAAATAGCAAGGCTCGCTGGGTATTTTGTTTTTCAGATAGGATTAAAGTCTAAAAATCCTTTTTGAAAAAAAAACAGATTCAAAAACCGTTTTGAGGTTTTTTTGAAAACTAAAAAAAGACGGAAAAAGTATTTTTTTAATTTTTTTCTACTCTAATTGAGACTAAATGAATTCATTAGCTTTTTCTGCGCGCCCTTTTCTCACCATAAAAATCTTGAAAATAGCAGATAAAATCTTTTTTTTCCTGAAATTTAAATTTGAAAACGAGTTGACCAGAGTGGACTCCGGATTAGAACAATAAAAAAAAAGTCGCCGAAAAAAATCCGAATCCCTTCCAACGTCAGAACACAGGTGTCGAAAAGATTCTGATAAAAATTGATTATCCGAGGCTTCGCCCCCCACGGCGCGAAACTCGACAAAAAGAAACCAGCTTTTTTTCTCCTCTCCAAATTTTGCTGTCTTTTTTCGGCAATATGCATCATTTTAGCCGTTTTTATCTTGTTTATCACACAGATCTTTTCTGCGCCTCTGGGTTGTGGGACAAGAAGAAGAAGAGGAAGAAAGGCCGGTTAATGCGTTTCCTACGCACATTCTTCGCCTATTCAGATTCAGATGCGGCACACAAGGCGTTTCTTCCGACCACTTTCAACCTGCTGCTGCTTTTCCGCTCTTCTGACACTCTTTTCAATCTTTTTCTCAACTTTTTATCCGTTTCCAAACCATGTCCGATCCATTTTTCGAATCAACGTTGTTATTAAAATGTTTCTTGTCGAAATGGATTTATTGGAGGAAAAATAATATTATGCAGCTTGGAAAAAAAGGACAGAGGCGTTTTTCTTGGTATTTTAATTTTTTAGGCTTCAATTTCCATTTTTTTTTTACTTGAGTTCAGTAAACTAGCAAAGTTACTGTCGTACCCTCATTCAGGATACATAGGTATGTCACGAAAATCAAGCTTTATCAATACTCATATAATGCGCTCCATCGATAAATCCAGCGTAACTTTCAATTTTATTTTTCAAAGAACTAATCAAGCCAACCAGAAGCCTTCTACGCTGGTATTTTAACCATTCATGTCTGTGATTCGAGTTTTTTTTTTCAAAAGTTTGAGTCATTTTGTGGGTTACTACACTTTTAAGTGATCCAATCAAGGGATCAAACACAACAGTTCCATCTTTTTCCGAACTGAAATCATTCTTTTTTCCTTTGAACAAATTGAACTTTATCACCGTTTGAAGGTTAGAGACGCGTGTTTGTTCCTCACGGGGAAGAGAGGCTCTTTGCCTTTGGGATTCGCTCCCGAAACCTCGACCTTGACTGGTACAAAGAATGCGAGAGGAAATAGGCGGCTTTACTGGTTTTTTTTCTTTGAGAAGTTTGAATGAACTTTTATTTTTCCTTGAATCAATTCAAGTTTTTAAAAAAATTTCTTGTTATATTTTTTTCTGAGAATTTCTCAAATAGCCTTCATACAGCAGTTCTTTGAATTCATTCAAAAAAAATATTTTTTTCTTGCACAATAATGACTGCAGTGCTCAAAACAAGAATGAATAAATATATTTTTTTCATTCGATTAAAAATTTTTTTAAAGATTTTGTTTTGAAGAAGGCTTTAACCAACATTTTCATTTTTCGAAACTTTCAGGCTCTCATGAAAAATCAGAAAAAGTTTTTTTATAAAACATGCCCGTAAAACTTTTTTTATGGAAATTTTTTTGTTTCTAGATGGATAAAAAAACAAAAATCCCACCCAAACCTCTAAATAAGACCTAACCAGCCAATTTCTCCGTAAATAATTCATCGTGATTTTTGAATTCTCCGAGCCGACTATACGAAAAATTTCTATGTGGACACGGCCTGTTTTTGTCCCGCGAACTCATTAAAAGACGGCTTAACATGATGAAAGCAGGGGAAAAAACGGCTCAAAGAATGTTAGGCATCGAATCGAAACGGAGGAGGGCGGAAATTTGTTGCTGGAGGCAAAAAGAAAATGCGCGATTATTTGCCGAGGAAAATTCGCCAGGTGTTCCTGTCTTCTTTTCCTTGCCACAACCCATCTCCACTCAAATCCTTCATCTCTAGGCGCTTTTGTGTCTTTTGCATGGTACATTTTGACTCATGAAATGATCATACTCGTTTAATTTTAAAAAAAAAGTTATTTTATCTACTTTTTTGATAGTGCTTCATTTTCCTGCTAACAAGGTTTAGAGAAAATAGATACAACGAAGAATTTTTATTTATTACTAACTTACTGAAATTCGCTTTGACTCTAACTTACTGAAATTCGTTTGGCTCGAAATAGTTTGATCGCAGAGAGATTGGCTCCAAGCGTAAGGATTGCGGCGCATTCATTAAAAAAGAGCGCCCGACTTTGAAGCGACTTGCGCGCGCTGGCATTGAAAACCCTAGAAATACTCTTTTTCTGATGAGATAACAACATTTCAAGTCAAACCGAATTAGTTTTATCTTTTTCCAAGTCCTAAACATTGACTTAATATTCCATTTTCCTAAGTCCTTTTTGAAATTTGTTTGTTATTTCAAGGTACTAGCTGTCTGATATTTTGATAGTTTGAAAACTTTGGCCAGAAAAAATTCGAAATCCTCATCGAGAATATTCTCAGAAAAAAAAAATTTGTTCCGAAAGTTTTCATTTTCCATCTCACTGAACAGTTTCTTTTTCTTCTATTCGGTAGTGAAGTTTTTCAACAAAAAAGTTACTTTTTGCTGTCAAAAATGTTTTGTACGGTTGTTTCTATCCACAAAGACGCCTTTTATTCGAGTTTTGTGGGATTGGAAATGGTTGAATGCAGAGTTCTGAGTTATTGTCCGAGTCAGGAACAATATTTCACTTTTTGCGGCAAGATACCCCCAAAAAACATTTTCAAGGACAACTTTTTTTTTGGCAAAGTGAACTAAACTTTGCCTCAAACCAAAAAAAAAAGACGAAGTGACGGCAATTATTTGGGGTTCGAGCCAAAATTGACGATGGCCGATCCGCTCAGTAACGCTTATTTGGCCTTTTCTTTGGCTTTTGGTTCCTTTGTAGCTGGTCATCTTTGTCTTTTTCGAATAAAAAAATAGTTTCGTGATTTTTGGACACTTTGTTGCCCTACATAAATTTTCCTTTGTAAACCGGTAACGAAAGGAGGTTTCTCCGTCTTTTTCTTTCGGTCGTAAAGTGATAATTTGATAGGATTGGCTTTTTCGGCACTTTCCCTTGCGTTTCGCAGATTTATCGTCCATTTTTTCCGCGTTTTTTGTCGTTAAATGTGGTTAATTCTGCTGATTGGTAGAGCTTTCGTGATTTCTCATCAACTCACTAGGTTATGTAAAACTTTGTGATCGAAGAGTAAGACTAACTTCATACTTGGCATGAGATGTAGTCACTCAGCGATAAAACACTGTAAAAAACAGTTTCTCAGTGAATCTTTTTTGGAAAAATCGGTGAACATTCTGTCAATCTACAACATATTTTGACTTATTTTTCGATCCTGCTTCTGTTCCTCGGCTTGAGTAAGGCCGGTCATCTTGTATTTTTTGTGTCTCTATCAAAAAAGAAAAAATATACACATAAAAATGAATCCTCTTTCAAATCTAGTTTGAATTCTCTGCATAATAGTGCCGAGGTTGTCCTCCTCAAACATAATGTCGTTGGCGAATGTCGCCAAAAAGTCGGTGATTCAGCCCTCCGCTCGACCTTTTTCGACAGTTTTGTCCTCATCGTGTGGAAAAAGGCCCTTTATCGCAACCTCCAATCTGCGCCTCGAACCTATTTTTTCAGTGATTTTCCGGCTGCGGTGGTTTATTTGTTCATTTTAGTGCCTCGCGACAAAGTTTTTATTTTATCCATGCCTCTCTTTGAGATCGAAGGTGAGAAGATTTTTTCAATGTTTTTGAAAAGAAGCCAATTTTGATTCTGATTTCAGAACCTTCTCGATAGAGACCAAAAAACTTGTTACAGGTACGAATAATTCAAAATCCTGAAAGTTTTTTTTCAAGAAGTCTTCAAAATCTCTTCCTCTTTCACAACTGTGAAAAAAGTGTCCTTTTTAGAAAATAGGAAATTTGGCAGGATTTTTTTAACATATCTAATATCATATACCCGTCCTTTGGACAACTCTAAAACAAACTCATCTCGTTACAAGTAAATTCTGAGAAAACCTGGCAGTTATAACTGAAATTTAACTCGTTTGATTATAGAAAAACTGAAAACTGTCCAAAAAAGTATATCTGTATGAATGTGAGAACTTCAATAACATAGAGAAAGAGATACTTGCAAACAAAAGAAGACGAAAAAAACGTGCAAAAATGTTACGAGAAAAGTTCGTGATGAGTCAGTGCATCGGACTCACTTTTTTCTTCTTTTTCTGCTCCTTTTTCTCTTGTATTCATGTTTTATCGTACTGTTTTTTGTTATTTCTAGTTAGATTTATATTTTTGAAGGAAAAAAATGAGAAGCATATTTCGACACCAGGAAGGTTTGACCACAAGTCAAAAGAACAATTTATGGAAAATCCGAGCTTTTCGAATAATTAGGGCTCTTAAAGTTTAGCACAAACCATGGATTGACGAGCGAATGTTTGCTCGGCAACTCAAAGGCAAGAACTGAGAGGTTCGGCCGTTTGATTACAAGAAGATGAAGCACCAAACGCCGGGTTTTCGAGTACATTGTTTACCAAAAACACATTTTCCGACGATGATTTGCGGATGAACAGTAGCGCCCGGACAACTCCGATCCCCTTTTGTTCTTTGTCGTTTTCAAATTTTCACTTCTGAAATCAACGTTTTGAGCAGGTAGTTGCTGTAGATTGTCTAGCGTTCACATTATGGTCAACGTTCGAGTTTTTCTAAAGATTTTATTTGCGAGAAAAACATTTTGAGATTTGCTCATCTTTTTTCTTTAGAATAAATCGAATCCCAACAAAAGTCTCGATATCATTAAATGTATTATGAGAACATACTTTTTACAAATGTGTATTAACGATATTCCAGAAATAGAGCAGTTAATCATTAAAAAATCATATTTTTTCATACATATTATGACTGAAACCTACTTTATTCAGCTTTTTAAGTCCCACGTTTTTTTCTCGGCTTTTCAATTTATTATTTATTGATTTTTTTGCTTGCATTGCTTTTAAAGTTATAGCCGTTCGTCGCAAAGTCATAGAGAAAAAATTCTCGATTATTTAAATTTTTGAGCTTCACAGATAATCGTCATAAAAACCATCACATTCTGAAATTTCTGAAGCTTCTAACTCTCGCTTATCAGTAAATGTTTCAGAAGGCTTGTTTCCGATCGACTTGGTGGCCGTACAGAAGGACCACGAGTTTCTCGGAACAGACTCTCTTCGAGCTCTCTACCGCCGTCTCGACACTCTCAACCGATGTGCCATCATGAAGGTCGATAACGTCGTCATGCGCAGACGGGTTCGTTTTCGGACAAAATCTTCTCATGAGTCATCTTTAACAGTAAAGCTCATATCCGCTCCCAGGTTGTCACGGTTTCTTTTCTGCCAAAAAACCGTATACCAAAATGGATCGAATCTAACCATTTTTCGTTTCAAGACCTTTGGATTTTGTTGTCTTTTTGCAATTTTGTAGAGTAGAGTTGCAGAAAAGCTGTTTTTACAGTAGCTTTTTTTCTTCTTTCAAAACGTTACCGTCTCTCGCGGAACGCACTATATCTAGAGCAAAAATTCAGCCAACTTTGGAAATTCTGTGGGTGTTCATTGCACACTTTCTTTTCCACAACTTGAAACGTTTTTGTCGCACTTGGAATGGCGTACTTAGAGCTCGGATGCCACCGATCCCAGACCTGAAACTACTTACGCGCGAAGCACCAGAACAGGCTCATCATAGTCAACTTTGATGTAGAATGATTTGAACCCAAAGAGAAAAAAAGCCATTCCCTGTGCGACCATCGCGTCTCAATTTGTCTTGAAATACCCACTAATTATTTTTTAAAAACTAGAATGTTTCATCACCCATCACTGAGAGTGCATTCGACGAACTTTAAAACGAGCTTTTTCTTGCAGAATGATGACTATCGTTACGCCGGCTTCGACGAGGACGACCATGTAATTTTACTTTTTTTTTCATCAAAATAATCACATATTACCCAAAAATGATACCTCTCAATTCGACGAAAAGGTTGAAGTCCGTGGAGGAGTTTTTCATGACGTCGTTTGATGTATTTGTTTTCGATCGCTTCCCTTTGTGTTTAATATTTTTGATTCGACTTCAATTGATCTTCTTTTTTTTCTCAAGAACTCAAGAAACCTTCTATTTGTTTCAGAGAAAAAATTCTATTTCATTTTTTGAACAAAAGATTGGAAGTTTCATCCTAATCAGAATGTATCTTGGGTGGGATAATAAGCAGGACTAGCCTATTAAAAGTAAATTTAAAAAAAATGAAAAATAATAAGTCTTACCGTTCGGTTTTATAGGCGATTTTGAAGACGTTATTTTTCAAATTTTTGAGGTCTTGAATAACAGAGAGTGACCTACACTTCTACTAGTTCAACGCAGCTTCATTAGTTTTTTCAAAGTTATCTTTTTCGGAAAGCCCTTGAAGCCCTAAGAATTTCTCTGCGGCGCTCAGCTAATGTCAAAATAGCGACGCAATATCTGCAAGGTGATAACGAGCGATCTCACGGCCGATCCATCAATTTGCCGCGTCGAATCATCACCAAGTTCTCATTTCCGCTCCTTCTTTTAATGGTTAACGCCTTTGGGGCGTCAGAAAACGACTGTTCCGCATTGAGACTAAATCGAAGAAAAGACTTCTCAGAAGATTTTTCGACAATTCAAGTAAACTGTTTCATGTCGATCATTTAAAAAAAAATGCGAATTGAATATTATTTTACTAGTTTGAAACCATGCCCTAAAACACTGGAATAATAATGATTCAACACTTAACGGTTGCACTGCGGCTCGATTGAATTATCGGAAGACTTCCTCAAATAAGATTCAAGTATGAAAGATTTTTTAGGTACAAAAGCTCGAAAAACAAACGTTTTTGCTTATTTGAAGACCAATAACTAAAAATAATAAAACAGTTCTCAAATTTTTCTGCCAGTCTATAGCTTCTTACTCAGCTACAAAACCAAACAATTTTAACGTCCTTAGTTCAAAAAAACCTAAAAAAAGAGGCGTGCCTTGACACTTTTATTCTTCATAAGAAAACTTTCAAATTATTATTTTTTGCTTCGATTAAGCTCAAAGCTTGGAAAAAAGGAAATTGGCGCTTTTTTGGAAAGGATCTGAAGCCAAGTAGGTAATGAAGCGTATGGAGACCCGCTTCCTATCTGTTACGCCGTGATTAATGAAGTCGTCCTGGTAGGGAAGTTTATCGGAATCTATTTACGCGGGTTAGCCTTCATAACTTCCCGTTTGCGCTCTGTGCGGCCTTTTCTTCTTCTCAGTTTTCATCGAAAAAACAGAAAATTCCCATGTTTTTATGCTGATAAGATAATCTGTGTTGATTACCAGTCCAGAAGGAACTGTGTTTGTGTTTTGTAGACGCATATCTTTCAAGTTTTTGGATTTGCTGTGTGGATAAAGCAAAGAAGGCAGATGGATGGGAAAAAGAGGAAAAAAACGCTAATATGAACTGTCGTTTTGGGAATCGCGCCGACTAATGTGTTTGCGTTCTTGTCTTTTCTTTCGGTCCGACTGTCCATTTTGCTTATATCCGCCGCACATTTCCACCCACTTTTCGTATCGATTCAGGCCATTTTTTCGCTTTGAAATTGATAGCCAAAGCCGAGCCAATTTCAGTACGTAAGAAATTTTTCTATATAGTAGAGATACAGTTGAAAAAATTCGATTGAGGCAATTTTTTTTTTTTCGAAGCTCCAGAAACTTACAAATTTTTGATCAGGATGGAAGTTCTGCAGAAATTTGAAAAAAAAAGTCTTTTAAGGTTTTTCCATTTTTTTCTTTGGGCTTTCCGTTAAAGTTTTATGTCGTTACGCGAGTCATTTTTGGTCGGGTGCAACTTCTGGCCAGCCTTCATTCTTAGCCATTCTCTAGGCGATAAATGTATTTGAAGTCAGGCGAAATCGCAAAAAAGCCAATTTGTTCACTCCGAAATTTAAGAGTTTCAAAGTTTTGGACAAAAAAATAAGATGATTTTCGAAGGCGTAGGGCGGGGCTTAAAAACCTGGACGCTATGAGAAATTAGCATGTTTCGAAGTTGATTTCAATTCTGGCTCCGCCTCATTTTTTCAGATCTCCCTTCTAAATCTCTATAGTAGTTCATAAATTCTAAAGTGATTTTTGAAGTTTATCATGCTCCTGTCTTTTGATTGAGATACTTCTTTAGGATTAACTACCTACTTTTTTCTTGAATCAATTTTGGTCTTCAAACTCGAAGTTTTCGATTCCAGGTGGCCTTATCCGGCAACTGGCAGTACCAACGACAGTCCCACACTTGGTCTCGCGTCCCGGCCAACGAGCCGATTTACGGCGCCCACGGACAACTCGTCTCTACCAAACCCAACTACCAGCCTTACATGGAACGGTTCGTTTTCCGTTTTATTTCAGAAATCGGTGTAAGATTGCTTCGACCATGAAAATGAGGTCAAGTTTCAAGAAAGTATGTTTTGATGAAATTTTTTGAGTTTCAATTTTTTTTTGCCAAAAAATTCCATAGAAGTGTTCAAATTTTATATATTCGAAGCTTCCCGACTAGCATTATTACAGCGAAAAATTAAAAGTAGTTCAAAAAAAACGGAATGAATATCATTGGAAGATAAAGATAATACCGTCAGTTTTTAGTTAAGTCTTATATTGCATCAGGGACGGTAAATAAAAATGAACTCTAACCTTGGATTAGGAGTCATAAAAATTGCGTCCATTACTCTTTCAAGAGGAAAAAAGCCATTTTGAATGCGTAGGAAGTGAAAAGCGAACAAAAATTCTTAAAAGCTCTTGCTTTTTTTTTTATAGGAGTCTTTTTATAATTCAGAGCATCTCAGCGAAGATTTTCGAACTGTAACTTGAAAAATGTGACCGTCTGATTTGCAAAACTGAGAAAGCCTGTTCTAAATGCGCAAGGAAAGTTTTCGCCAAAATATAGTTTCTAGGAGATGTACCTTGATTTTAAAAAACAATGGTTTTTCTTCCGCTAAGAATAAATGTGACCACCTGACCTGCAAAAAAAAAAGCCATTCCAAACTCGACTTGGAGGTAATCAAGTCCAGACGAACGACAGTTTCTATAAATCATTTGACAGGGCTTTCTTGAGAAGAAGTTTTGGTTAGTTTACGGCGAAATGGTGGGTGTGTGCCTGCCAATAGGTTGAAATAAATCACGGACTCATGTGCTCCAACGAACCCAATCCATGCCGTTCTCTTTTCCAAAAGATCCGATGATCCGGTGTCGGTTCGGCTGTTTTGTCGTTGACGCTTGTTCGTTTGTGACGCCGTGATTTGACGTGATTTGATAAGGAGTTGGATCGTCGGCCAAATTCCTTCTCTCTTTCCTTTTTTTTTCCTTTTTTTGTTTGATTCTTTCGTCGTCGACGTGGTTCTCCACTCGCTGACGCGTCGACTTCCGATCGACGCCTTTTCTTCTGATTCTATTGACTTTTTGTGAACAACTCTCTCGTTAGGTTATTCTGGTCTTGAGATTTTTTGACGTTTTTTGCGCTCCTTTTGAGATTTCCATCATTTTTCTGCGGACCTTGTTACACGGTCCGGACGCAAATCGTGAACTTCTGGTGACCATTTAATAGTTCTGACGCTACTAAAGTGGTCACTAGAAATGCCCCTACACGTCCGATTCGTGTTACTGTGGTCCGAAGAGTTAGCAATTTGAACAGAATGCCTTTTATTCTTTGTTTTTCTATACTGCGTATCGTTAATGAGGCGAAATTTTAACCTTAAAAAACTGTAAAGAAGAAGTTTTCCTAATTTTTTGTTGTGGAAAGTATATTGTAGAACCACTGAAAATTCAAGAAACCAAAAACCTCCACGAGAAAGGATGAAAATTAACTTTTTATTGAAGAAAATCTCGAGCCTGAGTTTCGAATTCTCTACCCTCCAATTGAACGTTCTTTTGACGAACTAATTAGCCATTTTTGGAAAACTGGTTTTCTGATAGTTGGTTCTAATGGTTCGAACTTTCAGTTTGGTATCTTTTCAGACTTTCAAACCATTCCATTCTTTCTTTTTTTTTGAAATTCCTTCTTTCAAAAACTTTTTGACCTTTAAAAAACAATATTATTTCAACAGCAATTTTTCTGGACCCTAGGGAATTCTTTAAAAAAATAATTTTTTATTGCTCTCAATCTATTTTCGCTCAAATGTTGCTACCAGACTAATCATAAAACCCTGACTCAGTTTTTCCTTTGTGCCAAGATATTTTTTTCGTTTTCCCTCACTCATTAGCTTAATAAGTACATTGGATGGGATTCTCATCAATTTCATGGATACAAAATGGTACCTAGATTAATTCTTTGTCTGAGCCAGCCAAGTACGTAATTAATCAACGTGTTTGCAGGCATCCTGGCGGCTCGGATCGCCTTGTGACCAGGACTAACTGGTACGAGGCTCCACTTGACGCGCGCCACGAACCACACATTGGGTTGGTTTTTTTTCCCCCAAGATTCTGCGATGAAATCGAAAACAATCAGAACATCTGTTTCGAGATACGTCCGAAATAACTTTTTAAGTGGAGCCATCATTTCAGATGTTTTTTAGGAACAAAAAAGTAAATAAAATATCGGGGAGTATCACGTTTCCACAAATATATTTACATCGGAATCGTAGGAAATCAATCTGTCTGGGTCTTTAATTTCCTCTTAATAATATCGTTCCAGAACTAATCCTGCGAGTCAACCATTCTTGGGTGTAGACTTATTCTGACCATTTTGTGACTAGACTTCAAAATTTAAAAGTTCTGAAATAATGTTTCTCATGCAAAAATGTTTCGATAACGTTTTGGAATATATTGAGAAGACGGCTCTGTTTATCTCAAACAGTACAGAGGGAAAAAAATTGCACAGGATTTGAAACTCTTTTCGCATCTAGAATGGCTTAATGCGTTGCGGTCGCGCCGCGCGATCCAATTTTATTTTTTACCTTGCGTTTTGAATGTATTTACCTCGTAGAGTTTGGATACTGACATGCGCGAAGCGTCTTATGGTCCGATGAACTTCAAAAAATATCCGCAGCTGTTACGGATTGAACCATTTCGAATGCGATTGCAGCTTTATTTTGCTAATTTTTTAATTGTTTGACAGAGAAAATTTTGAGATGCTATAAGTGTTTTACCATTATGAATTCAAAAAAACTGAATGTAAGTCCGAAAAGATTCATGATTTCTTTGACAATCAAGTTTTTTTTTTTGTTTTCTGAGATCTAATGGTGTTTTGAAGTCTGAAATCATCCGTAGCCATGATGTATCTAGAATAACTCTTGATGTTTGGCATCAGTTTCCGTAAAAAGAAACGCGCGTTCCTCTTTTTTTTTTCCAGATGCTCTACGCCTTAATTTGAGGGTTTACTCATCGAAAATCTTTCTCTCGTTTCTCCCATTATCCGTCTCGTCTCACAGAAAAATGTTTTTCTTCCCAAGAACGTCAGCTTCTTCTCCCTTAGATTCGATAAATAGAAACAGAATGACGTTTTAGTCGAGATTTCCAATGAAGTTGTTTATTTTTGGGTAGTACTCCGTCTAATTTGGATTATTAGGTTTGTAGAATAATGGTTTTTCTATCAATATTCTCACGGTCAGTCTCGAACTAATTAATAAGTTCAGGTTTAAACTAATTTTGCATTTCTGAAAGAGAAAGGAGTTCTAAAAAATTATCTTAGTTGAACTAGGTTCTCAGGTTCGATTTTGAAAAAAAATCTTCGAATTGAATTAGAAGAATAAAAAAAGCCTGGAAGAGCCGACTTCCTAAAAATTTTCCGACTTCTTCGTTCTCAAATGAATCAGTGGTTTCAGTCAGTCGACGAGCAACGTCGCCGAGACCAACGGTTCGCCGACGTCCTCACTGACGCCGTCGGCGAACGGCGTCAACAGCAAACTTCAGCGATCGCAGAGCGAGAGAATCCGCGAAAGAGCTCGAGCCATCATGAAAAAGATGGACCTCCGTTCTAATAGCAGGTCAATATTTCAGACATTTTCAGAAATAACAAGGGGAAAAAATTCTCATTTTGGCTCAATGTTCGGGTTTCGCAAAGGTTTTCCCTAATTTTAGCGAGTCTCATAATTGGAAGACATTACTGTAGTTGGGCCAGCAAGACTTGATGAGGTCGAAAAAAAGTTTAAAGAATTTTTTATATTGATATGGGATCTAGGGAAAATTAGGTCCGGCTCAATCTCAATGAAACGTATACTTTCCGCGACTTTGATTACAAGACGAAGCATTTTCTTGATTTTTGCCAGCTTTTTCCAATTTCAACGGCTCATTTCCTACCAGCCGACCTAACGGCCCGAGCACGTGAAGCTATTTTTGCCTTGGCGAACGGCTCATTGACGCTTTTTCGGTGGCAAAATTGGCCCCGGGCTTATTGCCTTCGTTTATATTTGCACACGGCAAGACGTCACACCAGACGGCGAACGTATTTTTTGGGGGGCGGAGTCCTGTTTTTTTTTTCTTCTGTCCTTTTTTGGCTTCTTCCTCGAGATCTTTATTTCGTTTCTGGGCCTCGAAAATCGTCGCTGCGTTTTCTTTATAGTTGAGAATGATGATCAAGTTCTTTTTTTTTCTCTTTGTAGCTTGACTATAGTCTGATTCTGTCTTTTCTGAGCTAGGAAGCCAATAAAAGGTCAGAATCGGTTTCGGCCTTTTTTGGCTTCTTCTTCGAGATCTTAATCTCATTTTGAAGTTTCAAGTATCATTAGCCATTTTTAGGACCTCGGAAGCTTTTTTTGAATTTTTTTCAAGGTGTACAAAAATTGCGTTTTCAAGGGCTATTTCATTTTGAGAATTCCCATTTTGAGAATTCCTATCTGAATTTCAAGTCTGTAGCAAAATGTTTCTTTTTATTTTCTAGCTTTGAAAATTGATCCTCAACGATTCTCAAAAAAATAAAACTTCATTCTAATAGAATGATTTTTTTCAAATTTTTTGAGCTTTGAGAAAATATTTCGTTTAAGCAAAATGAAAGGGGAAAGAGCTCCTCGGGAATTTCAATCAGAATTGGCTTGAATTTTTTTTAAAGTGTGATGTGAGTTTTAAAAATTTTTTCAAATAGCATAGGAAGATTCTCAGAGACGCATATCAAATTTTTCCCTCCAAAATGAGTTCAAAATTTCTTTCTATTTTTGAGGACATGCTTTTTGGGAACGTTTGCTCTCGGCCTTATTCAGTTATCAAATACGAGCCCAGCCCACATTTATTCCAAAACGCACACAGCACAGAGGAAATGGACTGCAATTTTTTTTCCTCGTTCCTTGGACAAACAGAGAAAATGCTGACTCAACTTTAGTTCTCCCAGGAATTTTAGTGCCACTTCTCATCTTTCGTGTTGTTTTATTCAAATTCCCTGTTTAAACTATGCTTTTTGACATAAATCGCTTACGAATGTTGCATCAAGTGGAGGCAGATGCGTCGCCAAGGCCGTTTCAAGCCTCTTGATTGCCTTTTTTGGAGAAACCAAACCACATTTCCTTTTTATGGCCACTTTTTTTAAGATTGAAATGGTTTTGTTCCATTTATAGTTTTCACCAGAGTCGATCTTGTTTCGCAAAACACAACGGCTAAACAATTATTTTTCTAGTTAGTCAGACTTTTTCAACAGTTCCAAACCGTTTATTCAGTGACTCAGTGGAGAACAAATAGCAAAAATAAAAATTTCTGGCTGGAAAAACGTCAAATTCGGTCTTTTTTGAACGAAGGGTGTGTATATCAAATTTTTCAATTTGAAATTTTGCAGAAGACGGAAAGAATCGCGCCAAAGAGAAACAAATCACCCTCTGGTTATTGGCGACCCCGTACTTTTGTCCTATGACTCTGCGTCTCCAGAATCGATGCGTATGATCCAGAGTGCACGTCCCAACAATCTCGCAGGTAGAAAATATTTCACAACAATACTTTCAGCATTTTTAGCGTGGTCGACTTCCGTTCCAAATAGAAAAGTTAACATTCAATCGAATATACACGAAAAAAGTTCCATAATCAGTTTTTCAACATATTTGATCGTCTTTTTTCTAGCGAAATCGGCATGGTATTTTGAATTAAAACATTTGTTTACTCAGTTAGAAACTTCTCTCAATCAATTATTTACTAATCAAACAGCTTCCTTTATCCGTCTATCTACCTTACTGTAACATGAGCAACCTCTCTATCCTAAAATGTCGAAGACTCTTTTGTGTGAACCTTTTTTCCATAACCCGCCGCCGGTTTCAGAGCGAGGCCGGCCGTTCTACCCGACCTCGTCGACCTATGGACCCTCGACGCTCCAGCCGCGGAGCAAGTCCGCACGAAGACAGGGCATGGTCATGCTGACGCCCTCATCACCGGAGTCGTCGTCCGCCGACGACTCGTTCATGTCGGCGACGACGTCCTCCTCGGCCAGCCATCGCCGACGCGACTGCAGCATGCCGCCGCCGTCGGCTCGCGGCTCCGTCTACAACGACTTCCATCACAATCGTATGCAGCTGCCCAAGCAGCACACCTACGACTATGGCGACACCGTCGGCTCTTCGGCGTCAACGCGTCGACAGCGCACTCCTTTCGACGCTTACCTCTATCCCGGCAGTCCTAACTCTCTCAATAGGTACTTTATTTTTGACGACTCTGACAGCAGGAATGAGCAAAAGATGTATGAATATCTGGCCATTTTTGATAAGAAATTTGTAGAATTTAAATGAGTAGGATATTCATCATCATTTTAGAAGCAGATTATAAATGTCCCATTGAATTACTTCACTAGGTTTTTTTATTAGGTCAAAACTCGAGTAAATAGTAAGTTTCTGCTTTGCTGAAGAAAAAAAAAATGTTTTTAGACAAAAAAATTGCAAAAAAATTAGTTAGATGAGGCTTTTTTGCTTTTTTGAAAGGATTATTTTTTCTTAAGTCCAATTTTGCCAGCCGAAAGCTTAATTATCCAGTACCCTCCACACCACTTTCAGCTTGGATTAGTAGGCAGAATGATAAACTGTCCCACCTCTCCTTTCTTAACGGAATTTCCCTCTTTAACCCTCCGAAAATTGCAGATCGATGGGCAGATCCAACAACCCCACGACGCCCTCCAGTGTTCGACTTCCCAGGAGTTCCCATCATTACGAACCTTCCTACTATGCCAGAGACGGTCCTTACTCGAGCGGCTATCGCGTCCAGTCGCAAGCCCCGCCTCCGGCTCCCAATTCGTCGGCCACGCCTCCAACGGCTCACAATCTGATTATCCAGCCTGATGGATATTATCTGCATGGTCAGCTTGGTGTGATCATTAACATGCTTCAATAGCAACACGGTTACAAAAAATGACCCTGAAAATAGTTATCAGTTTTAAAACAAGTTTCCAAGTATTTGGACTGGTTTCGAAACGAGTATCCATTACGGAAAAACATAGAAAGGAGAAAATTTGAAAGAAGAAGGAAGAATTTTGTTCAGATCTTTCGCCTGAACTGCGGCAGCGCCGAACGGTCGACACCAGGTTGGACTCGCCGTCGACCTCACACTCGAGTCATCTCAAGGTGGATACTCAGAAGGTCCATTTCTATACCAGAACCAAAATCTGTTCAAAAAACCTTTTCTTGGCTGTTTGGAGGAGCTAGAAAAGTTTTGTGAATTTTCCGTAGCAAAGAGTTTTTAAGCCCTAAAATCATGTCAGATTACTACTTCTTTGAGATTGGAGAAAATAATTTTTTTTTCTGAGGAAAGAGAACTTTATTTTTGGAACTTCAGAGCGAATCAAGCGTTGAGCATACCGATGAAGAGGCGCTCTCCTCAACTTTGCATCGGCGACGCGATTCTGGCGTCGGATCCTCGCTTTCCCGGTCTCCTAGGTAAATCCTAAGATCAAAAATCTGTACGATTCCTTTTCTTTTTGATATCTTACTGATCTTTTTTTTGACAAATTCTATCCATGAGTCAAGTGAAATACTTATCTATTTTATTCTGTTCAGCTCAAAATTTTCTTACAGCGGTCCATCAGCTCAAAGAGTCCGACAGTCGGTTCTTCCCTACACCTCGCCGCTTTCCTCAATCATCCATTCGGCCAATTCTTCCACCACTGGAACTTGGCAAAACGGCAAGAAACGGTTCAATGAACGCAACAACATGTCTTCTTCATTGGCTTCAAGGTAAATTATCGATCTTTTCTTCGAGAGAAACAAAGTTTCATCTTTTTTGTTCCGCCAAACAATAACACCATTCAGTTGGGGGCAGAAGAAACGCTTCCGCTTTTGATTTTCCGACTTGTGGAACAAAAAACCATCTTTCTTTTTCAGTACCACGAGCGCCGACGAGTCTTTCTTCACCGACGTCGAAATGTCGCGGTGCATCGACTCGCTCAGCATCATTGAACTTGTTCGTTTTTTTTTTCTGTTTGATTAGGATCATTCTCCAGGTATTTTCGGTTTGCAAAACTTTGAGAGAATGAGAAAAATCCTAAACCCTCTTGAAAGTGTAAGTTAATAAATATTTTGGATTTATTATCTCCTGAGCCGTTATCGACTGAATTTGTTAAGTTAAAAAGTCAGCTTCAATATGTCAAGCTTTTTTTTTACCTATTTCAATGTGGAGGTTGAAAAAAGGCTCTTGAGTTTCGCCAGAAAAGAACACTGAATCTTGAAGACCGTAGTGTTTCAAATAGGCTACACGTTTGGGTTGAAAATTATTTTCAAGTTTTACTTTTTTATTGATTTTAAATATTAAGATGGAAAAATGTTATTAATTTGACAAAACCTTTAGAAATTCCGTTTTTTTCAGACTAGAACGCGAAAGTTGGCCTATCTCCGAGTGACCGCCGCCCTGGAAAAAGCCATGGGAGCCGGCGGAATGAAGCTGAACGGCGTCTTCGCCGCGGCCGACCACGCCGCTGCCGCCGCTGGAGCTATTCCCAATGGCACCAGCAAGCACTGGAGCGTCCAGAAGTTCATCAAGAAGATCAAGAACGGCGAGGTCAAGACCATCAAGGGCGAGTTTTTTCATCTCTACATGTTTTGCCGTAAAAAGGACATCTTCAAGGAGGAGAATCATGTCTAAGATGTCCAACTTTTCAGATAATGACGACACGTCTGTATTTGGAGTTTCACTGGAGACAATCTCGCGAAGGACCGGCCTTTGCCTTCCCAGAAGCATCCTGGAGGTCCTCATCGCTAACTTCATCTTTTATTTTAATTTTTCAACTTCAGGTTCTCCGATATTTGCGACAAATGGCCCCAGAAACTGTGGGAATCTTCCGCAAAAATGGCGTCAAATCGCGAATTGCCGAACTCCGCGCGATTTGCGACCGCGACTCTGACGGCGACGTCTTCGTCGACGAGAATCGCTTGGACTCGGGACAGGTTTTTCTGGTCTTCCAAAACCCGAAAATCCATTGTTTTGCCAGGTTCACGACGTCGCCGACCTCTTGAAGCAGTACTTGAGGGAGCTTCCTGAGCCTCTGATGACGGTCCGTTGTTCAGAGATCTTCGCCAACATCTTCCTGCACGTTCCTGAAGTCGAAAGGTTTCTGAAGGGTTTTCGAACATTTTCGAAATGATAATTTTAGACTTACTACGATCCAATACGCGCTCCTTTTACTGCCGGATGAAAACAGGGAAGCCATCCAGACACTTCTTCTTTTCCTGCACGACGTCGACAAGTTCAACGACATCAACAATGTAAATATAACATAATAGTTTCTAGATGGACATTTTTTTGAAATCGGTTTTTTTACAGGTCTTATATATTTGTTTTCTATTTTTAAAATTTAGTTTTTTTGTTTGAAACAAGAGAAAAAAATTGCGAAGAATGGACTATTCTCAAAGTTTGCTCAAGGATTTCCATATTTGGTTTACGAAAATGTGTTCAATTACGGTATAGTTTATTTTTTTAAATTAATTTTTTTCAAGCCAATTTTTTTACATGAACGACTTCAGATGCCGGCCCGAAACTTGGCCGTTTGCTTCACGCCGTCGCTTTTCCAGTTGAGTGCTTCGCGTCTTGACAAAGTGTCATCTACTCGGTAGTTTCATCCAGATTATTAGATTATATGGATGTTTCCCAGGCGCCACAAGACGATCGGAGCCTCCGGAATGCCGACCGAACGAGAAATGAAGGAGACGAGGGCCTGTCAGGAGTGTTTGAGCATGATGATCACCTACGCCAGAACCATCTTCATGGTTCCCGACGCGATAGAGGATCGGTGAGTGCGGAAAAAGTATCAGAAGTCAAAAACGTAGCACTGTTAAAATAGGTCTATGAAATTGATTTGATCATTTTAACTTTCAAAGTTTCTAACTTTTTTCAATTACTGTATCGAATAATCCAAAAAACGATCAATAGATGGGCAATTCATAAAAAAAAATTACAGCGCTGACTTCGAAGACGACGTTCCTGCCTTAAAGGACCTCGGTCTAAAAGGCCCTCGGTCGTTCCTGATCGACAGAGTTCTCGATATGGTCAAGGTAAACGAGATCTGAGCCGTTCCTTATCATGAAGTTTGTTGTTAAAGGACCACGGGGACCGCTGGAAGTCGTGGACAGTGGAGGCGATGGTCGACGGCCTGGAGCTCTCCTCGAAGAAAGCCGTCGACAGCCATCCGCTGAAGACGTTGCGCGTCTGGGTCGACGTCGCCGCCCCTCCCAAGGAGGTCATGCAAAGAGTGATGAAGGAGCGGTGAGTAAAGCAACTTTCTCGAGTCATCTTCTCTTACTGTAGCCAGGTTACGGTAGGCACCTGCACATCTAAGGAATAAAAGGTTTTTTGTCGGTGAACTGTATATCAATCGATAGGTGATATGATTATAATATACCAGATTGAAATCAGTTTTCAAAAGAAAGAATTAAAAAAGGACCAGCATGAATTATATTATTATCTTCCTCAAGAATTCTGACTCCCTGTTTCAGCTCCGTCTGGGACACGTCGGTGGTCAACTGGAGGACCGTCGAGATGGTCAACGCTCCAGACACGGACATCCATCAATACGTCGTCAATGACACCGTCGGCCATCCTACGAGGGACTGCTTCCTCGTTAGGTTTGTTATTCGAGAGTTGGACTCAGCTAGAATACGAGTCTACTTCTAAATCTTCGAGCCTCCAATTTTCAAACCGTTCAGTAAAAATACACGCCTGCCTTAGGCTTAATCTTGGAAAAATTTCCTTTTCTGTAAAAAAATTATTTTTTTGTTCATGAATACAATTTTTTTCGAAGCCAACATAGCGTTTATACAAAAGACTTTACACATACTGTATCTATTATGATATATATATATATATTATAAAAATCATATATATATGATACGAAACCCTCTCTCATTGGCTTAGCATTGTTTTAACATGAACTTACAGATTCCACTCCTCCCAGCTGACCGAAATCCGAGGAGCATGCGCGATCGCGGAAAGAAGCGTGCAAAGTGCAGAGACGCAGCTTCTGGGCGGACTTCCGGCCACGGTTCTCGACCAGAGATTCCTCATCGAACCGAAATCTGGCCACTCAAGGGTCACCTACATCGCTAGAGTTGACCTCAAGTAAGTGCTAAATTTTGAAAAGAAAACTCGTGGGAAAGATTTTAAAGAATTCATAGAGAGCCGGTTTTTTTTTCAAATTTAAAGACGGTTATCTAACATGTTAATCCAATTTATCAGCTTTAATGCCGAGTTCCTTCATGTTTCACTTGTAGAAAAATTAATCGAAATAAACTTTCAGAGGCCGCAGTTATTCGTGGTACAGTCGTGTCTACGGACCGATGATGTGCCGTCAGATGGGCCGTCTTCGTGATTCTTTCCATTCCGACGACGCCGGACCTGAAACTAAAGTTTGAAACGATTCATTCAATCAATCAGTCATTTTGGCCATTCTTACCTTTCTGCCACGATTTCACGCTCCATACACGTTAGATCTTTCTTTTTCACTCACAATATTGAACAATACACGGGCCGAAATTCCCCTCAATGCTCACTATTTGCCTTTTTTGGAATCGAATAGTTCGATATTTCTTCTATGACGTCACTTCCCCACACCTACGCCTTCTTTTTTCGGTGCTAATTCATATTTTGATCTTTGTAACTTTACTTTGTTTTTTTCCTTGTAATATCGAAATATATAATCTTAAGACAGTGTACCGGTGAGATTCTAATAATTCATATCCGTAGCCGCCGGTTGTTGGATTAGTTATTGCGCTTTTTCAGCGACCATATGATTGCCCTTTTCATTGCATGACTTTTTTGAACACTTTGAATTGCTCCACTTTTTCTTCCTTTCTATTGGACTCTCATATCAGTTTTTTTCTTGTACTTTGATAGTTTTTTTTTAAATAAAAAAAGAGCCCGGTTTCTTGAGTCCAGGCTTTTTTATCAGCTATTTGATCAGCAAATTTGAATTCCTGTCTATTAAACTGCAACTTCACGCTCAAGTTCTCCAATTTGGGTTCTTTGAATAAATATTTATCAATTTGTCTAAAGGTTTCGTTATACGTGAAAGGTAAAACGAAATGTTCATATTTATTTCCCAGAGACTGTTTAATTTCCTAAAAGAAGATTTATGGTATTTATTGAAAAGAGAATTTCATGGAAAAAAATTCTTCAATGATTTTTAGAAATACTGATAATGACTTTTTGACACTAAGAATAACTGCCGAGATAAACGCGAGACGCTGACGGTACATTGACGAGCTCGCAAACATCTCGCTTTTTTTTCTCGCGCCGGTCTCGCATCTCTGGCGCCTCTGGCGCCATCTCTGGCAGCTGGCGCCGGTCTCGCGCCAGCTCGCACTTTTCTAGGCGCGAGCTCGCATTTCTCTCGCAATTTGAAAATTTTCTGAAATGCAAGATAAATGCGAGGTCGCGCCGAGAAAAATGCGAGATCGCGCCCAGAAAAAAGCGACATGTTTGCGAGTTCGTCAATGTACCGCCACCGACCTCGCGTTTATCTCGTCAGTTATTCTTAGTGGAAACTTTATGAAACGTTTAAAAAAATTGAAAATAAATATTGCGCGTAAAGTTTATTGCATCATGTGCATTCACGCCACACCACAAACAATGTGTCTTAAATTTTTTTAATTGGCTCAAATTTGAAAAAAATTATTTCTAGAAAATCCAAAAATTTTTTTAAAACACGAATTTCGCGAAAAAATTCACAGGCGTTCTAACTTCTTAGAACGTTAAAAAAAGTTAATTGAAAACAAATAAAATTTGCGCGTAAAGTTTATTGCATCGTGTGCATCCGCGCCACACCACAAGCAATGTATCTTACGTAAATTTTTAATTGGCTCGAATTTGAAAAATTATTTTTTGAAAAACTTGATTTTCTTTTTGAAGCACACGTGTGCACGAATTTTCACGAAAAATTTCACAGAAGTTTTTTCTTTCATTTTTTTAGTTAGTTTAATCTTTCTGGTTTCGAAAGCGCAAGTCAAAAAGTGTTCAAATTAAATAGAATAAAGATTTTTTTGAACAAACAACAAATGAAAAATTTAGTTTGTCTCTAAAGGAAGCTTTTTATGTAATTTTTCGAAACGTCGTCAGTCGAATTTTTTCATGTCATTGTTCTGATAAAGGTAATTGATAAGACCGCGACTTTTTATGATGCGATTTTTATGCAAATGCATTTTTTTTTCTGTCCGTTAAAGAATTTACTTTGCTACTTTTTCACTCAGCTTCATTGGAAGCAGTTTTTGATGATCTCACTCGTTTTTTTTAGGATGCCTCCCAAGAAGGCCGCAACACCAAAAGGTCCATCGAAACGGGAGCTAGCTAAAGGGAAACATGACGCGCTTCTGATTTTACTCGATTGTGGCAGAAACATGGCAGAAGCTTTCCCAGAGACAGAGTCTGGCAAAAGCAGAACTGCGTTCGAGATGGCCAAAGAAACGTTGGACTGGGTTATATCACGAAAGGTGGAAGGCGAATTGTCCCTCATTCCACAGAACAACTTTGTTTCCAGATATTCTCCGAATCACCAGATCGGATAGGGATAGTTCTGTTTGGAAGAGATTCAGCCGATTCTGAAGGCAATGTATACGTCCATAACGAAATCCTGGAGAAGGCGACTTTTGATAATTTGAAATTTTTGCAAAATGAAGTGACTGTCAGCACGGAGGCCAGAGGAGATGGTTAGTTTGTTTAGAAAATATAGCTGCTTGAGTTATTGATCTACTCGCCACAACAATGAAACCCGGCGATGAATTTCTTCTTCTTTACCGCTGTTTCCTAGGCTGATCAAACATTTAAAAACGGCTTTCTAGCAAGAAAAGAATTTGAATTTGGTCTTATAATCTTTATTCGATCATGTTTATAGTTGGTCATGGAATCACTTCGGCTCTGAATGTTTTGCGAGAGCACATAATCTGCCACGAGCAATTTGTGGATGCTCGGAATCTTCTAATCGTCACAAACGGCCATTCCGACAAAGAGCAACTCGAAATTTATGTTTCTGAATTCGGCAGTTCGATTAACGATTTAGGCATCAATTTAGCGATTGTGTGAGTTTTTATGATATTTAAACGGCCTATTCCGATTTTCCAGGGGCATTTCCGGTTCAAATAAAGATGGAGAAGAAGATTGTCTTCTTGAATTGGTCAAAGACACCGGCGGCTCCACATTCTCTTTCGAGTTGGTGTTTTTCAAACTTTTGAAAGGGTTGAATAGTGTTTTAGAAACCTTACCAAGGCTCTTTCTCACTTTGTACCTAAGCAAGCTGATACAAGATTAAACAATAAACAGTGGGAGGTTCGAGAAAGTGTTGGAAAGCTTCCTCATTTTTTTTTTAGATTGCTCCCGGAATCCGGCTACCACTGGCAATGTCCGTGAAGTCTTTCCAAGCCAAAACCAAATTGAAATCTCAGCTTGTCAGTTCGTCTGGGCAGAAGGTAGAGTAGTTTTCAGGTTTTTTCTAAAATATCTAATCTCAGGTTGCTCGGATGGTCGAGACGACAGTTTTGGGCGACAACGAACCCGAGACAGAAGATTTGGCAATGGTTTATTTTTTATAATTTTTGTATCTGAGGCTGCGTTGCTAGTGATGAAATGAAAATTGCTAATTTTCAAAACTTCTGTCGAGTTGCGAAAAGAAATAATGTAAAGTATTGAAAAAAAAATTTTTTTAAGGTATATGCCTTGAAGTTATTGGTACTTCTTGCTGAGAACTTTTTAAAAACATTTTCTTCTTTTTCATAATTTTCTCAAATGTTTTAGAACCGTAATTTCAACTTTGAAACTGTTTCAGAGCGTTCCTCTGGACAGCCAATCTGGAAGAAATACTCAAACTTTCGCATCTCCAAAACGTCGCGGAGGCGACGAATTCATAGACGACGATGATGATTTCTTCGAGAAAAAGCCCAAAATCGACGCTTTCGCCAAGGATGAACTATGCACCGGTTATCAAATCCAGTTGTATACTTGAAAGTAGAAAATTCCAGGCTACTTTTTCGGCCAGAGCTTGCTTTTCTTCGACGAAGAGGAGGAAGCCGCCTACAATCATCACAATTTAAACGAAGGCGAGAAAGGCGGCTGCATGAAGCTGATCCAGTTCACGAAACGACAAAATGTTTGTGAAAAAGATATTCTTGAAGAAAATCTGGATTTTCTTGAAGATTTTGCCCGGATACTTTATCGGGAAGCAATCGTACACGGTAATGCCTGGCGTCAACAAGCAGACTTCTAACTCACCGGTACTTTTTTATGGGTTTTCGGCATTATAGATTTTAGAGATCTTTGAAAAGAAAAAAATTAAATCGATCGGTTTTTAAGGAGTTGAAGATTTGAACAAGGATGAGTGGGAATGAACAATTTTCCCATAATTCCAGAACCTCTCTCGCTCCACGTTGGCCTTGATCAAGGCGATGTTGGAGAACGAAGCCGTGGCGATCTGTCGCTACGCCTACGACGCCAGCAAACATCTCCAGCTGCTCGCCTTGATCCCTCACGTCGACGAAGAGTCCGGAATTCCGGTGACATCTTTTTGATCGAAATGTTTGAGAATGTTCACTCTTGACAGTTTCTTCGAGCTCTTCGGCTTCCGTTTGCCGATGACATGCGAAATCTCAAATTCCCCCGACTTGATGCAAATCTAAACTTAGAAGAAGAAGAAGAAACTGGAAAAAAAGATAAGAACTCCCAGTTTCTGGACTATGATACGAAGCCTACGGGTACAGTTCTTCTGTATTGTAAATCGAAGTTTCAATTTTTAGCTAGTCAGTTGACGTCAGTAGATGGTCTCATTGATCTCATGGCTTTAAGTGGGGAATCTGGGTGAGAGAATTGCAAAAATATCTTTAGGTGCCTTTTTTTAGAACCGATTTCGCCTCCGGAACGGTTCTCGACCCTCATTTGCAGCTTCAATGTCTTTATGTGAAAAATCATGTTCTCAATGGCGACCGTAATTTATTTTTTTCTTTTCAAGTATTGATTTGAACCGTTAAGAAGATGATTTCTCGAACGATCAAAGCGTTGCGGCTTCGGCAGTTCTCAAAAAGAGTCTGGCTCCGAAAATGGATGTCGTTGAGAAATCTGGGTAAAATACTTCAAGATTTCCCTGAAAATAAATTTTCAAATTTCAGAAAGTTTTTCAACAAGTTCGCCACGGAATTCAACCTGCAAAAGGTGGAAAAAGTGACGAGGCAAAAGGTCGAAATGGCGCCAATCGACATAAAAGCCAAGATCGAAGAGGCTCGCAACATTCTCAAGGTATTCTTGGTGAATCAAAAAATTAATTTATTGGTCCTTTTTTTGTGTTGGGCATCTGTGATTCGAAAACTTCTATACTGAGATTTGGAATATTAGTTTTTAAGAATATTCTTTTTGAACTATATTTTGAAGCTCTGAAGTTCTAATTTTGGATTTAAAAAGAAGTTCAGGTGTTAGTTTTATTTCAAATTGGAAGGCTGAAGTTTTCAGAATATTAATCTGATACATCACAGGGTTTAGGTTGAGATACGAAAATATTATAGAGTTCTTAGTAGAATATAAAGCTTGAGAAAATTGAAAAGTCAAAGAATGAAAGAAAAAGAAATTTACAAATGTGCTGTCGTTTCGGGTCTTGAAAGTTTACACTAGTCGTTTAAAAGAAACTGGATTGAATTAAGAAATTTCGATGGAATAAAAGAATTTTTCAGCTCTCCGTAGAAAGTAATTTCAGACGACTGCTGTCTCGGATTCGAGCTCCGGCAAGCTGAAAAAGCCGAAGGAGACGCCGGAAGAGAAACTGGAACGAGAGTTCGGAGAAAATCCGGAGGAAGCGGCGATGAACGCCTGCGAGGAACACGTCAGAGCCATCACGGCCCTCTGTATGATCCCCGCCAACACGATCTACGCCTCCCGAATCTTCGAGGTTTTGACTGACACACTGAAAAAAAACGGCTGATCGACTTTTGTTGTAATAATCAGAGCTGCGCGCAGGCCAGCCCCAGGAGCCATATCCAGTTTCAATTTTTGACTTTTCGCTTTTGATTTTAATGTTATTTGGTAATATTTTGGAGTGATAAGAAGTTTTTGAAAACTCGGTCAACGATTCAAACCTTCGAGAAACATTTTGACACAGTAAAGTGCCAAAAGCGACAAATTTGGAAGGATAACGCTTCGCAAGCCGCGCCGCTTCAGAATCGTATATAAAAGAACGGCCTGCGCTCAGCTCTGGTAATAATACAGTCCCAAGAGTTGCTTGAAGCAAAAATTTTGATTGAGGGAATCGGAGTTACTTCAAAAGTTCTTTCCATTTTCTAGATGCCGGCCGACGGTCTGATGGTCTTGCGACAGTTTTGCGTCCGCTACAACGTTTGGAGACCATTTAATGGCGCTCTTCGAACCATCCGGTCTAGCCCAAAATGCACTAATTTCGTTGATTATATGGGTGACGGTGAGTTTCGATTATTCTAGTTCATTCAAAACTGCTTTTTAGTTACTTTAAAGACGAAAAAGTCGAATTTGACCTGATTGAATACTAAAAAAAAAAGATTTTTTTAAGAACCTCCAAGAATCTTGCCTATGGTGGCCTATTAGTCGTCGTTAAAAAAAGTTTTTTCACATTTTTTTAAAACTCTTTTTTAAAAAAATATAAATCATGGCAGCACTTATTTATTTATTTATTCAATAACTTCTAACCATTTCGAATAGGTTTTCTCCGATTAGGTTCAATTCAGTGACTTCAAAATTCCTTTTTTTTTTAATTCCATCCCTTTTTAGGTTGTGCCGATTTGCTTTTCATTCAGTAAAACCCGAAAGAATTTTTTGAGTGTTTCGATTGAACTACCTAAAATTCGTTTCGAAAAATGCGGTTTTTCAGGGAAACAGTTTTCGTTGATCACGAACGAAGAGTGCTCTTCGAGTGACGTCACCGCAGATGAAGCCGTCGAGTTCTGGGAAGAAAACGAAGACGACGTCCGTGAGGATAGTGAGATTCCCGAGAGTTTGGTTCGTTTGAAACTTCCACTTCTCATAAATATCCTGTTTTCAGCTCGACTATTAGGATCTGGTCATTTGAAGACTATGCCATTCACATCGAAAATTCATCATATTTTTCAAAGAAGCTTTATCGACCCCACAAATTTGTACATATCCCCCAAACAAGGACTGCCTCTACCTGTGAATGATTTCCTACGGATTTTATTGAAACTCAATTCCATTTGTATATCAAACTAACTTTGTGATAAGGAAATAAACGATTCATCAATTTAAAGTTTTCTCTTCTCTTTTGTCTTGTACCTGTACCAAACAGTAGTACGATATTTGTTGAAAGTGATGGCTTTTGCTCGCTGGGATTCGAAGACGCAAAGCCTAGGTAGCGTGAAATATGTTATTGTTGGGAATCGTAGCGAGGTCAACAGCACCTCTGATTCTAAAAAGCGTTTCTGAACAAAACATAGTTAAATCAAGAAATTTCCAATCTGTTTTCTAATTTTCTCTCCATTAGGCAAATCTCACTCATTATAACGGATTTTCCCACAATGAGAAATATTTTTACTTCCTAGTCAACTTTGCTGTTTCAAAAATAATGTTTATGTTTTTTGAGAAACCTCGGGATATTGTGTAAGCTCCATCTTTCAAGTTTTAATAGAAAACGGCTATTGAAAGCTCAGAAATCAGAGCTGGCCTTCATTAACACTGAAAAAGGTTCTCCGTCACGAGACCTTAATTAATCTGATTCATGCTCCTTTAAACCCTCACGCGAGCTGTTGTGAAAGAGTTATAAACGCGGAAAAAGCAATACGTTGTGGGGTGAGAATTTCGATTTTGCTGTTTGGCGCCTGTTGGCAAGGCATACGGTACCTTCTCGAGGTGTAGTTTCAGCGCCGTGTGTATACATGCACTCCGTTGAGGCGTCGTTTTGACGCCTGCGGCTGTTCAATATACTTCAACTTGCGGTTTCAAAGTCTAATTAGAAATTCAATAAAATTTAAAAAGTGTTTCGTTGAGTTCAAACTTATTATTTTTAATCGCATATTTCCGAATGAAATATTACATCGTTTCATCCGGATTGCAACGAATTATTTATAATCCTAACTATTTTTTGAAGATCCCAATGCACGCGCACTACACGCGCAGCAAATCGCCGGTAAAGAAGAAAAAAATTGGGCGACCGGCAAAATATTCGAAATCCACACAGGAGGCTGTAGTTCCAACTGAACCTGTAAGTCACTTATGTTCAAGCTGAAAACTCGATTATCACTAGACAAAGAAGGCGAAGCCTCAGCCGATAGAGCCGGAGCCTGAGAAAGAGAAGGAAGTGATCGTGGATGTCGTCGGACCTGATTCTCCGGAAGAAGATGTTCCCGTCGACACGGAAAACTTTGTGCTGCCGAGCACGACGTCCAGCGGCGAGGAGTTGACTCCGCGGAAAGGTTTCCATTTCGTTCTCTCTTTGTGTTAGTAGGTAGAAGAAAATCTCAGAAAATACCTGGTGTTGAAGAAAATTTTCAATGAATGAATGCATTTTTTTAAACCTTAAAAGAGAGAACTGCATCTTTTTTTCAAATTTACTTTGCAAGCAATCTTCTTTTTCAGCATTTACGCCTTTCTTGTATGAATTATATTTTACCGAAACGTTGAACCTCTATCTTTTTTTTTTGACAGGAGGACTTTCTTAACTTTACAGGTATTGAAAGAAGGTGTATTGAAAAAAAGGCAAAAAATAATCTGCCTACAGGCTCAACTGGACTTTTAGAATGAACAGTTTTTTCCCTAGCAGTACCACTACAAATGACAAAGTATTCTTGGCGTATATTAAAAGAACTCTTTCTCTTTTTTGAGCTTGAATTTTTTATGATTCTTTCTTTCAAATATTTAATTTGAAAAAAAAAATGTGAACTATATGTTCTCTTTTCCACGTTCTCGATGTGAAGACATGAAGGGCGAAACCCACCATTATCTCATCCATGACTTGGACGTCTCAAAATAGTAGCTTTGCGAAATCGAGAAAAAAAAATTGGAGCTATCGTTAAGATTGAAGAATTATGGGCTATAGATAATTCAATTCAGTCATTAATTTAAAAAAAAAAGTCAGTAGGGATGGTAAAGAAAGTCTTTCCACAGAGTTCTCTAAATTTGATTTCAGTTGTTCCAAATCATGGAAAAATCCATTCTTGCACCTTAAAGAAAAGCTCAAAAATTATATTTCTTGCAGATTTTGCTGGGAAGCTTGCTATGAAATTTTCATTTGTGAGAAAATAAAGAAAATCAAAGCATTTTTTTTAAAGATAAAAGCCTCAAATGTCCACCAGAGCCTCTTGATTCAGACTTTTTTTTTCTCAATAGAACTCTTCAGAAACGGCGGAAGAACACGCGGAAACAGTGTACAGCAGTTTTCCCAGCCACATCATCCCGGAAACGTTGAGTCGCGTCACGAGAACGCCGACCGTCGGGGAGAATCTCCTCGTCCAGCGGATGCGAAACGGTCGCCTGCGCGTCCAAGTCAAGGATTCCAACACGAAACACTCGGTGAAGATGTCTTTCGAATCTCTATTTCCGTTTTGGAAACTCTGAAACTTTTCTTTAAGTTTGAGAATTTTGGGCGTTTTGAAATCTTTTTCAGCAAAGTTTATCAACTTTCCGGGCTATAATTGAGGCACAAAATACCAAAATCTCATATTCCTCGTGACCGAAACTCACGTGATTCGCTGTTATTTTTCTCTAGATCTCTTCTTTTTTTTTGCCGCTCTCAATATTGATATCGCTCATTTTTTATCTACTTTTTTTGAACTAAAGTTATTTTTATATACTCTCATCGCTGAGAAATGGAAGCGTTAGAATATTTCTACAGAAAAAAAGCGAAGCGCGTGCGTTGCGGTTCACCGAAATGGTAGTTTTTGATTTTTCACCAACTTTTTCTACAGACAATCTTTTCATGAAGAGATAAATTAATTTTCTAGACTTTTTCGTAGTTTCGTAACCCCGTGATTTCTTAAACCTCTTTGAAGAGGGAAAATTTTTAGTGCAGATTTTGTCCGTAATTATATTATCAAAAAAAAAAAATAGTTTTTCGAGATTATCTCATTTCAAACCCTTCAGGTCTACTGCGCGATGTCGCATTTGCGCTGTTTTGTGTGTTCGCGACGAATGGAAGCCGGAGAGATGCATTTGAATTTCCCGGCCGACTTGGACCGCCGTCGCATCTGGGCCAATCTTCTCGGCTTCAAGTACAAGGTTTTATCAGCTTTTTTTGCGAGAATAAATTCAGACTTTGAGGATATCCTGCGCGTCAAAACTTCCATTGCGGCGAATCCGAGCGTCTCGGCTGGGCCGATTTGTTGCGACCATTTCACGGAAGAGTGTTTCAGGTAGGAATTGATCTCTGGATATATTTTCAAAGGAAATGTTTCTTCAGAACTTACAACTTCAATAAAGCAGCGATCGAGGCGTTTGGCGTTCCCGCGGCCATTTCTCCCGATGTCAAGACGACGCCTTCCAAAAAGAGGTATAGTTGGAGTCGTGAAAAAAATATAATGCGAGTTTTTTTCCCAAAACAGAAGATTAATCAAAAACAATCTTTTTTTAAAAAAGAACAACTTTCGCAGAATTTTTTAAGTTCTCAACTAATCAAAAAAAAAGTTTGTTCATTTTGAGATCTCCATGGAATCGACCTATTCTCTTTCAAAACCGAACACGTATTTTCAAAAGAACTGCCAAAAATCCTTCGTTTCTCAGGGTTCCTTGGGTCTGCACGATTTGCGGGGACTACAGTAGCTGCAGTGTGGTCGATTTGCAGAAACATCTGCTCGAACATGTCGCGGAATTCGTCAAAAAAGGAGTCGAGGCTCGAAATATCACAAAGTAGCAACTTAAGCGGCTTCTTTAGGTGCCACCTTCTGGCTTCATGTGTCCTTTCTGTCGACAGTGTACTTACGGCTATCGGACTGTTTCCGGATTTCGAAGACATCTCATTGCGCCGCCCGTCATGCACTGTCACCTGAAGTACGATTCTAGTTTTTTTCAAGTTTTGCAGATTTTTTTATAATAGGGAAAAATAAAAGTGAGCTATAGAAATGTAGTGATATGCATTATAAAAATGAATTTTTGGACTTTAAAACTTTCTTTAAAACAAGCGAGAGATCAGAGGGAACTGGAGAGACCCAGGTTTCTCGTCGTCCGCAGTCTCTGCCCATTTTATAGTTTTTCAGAGACTATTTTTACTAATCATAATCAAAAAAAGTTGAAATTTTTTTAATTAAAAAAAATTTGTTTGGTGTCAGTTTTAGCCTTTTTCTTTTCCAAATTTCTTGTTACGAAGCTGGTTGGATTTTTTTCTAGAGTTGCTTCCTCATTTTTTAACTTCGAGTGGTGTTAATTTTTTTAGAAGAATATTCGAATTTGCTAAAATGAACTGTCGGTCAGCCGAACTCGAGCCGAAGGACAGCTGGGAGAATTGGACTCAAAGAAATGTTTATATCGCCTATCACGGCTGCGAACCGCCGGCCAATGAGATCATTGCCACGCCGACACCCGTCAAGTCTCCAATAGTCAGTAGTTCATTATTTTTATCATTTTAATAGAGGAATTGATTCGAAAAGTCAGTTCATTGGCTAAAATATCGTTTATGAGCGTTATTCTTGACTTTTAAGTGCGCTTTTCGGTTCGGAAAATACTAAAATTACGGCTATTTTCACTAACGTTTTCTACAGACAATCTTTTCATGGAGAGATAAATTAATTTTTCTAGACTTTTTCGTAGTTTCGTAACTCCGTGATTTCTTAAACCTCTTTGAAGAGTGAAAATTTTTGGTGCAGATTTTGTCCGTAATTATATTATCAAAAAAATTATTTAAAAGTTGGAACCGCGGCTTCTCGAATCCTTCCTTCCCTTGAAAATATATATTAATTGGTTGATTTTTCTGATTCGGCTAAAAAAATCCGGTCACCCTAACAAATCTACCAAAATTTAGTTTTTTTTTTTTGCTGGTTTCTATTTCCGATAATAAGGCGTTTCAAAACCATCTCAGTTTCCAAGTTTTTCGTAAGATTTTTTTGAAATTTTTTTAGAAGTTTAAGAATTTGAGAACAACATTATTATCAGCAATTTTTTTTTTTCAAAAATTGAGGTTGGCGGGATTCCAGGTTACAAAAACCTTCTCATTATTTTGACCTTGACACTTTTTCGCCTTGAAGGTTTTGCTCTGATACATTTTTCTCGTTTGCTCCGAAAATCTTCTCGCTTTCCAGAAGTTCCATCCAAAGCCCAAGGACCAAGAGAAAAAGCGAAAAGCCGTCCGAGCCCTCGGATTTGACGACGTCGACGTCGAACGCCTTCAAAGGGCTGTTCGATCTCAAATCAAGAAAGATGTCGTCGCTGAGAAACCGAAAACTGGAGTAGTTCCCGAGAAGAAAGAAATCGTGAAGAAGGCCAGTCCGGAGAGAATCGCGGAGCCGGAAAAGGCGCCGGTCACTCCGAAGAAGTCGCCGAAGAAACCAGCGACGCCGAAGAAAAAGTGAGGAGTGTTCAAATTGAACCCTGTTAAAGGAAAAAAAATTTTTATATCTGGAACTTCCTAACCTGTCTGCGTTTTTTTCCCAATGACTTCATAGATACGTGAAAATAGCACTTGTTTTGTTTTGACGAGCGATATTTTCTCAATCATTGAAAACTTTAGAAAACTCAATTTTCGTTTTCATATTGAAAAACGAAAATTCATTTGTTTCAGGAAAGCTCTGAAAAAACGAGGAAAGCGGTCGCGTTCTCTGGACAAGCCAAAGAATGTTCAAAAGGTTTGTATTTTGAGTATATATTTCTTTTGAAGTAAACTTGCAGGTATCAGAAGGCTCAAAAACAGACACGGAGAGGGCAGAGAGCAGCGCGGACTCCAGCGTTTTCAGCTCCCCGACGAAAGAGCCGCCGAGGGATCCGAAAGAAATCGAAGCGGCGCTCAAAATGATGGTCTCTTCGCGCTCCGCCGCATTCCGCAAGATGATGAGCTCACGTCTGCCTATTGTGGTTAGTTTTCAGTGTAATAATTCATTTTTGAGATTTAAAAAAAGGTAGAAAAAAGAATTAATAATTTTCAACTTCTTCAATGAAAATTTCTCAGAATTAGGTGTCTTTAGTTCTTGAAAAAAAAAAGTCACAAAGTAGTATTTCTCTACTTCTATTTTTTCGAGCCTCAAAAGCATAACTTTCCGATTTTTATTTAGGGAAAATAAATTATTTTGACATTTTTCCTAACTCGGACTAGTCAAAATCACTCGTTTTGTTCCTTTCAGACAAGAAAACGACGGGAAATCATTCCGAAACCGGTAAAAACTTCGAAAGCTTCTTCGGTTTCTAGCGACACTGCTGAAGCCTCAACTAATGTACCCGAAATCACTTCAAAGGTTTTTTTCGTTGGACATTCAACATTATCCAGTTGTTTTCAGCAAGACGACAAACCCGGATCCTCTCAACAGCCGGAAAAGTCAGCAGAATCCAGTCAGGAGACGGTGTCTTCGAGTTCCGGGACCACTGAAGCGAGCTCTAGCCAATCTGGCCAAGAAGAGCCGGAAAGGAAGCCCAAGTCGCTGATCGCCCAAGCAGTCGCCGCCGGGAAGGAGCCGCCGCTTGGGTCGTACCGATTGACGAGGGAAATCCCGCCTCAGGAACCCTCGTCCTCGACAGAAGACCGAGAACCTTCACCGAAAAAGATGCGTCTGGACGAAGCCCTGATGACGTCATCGGCCGACACTCCCGTGATTCGTCCCGTGGCCATCCCAGCTGATCCGCCTCGAATCGTCACCGAAGATTCGACCAACATTGCTCCACGGCTGATTTCGGCCCGAGCCAAACCTTCCGTCCTTCTCTCTTCTTCCATGCGACAGAGGCCCATCCCCTCGCTCTTCAGAATGAATGCTCGGAAAGACGCTGACGTTCAAGCAACCACTAGAGGTTTTTTTAGCAAACTTCTTGGACTCCAGTATATATTTTTTTTTCAAAACATTCTTGCTGGAAATTCCAAAGAAGAACAGACAAATTTCATAAAATTCTTGTGGAAAAAAGCTTTTTTCAGTGATATTTTGGTACAACTCAAGTTTTTTTAGAATGATTAAACGAATTAAATTTTTTTACTTTTTTTATAAGTCTTGTCTTGTTTTTTTGACACTCTCACAAGGTTGCGGAATAAAAATTAGAGATTTGAATGTCATTATTGAAATATTCAAAACTTTCGGTAGTTCTTTTTCAATGTGGATTTTTAGGATCCACCTGCTAATTAGGGGAAAAAGCTGAAATACCATAAAAAAATAAAAAAACTCTTTAAATAAAAAAATAAAAACTCTTGAAATAAAAACTCTTTATAAAAATAAAAACTCTTGAAATAAAAACTCTTTAAAGAAACTTCAGTGAAACCGATGACGTTGGTTGACGCTCTGGCCAGTGCAAAAACGAGCACGACCTCCACCGTCGGAGATGCCGTGGATCAGGTCTTTTGAAGGGAATCGACAGTAATTTGATCCCTCTTCTTTTCAGCCTCTTTTCCTCCAAGGACCTTTGGTGCAATACACTGCTCGGCGACAGATTAAGATGATTCGAACCGATCGAAAAACTGCGCGACAACTCGAAGCCATCGAAGCCAGGTTTTTTTTTTTATTCGATTGAAGTTCACAGAAATACGATGATAGCATAGATTTTCAGCCTAAACGTCGAGAATCAGAGTAATCGACGCACTTCTGTTGTGGCAAACCACCAGTAATGTAGCATAATTAGAATTCAAAAAAAAATTGAAGAATACGACGCTTCTCGGAACGAATTGCGCTGGCGCAAACTTTCCTATGGCTCTGTACATTTACGGTGTTTTTTTCAAATCTCCGAACTCAGGCACTGACGGCGCGTGTTTGTTGCCAAAAGTGCGCATGCGCGCCGCCGGCTGCGCGCACGCGCGGGGTGTCACTTTTGTTTTTTAGCTTTTTAACTAATTGAAAAGTTATAAATTTAATATTTTTCATTTCTGTTTATCTCTTAACATTGCTCTGCACCAGTTTATAACAATTATATTGCACAAAAATTTGAAATATCAAAGTTTCACTCGGCAATTTTTTTTCATAAATTTGTTTGAAAGTGCTCGGAACAATTTTAAAACGTGAGCAGGAGCACTGGGTAGTATCACAAAAATATGAAAAAAATATTTCAAAACCGTATTTCAGTGGAAAAGGCGAAAAAAAGAATCAGTACCCCCGCGCGTGCGCGCACCAGTGCCTGACAAGTCTCAAATTGCTTTTTTTCGATTTCCGCAGTATGCTATACAATATAATTTATTCTAATCATTCAGTTTTCCGTTCAGTTGAGCCTTCATCAAACGTAACCCAGTTTCCTAACAGTGTTCAAATTTCATCGAAACTTAATCCTTAAATGAATTTTTAATAAATTTTTTTGAAGGATTCGGCTTTTTGGCGATACTTCTGAAATACCTGAAGGCTATCAAATCATTGACACTCCGATGGGAAGCCGTTTGGTTAGTTTTTTTTTTGTTATTTTATGATGTTATATATAAATTTTATCGTTGTAACTTTTTCTACGAAAATTCTTGTTTCAGGTTGAGATCGACGAAGGAAACGTGCGATTCTAGCCATTTATTTTTACTAATTTCAATCCTATAGCATCTTGGATTAAAAGTTTTTTTTTTTGTTTGAATTTTTAATTCTGCTTTTTCGATCAAAGATCCTTTCTATTACTAATTCTACTTTTGTGGTTCAACCATGGTTGTGATTCCGATACTTTCAAACTTTGAGAAAATTGTAGTCAAGAGATTTATTATAGTATATTATTGTGTTTTAAAACTTCTATTAATTCAGAGAATTTTTCGTTTTACTCATTCTTTCTGTGTTTTTACCTCGACTTCTTAGGATGATCTTAATTAGGAATCCATCTCCGTCTGTGACATTTTACCTGAACTTCATTGCTACTCTTGTGATTTTGTGAATCTTGTGCTTCAAAATGTACCCTATTCCTTATGACTTTCAGGGATTAAAAGTTGTTTAGGCTTCAATTTTCCGTCAATCTTGAACTTTTTCCTCGCCTATTTCCCCAGAGCCATTTTCTGAAAATCCCATGTAGTTTTAGAATTTTAACAATTAACGGTAACTTTCTCTTTTCAGTTTTTGAATTTTAACTTGTTTAACAAATCATGTTATTTTCCTTTATTCTCAGCCAAAGCAAAATTTCTTCTCGGTACAATTTTTTCTTTCTGCCTGTTTAGGAAACTTGCATTTTGTTTTTTTTTTAAGTTGATAAAAATTCTAAAATTCTATTGAACCTTGGTTTTGTTTGCAAAGGCTGTTCTTGCAGATATGATATATGTGAAGGACTTCATAGGAATTGATAAAGTGGAGAGTATACAGAATTTCAAAAGCTCAGAGAGGCTCCTAACACCTTGTGTAAAGGCTTGTTATAATCATTTTGAGAGAATGAATAATCCGGCGGCCGGAGATGCTCCGTCACATTCGAACAAATTGAAAACGACGTTTTCGCCGCCCCAACGACAGTTTCCTATTGAGGAACTTTTCTTCACTCGTCGCATTTCTTCAATTTTAACTCGATACTTCATCTGTTTGTACTTTGTGATAGGTTTGCGTTCATTCTCTTTTATAAAGCTCTCATTAGTTATAACAAGGCCCGTTTTGGGAAATTCTGAAAGAGGAATCAACAAGAGTAAAAGCGTTGAAGGGGCTCTCAAATGCATTTGGATACGCTTGTTTAAGGCGGCCGATCCTATTACGGTAGTTTAGATAAGTTTTTCGGTAAGGAAATAAAATTTTTTTTTGACTCATCTTATCTTGTAACCCCGAGAAATAGGTCCTTAACAAATCGCAAAAAACATACCATTAAAAAAACTTCCTAGCTTCGAACGGACGGCGCAATGTTGACCGGCCGCCGTAACACTCATGCGTGTGGACGGAGTAATCTAGAAATATTCGCTTTCTTGAGTTTTTGAGGGGGAAAACGACATTGTATCCGATAACCTACAAAAAGTTGGTCTATGCAACTTTGAAAACTTTAGAAAGCTTTTTTTAAAAATTTTCCAGCCATGCATAATGGTCTAGATTTTGTATGTCAATAAAGGCAAACGTCTTTTTGAGAGTTATAAAAAATATTGAAAATAAACCACGTTAATTATCTTCAGGTGTTCCGGTGTTTTTGGTGAGATGTTTCATCGGGGCTCACGCATTCTTGATAGCCTGTCTTCTGCGGAAAACGACGGCGATTCGGAGCGTCGTCATGCGCATCATGTGCCTTGTTCTGGGCATCGTCGTCGTCAAGCGCGGCACTCGGTTTTCAATTCTTTCTTCTTTCAAATATGTAATAGAGTCTCACTGTGTTTACAAACGTTGTTTCCTGAATTACTGTCGATTTTTTCTCTGCAAATTAAAATTTTAAAAAGTGATCTTAGTGAAATTTACGGGAAACTTCTCGAAATTTTTAAAAAAATTTGTCGAATTGAAAAAAATGATTTGGAGTAAATTTACGATCCTGAACGTTTTCTTATGAGCTTGCGATTTTGTTGAAATAACAAGTTCAAGAATAAAATATCAATTTATGGTTTTTCTTAAAACTGTGAAACTGTTTGCTATAACTGCACTAGGTGAACGTTTATGTGAATAATATTTTCAAAAAAACTTTTTCGAGTTTTTTTCGGTTTTGATTGAATTAAATTGAAGAGAAGAGTCTGCCCGAGTTTTGGCGGCCAACCACGTCTCCGTTCTCGATCACATGGCCATCGATCTCATGTCTCCGTGTTTTTTTGCCCTCCGTTTGGGATATCCCGACCATCGTTCGCTGGTTTGCCCTTGACCTTTTATCAATTTCGGTACATTCTGAAAAAGAAATTGACCTTTCTATTTTGAAAAAAATACAGAAATCTGTCAAAATAAGAGCGTTACAAGCTTAAAAAATTAATCTTTTTAGGTGCTTCGGTTATGTCGAGCTCGGCGCTTCTAGAGGAAGAACAGAACTTGTTAGACAGGTTTTTCAGTGAAAGATCTGAAATTGTTGATAATAATGACTCTAGGCCAAAGAATTGGTTGAGGCCGGACCTATGCCGTTGCTCGCCTTCCCCGAAGGAGTTATAACTAGCGGGCAGAAGGCTCTGATCAAGTTTAAGTGAGTTTTTAGAAAGAAATTGGTTTGTTTCTACGATTTTTTCCGTATAAATTGGTTATGCTTCTTTCTAACTTCGCGTTTTCTTCACAGAGAACCTTCTGAAATGGGATTTGAATCAACAATAAATCAGGAAAATGCAAATAGAAGTATATTTCATTATAAGTCTTAGACAATTGTTTAAGAAGGTTGCATTATTTTTCAGCATTGTTTGAAGCTTTCATCAAGCTGTCCCCTGCTTCAGTTTGAAACTCGAAAAAGTTTTTCGAGTTTTTTATTGGAACTTTTTCAGTTTCTTTCAAATTACAAGTTGTCGATTTCAGTTCGTGAAAATTTGTACGTTCTCGATGTCTTTTCGAATTCACACATCCAAATTCAGCCCGTGGGCCTTCGAGGTAGCGGATCGGGTCCAGCCGGTGGCCGTTCGAGTCTGGAGACCTGCGTTGTGGGCCGTCGCGCCGGCACACATCGCCTCGACGTGGTGGAGCGACGTCTTCTTCTTTTTCGCCCTCCCGTTCACCGTCATCAACATCACTTTCCTTCCTTCGCTGCAGAAGAACCAAGAGGTTAGTATTTCGAAGTACTTTTGGATCTTTTATAAAATCTCTGAAGTCATACTTAATTTCTTTTTTCTAGGTTTGAAAAAGAAACGCTTATTTTAACTTTGTTGGCCGGTCAATTGTTCATTTTTCCAAGCAGTGTTTTTAATATTGGAAGCTAAAGCTTTAGCAAAAAATTTTTTTAAAAATTGTCTTTTCATTTTTTTTTGTTTTTTCTTAGTATCTGATCATCATAATTTTCAGGAAACGAGCGAAGATTTTGCTCAGCGTGTTTCGAAGGAGATCGGAGACGAACTGCAACTGGCAGTTTGCCAGTACGACACCCACGATGCCGCAGAAGCCGCGAAGCGATGGCGCGACGCTCGCGAAGTTCGGAGAGCGGCCGCCGTCGCCGCGAGCAGCGCCTCGACTAGGGTCCGTCTCTTCAGAAGAGCTCTCTGTGACGATTTCAGATGTAGGAAAGAGCGGCGGCGCGGATTTCGGACCCAAAAGGCCTCGACGACGCCGCGATGCGCATCAAACAGTCGTTTCCTGCCTATCACGTCGCTGTTATACGGAGAGATTTGGACAAAACCCGCAGTCAAGGGGTTTTCTTCTTTGTTTTTGGGGGAATCATCTTTTTTTTTTTGCAGGTTACTGTAGCCAATATAAAAGCTGGAAAGTTACCGAAAGACGAAGGTCATTCAAGCGGAAAGGTTCGAATTTGGAATATTTCAAAAAAGCTCTCTTTATTGCTTTCTATTTCTATAAACGTTTACTTGATACAGGAATCCTCATTTTTCAAGAAGGTAATTTTAAGTAAAAAAAAATAAAGCTGAATATACGCAAATTAATGAAAACCAACTTAGTAAATATTTTGTCGCCAATTTTTTTCAAAATTCTGGCGAAGTTGCAAACTTTTAGCGTCGTGGTGAACATTATGCTAAAAATTTTTTTATTCGGTGAATCTATTTTTATGAAAGGAAGAATGAGAAGGATTATACAAAAAAATTTAAAAAAGGAAAAAAGCAATTAACGATATACGTTCACGTTTCTTCTTTTTGAGCTTTTAAGATTTTATTCATTAGATCTCCTATCCACATATTTTCCAAGTTAAGTTTTGTTTCGCACATTGATTTATATTATTTCGAAGCGGAATAAAAACCTTTGCGGAATGATGTTTTTGAAAGAAAAAATTTTCTCAAAATCCTGAATTTGATTTATTCGTTTATAGGTTTCGATGGACGCTTCGTCTTGGAAGAAAGTTTATGACGATAGAAAATGGAATATGATTGAGACGAACCGCGCGAAATATCTCAATCGTCTCATTTCATGATTTCTATGTTTCAAGTCGTCCAATCTGCACATAATATAGTCTGTTCAGATTTTGAATGTCAAGTCGTCGCTCAAGCTCCGCCCATAATGGTGCGATAGACCAATCAGAGAGCGAGCCATCCACAGAGCGTTTTCGAATGACGTCATTCTAATTGACATTCAAAATGTGAACAGACTATAAGTCCCAGTGTGATTTTTCGCATCTCAGTGTGATTTATGTCTTGGTTTCGGTAGGGTTTCAACAACTGTGTACACCTTTTGTCATTGTGATCTGTCCTCAAAATGCGCCTATGTAGTGGATTTTGCCATCTCTTCATTTCTTTCCTTTTCTTGTCAATTGCTATTTCTGCATAGAGTCATACGAATAAAAGAAATATATTTTTTTTTCTCAGCATTCAATATTGCATGAAGTTGATATTTCAAACGCTTCAGGCGAATTATTGAAGAGATTGGGGTAGTTTTTACAGCGAAGAGAGAACTCTGAAAAAGTTGAATGTTTTGTGTTTTCTGTTAAAGAAGTTTTGATCGAGATCATTTTATTTATGCTGTACAAGGCTTTTGCGCCTTTGAACGCAAGGATTAATGTTGCAGAAACGTCTCAAAATTTCGTCCCAAACAGAAATTTAAAACAAGGTTTTCGAACCACAATTATGTGAATTTGAGGTGATTTGGCTGAATTTTAAAAAAGAGTCTCATGACTAATGCTGGCCAGTATATAGTCTGTTCAGATTTTGAATGTCAAGTCGTCGCTCAAGCTCCGCCCATAATGGTGCAATAAACCAATCAGAGAGCGAGCCATCCACAGAGTGTTTTTGAATGACGTCATTCTACTTGACATTCAAAAAAGAGACTATAGTCTGTTCAGATTTTTAATGTCAAGCAGCTAACTCCACCCCCAAGGCTACAATATCTTTCGCGTTAATTTTTTTATCTACAGGTGACGATGTCCCTTTAACAAGGCTGCATTTTTGACTTTTTTTCTATCTTTTAGATCAAAAAAGATCAAAATTAATCCCACGCGATAAAACATCGACGCGAAAAGGTACCCTCTCAGCGGGGGCGGAGTTAGCTGGTTGACATTAAAAACCTGAATAGACTATAGCATCCGCTGGGCTAATACTTCATAGTTTGGCGAACCGTTGCTACTACTGATCACCCGTTGTTTTTTTTAACGTTTTGGGTGATCTCTGAACTTAAACGGAGACTCGGCGCGTGAATTGAGCTTTTGCGTAGATCCGCTGGACTCAAACGGCGTCTACGCGCGGCTAGAAACTGCGCTTCGGTGATCACCCCAAAACATTAAAAAACACCGGGTGAACGACAGTAGCACCCACACAGCACACGTTTCGCAAATAACGACTTATTAGCTCAACGGGTGCTACTGGCTAGCATTAGAGTGGCGAACATAAGAGTTATTGCGGTGGCGGAGATGAATTCTTGGCGAGAAGAATCACGGACTCAAATGCGAGCCGCCTTTTTTTTAAAATCATATTTGACATTTTCTTCTTTTCACAGTATTTGTTGCATTCGAAAGGCCAGATGCTATAAAGTGGAAAACCATTTTCCGCTATTTTCCTGAAACTCGTAAATGACTTCAATTAGTCGTGTTTCACTCTGAAATGTGTTCTTCCTCATCTGAATCTCCTTATGAAACCTTATTACATCAGAAAAAGTCGAAATAATGAATTTTAGCGATTTTCAGGCTTTCTGTTTTCAGGAAAATGGTAGAGAAACTTTTTCCATTTCATCGGATAAGGCCATAGTTGAAGTAATTATGAGATTTAGATAGGGTCCGCAAGCCATTTCTTCAGAACGATTCAAAAAATATGTTTTTTACATTGTTCGATAGAGGAGACTGTCCATTTTCATAATCCGTTTAGTTTTTGAAAAAAGCTTCACTAAGAAAAAAGTTATGGCCAAAAAACGAGCGCGCGCGGCGTACAACTGGAGGCGAAATCTCACGGTTCACCCGCTGCCGCACGCTTTCTTTTTTTAAATGTTTTTTTGCGCGTTTCTGGACCGTTTTTTTAAATCGGTTTTCTGTTCTGAGAAGTTGTCCGAACTGAGCCTCATGTTTTTGGTATGAATCTTTTTGTACAATCCTCATAAGAATTTTTTTGATAAAATATCAAAAAAACTACCTAGAAAAAAAGGTCAAAGGGATTTTTTTCAGCTTATTTTTTTCTTTTTTTCTACTCAGAAAAAAATTATTATCATTCGATTTGGAAAAAAAAGAAAAAAATGAAAATTAATGTTATTTCGAAATAAAACAGGAAAAAAAGTGCAATTTGACTCCGAAAAACGGCTCCTGCGACATTTAAAAGGGCGCGTCGGTGTGTTTGACGCAAACACTGCTACGGACGCTTGCACGAATTCTTCCGAAATTTCAAAAAAAAATTGCCATTTTTTCGAGGTTTTCAAAGCCGTTATTTTTTTCGCGTCGATCGATTTTTTTCATAATTTTTTCATTGATAGAGTTTTGAACGCTTAATAACATAATCAAAAGTATAGACGCGATCCTATTCTCTCATGCGTCAACGAGGCAGGCGAAAAAAATGGAGGTTTTGGTAAAACTCAAATATAATTTGATTCGCTGTCCCAATAATTATTTTTCATTTTTGAATTTTTTTATTCTTGGACACACTGTTAGTTTTTAAATCAAATAAAAAGTATAACATGTCGCTGAAATTTTTTCGCATTTCAGCTTCAAAGTTTGGTGTCACTTTACAAGCTTTAATATTTTTTTCGCGTCGGTAGATTTTTTTCATTTTTACTCAAAAAATAAAAAAAGTTTTAATGTATAACATACTTAAAATTTAGAAGCGTTCCTCACTTGGTTTTCTGAAACGCGACGATTTTTGTGAAACTTGTCAGTTTTTTTCGTGTTAAATCTTACTTTTTTTCGCTTATTTTTTTGAAAAAAATACATAGTTTTTAAAAAAATATTCAGTCTTGTAGAGCGTTGTCGATTACATAGATTAACAGAAACAGTTAATTTTTAAAGTGGGACTTTAGCTAGTATAAACGCCTCAAAACCGTTTTTGCAACAAAAAAATCGTCATTTTGGTGGCGTGAAGGGGCGGGGCTTTGCGCCCCCTAGATTTAGAACCGCATTTGGTCATTCAACTTCGTCGAATCAAATATATGAGTACTTTCCGAAATCAATCGAAGTTTTCCAGATACGTCAAGGTCAAGGTTCCTACCGTATGGGAGACCTGATGCGAGATGGAATGTCTGTAGCGATGGCACTTCAGGAGGTTAGTTATTTCTGAATCATTGAACGACTAGGTGTAGTTGGTAAGGTTTCTGACATTATCTAAGCTGGAGGTTTTGTGGTCAAAGTCCTTGGTTTTGTGAGAATCGGAGTAGAAACGCGGGTACGTTTTCGGTTCGGTTTGCCGCGGAGATTGTTCCTCCGGCGGCTCCATCCGGAAGACCTTGAGTGATGAAGACTTTTCACTGCTACCGATGCCTCAGTTGTCGATTTCAGAGGCTCTGAAAAGCACTTTTTCATTTCCAGCGTCCAAGCGAGATTAATCCTTTTCACAGCTATCTTGAGCCAGAAATTGAGAAGATAAAAACAGCGTGATTTTGCAGGAGATTCAAACTTTTTTATAGCCCATTTCGCGCAGCTTGTCACGTTTGTTTTTCTGCCAAAATTACCTTAGTATCTAAATGAAACTTAGTGCTTTTTTTAATGTTCAAGTGACCTTTACACTTTTTGTCACAAGGTTCTAAGTTATTTGATATCTCTGTTAGAAAAATTGAAACCTTACCCGAAACTTCGGTTTGAAGAGTAGGTACTTCGAAAGTTATGTTCTTCGTCTGTAGGAATGCCGCCTTAGAAGTGATGTTTTTGAATCGTAGTGGGACGGCTTCGGAAGCGACTTTCTCATCTGAGATATTCATTACCACCACTGGAGGGATTTCCTGCAATTTCCTTTTTGATTTTAGTGAAACGAACTCTCCGAGGAGAACAATTTATTTTGGGAAATCTAAAAACCGATTTTTGTCAATTCGCGAAACATAGATGAGGTCATTCAACCTAAATATTTTGAAAAGTATTACAATCGACCACTCCGTTATTTGATTTACCGACCAAAAATCTTGAAAATCAATCTTTTTTCATCGCTGACTCGTGAGATCTTCATCCAGTACATCTAAAAGTTTTCAGAAAAATTATGACTTCTACAGAATCGGCCTCCCTTGTGAAAAAATAAGCTCGGATTTCGGTAACGAAAACCGGACGTTTCTTAGCAATACTAGGGATCAGTTAAGAGTGTTGCCACTATAAATGCTCAAAAACGTGCGATACTGAGTGATACGATACACAACAGTGAAAAATTTATATTCTTCAGTTATTTAAAAAAGAAAAAAAAAGAGATAAGGACACTTTTTGGATTTTCTGACTCTCTCACCATTTCCAACTCGCTTTGTACAGTAGGAACGTCGTCATTGACCTTGACCGGCCGACGTCGCATCACCTCCAGCTCGATGCCGAGGTTGGTCGTCACAGGTCTTCTGAGAAGAACGCGATTTCGCTTGCGTCCGCGTTTTCGATGAGCCCTTCGAGTGGTGCCGATGCTCTGACTGGCACTTTCGGGTGCGATCGTGGTGGACGGAACTGGAGTCGTAGTCTTCTCTGTCGTGGATTCTTCCAACTCGGCTAGTTCCGCTGGTAGAGGAATGGTTATGAGAGGATCGTGAGTCGTTGTGACTGGCTGCGCCGCTGTCGAGTTCGTCGTCGTCGTCGTTGGTGTTGTCGTCGTTGTCGTACGTCTTCTTGGCTTTCGACTCCTTCTTGAAGCCAAAGATGTTGGAGCTACTGTTGTGAGCTCTGTCGTCGATAATGTCACAGCAGTGGTCGACTGTTCAGCCTGGAAAATCTATGACGCGTTTTTCCTATATTTCCGCTTATTGATCAGCGCGTTCACATCCAGCTTTTCAAGTTCTGAAATTTTTATAATTGTCTTCTTTTAACTTCGAAAGATATACTTTGTAAGTGAATAAAAATGTATTCTAGAGAGCAACTACTCGAACATCAAAACTTGGACTTTCGCTACACTATAGTTAGGGACCGCAGACGAATTTTCAAAAAAATTTTTTCAGCATTGAGCTTTGTATGGTTTTGATAGCTGTTTCGATTCAAAACTCAGAACCGTTTAGTTTTTTTCGAAAAAAAGATTGAGGATGAAAAAAAGTTATGACGAAAAATGTGGCGCGCCGCGCACCATTTTTTTAGTACTGAAATTTTGGTATTATCCATTTTTGACATTTTTCTCGATTTTTCTTCCAGAACAAGTTTTGATACTGGTCTATTATGATGTAACAAATCATAATAGAGTGCTAAAATAATGCTAATCAGCTAGTTTGCCGAAAAAGTCGGTATTTTCCAGAAAACAAAAAACTGGCGCTTGCGGGCATCGAACTCGCGACCTCAAAATGAAAAATCGCAGCGCACGCGCTGCGCCAAGCTGTTAGGTCTGGCGAGGGGAGCTTCCATCCGCCTTACCCTTGAGCCGTTTGAATAGCACAGATTGCCTATTTCAAAAAGAAAAACTAGAAGTAATGAAGCTATTTTTATCAGAATATGTTCGCAAATCTTTACTCAAACTTTTCGTGGAAATTCACTTCGAAAAAACTATTTTTTTAGTGCTTTTTGCCTCGTTTAACGATCGCTGCATTAAAACGGCCCCGTAAATTTTTGGCAAAGACGAATTTTTTATTTTATTCTTTTAATTGAAAGATTTTTTACTAATAAATGTATATAATCGTTTAAAAAACCTGCGTTCGACCGCTTTCGGTGTGATAAACGCCGCTAATTTTTATTATCTAGTTTCAAGAGCATTTTCGCCTATCAAACAACTTTTTTTCAAGCACATATGCTGTGGAGAACAATTTAAGTAAGCCCATGGTCTAAATTTCTGAAAAAAAAACTCGATTATATTCGCTTATTAACGATATTTTGAATTATCACATTCGGCACTCCCTAAAATTTTTTTGGCAAAGACGAATTTTTTTATTTTTATTATTTTTAAAGTTACCGTTACTTGAATCAAAAATCATTATATAAAAAAAGAAAGAATGCGTTCGACCTAAAAAAACACATGAAAAAAAGCAAAAAAACGACAAAAATTTTTTTAGTTCCATTCACGTTTTTTTGTACGACATTCCGCGCGAACGCATCAAAAAAGCGTGAAATATTTTTCAAACGAAAGAGGAAGCTTTTTTGTACATGTGTGCCAAAATTTATTATCCAGTTCCACATATTTTGCAACTACAGCAAAATGAAAGTTGAACACCAAAAAAAAGCCACTTTTTCTATCGCGAAAAGGGGCGTGGCTTTGCGGTCCCTAACTATAGTTGCTTGCTATTTTTTTACTTGAGTTTTTTTTCTCTATCTAAATAGTTGCATTACCTCTATCGTAGTTTCACTAGTCTCCGTGCTCTGGATTTTGAGCGTGGTCGAGGTCGAGTCGAGCGAAATCTGGCTGAATGGTTCAATTGGAAAAGGGCTCACTCCGGTCGGAGGAAGCGGTTTCGCCGATGTTTCCAAGAAAACTTCTGTATCCTTCTCCGGCGGATCCAATTTGCCAAGTTTGGAAAGCCGGATTTTGGATGCGACGCTGCTGTTGCCGTTAAAACGAAAGAAGAATTCGGGCGGTGGTCTGAAGCTTGGTGGAGCGCCGTGACGAAGAATTGGTGGTGGCTTGAAAATCGGCTCCGGAGGCGTCGGACCGTCGACGTCGGCGTCTTCTGGAGGCGGAGGCGGTATCAGGACCAGCGGATCTCCGTTCGCATCGAACTCTTGCGTTTCCGGGCTGTGAGCTTCTCAGTTGAAGGTCTGGTCAAAGAACCCACCTGAGAGATTCGATGCGAGGCAGAGGTTCGAAGATGGCGCCAAGTACGACTTGTTGCAGTAGCAGAGCCTCCAGAAATAAGAAGCCCCCGAAGGCGACCCGAAAAGGTCCCATTCTTAAAAAAGAATTTGTTTGAGAAGAGATTATTCATCGTATGTATCATCAGTCACATAAGATAACAGAAAAAGATTGACAAACAAGAAACAAAAAGGAGTTTAAAAAAAGCAGAAGGTTTTTGACTCAGTACGAATGGACTGTGATTTGGTCAGTTATAAACAAGGTCATTGGGTCAAACGGCTGTAAACTTGAAGATAATTTAGTTTTATCACCAAGAATCAGGTTCTTTCTTAACGGTTTTGCTCCAAAATCGTTGGGTAAAAAAGGCCGTTTACATAAAATAAAAGATTAGGCTTTGTTAAGTTGCAACTTCGAATGGGTTTAGGAAGCTCGATTTATTTTTTTCGATATCCCAAAAGATGTAATTTACTTTAACTTCAAACATCATCAAAAATTCTGTCAAAGTTGACTTAAACACTTTCTTGCCTGGTAAATTAAGATTCCGGGAGTGTCTATTTGAAAAAAAAAACCTTTTTTTTAACAGCGTGGAAGGCCGATTTTCGGATCTGCAACAAATTGAAACTTTGAAAGCTTCTTTCTTTTTAATAAACATTATTTTTAACTATTAAATATTCCCAGAATCTACTTATATCATTTCGAAAAGTCTTCAAGTCAACTTTCAGAAAATATAAATTTTTGAGAGTGACCTGCGAGTTTCAGAACTAACTACTTTCCTTGCTAGTGCAAGCTGCAATTTCTTTGAAGATAGTTTCTCGAACTTGTTGAAAAAGAATAAAAATGTAAAAAAATTGAGTTTTTTTGAAAAAAATCTCATGAGAAAAAACAATATTAAGGCAGAAAATATAAGGAGAAATAACCGAGAAGCTCTAGTTCTGAAACTTGTTATTTTAACCGAAAAAACGCCGTCAGTGTCATAATAATGGCTTTGTGACATTTTTTGCTGACCAAAAGTACGGTCCTAGGTGGACGAATATGAAACCTTACAAATTTACGCTAGAGTTAATGAGGAACAATTGAGAAAAAAATATTTTTGAAGCCTTAATGTTTAACTCAGTACAGTAAAGTTTATAAAAAAAACCTTTAATGAATAGAATGAAAAAGTAAAGGACAAGCATAAATGGGAAATGAAACGAAAGTGATCTTTCGGGCGCCTGCGCAACAAACAAGGCGTACAAGACAATAAGGGCCGGCCGAACAATAGGACAGTTGGTTTCGAAAGTTGCCACGAGAAAAAGAAGAAGCAGAAGAAGCGAAACGAGGCCGTTAAGCAACGAATCAAACCGCGAACACTTATTGAATCACTCGATGAGCTTTTTAATGGAGCTTCGTCATAGGCAATCGAGCAGAGTAATAATGGACATATAATGTGGCTGTCAGAACCGAAAGTTCAATCTCGGTTCGGAGATTGATCTGGTGGATCAGATGCGAATTTCATTGTTTTATTAAAACTGAAAACTTCAGTGTGTTGCAACCCCGATGGCCTTGAAAGATTAACGATAGTATTCATTTTTGTTTGGATCAAAAAGCTTTCAACTGTGGATATTATTTTCTTTAATTGTTTCGCCATCAATATTCATTCGCCACGACTTTCAATAGTCGAACCTCTCGGAACTCTTTTGTATCCCATCTTTAGTCTCAGAGAATTTAAAATAACTTTTTTTAAAGTGCCACAACGCAAAAGAATCAGATTGTAGTAATTATTTACAGAAATTTACAACTGTAATTTATTTTTTTAATACATTAAGAAATCTTCGAGGTTTGAAACTGGGAACGAATGAAAGTTTGAAATTGAAACTATGAGATAGAAGAGCGGAAACTAAAGAAGAACCTACCTCCACAAAAAGTTTTCTCACTTTGAACCTTTCGAAAAACCTCTGAAAAACTGGTCTTTTCTAACTGATGAGCGCAAAATAAATTTCAAAGCTAATGGTATTAGCAAACTGAAATTGGCGTTCTGGAACTTTCTAACAGAAAAACTTGTTCTCGTTTCGATTTTATTTCCATTTCAACCTTGAACTGGAGAAAAGCAAAAAAAAAGCTTTTGCAAAAAGTTCGATGGAACTGAAAGAAGAGAAAGAATGATGGAAAAAGGGAAAGTTGTAGGTTCGTAAAATTCGAAACCTTAGTTGGGCAGTTTTTGCAGTTTCACGGCTCAAAAGTTTTTGCTTAGTTATTTGAAGGAGTATAGAAAAAATTGATGCAGATTTTGAAGCAAAGAATCTTTTTTCTAAGTAACTTTAGATCACGCAAAGTTATTTAGAAAAAAGATCCTTTGCTTCAAGATCTAGAAATTTATTCAGAAATTTATCCCTATCCAGAAATTTTTATAGACTACACGATCATAATAAATTTCGAAAAAAAAAGATAAGATTCCAATATTTAAATCTAAAAGAATCTTTCAGAATAAAAAGGAACTTGGGATAGATTTTCTTGAGACCTCAATCTGAATGGTCACGTCCTTGATGTTTAAAGCCAAAACGAAAACTTTTTTTTCTCCCGCTTAGTTGGTTCCATCTATGGTCAAGAAAAAGCAATATTGTTGCCAATAAAGAAAGTTTAATGGCGCCAACTTCTCACAGGCATTGTTACGCTTCTTTTTTGCCCGCTGTAAACTTTCATATGCTGAGGGACAGAAGCACGTGCCATCCTTTTTGAAAATAAATAACGTTTTGGTAAGTTTTTTTTATTGTTTTATTAGAAATTGATTTTGGGTAGGAATCAGGTATCAAAGGAATTTGTTGGAAAATGATATGAAATACTAAATGAGCAGCGCCAAAGAAGATCTTAAACGAAAATCAATCTTTAAAAAATTTTAAATTCAATTCTTGGGAGCTGCATGAAAAAAATGGTTTTAACTTTTTTTCGTTTTAAAATGAAAAAAATAAAGAAGTACGTGCTTTTTTTGGCAGATAAATATTCTATTCAATTGTGAAAAAAACGATGAATTTTTTTCTTGAAAGAACACTTTTTTGTCTGAACTTTCAGTCTAACCGTCTCTATTATTGGCTAACTACCACAAACTGTCGTTTTTTCTTTGATTGAAACGAGTAATTTGACATAAATTTGAGGAGTTTTTGATTCGCTTCTTTTTTTTCGAGTTCAGATTTCTCAAGTCGGTGAAAAAAGGAGCTGGTAACTATTATGATTATCAATTCCAATTTTATTTTCTTGAAAATCTTTCTCGTAAACGAGTCAACTGTACCCAGAAAGACCAGCCTCTTTTTTTTTGAAACCGAGCAAAAGACGAGAAATCACTTTGTTTTGGTTGAACTTAATTTTTTTCTACACGGGTAGTGTGTATTTATGAAAGTTTATCTACAATGACAATAAAAAAAATATCGATGCCTAGAAAAAAACTATGCTACCCCTTTTCGCGATAGAAGAAGTCGTCTTTTTGTCTTGGTTTTTACTGTTTTGTTTCGTAGAGTGTGAAAATTAAAGATGATATTGAGTGAAGCTTCATCTTTCAGCTCACGAACTTTTAACTCCAGTCTGATGCTTTTCAGCTGGATTTAGTACAGAAAAATACAACACGTTTAAAAGGGAAAAAATCGCCTTTATTTATGCGCCATATCTGAACTGCATCCTCTCAATTTGTGGCTTATCCCATTTTTGGAAGTTCTCACGTTTATACAATTGTCTTGAGGACTTTATTGGCTTGCTCCGCCTTGAAAGGCGTGCCCAACTAGGCAGAAAATAAACGTGAAGTCTCATCAAAGATATTTGCAAGAGAGAGTCAAGAAGTTGAAAAGGAGAGCTGAGAGGAAGCGACCACCCACGGCGGATCCTGGAGGGATGAGATACTTCTGGAGGTACAGGGCAGAGAAACAGTTTCGAAACGTTTTTTGATGTCACGGAGGTCAGAAAAGGAGGGGCAAACTGTTTCGGCGAGACAAAAGGAATCCGGGCTCCTTCCTCCCTCGCAACGGGCAGGCGTCCATTTTTTTCATCAACTTTGCGAAAAGTTACCGTTTCCCCCTCCCCTTTCCGCTCCTGCAGAAAGGGGTGAAATGCCGTCAAAGGAAAAGTTTTTTTCGTTGGAAGGACGCCAAAAGCAACTTTTTGGAAACTGTTGAGTGTTTGGGAAAGATTCTCAACGGGAAAATCAGAGAAAATCAAAATCAAGATTTCATTTATTACTTTTGCTCTTTTTCTATTCAAAAGTTTGTTTATCAGTCTCCTGATTCCAATCTCGAAGTCGATTTCCATACCTTCTCGAAAGAAAACTTTTGAAAACCGATAAAACTTATATAATTTAATTACTTTTTAGCAGAGCTGCTGATCAGACCGAGGCGACCCGGGTCGGGGCGCCCCGCCAAGCGGTCACACTGTTAGAATATTCCTCCACAGTTACTCAATGATATAAATGAATTTTTTTATTTTTCTTCGACCATTATATTTATCTATTAGTCGATACTCTGCGAATTTTCTCACTTAAACTTCATTTTTACTTATCTACCCAACGGGGCGGGGCGCCCCGTCAGCAGCACTGCTTTTTAGGTCGATCATCATTTCTAAGTTTTTTTCAAAGGGGCGATTCAATGTGAGTTGGAAGGTTTTAAAAAGGAACTGAGACTGAGACTGAGCTCATTTTAGAGGGTATTTATATCTTGTCCTTTTGGTAACTAATCATTTTTCCGGAAAATTTTCCAAGCGTAGATATTTTCCAAAGTTCTGCGCATTATAGGGAAATGCGGACGCGGTACGCTATCGTGATTCGGCGGCACTCCGAAGCGAAGCAACGGAAGCGAGGAGAAGTGCGGAAGAGGGCACAATGTTGTTCCGTCTCGACGCTGTGAAAACGTTTTTGGATAGCTTTTTTTCACAGACCTCCGTGCCAGTTTTTGAGACCAGATTTGGAATCAACGTAAAAAACTCCATCTTGAAAACTTGGTCTCATTCAGAAGTCAAACTACGAACAGAGACCATTCCGTGGTAATTAAGAGAAGAGAAATTAGTTTCTTTTGATTACACTTAATTTTTGTTGTATTTAAAAACTTTTTATCAATTGATAACAATAACAAAAAAAAATTGATGCCTAGAAAAAAACCATGGTTCCTATTAAACACATGGAAAAAAGGCTACAACAACGGAAATAGGATTTCTATTCCGTATAACATGAGCAACTATTCACAAATAAATTAATAAAAAAATGAATAAGTTATTCAGTTTGGTTTTTCGCAAGGCCTTGATTTGCTCCCACGAGGCTGCTTGACGTCCTGAAAAAGAGACGAATTGATCAGAAGTTGGATGGATCACTCACTCTTCTTCTGGGGCTCTGGAGGGCGATTTTTCTGGACTTCCCAGATCTCCTCCCTGAGACGATCCATGTCTTTCTCGATCTTCTTGAGCTTTCGAAGAAGCCGTTCAATCTCTCGGCGGAGCAGCCGACGCTCTTTCTTCGAAGGCTCGACCTCGACGGTTTTTGAAATTCTCCTATTTCCTTCAGAATCTCTTCCTGGAGGGCGTAAGCATCTTTCATCTCTCTTTTCAGCTTTTTTTCGGGTTTGTGCGCCATTTCTGAACTATATTCTCTTTTTTCTGTGGCATAATTCTTGTCTATTTATGGAAGCTCAAGCAAAAAGGAAACGTGAAGTCTTATCAAAGATATTTGCAAGAGAGAGTCAAGACGTAGGAAATGAGAGCTGAGAGGAAGCGACCACCCACGGCGGATCCTGGAGGGATGAGATACTTCTGGAGGTACAGGGCAGAGAAACAGTTTCGAAACGTTTTTTGATGTCACGGAGGTCAGAAAAGGAGGGGCGAACTGTTTCGGCGAGACAAAAGGAATCCGGGCTCCTTCCTCCCTCGCAACGGGCAGGCGTCCATTTTTTTCATCAACTTTGCGAAAAGTTACCGTTTCCCTCTCCCCTTTCCGCTCCGGCAGAAAGAGGTGAAATGCCGTCAAAGGAAAAGTTTTTTTCGTTGGAAAGACGCCAAAAGCAACTTCTCGGAAGAGGTTTGTAACGAAAAACTGCAGAAATTTTCACTTTAGATGTACATCGAATTAAGAATAAGGCTGGTGAATGGAAGTTCTAAGGGAAATAGTGAAATAGTTTTTTTTTTCTCAGAAGCGATTGAAGAAAAAGATGATAGTTTTCAGGTTGAAGCTGTTCTATTAAAAAGATGAGTTTAATCGAAGATTTGGCAACTTTTTTTTGAGAAACTAGATCAAGAAATTTACCACCAGCAATAAAAGTTAAAAGTTTCAAGCTTTTCCTATCCTCGCTTGTTTGATTTTTAAAAATGCGCTGACCAGAAGCGAGTTTTTGATTGGCTTGCTCTTCCTCAGAAGGCGTATCCTACTAAACAAAAAGAAACGCGAACTGTTTTCAAGGATAGTAACAGAGAAAAAGGGAATTGAAAAGGAGAAAATAAAAAGGAGATAATAGAAAAGAAGAAGAGGAGAGCTCCGAAGAGGCGACCTCCCTCGGCGGACGCCGGAGGGCTGAATGATTCCTGAGATCCTCCCTGGAGGTACAGGTAAAGCTCCGCCCCTTTTTGCCATGGTCAGAAGTTGGGGTCAAGAAGCTCCGCCCCTTTTCCTGAGCTGAACGAAAAATCGACCTTTCACCTCCCTTTAAGGTACTGTGAACCAGCGATGCGCGAGACTTAGTTTTTTGAGCTCGAGACGAGATCGAAACGAAAGCAAACCTCGAAAAGAGCTCGAGACATTACGATTTAAAAAAAATCAAGTTTTAATGTGGTCCAAAACACTTGGAAACGACCAAAAAAAATTTTTAAATGTAGAAAAATGAAATTTTCGTGAGCTCACGATTTTCTTTTGAAAAGGCAAGTTTTTAGAAAGGGTCAACATCAATTCTCGGTGCGGTATTCTGCATAAAAAATTGTTTTTCATTCCTCGAACTTCTTCAAAATCATCAAATTTATTCCCGTGAATCGATTATCAATTTTTGGCTAAACCAGGCTTGTGCGAGGGCCGGAAAGCCTTTCGGCCCTCATTTTCTCAAGCAAAAAATAGCCGGCAAGGCCCAAAAAGCTCAAAGCTCTTCAAGTCGAATACCAAGCTTTTTCACGACAAAAATCATGTTTTTTTTTTTTTTCACTCACGGTTCAACAGAAACTATGACTTTATAAGTAAAAAAACATATTTTCGGTGCAAATTTTTTTCAAGAAATCTAAAATTTGCTCGAAGCCTGGGGTGGCCCAAGCCCGCGCAGGTTTTTTTTCTCAAAAATGAGGCCGAATTTTTTTTTGCGGTTTCTCCGTCCGAATCTGAGACATTTAGTTTGGAAAAAGCTACTGTTCTCTACTCTTAATCTGAAAAAATTCGTGAACTAATCAAAAGAAAAGGTTTATCCTTTGAAAAAAAAAGGCCAATGTAAACTTTTTGAAAGTTTTTTAGTGTTTGGAAGATAATAAGAATACCAAACCGAAGGAGTTTTTTTTTCAAAATGCTTGGTTGCAGCATTTTTGATAGGATAGCGTACAATCAAATATTCGAATATAAAAACTCTGAAAATGTTGGAAGATTTTTATAAGTTCAGGGTTTCTCGTAATGTTCACGGCTTGACAGCACCATTAAGGACCAATCGAGATTTTTTTAATCTCCTCCTTTTTCGAGTCTCTCAACATCAACAAAAACATTCACCAAAGTTTTTCAAACCCCATCTTCTCATGATTTAACTTTTTGTTCATAAAAAAAATCGGTTACAATGAAAAAAAACTTTTTCTTGATTGCGATGAAACTAGAGCCAGTGTGATAGTTCGTCATCAGAAATTCACGATTGTCGAGACATTCCTTCTCACTGTAGCCAGGTTACGGTAGGTTGGTGGACACCTGTGTATCCAAAGAGCGATGAGTTTTCCGTAGACGTGATGTACAGTACCGTCACAAAAGATACGAAAAAGCGGGGGTTTCGGTCACAACTTCCTCGTAAGAAATTCAATCTTTCTGAAACTTTCTGGGGTTTATGACTGTTATTCTTAAAATTCTGAAGTTTCATTTCACAGAAAAAACGCCTATTCAGAAACTTTCTGGAAGATTGAGTTCCTTACAAGAAAGTTGTGACCGAAACCCCGTTTTTTCGTATCTTTTTCGGCGGTACTGTAAATCAGTTCATAGGTAATGCAGCTTTGGAGCCTTTTAAAAACATAGCAACTTGGGTTACTGTGAAATGTTTTAAGATACGGTACTTTTTGGGTTTGCGATCTTATATTGTTTTTTTGGCCCCCTTGAGCTCGAGTTCGAAGAACCTTTCTTTCTAGCTCTTCGAAGGATACCTTCTTAAATCTTCACAAACTGACGACAGTTTAAACATTTTTTGAGTGGATCATCAATTAAAAAAAACTTTTCCGATTGCGACACTCCGTTCAAGTTGAAAATTTTTGAGGAAAGATGTAGCATATGATAAAACCAGTGGCGCGAAAGTCAATCTCAAACGGCTGTCAATATCTAAAAAATTTAATTCCATCCATTTCAATTTTTTGAACGAACTGATTTTAATTATTTTTTTATTTTTCTGATAACATCAAAAACTCTTACGGTACTTTAATATTTCTACAGTTGAAAAAGTGCGATTTTTCAGGCTACGATATTTCTTATCTAACTTTTGAAAAAACGTAAAGAAGAAAAAAGATCGAGCTGTAGGGGTTTTTTTTTATCTTTCAGAGTTTTTTTTTGTTAAATAATATTTTCATGAAAACAAACTGAACTGGACTCAAACAGCTGGTCCCGACTGGCTTGGGCCGAGTGAATGGTTCTTTCACCATGAAAAAAGAGACAGTTCCTCGACGGAGGAGAGCGCAGACTTGCAAAGCCCCTTAGGAAAAATGGTACTGGCGTGACTTTATTCAAGCCCAATATTTTTTTCCAAAAATCTTTTTAAGTATTGGAGTTAGCAGCTCACTTCCAATATTTTATAGAAAAGCCAGCTCCTTTTCATGATTCTATGTTTTTCTTTTTATTGTCTCTAGCGAAAATGCCCAGCAAAAGACGAGAAATAAATATTCTTCTGGTTGAACTTAATTTTCTTTCTATACGGGTACGTATTTGAAAAAAATGTTTATCAAGTGATAACAATAACAAAAACAAATTGATGCCTAGAAAAAAACCATGGTTTTCTATTAAACACATGGAAAAAAGGCTACAACAACGGAAATAGGATTTCTATTCCGTATAACATGAGCAACTATTCACAAATAAATTAATAAAAATGAATAAGTTATTCAGTTTGGTTTTCGCAAGGCCTTGATTTGCTCCCACGAGGCTGCTTGACGTCCTGAAAAAGAGACGAATTGATCAGAAGTTGGATGGATCACTCACTCTTCTTCTGGGGCTCTGGAGGGCGATTTTTCTGGACTTCCCAGATCTCCTCCCTGAGACGATCCATGTCTTTCTCGATCTTCTTGAGCTTTCGAAGAAGCCGTTCAATCTCTCGGCGGAGCAGCCGACGCTCTTTCTTCGAAGGCTCGACCTCGACGGTTTTTTGAAATTCTCCTATTTCCTTCAGAATCTCTTCCTGGAGGGCGTAAGCATCTTTCATCTCTCTTTTCAGCTTTTTTTCGGGTTTGTGCGCCATTTCTGAACTATATTCTCTTTTTTCTGTGGCATAATTCTTGTCTATTTATGGAAGCTCAAGCAAAAAGGAAACGTGAAGTCTTATCAAAGATATTTGCAAGAGAGAGTCAAGACGTAGGAAATGAGAGCTGAGAGGAAGCGACCACCCACGGCGGATCCTGGAGGGATGAGATACTTCTGGAGGTACAGGGCAGAGAAACAGTTTCGAAACGTTTTTTGATGTCACGGAGGTCAGAAAAGGAGGGGCAAACTGTTTCGGCGAGACAAAAGGAATCCGGGCTCCTTCCTCCCTCGCAACGGGCAGGCGTCCATTTTTTTCATCAACTTTGCGAAAAGTTACCGTTTCCCCCTCCCCTTTCCGCTCCTGCAGAAAGGGGTGAAATGCCGTCAAAGGAAAAGTTTTTTTCGTTGGAAGGACGCCAAAAGCAACTTTTTTGGAAACTGTTGAGTTTTTGGAAAAGATTCGTAACGAAAACATCGAAAAAAGTTTTATTTATTACTTTTGAACTTCCGAATAACGTTATTTTCAAACTGATTATCAAAAAAGGAGATAGTTTCTAGATTAAAGTTGCTTGATTCAAAATTAAAAAGAGTTACCGCCAGCACTATAATTCAGACGGTTCTAGCTTTTTATAATCTTGTTTTTTTTTTATTAAAAAATTCATTAGCATTTCTCAAGCTTTTATTTTGGTTCTGATTAGTTTTTTAGCTGTTGATTAGTTTCTCTGCTTCAAAGGGCGCATCTATTTTAGCAAAAAACGAAAACGCGAACTGTAATCAAGGATATTAGCAAAAGAACAAGAGAATTGAAAAGAAGAAAATGGAAAAGAAGAAAAAGGAGAAAATAAAAAGGAGAAAATAGAAAAGAAGTAGAGGAGAGCTCCGAAGAGGCGACCTCCCTCGGCGGACGCCGGAGGGCTGAATGATTCCTGAGATCCTCCCTGGAGGTACAGGTAAAGCTCCGCCCCTTTTTTCCATGGTAAGTAGTTGGGGTCAAAAAGCTCCGCCCCTTTTTGCTGACCTGAACGAAAAGTTGGCTTTACTATGGACAATAAGGCATTATCAGCTGAGGGTCCCAAAGAAAGAGAAAACTTTTGAAATAAAGAATACCAAGTTTTTAGAAAAATATTTCGTCGGTGGCGCACCAAAAAAGATCTCGAATTTATCAGAACGGTTTTTGTCTCAGAAAGACACCAAAGTAAACTTTTTGGAAGTTGTTGAGTGTTTGGAAGAAAATAATAATGCCAAACTTACCATTGGAAAGATCGCTACTCCCCAGTGCACATGGAGTTAGGAATTGAGACTCTGACGGATCTTAATCATAGTAAAATGTATCAAAAGTTTGCTGAAAAAGTGTGTTATAATATGACGGCCTTGTGATAATGTCATCGGAGAAGAAAAAAGTGTGAGGGGAAAACAGCAGATTTGATCCCAACTTCTGTGGTAGATAGCAGTGCTGCTGACGCGGCGCCCCGCCCCGCTGGGTAGAAAGTTAAAATGAAGATTAAGTGGAAAAAATCGGCATAGTAACGACTAATAAATAAGTATATTGGTCGAAGGAAATGAAAATACATTTATATGCTGTCCAGACCGGGGCGCCCCGACCCGGGTCGCCCCGGTCTGGACAGCAGCTCTGGTAGATAGTCCAAAACGCTTGAAAACTAATTTTTTTTTTCTCGTTTCAAGTTTCAAAAAGAACTGCTGTTCAACTCATCCAAAGAAAACGAGAGATGGACTTTTTCTCAAAAGACTTAAGGAGAATTTGTTTTTTTAGCTTTTCCTGTACATTTTCGAGGGGATGTTTCTCAGTACCCTAGGGCGCTTAACAGAATAGTACTTTTTGTGTCCGAGTACTCATACCGAGCGACACCTATCACAGAAGTTTGGAAGAGATCTGCAATTGTTCCTTATATCATGGTACAGTACATTTAAAACTCTTCGAATCGAAAAGCTATCGACGCATGTCTACTGAAGTGGAAAACACTCTTCCGAAAAACTTGGTTTTGATTATTTTCACCTTCAGAAAGACACTGTCGAAAAATGACGTCGAGCACTCCGTTGAATGGAAATTTGGAGCTTCCTTTGAATGTGAGGAGCTCCAAAGTGTGCGACACACCGTCATCCCGTCATCAGAATCCGCTTTCGTACCTCAAAGATCCAGATTTACCAAGAGAGTATTCAGTTAGTTGTCTTGTATTTATTCATGCGCAAAATTTGGAATTTCTGTAAATCCTGATTTTTTCAGTTGTAGAATCCTTGCTTTATACGCATCCCCTCTCATTGAATCAGATCTGTTAATAATCGTAAAAAGTTGGAGGCTTATCAAAGACACCGTGTCTCTCGCCGTTTCGCTTTTTTTTGTGGCAGAACTCTTCAGCATCAAATTTACAATATATTGACAAGATTTTGATTCCTGGAAAATTAATCCAATATTTGGAAGAAAATAACAGCGTCTGAGAAAGCATTAACGTGATCGAAATTAAGCTTTTTTTAAACCTTGATTTCACTTAGTAGTTGCTTAAATTGCAAACAAAAAAGAAATCTTTAACTTTTTCTTTTGATTTTTGTAGAAAAAAAGTTTCAAAAAAATTTGATGTTAAAAAAACAGCCCTTTATTGACTATTTTTCAATATAAAAAAACCATTGTCTGATTTTTTTATTAGACCTAATTAGTGTAGTCCCCCGTCCCGGCCTTTTCCTAAGCTGGCCTTCCCAATCTCGCCACACAAAAGCTACTCTCTTGACTGGTCATCTAAAAATTTTTTTCCTGAGCAAAATAGAAATTTTACTGGAATGAAAAACTAGAATTTTTTTCCTGGAGATTTCAAACTTTAAAAAAATTAAAAAAAGTTTTTGATTTTTTTATTTTGATTATCTTTTTCAATTTTTTTAAACTTTTTCGGAAAAAAAGCTTTCTTGAAAAATTTTTTTCCCTAGAAAAAAAATTTCCACGTTCAGTTTTTACATTCCAACTTTTCCTTTTTTTTCAATTTTTTTAAAATTATTTTTTTTGAAAAATTTTTCAGTTTATTATTTTTAGAAGAATTCCTTTTTTTCTTCAGAAAATCTTTTTGGTTGTCAATCAGTCAAAAGAGAAGTTGTTGTGTGACGAGATGGGGAGGTCCGGAATGGAGAAGGCCGGGACGGTGGACTACACCAAAGACCAAATTCTTACTTTGATTGGAAAAGTTTGAATTCCCCAGATAACTCGATAAATCACGCTTTTTATGAATTCGGAACCATTAAAAATGGTGAAGAAGCGATCTTATAATATTCGTCACAAATTTGGAGGCGGCTTATCAAAGACACCGTATCTCTCGCCGTTTCGTTGTTTTCGCTGCGAAACTCTGTCGCAAAAAATTTCAAAGTTTGAAATAATTGAGCGTTTTTTTCAAACTTCCTGACATTTCTTCAGTTAGAAAAAAATAAAAAAAAGCTTTTCGGGGAAAAAAATGATTTTTATTGAATTTAAAAATTTTTTTGCACCTTATTATCATCAAGCAAACACTAAAAAAATTACAGAAATGAATGAAAAAGAAACATTTTTTTGGCTTCTCATGTAATATAAAACTCTTGAAAGTTAAATAATTTCGAATATCAGACTTGAAAGTTACTTATTCGATTTCAATCGATTGTTTGCCGAATAAACCGTTCTTGCTTTTATTAGGACTATTTCAAACTTCTGCCGAAAATTTTTGAATTTATCAGCTAGCTCAAGAAACGGCGCTTCTAATGAATGTATAACCATTCGAAATGGTGGAGAACCGATCTTATAATAATCGTCACAAAGTTGGAGGCAGGCTGAAAGACACCGTATCTCTCGCCGTTTCTCTGTTTTCGCGGCAAAACTCCGTCGCGTCAACGTCTGTGATTTTGAAAAATCGGGCGTTTTTTTGACTTTTCTGTTAATTTTTTAGTTGGAAATTATTAGAAGTTTCCCGAAAAAAAAGATTTAATTGTAATCAACGCTTTTTGAAGGTTAATATCATCATGCAAACACTAAAAGTAACAAAATAAGTGGGAGGAATCGACTTTCTCTCTCTTTCTAGGAGATAGAAAGGAAAAATTCTGAATGTCAAAGTTGAAACTCATCGAATTGACTTTTATTGATCATTTTCCGTGTGAACCGTTACTTGTATTTTATTAGTACCAACTATCACTTTTACGGAATATTTTCGAATTTCCCAGGTAGTTCAAAGAACTGCGCTTCTTATGAATTCGAAAATATTCAAAATAATGAAGAATTGATCTTATAATAATCACTGCAAAATTGGATGATAAGCCGGATTTTCAAGCCTGCAACTTTTCGTGAGCGTGAACAGTGTATGCACCATATCACTCGCGGCGTCTCCTCCGGCTACATTAGAGCGCATTTTCCCATGTCCTTTATACGATGAGATAAACATGAAAGTTTCGGTACAAGGTAATCAAATACAGAAAATGAGGTAAACGAACTCGCGAGCTTTTTCTTTAACAAAAAAGACGGATTTTCCAAACTAGGCCTACTTTTTTCACTAGGTAGCGTTTGCGAAAGTTGGACAATTGTAAAAATTAATCTCTTTTTCGATTTTTTGTCTTTTTCCTTTCATTTGAGTCTTTCTTTACTTTTCTTGATTTTTTTATGTCATTATAAGGATATTTTCTTCTTTTATAGTGTTTTTGCATTGGACTATAGTCATTTTTGGGATTTTCCCCGTTCCAAATCTGCTACCACCTCGTTTTTTCTGTGTTCTCAACCTTCTCAATTAAGCAAAACACTTGACGGATAAAGTTTGTTCAGGTTATTACAACAAAAAAAAAAACTATTTTCTTGAATCTGTTACAATGACGTGGTAGCAGATGTGCGGAGGACCGTCGGGATGGGGACATACACTACTCACATCTAATATTCAATATTTATTACACTCTGATACATCGTGATACTTAATTTGAAAAGATCATATAGCTTCAGCAAGGATTATATGAGAAAAATGAGCGCCGGTTTAACAATCTCTAACCAGCGACTTACCGGAATAGAGAAAGAAATAAGAAAAAAAAATTGGATCAAGGGATTCTTGTAAAACAACTCTTTGTTCTGAAGTTGAGGAACTCTCTGAAATGAGTGGTGAACGGGTTAGGGCTGCATCTTCGGGGGTGCCCATGACATCGATCTCATTCCGTCTCGACGAAATTTCGAGAGTTTGAGACTAAATAATATTTTTTTTTACGATTACTCTTTTCAAAAAACATCTTGACATCAGAAGCACCTAATTGGCTCTCTAGTGGTGTTCATAATTGTTAACATTTGCTGGCTCTAACTCAACTTTTTTCTTGGAATGTCTCTATAGTTTCGAGACGAGATTTCGATCAAAACATTGATCCTCTCGTTTTTTTGCTGAAAAAAGATTTTTCTCGTCTCGCTTTGGTCCATTGAGACGAGCTGTTCTTTCTATTCGATCTAATTATATCCAAACAAAAAACTTCGTCTCGGGCAACTCTGTTGAACCTAGTCGATTTCAAAACTGTTTGAATTTTTTCCATTTAATCATTATTTGTTTTTGTACGAAATAACAGGCTTATTAGCTTCAGAATTTAATGAGTTCAAGTTTACCTCTTCATGAATGCTCCAGACAATACCTCAAGCGGTACAAAGTTAACGTGAGCATCTTCCTTTTTTGCATTCTATGAAGTTCTTCATGATAGGCACAAGACCGTGCAGGTTGGGCTCGTCTTTTCTTCTCCTTCTTATTTTCAATCTTGGTCTCGCACTTCCGAAGAAATTTGTCGTACTTTTCTTCGAGCATTTTGACAAGTTTCAGCTCCTGAGAGCAATCGTTCAATCCTTCACGCTGCTTCGATTCCAAATCAAGTCAAAAACTTGCGCGGTAAATATTGAAATCCAAGTTTGCACCATCTTGATAATTTTTTTTTCTTAACTATTTTCTTACTGTCTGATTACGATAAGATTTATCGAGTTTTACATGTCCTTCATCAACTAAAAAAAATTTATCAAACAAGAGTAACATTCGGAAAAGGATATGCTTACACATGCTCAAAAAAATGTCTACAACAATGCAGATAATTTGTAAGTAACGAAGCGATTGTTAGATTGTAGACGAAACATGTGAAGCGAGAAAAATCCTTCCATTTCTGAATGCCGTCCATGTGTTTCGTAATCTGAAAATACACGATAAAGTGAGTATGAAGGAGAAGGTGGAAGCTTATCTTGAGGCGCAGACGATTTCTTCGTCCGGCAAGAACGGCCTTCCTTCTTCCTTTTGGTGTGGCTTTGATGAGGCTCTCGTAACGTTTGAGACTGTTCCTATCCCTGATGAGCAGTTCTTCGGCCAGTTCGATCTCCTCTTTGAAAACGAGTTCTCTTCGGAGCATTTGTCGTCCATAGATGAATAGTCGTTCGAATGAGCCGCAGTTTAAAATTTTCCATTGATACAATTTTTTTCTCTCGTCTTTTATTGTCTTCCGTATCAATCATCCTTATCAACTCAAACATTTCGAAACTTTCCAGTCCCGCCTTTCTCATAATGGCTCATCGCTCATTTTTGGTTATCACAGCTACGTGCGTCATTATCATCACTTTCACACTTCATTAACTAAGCCTGCATTCTTTTAACATATTCTTTTTGCTCGAGTTTTTTTTCATCAGTAGTAGCTACTCGAACAGTACCGATACCGTAATACCAATACCGTAACATCAGTTAAAGTATCATAGATTACATTATCACCGATTAACGTACAAAAAGTTTCCCTTTTTATCAATACCGTAGAACCTTCACAATACTATCAATACGGTAATACCAATAACAGTACCACCAAGTACATTACTAAAAATCACATCCTGTAGTACCAGTACAATACTAACAATTACGTAGTACGAACTACAATACCCTGATACCGATTACAGTACTACCAAAACTGTTATACCAAAACTGTACTACCAATAGTAACTACAAAACTGTAAAACCAAAACTGTACCACCAAAAGGGGCGCGCCGGCGCCGTAGCGCAACAGGTTGTGTGCCTGTCTACGGTCCACAGGGTCACGAGTTCGATCCCCGCATCGACCCAATCAAGGGGTTTAAGAAATGTTGGTATTGGGAAACCACGACTTCAAAATCCCCAGCCGTCACACACAAGGACGGATATGTCACTCGAGCCAGTTCACTGATTATCAGGGATATGACCCCGGCAAATCGACTTGGGGCGCCGACGCCGCTCAAGCGGTACAAAGGCGTAGGAGGAAGAAGAAGAAGAAAACTGTACTACCAATATAATTTCACCAATTACATTACTAAGTAAGATCTATCGATAAATATCCCTATTTTCCAAACTTCTTTTAATTCGAAAAGCAGTCGAGATATTTTCCAATGTTTTTACGACAGAAGGAAAACTTGAAAAGAAGAACTTTTTATTTCTCACCGTTGAATGAATTATTGAGCATATGAGAGCAATGAAAACAGTCATTTCGAAGAAAAGAAAACCTTCTAGAATTTCTAGCGATATATAAAGTTTCGATTGCTAGAAATATCTCAACGATTCATACATAATCTTCTCAATTCAAAAATGTGGAAGTTGTATAGCTAATATTTGATACTTTCACCGGAATCGTTGAGAAAAGATTGAACCATTCTGAAAAAAACGTCTCTTGTGAAAAATTCCGCTGGAAATTTTTTCAGACTGTTCAGAAATTCTTGCTAGAGCGTTCAGAGAGCGCATCAATTCGATTCGTACAAGTTTCAGGTGACAAGCAGACTTTATTTTGATTTCGTGTTATTCAAAACTTTTGCACTTTCAAAACCTTCAGTAAGGATTTTTGAGTAGACAAAAATCCCTCACTTTTCACACTTTCGCGGTAGTCACGGATGAAATAAATGACGTAGAGAGGGTCTATGACTGGGTACAAGGCCAGAAAGATGGGAACAAAATTTGCATAGGCACCGACTTCCATCTCAAATAACGGAGCTCCATAAATAAAGCCACACGGAATGTACATCAGAACAACAGGTGTAACTGTCTTTAAAATTTTCTCCTTTTTGTGAAAAAAAAAACGTTTGGGCTGTCACCTGTAACACGAGAACTTTGAAGAGCTGAGCCTGAAGGTTACGCATTTTTTTCGTCATATTATCTTGCTCTTTCCGCATATTCAAATAGGTTTTGATGCCGCAGTAGAAAACGATACTTGAAGACAAAGACTAAAGAAAAAATCGAAAAAAACGCATCTCTTCAGTTTAAACTCACCATCATAAAAATGTAATAGACCAATCCCAAACACGTCGAAAGATTGTAACGACGATAACCGTTTTCGTCATAAGTCTCAAAAAATTACACATTTTCCAGAACTTTCAAGATTGGTAATAACTAACAAAGTAGAAACCACCAGAGTAGTAGATCTCTTCAATCCGCAAATTGTAGTTTTTTAGATACTCCTCACTGAAAATCGCTACAGCCAATGAAAGTTATCAATTTTGTTCAACACTCACGCCAAGTATTTATCTTTGTTCCGGACTCTCATCAAATAAAAAAAAAGCCGTTAAACCCCAGATGAGACCAAGGACCATTACAACGAAAGCCCAACAAAGAAAAGTTCGATAGCCTTTGAAATATCGCAAGCGGAGCGGCCTCAAAAATACTTTCTTTGCTGAGAAACGCGGGAAACAAGGTACCAACAAACAGCAAAATAACGATAAACGAAATGAACGGTCAGTAAAGTCAGCACCATATTGAAAGAGGTTGAGTAGAGAGCTAAATAATACAGACTTTTGACAAATGGAACGAAGCTCGCATACCCATAATAACGGCGGCGCTGCTTTTGTTGAATCCGAAAGTCGACAGAATCATGATGGCGTTGAAGGTTGGGCCATAAACGTGCATCAACTGCAGGAAAACCCTTTTCATTCTTTTCATTCTTAGATAATCCAGGGGTTGGGCCAAATAAAAGACGCAGGCAGAGAAACATCCAGTGCGCTTTGATAGGAATGATTCTCTAGCTCGGATGAAAAAAAAACCATGACAAGCTGGGAATGGCCTATAAAAGCAAACCGGTTGAACGAGAAGGTCAGTGGCAGAGAAGAAGATGCCGAAGAAGGCGAAGCTCATCATCAGATACTTGTAGGAGCCCATTTCTTTCCTCGACTTCGTCTTGATCAGATAGATCAACAAGCCGTTGACAACAACGGAAAGAGCGAAAGACAAATACTCGGCGACGTGAGCGACGAGCATAATCGAGTGCACAACTCCCACATTTGTTGGCATTTCTGAAAAAAAGATGTTTTTATGAAATTTTCAATATATTAACTTATTCAATACACAAACCTACTTTTCACGAATAAAAGGAAAAGCCATGTTTCGAAAAATTGAAATAAAAAGATTGAAAAAAAACCACGACAGAGCTATAAAAACGTCTGTGAGAACCTACTTAAATTTCAAATGATAAAAAATTTGTGAAAATAAGCTTGTATATGAGCAATTCAGTTTTTACTTGAAAAGACCTCGCTTTTTCCAACTACCAGGCATGACGTTCGTATGAAATGATTTCTATAAAGGATAGGAAATTAAATTTCATAAATTTCTTCCAATAACAAGAGTTCACGATTTCAACACCATTTCGAATATTATAACCGATTCACGGCTGGGACGCTAAGACTCTACGAGGGTCGTTTTCCACCTCGCAGTTTTGGGTCCTTTTCAGTGCACATGTGGTGCAAGACCGCACGGTGCTGACACTCCGAGTCAGAAAATCCACCGTGCGGTGTTGCACCACACCCGCACTAAAAAAGACCCGAATTTGCGAGGTTCAAAACGACAACGTGCGCCGTGCAGCAAAATAGTGGAATATCATTGCTCGCATCGTGCGCGTTCCTTGTAGAGGCGGGTCCTGTCTGCGAATCTTTTTTTTTGATGACTCAAGCCAGCTGAATCAGCTATATGAAAGTACTTTTCATGGCCCCAGACACTGGTATGGGAAGTGCCGGGATTCTGGCTTTTTTTTTTGCTTCGTGGGAAAGTCTCTTTTCAATGAATCAAACGTTTTATTTCTCACACACAATTACTAAAATTTTCGAATTAGATGTAGGGGAAATGTGGGAAAATATGGTGTAAGGAACTTGTGGTGATCGAGGGAAGAGGACTCGCTGTCGTGTTAACCCCCCTTGAGTATAAAAATTGGAGTGACGGACGTTAGAGTCATTCTTTTTAATTGTCGATTATGTAGCATTCATATTTTTGTTGGATCAAGAGTGTTTTGTTCTGTAACGTTGTTTTTTTTAATTTTGTTTTATATGATTCCAATGATTGGAAACTATGTGATTAATGAACCGGTGGTGTATGTCAGAAAGTAGAGGCCGCTCTATTTTGAGACCATTTCCTCGCAGTTGATCCGAACTACTTGTTGTATTTTATAAGGAATTGGAGACGGGCACCAATAGTATCTGTGAATGTCGGAATAGTGAATAATGGCCGTTTTAACGGAGGCTCAAAAAAGGCCGCAAAAAAGCAGCAAAAAGGAAGCCTAAAAGGAAAATTTCTATGGACTCTTCCAGCAGCTTTTATGGACCCTCGGAGGGTCCTTCCGACTTTGCCTATGCAGGTTCTTAAGCGGGTGGCAAAGGTTTCCTTTTTACTGCCTTTTTGCGTCCTTTCATCGGCCTTCATCCACTCTTCTTGGAACCTTTTGAAAAATACAATTTTTTTGAATTAAGAACAATCTTTACAAGTGACTGTGTATGAACCAAAATGAGCTACAGTAATAAAGTGAAAAAAATCCATTTTTTCGCCCTTTTATGACTCTTTTTAGTCCACCTAAAAATGAAAGGCTCAATGAAGGCCGTAAAAAGGGACCCTTTTAGCGGCCATTTCGCAGTCACTCCCTTTTTGCACCCGTTTTGCGCACTTCCGACTTTGGCAGTGTTATCGTGCCAGGACCCTTTTCTTCGATGGCTCAAGCCAGACGTATATGTCATTTTGAAGCCCATGGTCTCTGTTCTGTAATTAACCTCAAAATTGTTAGCCAACCTTTTCACGAAATCCCTTTTGATTAAACGTTACTTGCGCCTTTTGGAGATATTAAAATTTCATGTCGAGAGATTCTCAACTGCAGTTAAAAAGTTTAAAGAAAAAAAAAAAATCACCCGCAAACAACAGAAAAATATTCAAAAACTTTATTAACCCGTGAAGAAAACTTTACACTTTTTTCAGGAATCTAAAAAGGCTTGAGAGTAAGCGATTCGGTGGAAATCACTTCGATCCCGGGGAAGGCCGTCTTCAACTCTTCCAACTTTGCAGGATTAGCCGAAATGGCACGAACGAAGTTCTGAATTCAAAATCTGTTGCCTTGGAGTAGTTTCGAGTTTGGATGATGACAGAAAAAGAAATCAAACTACGGAGAACATTTCTACATTCATGTATAAAGAAATTTTCCGAAATCTTATGCACTAACCGTGAAAAGTTTTCTGATCACAGGTGCTCCTCGGGACATCATTTCTTCTTTGGTCATGCTCCAGACGTGTTTCAGGCGTTTTCTGAAAATGTTCCTTGTTTCCCGTGAGGATCTTCTGTCTCCAATTCAAAATGAAACGGAAACTGACGCAGTGAAGGGAGTCGGAGAGCCACGCAAGACGTTGACGACGCCGACTTTTCCGGCCTGGCTGATGGTGTTCTCGTGGTTGACCAACTTGAACACCATCGATCGTTTCACGCCTTCAAACGCATCCGAAGAGATATTTTTGTTGTTCAGGAGCTCCATCTATGAAGAAAAACTTTTCCAGTTTTCAATACAAATATATTTTTTTCAAAACAAAGTTTTTTTTTCCAATCTTTTCCAACAAATGTTTTTTTCATAAAACAATTTGTTTGATAGGATAATTTAAAGAAAAAAACGTCGTTTGCATTATTGTAAAAGTACTTTGTAAATGTAAAGGGTGCGCCGAGTTGTTTATAGTTTGACCGCTATGACGTCATATGACATGCGCCTTATGATGGTGCAAAAATGGAAAGACTGGTCGCCGCCTACGTATGTTCAACGTTTAAGATTTTCATCGAATCAATTCGATATGAAATATCCATTTTCACGAGCTCTATTTCTTAAACCCACCACGATCCTTCTGGTCTCCTCGTAGGCCTCAACGGGCTGAGCACATTCTCCAAGGGACAGCGTCACGAGGCCGTTGTCGGCGTTGACCTCGATCTCGGCGTTGTATGCCAAGCCGCGGCCTCGAATCGCTTGCCAAAGAGGGCCTGAAATCAGAAGCCTATTAAAAAAAACTTCTTCTCTTCATTTTTCCAGGACTCCGTTCAACTTTGAAGTTCCGGACCATCTGCGCATATCGCCTTTCAAAACGGCAAAAAGGACTACACAGCCAAAAGTCGAACCTTGGCTGAAATAATTGGCAAGAAGAGTGACCGGCACGACGTCGTCATGAGTGAAGTGGACTCCGAGCGTCGTCGACTGATAAATGTAGGATGATTCTGAGCCTCCGACGCCGACCAGAAGCTGACGTCCGAGCTGAGGCTCCAGATCTGCTGCTGCATCACCCTGTAAAAGAAATTTCACATGGAAACGATTTTTTTTTTTTGTTCTTCTCATACTTCACAAGTCGCATTTTTTGGCTATCAAGTTATATATTTTTTTTTCCGAAATCACCCAGAGCTCTTCACACATTTTTCCACAGCGATCAACTTTTTAAAATTTCTTTTATATTGAAAGGCATGAGAAGCGAGGGCCGCACTTGGAATGGTTCGAAGCGTTCGAGCTGACTGGAAAAAATACACTTTTTTCCAGTTCTGCCCTGTCTCCGAGCGCAAATCGGTTTGGGTCGACTCTATCGCCGTCGTTTTATTTTCTCCAAATATGGAAACCTTGAACTCTTTGATCTTTCCGAAGTCGTTCCACTTCCACAGCTTCTTTGACATCTGGTTCTTGTTGATCCTTTCTGGGTTCAGAACGAAATGAGCGTTGATTCCGTTGGAAAACAGGCTGCGGCGCATCTGAATAGACTTCTTTCTCTCTAGAAAAGATAAGTTCGAACTGACCTCTCCGAACTTGACCACGGCCGTCGGCGGGTCGTTTTTGGCTTCTTCTGCGAGGGCCTCGAAAACTCTTTCCAGGACTGGATCTTGTACTGCCTCGTTCGAGTCTGAATTTCTCAGTACCATCCCGAAAAAGACGATTTCGGTACTGTTTTTGTAGAGGATAGAGGCGAGGGCGACGTTGGTCACTGTGGAAGGCTCCGATTTGGCGTCTCTGGCCTCGCTGGCCAGTCGCTGCGCAGCGGTGCGGATACGTTGCGGGTCGAGGATAACTCCCTTGAAATTTGAATTTCTATTTGCTTCGAAAAAATAAAGCTTCCTAAAACCTGCGTGAAAATCTTGCTCCATTTCGCGACCAACTCAAACTTCTCCGCTTCCACCTAGAAGTTCGAATTAGAGATTTACGGAAACTTTGATGAGACCTTCATTTTCAATGTTATGAAGTTGGGGTAGTTTTCAGCAACTCCGTAATCCATAGATTGTTCAATGAGTTCCTGAAAGTTCTCATGCTTTGAAAAAGTCTTTTTTCTCTCTTCTCTCTAAAAAACTCTCTTTTTCCCTCACTGCCAGTGAGAATGGTAAGGAAATAATATGTCATTGACATGCCAGACTATCAATTCAACCCTTTTTTTCTTTCAGGAGATTGTACTTCATTTGAGAAAATTCAGAACGGTTCAAAAGTAACAAACCTTTGGTGTAAAGCTTAGTGACGTCATCAGCGGCCACGATGACGTCATCAACGACAGCGGGAGATTCGAAAATCAAGTCCATAAAAACGACCATCCGCGCACGCTGCTCGAGTGTCAACTCGGAGGAATCAAACAGGAAAAACGCCTGAAAAAAAACTTTTATCTTCAGTTTTTCTTCTGAATTTGGCGCACAAGTTTTGTGCACAAGTGTGAGTCCATATCGAACTTGTCTCTGCTTTTCAATGACCCCATTTTTCAAATCTTGATTTTATCATCCTAACTGGTTTGTTGCTTAGAGTTAGCGGATCATCGAGCCGTTAAATAAACATTTTTATTTTTAGAAATAAGTATACAATTCTCAGCCCAAAAACAAATGGAATAATTCAAGCAAAAATCGGCAATTACCATTGAAAATAACCTAACCAACTAGTTGAATAAAAAGATTGCGAAGAAGAAGAAAAAACAAATGAGAAATCCTTCTTCATTAAACGCCTTTCGCTAAGTTCAAATCTTTTTGAGTATCCAAGAAAGAGAAGACTCCCAGACGACTTCCTCCAATTCAACATTTTTTCATTAGAATAAACACTAGTTTTCATTCTTCTTTAACCGTCTTCGGTTCAGAAGGGTTTTCCATTTTTCGAACTTCTTTAGTTCGGTCATTCCAGTGTGGGATCCAACATTTCGCCGACGAGCTTTAGAAGGCTGCTCGACTCGTTCGACAGCAATGAATTACGCGTACGTTCCTTTTTATTGAAATAAATCATTATTGTGATTATTCCTATTCTTTTAAGTTCGCGTGGAATTCACTATATTGAACTCCGAAAAACAAACAAATTTGAGTTACCATTTACGGCATATTCCTTCACAATGCCGATGAGAAACCGGTTTTGGCAACCATTTACTGGGATAAGTTTTAGGGGGCCCTATAGGGGGTCGCGATTTTAGGGGGCCCTATAGGGGGTCTGCAAGTGGCCTTTTTAGGGGAAATCCCTAGGGCCCCCTATAGGGGGTCCTAAATCGCTCCCTAAAAATTGCAAGACCCTCAAGGGGTCGCGAAGACCCCTTGAAACGAACGTGGTTTTTTTAAATATCTTTCTCATTTTTCTAAGTTTTTGAGTTGACTCAGTCGACTCAGTTTTTAGTTTAACTTTATAACTTGTATTTATATTTCATCAATTTCTGTGGTGCTTAAGGAAGTAATACGTTATTCACGAACGAGTTGTCAGTAGGATTTTTTTCGTTATGGTTTCAAATTGTATTATAATGATTTGTGCTTTTTGTGCTTCATAAAAGTTAACACGGCAATCTGTACATTGGTTCAGTATTTTCAGTGTTTCGTTTATGTACAATTGATATATTGGTTTGTGTAAATATGTTCAGAGTATTTTTATTTTGGTATTTTCAGAGTTTCGTCTATGTATAATTGGTCTACTGGATTGTGTGAAACCGTTAGAAATTCACCGGTAGATGATGTTTGTTGGAGGTTTTTTTGATGTAAATGCGTGTTTATATATTCTATTTGATTATTGCTCGTTAAAGAAGACTTAATTTTTTTATTAAGATGCCGCGGAGTCGCGATTTTATTGATGCGCATTTGTTCTACAGCAGCGATGAAGATTCTGAAAGGTATATCGAAAATGTTGATAATTATAAATGATCGTAGAAGCACGGAATCAGCCGACGGAAATTTTTGAGCCGCCACATGAACCAGAATCAACGGAAGATTACCGCGGGCCGAGCAATTCAATAAGTTGCTTTCAAAATGTCAACGTTGGTTGTTTTTTTGCTCACTGTTCAATTGTTCTTTTTATATGTGCCAAACTTTTTTTGCCCCTTATCTAAGTAGTTTCAACCGTTTCCGTGTCGGAAGTCCCAACGTTTTTTTATTGAAAGTTGCCCAACCATTTGCCTTGACACAACGCGTTTTTTTCTTCTATTTTTTTCGCAAGTAGCGCTTATATCAATATGCTTTAGGCGTATCTTTATTGTCTTGAAGAGCTTCTATTAGATTGATCAATACGGTTTCCGTTAGCAGTGATTTAGACGTGTCAAATATTTATATGGGTCTTTTACGGCCAAAAGTTTTTTTGCTTCCTCGAATACCCTGTTACGTATACATATCTTCAGTTCCTGATCCTGATCCTGATTGCTTTTTAATGTTTTTCGATTCGTTTCAATAAATTTGGAAACAGTTTCAAACGCGATGAGATGAGTTTACTGTGGATGTGTTAACGATTCGCATTCAATAAGGGTTTCTCTATTTCCTACCGGAGCTATTTCAGAAATTTTCCGTGCCCCCCCCTAAAGGGACCCCTAAAAAAATTCGTAGGGGTCCCTATAGGGTTTCATTTAGGGACCCCTATAGGGCCCCCTCCAAGGGGCCCTAATTTACCCCCTATAGGGCCCCCTAAAACTTATCCCAGTACGTCATCGACTTTTGTTGTCCGATGGAGCGCACATTCCATTACAGTGGCAATATGGTCACCAAAAGCCTGTTTTTGTTCGAGTTTTAATAAGAAAAGCAACGAGCCATATAGATATAAGAACTCAGCATTGATTATATGGTACCCGAGAATTTTAATAAATTTCGGTATGTTAGTGAACATGAGTAGACCGGAGGTGAACTAAAGTAGAAGACTGTTTTTTTTTTCGAGGAAGAAGAAAAACGAGTACAAAATTTTTTTCAAAAATATTGAAATATAAAGAACAAAAGAAATCCCAAACGTCACCTCGACGAATTTGCTTCGAGTCTCATGAAGATAGGCTTGGAATGGGAATTGATTCAGGAACGTCTGTTGCTGATCCGACAAGCTCGAAGAGTCTAAAAATGCTCCTACGACGGAAAAGAACATGTGAGTTACCTTTGGTGAAGGTCCTCACGTTGTACCTCTCGAAAGAACTCAAATTGTTGACTCTGAGGAGGTTCCAGGACTTGTGAGGTCGGCTTGAGCCTCTAGAAATCAGAACCATAAGAAAGATTCTTTGCCGGAGGCTACCGTGTTGTTGGCAACGGCTTTTTCGAGTTCTCTTCCTTTTCTAGCCATTCCAGCCGCTCCTAGAGCCTTTCTCTGTGCAAAAAGTCGTTCTTCCTCCTTTCATGGCGTTCTGAAAATGGATATTCAGAGCACTATATTTTCCTTGTTTGCCAAAAACTTTTCAAAAATAAAAAAAAGCAAATTTTTTTGTTTAAAAAGTTTATTAGAAAAGGCCTATAAAATCAAGTCGATCCATCTCGACCGAGAAAATTGTAACAGGAACTGAGACTTGAGTAATAGAGGCATGACATTTGTAAAGGTTTACACTACAATTCGAGATTCCCCGGATAGACGAGAATCTTTTAGTATATTTCTTCATGTGTTCCCACATATTTTAAAACTCTTCAGTTTTTTGAAGAGCTTTGAAAATGAAAAAAGTTATGATTAACAATAAAACATTCCCAAAAGTTTCATTAGGATCCGAGAACCTGATAAGTGTATGCACCAAATATTGTTCCGGACTCAGTTGATGCGACTTTTATTCATTTTTTTTGTGTATTTCGAGTCGACGTAGAACTTATAAAAACCTCGTCGATGAGAGTAGAACTTGGCTCGCCCACGACGGTGAGATGTGGCTGAACCAAATATTTCTTGACGAGATTTGTCCAGAACGACGTCGACCGGCTTTTCAACAAGTTCAACTGCTCAATCTGAAGGAAAAGTCCTTGATGATTGAGACAAATCTGAAGATTACCTTGTTCAATCTTTGGGACAGAGTTTTCGGGTTTCTCGAGTCATAAACCTGGTGATGAACAAGCAGCAGAGACAGCTTTTCGTGCACGTCCAGTTCTTCCTGGATTTTCATTCTTTCCCATTCGAAAATGAGGAGGAAACCTCGAGAAGCTCGTTGCGAATGGCCTGCTCGATGAGAGACTCCAACCTAGACATGTCCCAGTTCTCCTCTCTCAGCAGTTCCGAAAGGGTCTCCTCGAAGAGTCTCAAAATAAATAAAGTCTTTTCAGAATCAATTTTCTCTAAATGAACCTCTCGAAACTGTGAATATCACAAATAATTAGAAAAAAAACCGACGAGGAAGTAATTTCACTGAATATTTAAATAATTTTCTCAGAATTACTTTCCGTTACTTGCTAGATCAAGATTTTAAATGGTTCTAATTACATAACTTTTCAGTTTCTCAGGAGGAAACGGCTCAAAGTTTGAAACTAGCATGTATTCGCATTCTGCCTGTACAGAATCAACTCAAAAAATTATGCAGATTGCCAGAAATCTCAGAGCAAAATGCAAAAATCACTAATTTGCTGAATGCCGTCAGAGTCACTGCAACCTGCATGCCTGTAAGTAAATTTCAGCAAAGTTTCATCAAAAGTTCAGCCGGCCACAAAAAACACTTTTCTTGTTAATATGATGGTACAACGCACAGGGGCGATTTCACATTAATTTTAACGACTCCATTAGTGTGCGTCTCGCTCGATCGGCGCGCCAGGTGGTCTCCCCTTGAGCCTAAGGCGTTAAGCCTAACGCTTTATATTAGATCCTCATATTAGAGCCTTGCTCATACTGAAGCCGGACTTTTTTGTTTTGCTTCATTTTAGAATTTATCAAGATGTAATGCAGAAAAAAAGGTTATTAAATATTTCCTGAGCAAAATTTTCTTAAAATATGTTAGGCTTAGCAAGCGTCAGGCTTAGTTTGAAGGAAAAGCGTTAGACTAAAGGCCTTAGCCTAAAGGCCTTAAGATTCAGAGGGAGGGGCCACCTGGCGGCCCGAGCGAGCGAGAGACACATTACTGGGATCGTGAAAAATTAATGTGAAATCGACCCTGTGCGTTGCACTATCCTATTAAGGTAGCAAATTGAAGAATGCCCCTGAAGATCATCAAAATCGAGATGTTGATCTAAAAAGCTGCACAGCATGTGGCTGATAGATTCGAGTTTTCCATTAATGGGGTATTAAAAATTAACGTGGAAAAAGCCCCTGAGCATTGCCCCATTCTACTTACCTCAATAAAAGACGCCAAATTTGAAGAAATTTACAGTAAATTTAAAATGAGACGAAAGCGTTTTTCAATCATTTTAAAGTTGGAACTTAAAATTCAACGAAAAAAGACCTGGTCTCGACGACTTCAAGCCCGTCGAAAGGAACGCCGTTGAACTCGAACACCAGCATGCTTTTCTTGGCCTGAATCTGCCCTTGAAAACGGAAAAAAAAAAGCAAAACTGACGGCATTTTGGACACTGTATTTGACTTCGCTGGCGAGCGGCTCGTCCTGGAGGACAAAGTCGCGTTGGAGCGGCGAGACGGACGAGTTGCACAGGTAGGTCGACAGAAGCTCCAGCGCGGTCCAGGTAGCGACTTCCGTCGGCGACTCAGCCACCCTGAGAAACCCGTATTCTCATGAATGTCTCTTTTCACACCAGTGAACGTTGACCGATCCCGTTGTGACGTCATCCGAAGGGAAAGCCACCTTTGTGACCTGTGTCTTCACGATTTCAGGGACAGCGATCGTGGATAGCGGAGTTGGGAAGTTTTTCGGGACAGAGCCCATATTTTCCTGAAAATTTGACTTTGTGAGTGTTTCCAAACTCCATGAAATTTCGAAAAGAATATTTGTAGTGATAGATAATGATTCTAAGAGTCTCAAATTACTCAAACCCCTTATTATTTACGTATGAGTTTATTTTTGGAAGTAAGATGGAAGTAGCTCCGATGATCTATTCCTTTTTTTTTTGTTTTTAAATTGGTCAAGATATAATTTTTAGAGTTTTCTTGCGTGCTGTAGACTTTCTATTGAGCGATACTTTTTTCTGTTTCGAAAGGTTGAAACAAAATGAAAATTTTAACCTGTACATCCACATTATTAAGTAAAATATGTTAAATTTTTTTTTTTTGAAAATAACCTTTCCCAAAAAACAGTCATGGAATGTTAATAAAGGTTCATCAAAACCCGGAAAAATAGATTCTTCATCCTCCTTGTGACTTTAGTTGGTTTAGCCTAAACCGTTTAGGCAATGTTCCACACTAACCTTTTCCACTTCTTCCATGATGTCCAAAAGCTTCGAGTGATTCACACGTCCAACTACAGTGACCAGCAGATTCGCCGTATGATAGTTCTTTTCGTGATAACTTCGGATCTACAGTATCCTTTTTTGAAAAAAGGTCAGCTCTTATTTGAAATACTTTGGCCATGTTGGTGGAGTTGCGAAGATTTGGCAAGGCGCCACCGGTGTCGACACGGTAGGGATACCCTTCTGGGTAGAGAACTGATCCGGCCCCACTGAAATATTTTGGAGATCGAGAGCATGGTGAGGAGAATGTCCGACTTGAACATAATCTTGGACTTTTCCGTTCCGTAGCTCTGCATTTCGCTGTAGACGACGCCGGCGTCGTCTCCAACTCCGTTGATGTGATGGACCTCCGTCGTGAAGTGATCGTCCTGAAAAAAAGGTGTCTGAAAAAATTGCTCGGTCAAGATTTTGAATCCAAATATGGTAGGTCTACATCAAACGCCATGTCCGCACTGGGAATGGCTCAAAGTAAGATGGATGCGACTCGATCCGACTTCAAAGCAACTTTCACACATTTTTCTAAATTTTCGAAAGCAGCGATTAAATCCATTCCAAATGCGACCAGCACTTCACAAGTCTTGGAGAATAAAGAAACAGGGATTGTTTCACATAAAAACAAGAAGAGACTCCATTCATTTTTTTTTTTCAGAAAATGATTCAGGAAGCAAATGAGATGTTAACTCTCCCCTTGAAGCTTCGAAGTTCGATATTCTCTCTTTTCTGGAAAACCCTACAATTTCTGAATCAACATACCGTAAGCAATGGATTGAGCAAGTGGTCGACGTAAACGGGAAGGACCTTGAAGAATCCTTCGCTTCCCAACTGAAACTTGGAGAGATTCTTTTGAAACCTTCAAAAAGAATTACCGTGTTCACCATGTACATGGTGAAGTCCTCAGCGGTCAGAGCATTGACGGCTGGAAAAAAATCTTTTAAAAATCACAAGTTCAATATTCTCACTTTCAGAAAGACACTGTCGCGCGATGACGTCGAGCACTTCGTTGAAGGGAAATTTGGAGCTTCCTTTGAAGATGAGGTGCTCCAGAGTGTGCGGCAGGCCGTCATCAGAATCCGCTTCCGTCACTGGAGAACACAGAATTATTGAACTTTCCTTTCTCTTTTGAAAAAAAAATCGCTTCTTTTTTATTCCACAAACAGTCTAGTTTCGGCAATATTCGAACTTTTCGAATAAAACGTTTTCTATAATGACGAAAAGAGTGTTATTCCGTACTCCAATTTTTTATCGCTTGACAAAGATTTGGCTCTCATTTTCGTCAATATTTGCTCTTTTTGGTTCCAAAACGTAAAAATGATGGAGAAAAGTAGGAGCACTACAAAGAGAAGAAGTTTGATTTCAATCAGCTTGTATCTCATTAAAGTCGCTATCCAAAAGAATTTGATTTGGTCAAAAAAGTGTTCCTTATCAGTCACTGTTCGAAACTTGCAACTTTTTTGACTGACGCGGTACGGGTTTGGAGAAAAAAAGGCTGATTGTGAAAGAGGAAACGGGCAACTTGATAGATCTGGTCGGGTCAGCTGCGCGCGGAACTGGTTTTTTTTTTCTCAACTTTTTTTTCTCGAGTTACCGAAGGACATGTAGCCATGGACGATGGGTCCGTCGACGTCAGCCACGGCGACGCGAAGCCCGGAACGCCGCGACTCGTACACCGTCACGTTGACGGCGTTGTTGAACGTCAGCCACAGGCATTTCCATGCACTCGGACATTCTTCCCTGCAATTTTCATCATCGAATATCGGCTTTTTCATCATTACTTCACGAAATGACCTCTACAAAATTGTTTTTCGTCTTGAATGGAGTCATTTATTCGCAGAATTACGTATCTTATGATTAGATCAATTTTAGTCAAGCGCAAAAAAGAGCAGGTTGGCATGAGCCGGTTTTCCGCGTTCGATTTTTGCTCCTTTTTTTGAAATAACTAAAAAATAGAAAAAAGGGCTATCGCAACTTGAAAAAATAAACATTTACTTTTTCAGAAAAAAGGAAAAAAAAGCTCCTAGTTTTCGTTGTTGATTTACTTTTTTCCCCTCTAACTTGCAATTAGACTTGAAGCTCAAATTTAACGGTGGGTTACGACTTTCAAAGTTTTTTTTCCTCAAATTTTTTTCCTGATTGTTCTAATAAGTGATTTTTTGAAGCTCACCATTTTTTTAGTTCTCTTTTTAAGTTCGGCATTTAAACATTTTTTCTTGTTGCATGAAATACCGAGCGTTTTATAAAAAATAACTCAGGGCGGCTTGAGAATAGAATCTCTTTAAAAAAATAGAAAAATATCAAGATGGACAAAGTCAAAGAAATGGCACAGGGATTAGATTCTATGTCTTCTTCAGTTATAAACAAAAAAGAAGCCGGAAGATCGAAAATAGCCCCACGTTGGTACAAACATAGTGTCTGAATATTCTCCGTTGGGAAAAAGACTTGAAAAAAAATCTTCTTTTTAGCTCAAAAAAATTGGTGATAAATTTAGGCTTCTCTGAGATGTTTACTTGCGGGCTACGGATTAACACGAGTACAAGAGAGATTAAAGAATTCAATAAGTCTCGACGGAAAGACTGACTTGAAGAAACTTCAAAAAATGAAATAAAAAATTTTCATCCCCAGGGAGGTATTTTAAACGAAAATAAACGTAATTTCTAACTTCGTATAATAGTGCTGGCTTCATTCTGGGAAAACTCGGGAGAAGAGCTTTTGAAAATGAACTTTCGGTGTATGTTAACAAGAGAATTTCCGACGAACCTTTCAGGACTCCATATAGACTTTGATCCAACGAAATGAATCAGCAGGACCAAATGGAAGAAGTTCCTGAAGTCCATGGACGTCGAGTCCGGAGGAACTCAAAAATGACGAGAAAGGGGAGCTGTTTCGAGGCAAGAAAAGGGGCGGAGCCCAAGTCGAAGGCGGCGCCACCATTCCGAAGAATCGCACGGGTCATTCTTTGACAGGTCGAAAAAGTCAGAAATTTATAATCAAATCAGGTGGTCCGATTCACCCTTGCAAACTTTGTTGTAATACTTGTTAGGAAACAGTCAGAAGATTGTTCAGTTTTTTTAATTTGTGAACTGACGTGAAAATGTTCGGTATAGGACGTTCAGAAACTTTTCCTACACTTTTTCGAACCGCTAGCAAAGAAGTAATGCTGAAAATTTGTAGTATACTTGCTAAGAACAATGGAGAAAAATTTCAGTTTGTTTTTTTCTGAGAAACTTTTGCAACTGAAGTTTAAAACATTTAATTGAAGAACCGCTGGAAAAACAAAACTGAAATTCGGCTTTTTAATGACAAAAACTATGTGTAAATTGAGAACGTTGATGAAATTTCGGTTTTTTTCTTTTTCTTTCTTTTAATTGTCAAAAAAAAAACGAACTTTTTTTGAATGTAACTTTCCTTCTTACAGGTTGCTCGAAAAACCTTGGTCGAAAAAAATAAAAAAATAAACTTCTAAGTGTAGGAAAAAAATCAGTAAGATCCACTCAAAAACGCGGTTTGAAAAACGAGTTTTTTTCATTAATTTATTAGGTTTTTCTGTTCTGAAAACTTCTTTCATTGAAAAATCTGCATTACTTCTTAAAAAGTGGTGCAAAAGACTTACAGAGAAGGCTGTCAACAGTTCTCACGACGAAAGATATTTTTTTAAACTTATCTCATCTTTTCTGAAATGTCAGAGCTACTATTCTTTCTTTTCGTGGTGATCTATTTGAACTTGAAACCCATTCAAGTTCTAGAGATGGATGAGGAAACTTTTGAACTTTCTTATCTTATACGCCCAGTAAGTTTAGGTTAAAAACTGAAAACAGGTTCCATTTTCGCATTCATTTGACCAAAACCTTTACCTACAGCGGCTAAAAACCGAAATGTGATTGGAGTAAACTTTGGTCTTTATTCTTTCTTCGAAAAAAATGTACCTGAGCAATAATTTTCCGACTGATTGTAGATTGGCAGCTTCTTCTTGGAAAAAACCTGAAATCTTCCGAACTTTTGAAAAATGTGTATAAAGAAAAGGTGAATTGGTTGTTTTGGAAAAGAAAAAACGAATGAAGAACTGGTTTTTCTAAATCAAAATTATTTTCAATTTGTAGTTTATGACTTAGTGTTTGCAAAAGTTTCATTTTTCATGTGATTGGTGTTTTCCAACGATTGGAAACGCTTCAATAATAAAACTATCCATTTGAATGTGACTCAACAACACTTATTATTTTAACGGGAAGCGATAGAAAAAAGGACAAAGAATCGGATACAATGGGACAAAAACTTGAACCTCTCTTTTCTTTTGTGCGATATGGAAATGGATAGAAAATTTATTTAACAGCAACAATTGAAAAGGCAAATGAAATTTGAAAAGGACCGTAAACCCATGCAGCATTTCGAAGAAAGAGAAAAATTAGGAAAAAAATGACGCTATTAAAACAGGGTGAAAAGAACTAGCAGAAAAAGTGAAGAACAATAATAAGTTATAGGAAAGGAGAAGCGAAAAGATGGAGAAGTTCAATCTTTTTTGACGGGGTAAGCAAGGGAAGCCACAGAAGCCGCTTCGATTCCTGGGAAGGCCTCTTTCATTTCCTTCACCTTCGACGGATGCACAGTAATCGATCGCACGTACTCCTGCAAAATTGATATATATATATAACACTGCTTTTTTCATTTTGAAAGTATTAACCCTGCTTTTTTTCCAATATTTCAAACGACCCACCTCGAAAAGCTTGAGGACGTTGGCGCCGCCGATCTTGACCATTTCCTCGACGGTCGTGTTCCAAATCCTCTGGCAGAATTGCCTGGAATAAATTTTATTCAAATGGCCAGATTGAAAGATGAAAACGTGTTGAAGGGCTCCGGAGTATTGCGAAGAGTGTTCAAAATGGAAAGTTTTCCGGCGCTGCTGACATTTCCTTCGCGTCTCATCATGTCGAAGACCAACGACCTTTTGGCTCCTTCGAATTCCGCTATGGAGACGTCGGCCCCAGATGCAACGTCCGTCTGAAATTCCCAATTATTTTGTTGGACCTTCCTTCACGTTTACGTTTTTATAACCATATGTTCATGAATTGATTCGAAACAAAAGTGATATTCAATAAAGCGTGTCAGCTGAATTTTAGGTAATTGAAAAAATGAAAAGTGAATGTGATTAAACGCCATATATCTGAAATTCGAACTAAATTTTTTTCTCGTTTTTCTCGTTTCGACTTCACCTCTTTTTTATCATTCACTGTGAATTTCACAGTCCAAAAACTATAAATTTGGGAATTATCGCCAAAAATTGGCCAAGAAATATTATCTTGGAGATAATAAATGACTTTTTTTAACTTTTGAAACTGTTACGTTCAAAAAAAATTATTTGAATTTTTTTACTGTTATGACGGTCTCATAGCTTGCAAATTTCAATATGAAATTTTTTTTCTAGAAAATTCGAGTTTCACACGATTTCCAGTTTTCAAGAAGTCTTGCGATGCATTTTCCGTCAACAGCCTCGTTACACGAATTGAATTTCCAAGGTCAAGCATGGCGGATCCACTTGTAACCTATTTCATTTTATTTTTCGAACGTCACTTTTTGTTTTGGAACATCGGATTGAATTTGGGTTTCCTAGAAGTGGAAAACTCTCGGGAATACTTTAGATCCCTTTTCTGATCAGAAACAAGAACTCTTTCTAGTCAAAATAAAGACACGCTATATAAAGCTCTGGAAATATTAGCTAACACTTCATAACTTCCCGCCTATACTCCAAATCAATTTATCTTTTCGAACGCACCACGATTTGCTTGGTTCGCTCGTAAGAGTTGGTCGGTTGGGCGCATCGGTACAGAGACAGGGTGATTTGTTTTCGGTCCGGCTTCACGTAGATGTTAGCTCCGTAGGCAAGTCCATCTCCTCGGATTGCGCGCCAGAGAGGACCTTGAAGACTAGAGGTGAGTTAAATAGTTACTATTCAAAATATGATCAATTCCATGCGTCCTATTCGACTCCCAGGAAAAGAAATATGATCTGATGAACCCAACGTTCCCTTTCTGGAGTCAACATTTTGCACATAAAATACAAGAAAGAAGCTTGAACTTTTAAGAAGTGAGCTGAGATTAACCTTCGCATTGGCTGAGATACTGGGCGAAGATCATAGTGGGGATGAGTTCGTCCTTGCTCCAGTCGGCGTCGATCACGGTCGTCTGGTAGATGAACGACGACTCCGAGCCGCCGACGCCGATGACGAGCTGTCGACCCATCTGCGGCGCGACGTCTTCTCCGGATGAAGCCTGTTTTTGTTTTTTTTTTATTTTCACAAATGAAATTATTTTTGTGAATGAATTAAATAATTATAAGTTGGCCGGAAACTGTTCAGAATCAAAAATATGGTGACAACTGGTTGATATAAAAAATTCCGACGTTTTAAAAGTGGTAGTATTTTATTCAAGCATGATTAACTAACTGACTTTCTTCCTTAAACGAAAAAAATAAACTAAAACTGCTACAAAAATTTTTTTTTCTTTCTAAAAAAAGTAATGGAGTTTGCAAAAAGGAACCGTGTCTTTTCTGCCTTTTTTGGCCTATTTTCCAGACTTTTTTGAACCACTTTTGCGTCTTTCAGAAAACTCTCTCAGCCATTACATTTTATCACCATTCAAGCAAAAAAAAAAAACTCAACAAGGACGTTGATAAAGTTTTTAACAAAGGTCTTTCTCGCGTCTTTTTCCACCTTCGTGTGATACTTCAACTTTCCACATTTAAAAAAACTAAAAAAATTTCGATTAAGTTCAAAGTTCAAAAAAACGAGCTCCTTCGGACTTCTTTTGCCTCTATGAGCTAATTGTTTTTTTAGGAGCAGTTTGGAAACAAGAATGAAGAAGTGAAAAAATTAATAAAAGCAAAAAATGGCAATTTATTTATATATTCTAAAAGTAAGATATTTTTTCTTATAGAAAATTGTCGCTTATCTCTGATTGGCCCATTAGAACCGCCAAGATTTACCTTGAACTCGCTCCCCTTTCCAAAACGTTTGTCTTCTGTGGTCCATTTCCACAAGTCCGACTTCAAGTCTTTGACGTCGATCAACTCCGAATCGCAGATGACGTGAGCGTTGACGCCGTTTGAAAACAACGCTGTGCGGACCTAAGACAGAAGATTCAGAAAAGGATCATCATAATGCATCCACGTCTTCTAGTTTCGCGATGACAGCTTTGGGGTCCTTGGTCGCCATCTTGGCAAGGCTTTCATGCCTCTTTTCCAGGACCAATTCGTCATAAAGAGCTGCGTTACTGTCTGAGAATCATTTCTGTGAAAATATCAACTTTCAGGTCGGAAACCTGGCTGATAGACCAGAGTGGCGATGGCCGTCGACGCCACGGAACTTCCATCGCGTTTTCTTTCGCGGGCATCGCTTGCCAATTTCTGTGCCGACATTTTGACTCGAGAAGCATCGAAAACGATGCCCTGTGATAAGAAATCAAAAAAGCTGGGTTCATTTCACGAACCTGAGTGAAAATCTGCGCCCATTTCGCTAGGATAGGGTATTTTTCGGCTTGAACCTAGAAAAATTTTCATGGAGATTCGAAAAAAAGTCGTTGGATACCTTAATCCGCAAGTTCACAAATCGGTCATAGTAGCCAGAGACGCCAACTTCGATCGAGTGATCGATTAGGTCCTTCAATACAGATTTTATAGAGTACATAACAAATGTAAACTTTTCGATCTACCAAAAACCGTATCAAAAAATAACTTCAGTTCTACTGCTGGAAAATTTGAAGCTTATCGAAGCATGATTCTGAAGCTGGTCGCACTTTTACGAGGCCAAACGACTTGGAATAGACTTCAAAAAATGGTTACTGAACATTATTCTAGAATTGAAACAAGTGCGATTTCCGGAAAAGAGAAGCATTTTAAAAATAAAATAGAGACAAAAAATCTTGACATCTTTGGTTTTTGAAATTTTTCCTTTTTTGAAAGTCACGCTGTTTTTGAGCGAATTTCCGCTCTTTCTACGGTTTTATTAACTCGATCTTGCTGACGTTCTTGTAGAATGCCAAAATTCTTGAAGCGGAGATGTTTGATATTTCACATACTGTTCCCCCCGCTCAATAAATACCTTGGTGAAGAGCTTGGCGACGTCTTCAGCCGAGTGTTGGACGCCGTCGATGACCGCAGGCGACTCGAAAAGAAGGTCCGTGTAGATGTAGAGAAGCGATCGTTGTTCCAAAGTCAACGGCGTCGAATCAAGCAGGAAGAACATCTACAGAAGAGCGTGGTCGGGGAGATGATCGCCGTCAAACCTCGACAAATTTCGTTGGGCAGTTGTGAAGATTGGCGTGGAAGGGGAACTGATCCAAGAACGCCGATTGGTGAGCGGTCAAGGAAGAAGATCCTGATTCAACGAATTATGTGTTTTTTGGCTGATAGTATGAAATTTCTCTTATTTTGCACGACAAGTCCAATTTTAAAAAGTCACCTTTGTTCAAGCTTTGTACCGGGAAACGCTCAAAAGCCTCCAAATTCCTCACAATGAGCTGGTCGAGAAGTTCCGCGCTGGGATGTTCCGCCTGAAGTCATTCTTTTCCGAAGTTTCTTATTCAAGTCGTCGTACAGTGTTCTGTCGAATAGCCTCGGCGATTTCGGCTCCTTTCGTGGCAAGTCCCTCCTTACCGAGAGTTTCTCGCTGGGTCTTCACACGATCCTTCTCTTCTTTGGAAATCTGTCAACAGAAATATTGTTGAAAACTTCAGCCATTGACTTTTCAGACAACTTTGTAGAAGACCAAAAAGAAGAATTATGGAAAAGTCAGTTGGTTCGAAAGTTTTTCATAGTTGCTACTTTTAAAAATTTACATCACTGTTTCAGACCTTATCAACGAGTTTTTCATCAGGAATCCCAATGACGGTGACCTGCGGCGCGGTCAGATACTTCTTGACAAGCCCCGCCCAGAAAGAAGCCGGCTCCGACTTGAGCTTCTTCAGGTATTCCACCTGCACAGAAACTCGTTCTTAATTCTGAATAATTCTCAGACTTCATTAGCCCGTTTCGCGAGGAAATTCGGATCTTCCTCATCGAAAAGCTGGTGGTCGATGACGTGGGAGAAGATTTGCTGATGAGCGTTCGTTTCAAGCTGCAATAACCAAGTATTGATTTCCTTCAACTGTTTATACCTTGACGAATTCCGCGAGAATGGTTTGATCAATTAGGAATCCCATCCTTTCAATGTCCCAAGTCGATTCTTCCAAATGTTCGCGCAAAGTCTTATCGAAGAATCTGAGAAGAAAGACACTACAAGCCAAGAATTATTCTAAGAGACTAACTTCGGAGCGACTTCTTTCAATTTTTCGATGGGAACTCCGGTGAAGCCTAGTTGAACCACACAGGGAGCCTGAAATATGACATTTTTATTCTTCAATATCCTGAACTCGATCTCTGTTCATATTATTCCTTTCAGGCGTTTTAAAGCATTCGTTTGTAGACTTTTGACCGGTATATTTTGTTCCGAAAGTTTAAAATCAAGATTTTCGGCTTACAATTTTCGAATTCGGAATATGCATCCTTTTCTTCCTTTTCACAAAAAATTCGAGTTTACCAAACTTTTTTGGGTACTGATTATAACTAGCCACCGAATCATAAGTTCTCTTCGCCACTTCTGATTTGAGTTTTCGCGTTCGAAAAACGAAAAGCTGACCGCTTCAGTGACGTGGAAATGAGCACTGGAGGCAAGAGGATCGTCGAGAAGGACGAAATCCTTTCTGAAGTGGAGACACGGAAGTTTCAGCGAAATAGTCGAATAGGATGTGCAGGGCCGTGTGGGCGTCCAAGTCCGTCGGCAAGTGCGCGAACCTGCCGGAAAAGTCAGAATTCCAAGAGACTTCTGAAGGTACCAATGAATTTCGACAGATCCGCGAGAAGCGTCGTCCGAAGGGCAATTGACCTCCACAGAGTGGCTTTCGCTGATTTGAGAAGGCGTCAGCGAGAACGGCCGGCGGAACTCGCTGGGCACCGTACCGAGGTGTTCCTGGAAGTGCGACCTATAGAGATACACCTTTATGGTGGATCGAAATACCTGTTCGACCTCGCTGAGGATCTCCAGCAACCTGGCATGGTCCACACGTCCGGCGACCGTCACGACCATATTTGAAAGATGGTAGTATTTTTTTGATGATAATTTCGAACCTGAGAAGTTTTTTTAAGATTATGAGAAAAAAATGGAGTTTCAAAAAAAGCTCCGGAATGTCCGTTTTATTTTTTTATCTTTATTTATCTTCAAAGAAAGCCATTTAGAAGATCTCTGGATTTTTTTCAAGATCAAAAAAATCACTAGGTCATTTTATTCAACCAAACTTTTTAATTTATTATTTACTGTGCATTTTTTTCCAAAGAGGCATTAATTTTTCAAAAGATTTTTCTCTATCTTTTTAATGTTTCTTGTTAAATGTTTCACGTTTCTTTCAACTTTTCAATGGCTTGTGAAGATTTTCAATAATATCTGTTTGATTAAATTTTCTAATGTGTTTCTGGTTGGTTAATCAGTCATTTTAAGCCACTTATGTCCGAAAAATAAGTCCACTCTCATAGAAATTTCTAGAAAAGTTAGAGTGTTAGCTACAGAACTTTTTAAAAAATCGTGAGTCTCCAGAGTTGCTTCCTTTAGACAAACGCTTCCTCCAGACAGACAAATCGAGAAGAAAAGATTATATATTTTTCCGTTCAATGAAAGCCTATAGCTTTTTTTGAAGCATCATTTTTCCCAGTACTTTTTCAAGAGAACACGATTCGCGAAGGTTTTTCAAGCGGCCGCCGGTGTCGACGGCGTAGGGATGTCCTTGTGGGTAGAGCAATTTCTTGGCCTTTCTGAACTTCGAAAAGTTCTCGAAACGCATGGTTTTTTGAACCGATCCATGATCGACTCCATTTCGCTCTCGTGGTCCTGCATCTCACTGTAGACGACTCCGGCGTCGTCGCCTTTCCCGTCAATATGATGGACTTCCGTCGCGAATTGAGAGGGCTGAAAGCCGTTTGGAACATATTCCATGACTCTTTTCAGAACAACCGTGAGCATCGGCGTCAGCAAATGGCTGATGTAAACGGGCAGAACTTTGAAGAAGCCTTCGCTGCCGACCTGAAACAAGTTCATATTAGGCAGGTTGTAGAAGTCCAACTCACAGTGCTGAGGGTGTAAGCCGTATGATCTTGATCTGTCCAAGCATTTGTGCCTGAAAGGAACTTTTTTGAAAATTGGAGAGTCAATCAGAAAAGTCGAAGAACGATCTGAATCCCAAGATATTTTTTTTCAAATGCCTTTAGCGTGTAACTTTTGTTAAATTGATGGGTTACTCGTATGCTTATAAGTCCGAAAAATTCTCAAAAAAAAAATTTTTTTTTTCAAGTTTTTTGACGTTTTTAGCGAACCAGAGACATTCTCCGGGCTTTGGAACTGCAATAGTCAAACAAAAAAATTTTTTTTCCAAATATAGTCAATAGAAAAAAAAACCAGAAGCGAGGCATCGATTGGCGATGACGTCGAGAACTCCTTTGAACGGATATTTGGTGCTGCCCATGAAGACTAAGTGCTCCAAAGTGTGGGGCAGGCCGTCGTCGCTGTCGGCTTCCGTCACTAAAGTGGTCCGTTTGAGGAGGTTCAGACGACGTCTTCAACCGAAAGAGATGCAGCCGTGGACCATCGGACCGGGCACGTCTCCGACCGCCACGCGGAGCTTCGTCTGCTTCGAGCTGTACAGGAACAGTTTCAGACCACCGTTGATCACCGTTTCGGTGCAGGACCACAGTTTCGAGCACGCCATCGCGCTCAAACAGAAAGTTTATCTAGGTGAAGTAATTTCGATATTTGCTACTGCTCAAGTAACCACTAGAAATTCTCCAAAACGTCCGAGGCAGGTCCGGTTTGCATTACAGAGGTCCGAGAAGCAAGACATTTAGCATGCTTCAACAAACTTAAAAATCAACTTTGAATACACTCAATTATTAAAAAATCTTCTCAGTTTTTTCAAGGGCTCTTCGCTGCGAGACCTTTGTGTATTCTGAGTCTACTCTTGAAAATCTCCGTCAGTGTTAAAAATTAGCTAGAACAGAAGTCATGAAGCAAAAAACGTTAGCACTTTCCAACGCAAAAATGTACGACGCAGAGACGGAGCCTGAATTACAAGTTTCTATTTTACGAAGACCGCATTTCTCCGCAAGCTCCGCCCTTTGCATTCAAAGTTTTTTTTCAAAAAGGTATTCTATTCCCTCCAAACGTCAAAAATGTCTTTCTCACATCCTGAAAATTTACAAGTACAAAGCGCAAGGAACGCCGAAAATGACTAACTAATTGGAGAATCATCGAAAATAATCTTAGTGTTTATTAATAAATTATAAGGCACATGTACATAAGTATCACAAAATATCACACCGGGACTCGCAATAAATCTACAAAAAAATACATACAATTTTGGCTTCAATTGGCAGTGACAAGAATCAGAAAATATAATAAATTTGGAGGAAGAAAATGGCTCATAATCGACCTCGAACTCTGAAAAAATGTGAGAGGAAATGAAGCGGATATGAGAATTCCAAGAGAAACGGATTTATAGACATGCAAAAAATGTAGAGCTGTGAATCATGGATAGAAAAGAATGAGAACAAGGTCATACTTGGAAATCTCAAAAAACAAAGAAGATAAGAGGATCAGAGGGAGCGAATGAGCTGTGCGACCTTCCCATAAGACGCGGGATCCTCGTGCGACTTCAGGAAAATCGCCTGGAGCGTTTCGCGATCGCGACGATCAAACGCCATTTTCGCGGCTTCGACGTAGTTTCTGGAAGAAAAAGTTCGAAAAATGGGATGAGCACGCCAAAAATAATCTTTCATAAATAGCAAAAATTTTAAACTTCAAATTATCAAATTCCAACAGCAAGTTGAACACCAAATTTTTCCCATATCATCATTTTTTCTTATAAAAACTTAATTTGTTCGTATTGCCGCTAATTTTAAAACTAGACAATAGTTATCGAAATCCAAAATCTCGCGTAAAAAAATAATTCATGAAAAACGTGTTTTAAGCCTTAAGGCCCTGATTAGTGATGATATCAGAAAAAAACAAAGGAGCACTATTTTTAAATGAATTTCCCTCAGATTTTTTTCAAATTATGAAGGAACTGACCGAAAAAAAGTTTTGTTTTTTTAAATAAAAATTTAATTCTCTGGAACTTTTTTAATTCTAAGGAAGTTTTATAATAACATGAATTCTTTGGATCAAAAATTTCAACTTTTGTGAGATTTTTCTTAGATTATTGTTGATCGAAACCAAAAGCGGACTCACTTCATGGCGATGTTAGCAGCGACGAGATCTGCGTATCCGTGAACTTTGGCCAAGTACTTTTTGCACTCCTCCGGTCTTTTATAGCGAATGCAAGCCTTGATAAATGGCTGAAATGAAAAAAAAATGAGATTGCTGGTGCCGTGTTCAAAGTGATTCCGCGAAATTCAAAATAGCCGTCAGAGAAAGAAAAAGATAACTAAATTTTGGAGGGTCAGAGACCATTTTGCATTTCGCGGAAATTACTTTGAACACGGCATGATAGTATCCATTTAATATAAGAGTTTTTTTCAAGTACCGGTGATAATATTAATGACTTCCATTGACAAAAATAATTCATTCAAAACAAAAAAAAATGATATGGTGCGTTTAAAACAAAAAATGACCTTGGAAGGTCTTCAACAACTTTTTTTTTCTCATTTTCAAAATTATTTAGAATTTCAAGTGGTGTCATCTTTAGCTTTGGACGCCCTAAATTCTTCGAAAATTCACCACGTAGCCGACAGGAGATTTCCGCTGGGCCATGTCGAAAAGTTGCTCCATTCGGCCATTTTTGACAAGGCCTTCGATCGTCCAAAGGTACACCCTAGATTGTAAAATTACTGAGTCAATTTTTTTTTTGTTGAAGATCATTTTATTCGAATTAATCAAAAGTTAGACCGCAAATCTCAAGATTTTCATTGCAAAAGTTTTTGAGAAGATGAAAACGAACTGCTTCTCGGAGAGTTTGACTTGATGCCTAATTTGAGCGATTTTCTGGGCGTCGTGCGCGTACTCGAGTACCGTATCCCGTATCGACATGTGCGTTTGTCTTCTTTCGATTTGAGATGGAGTGAAGGCCGTCTGAACCTTTACCTATTTTATCGTTTTAATTTTGAAGAACTTACAACATCGTTGATAATTTCCTCGATAGCCCTGTCCCCAAGGCTGTGAGCTGCGTCTTTCGCTCTCCGTAGAGAGTTCAGACGTTCAGACGGCTGAAAAAACACGTTTTTTCAAATAGGTGGATAATTCGAAATAATTTTCATCAGGTTTGGATTCTTCGAAGAAAATTTCGTTGAGTTCCTTTTTTTTATGAAAAGAACCTTTTAAAATTGTACTAAATTAGTCAAAACTTGGAATAGTCTTATTTTGCTCTGTGATGTTCTCATTTTTTTGTTCTGACCTGAGAGATACGAGGCCGCAGACAAGTCAGAATATTTCAAAAAAAAAAAAGGTCAGTGAACTGAGCTCGGACCAAATGAGCCGTATTTTCCCACTTTTCAAAATTAAAAAAAATATAACGTACGTAAGAATTTAAATATTTTAGTTTTTTTTTTTTCATTTTTGAGGATTCTGAGCTAGCAAGACACAAAATACTCGCCGTCTTAAACTAATAAAAAGAATGACTAATTCCATTTCTATTCATCTCAACTCGCCAAAGTGTCCAACAAATAACGTTTTTGATTACATTTTTCTCTTTCTGGGCTGCGTCGAGATGGTAGAGGGTCTGTCTTTCGAAGTCGCTGGCTTGTTCCAGAAGAGCTAACATTTGCCGGCCGGCGCCTTTTCCGTCGCTTTCCTGTCTCACAAGGTCCTGATAGAGACATTGGGCCTGGAAAGCATCTCGAAATGTCTTTAACTGGAAGAAAAACCAACAAGAGGAATCTTTCGAATGGCCAACTCGTACTCGGCTCGTCGTTGGCCAGTCATCAGATGGCGGACGACCTGAGGACACAAACTTCTATAAATCGAAAACTTCCAAGCCAAAATTTGTTTGAAATATATAGTAGGGAGAGAATCAAAATGGATTTGAAATTGATTCTCGAATTATTGGTAAAAGTGAAACAGGAAAGTGCTGCGAAATTCCTTTTTGGCTGTTTTGTTCTTTTTTCACAAATTTTTGCGTTGCTAAATTCGTACATAATACATGAAATACTTAAAATACTCAGAATTGTGAGAAATGTTCACCTGATGAATGAGTTGAGGTCTCTGGGCGTTGGCCGCTCGTTCCAAAGCCGCCGGTACGTCATCAAGCTGCAGCAGAATTCGGACGTGATTAGAGTCGTCCGTTTCTCTTCGAATGAAAAGCCGCGCCAGCTGGGGTAATTTTTCGTCAATGGCTCTTCGTGCAGCGTCTGAATCTCCAAAAAAATAACGTTCGAGGTTTATAAGCTCTATTTAAAAAAAGCATTGTCTCGAGAAAAAAAACCTTTACAGGAATGCTCGAATTCATGACTTTTTTCTAATAAGAAGTCGGCTGGAACACACCTAGGACAAACATAGGACAAATAGCTTACATCTATGTAACCCTAATAGGCCTTTGTGAAGATACTATCTCCTTTCATACCTGCAATAGAGACATGCGGGAACTGCAACAACTTCTTGGAGAGCTTCTCTTCCAACTCGATCATCGGCTGTTTTTCGTATCTTTGCGGGGAGTTGGCCATTTGGCGGATGGCTCGGCGTACCTGAACATCTAAGAAGGGAGTTTCTACAGAAATCCTCCGCCTAACCCATTCCATGAGAACGCGATCGACGTACTCGCTGGACTCTCCACAGAGCCATTGAGCGACACGAACCGCCACTCCGTAGGCACCCATGTCGATCAACCGATTTATCATACACGTCTCACCGATGGCTCGCAACCTGTTCGTTATATTTTTTGGAATCCCCAAACTTATCTCACTTCATTGGGCTCACTGTCTCTTTTTTTGAACCTCGAAAACACTTTTTTTCAATTTTTGAAGAAAAGAAATTTTTTTCTTTTGTAAAAAAAAGGACATTATTCTAATGCCCTCAGATATAAAATTATCAAACATTATTTCTATATACAAGAGCCCTAAAAAAACGAAGAAATACAAAAAAACTAAAAAAATATTACCTTGCATGCTTTTGAAAAAAAAATTTTTCTGAGATGAGAAATACTTTCACAATAAAATTTTTCTGAATTTAGAAAACTTTCAATTAGGAAGTGAAGTAATTTTATTCAAGGCTTCTATCATTTTGGAGCTGGTTAAACACAAAAATTTCAAACTTTATCTCAATTTACCTTGTTAAACCTCAATTTCAATCGGACTTGAAAATAAAAGTTTCTTTTTTGAAAAATAACTTCGTAGTGGTGATCTTACTAGTTTTTTTAAAACCACCACATCTTCAAATAATTATTCTGCCCGCTCAAACGACGCTCAACTCACTGATGATGAGTGAGAGGGATTCCAGTTCGTGAAGAATGAAGTTCGTTGAGAGCTCTCAGCTCTCGAATAACCCTCATAAAGTTGGCGGTGTCGTAGGAAGACGTCGTGAAGGCCATTCCAAAGCGCGCTGCTTTAAGCAACATCTTCTGGAGAGGCGTCTGCCAGGCTTCCGAAGCGGAGGAAATGCAATCGTCGATGGCGGATTTCATGTCACGGATCTGAATAAACGCCCATTTTTCAGCCATTTCGGAGCAGAAGTGAACCTGCATGGCATATTCATAAGACTGATGACTCTTCGGAGTGCTCAGCCACTGTGCCGCTTCGTGGAGAAGAGCTCCGTCCGCCGCCGAAGCAACTCCCAGAACGGCTCTTTGAGCGTCTTAATTGTTCATTGAAGAATGCAGTCGGGTTTTAGAGCAAAATATAACTCGGTCATTAAGAAAGGAAACCACAGATAAGCCCTCGAAATTACTCTTCGAATTCGAATATAGCGTAAAACCAAAAACTTCCATAAAATGATAATTACTGTAAGGTAGTACGATATTTATGAAAAAATCTGTCTTGACAGCTCATTTATTCTTAAAAATCAAAATAATTTTTCTTGTTTCGAAAGCTCAATTTTTGCTTTCTGCTTCTCGACTAAAGTTAAAATAAACACGTGAGCTTTTCAACCATATCAGTACCAATTCGTTCAAAAGAATTAAAGCATTTTTTCATGAGGTCATTTTTCGTTAACTATTGGATACCATGTGAAAAGTTAATTTCCAAAAAAAAGTTTAAAAACAACTTTAAATTGTAAGAATTTTATCTGGGGAACACAGATGAACAAATCGAGATCATTATTTTCTTTAATTTTTTGCCATTTTTCAAATTTTTTTCATTATCAACTTATCAAAGTTCTGCTAAATAAAGAAAACCAACCATTAGCAACAGTGATGAATTCAACACGATCTTCCTCAAAAACACGAATTCCATCGCATTCGACGCCAATTCTTGACGATTTGAATGGTCGTCTGAATATTTCAACGAATATTACTTCAAAAATGATTCAAACTCGTAGACGATGGCCTCCTCCTCGCTGATGTCCGAGTAGTTGATGAGCAGGACACTCGACGGAGACAGCTGGGCGAAAAGTCCGTTGGAAGTCACCCAACCGAAACTCAGGCAGTTCGAAACTTCGTGTTGGGAGATCCGCAAACTCGCGTAGATAATCTCCAGGTCTGCAGAAACTACCTGTAACACGATCCTGAAACCTTGAAACTTGCCCAAAAAAAAAAACAATAAATTCGACCTTGAATAAAAAAGCAGAACATCAGACAACTATGATATTATTCTGAATTCCAGAAATATTCTCGGAACAGCTAACCTGAACTTTATCAGTCGAAGTCAACAAAGCTATCCGATCTCTAGCCTCGTTCACAACACTCTGAACGTAATCACAAGGCGAGATGGCCCACGCCGCGGCTTGGGGCTGAAATTCATTACCATGCCAATATATTCTGGAGCCGTTCGAAACCTGAATGGCGAGTTCTTCTCCTTGAGAGCCCATATAGAATTGAGATCCAACGACGAACAAAACTCGTGTGAGCAGTTGTTGGGGTTGGAAAACCGTCCATGTCGTCGGCTTCTCTTTAGTGGCTAAAAATCATCTTCTTTTGGAAAACGGAAGATAACTCCAAAATTATTTTTCGGGTTTTAAAAAAATTTCTGGAAGGAAATTCACCACTAACCTAACCAAACCTGTTCGGTGATGCTTTGAAAAATCATATCTAGGCTTAAAAATTGTTTGGAGAAAAAAAAATTGGTTTCATGTTATTAGAAAGACAAGATCTATGGACACCCTCAAAAAATGAGCTCAATCGGAGACAAGGCTGATTCCAACAAAACCCACGCGAGTTCATGCTCCAAACGACGGGCTCCGCAACGCTGTTCACCACGAAAATCCGTTCCTCATTGTCTAATATGGCGGCTCCGCTGTCGCTTGAAGTCACGAACGTCTTCAAAGATCGTAATTCCCGAATATTCTGAAGTTTTTCTTTCGATTCCAATTAAAATTCAAGAAAATTTACAGTGCTGAAGAAGAAATCGGAGATTTGCTCGCCGAGAGAAGAGTATATCGTGGCATTTCCTCGGTTGTTCACAACGAGAAGGCAATGGCCTAAATATGAAAAAGGGTGAAAAAAAAAATGCAGGAATGATGAATTTAATTAATCACTATAGTACAAAAGGTTTTGTTTTCATTTGGTATCTCTTTCCATTTTTCAAAACTCTAACTGAATTTAGACGATTTCTTGTTTAGAAGGATGACAGAAACACATATAACCAGTGTGAAAGTTTTTTTCATGTTTTCCTGTTCCTTGAAATGAGTAATTTCCCCTTTTTTTCTGTCTTTATCATATTCCAGGTGAAAATCCAATGAAAATATCAGAATTAATTTAATGACCTCTAGTCCACTCGATGGCGAAGGCGTCGGGAATTTCCAACTTCCGCTTCAAAATCCTCCCACTGCACGTCCTGATGGAAACAAACCATGTAGAAGTCGTTTGGGTATGAGCCAAAGCTTCAAAAAAACTTTTTTTGGCTTGGAAACTGAGCAAAAAAATTATCGAAATGAAAAAAAGAAAGAAATATTAATTTATAAGGTATTTTTCTCCGCACTTAATATCTCCATTGGTTTTTTGAGAGAAAAAAAAACGAACCAATGGGCCCTGAGTAAGAACAAGCCGCAAAATGTACAGCGTTTTGAAGTTGTAGCTGCGGGACGTTCTCATATTGCGTGGTGAAACTACAATTTACCTTTTTCTCAGAAAAAAGAATGGAAGGAAAGAGATCAAAAACCTATTTGAAACAAGAAAAAGGTAAAAATCATACCCAAACTTTACATCGCCGACGTCGATCCAAGAAGTGTCCTCCTTGCACAAAACTTTGTCTTCATTCACTTCATTTTCTTCAATTTCTTCTGGAAAAACTTCTGAAACGCTTGGCTTCTTCCCCTCGGTGACACTCATAACCTGTTTACTTTACATGATATTTATTCTGAGAGTCTGAAGCTTGTACAACTTTCAAATATTTGAACCGATTAGCAAGTATTTCTCGAAGAACGAATGATCAAGTGCAATGATTTATTAAAAGTGAGGCAATAAAAATGAGCATAAGCAATCAAAACAAGAAAAAAAAATCACTCGAAAAGAGAATGAGATCATCAAAATCACCGTAGCACAAAGAAACAGCGGTTTGAATCATCTCGAGAAGTTCAAAATAGGAAAAATAAGCAAAGAATAGAGGGAAAAAGTGAAGAAAAATGAAACAAGAAATAAAAGTTAGGAAGTAAATTGTGAAAGAGGAGCTACCAATCCTCCTCATTATCGTACTCTCCATGGCCGGAACGGATGATTTTCTTTTTTTGAGGTTCAACTCGTTTCTTTTCGATCGTCAGAACTTCGCTCTTGGCCAAGCGGCTCTCCAGAACCTTGAAATTTGCTTGTAAGGTTTTTTTTTGTTCAAACTGTTATGTCTGATTGCCTTTAAAAAAAATTTAGCAATGACTTCAAATTGAACAACAAATCCTGAAGTAGATGAATTTTTGCAAACTCACTTCCGTGGTGAACTCATCTTTTCCGCCGAGATCATCGAATCCGCGAATATAATCGACTGTTTGTTGATTCTGAAAAGCGACTATTAGGTTTCATTTCAACAAAAAACCAACCAAAACGATAGCGATGGTGGGAATAACCCGAATATTGAGTCGGGAAGTCAGGAAGTGAGCCTTGAATAGAAGCAATTAAAAAATATATAGGAAAAAATAAACAAACCTTTTCCGCGTCAATTTTGATGAAACGTGTGCCAATATGTCTTTTCGCCAAAATTTCAAAGTGTTTATCGACAATTTTGCATCTGAAACAGATTGCCGTTAAGACTGAAAGAAGAAAAGCAACGTCGCTTGCCATGATAAAATATAACTTCTAACCTAAAATTACTTGGGAGGTAGAAGAGACAAACAACTTTGTTGCTCTTTTTAGTTGCTTCGAAGAAATCCTTCTCATCAGCAACTTCCTCGTACTTTCCATGACCCTGAGAGAGCATTTCCACACGAGCTTGTTGTGCTTTCTTCATCTGTTCGATTCTCTTACGTCTGATCACCTCCAGGTCGTCTTCGTCTAAATTTTCTAACCTGTAAAAATTATCACAAAATTAATTCATCAAAAAAGTTTCTATACTTATTCATCTCGCTGTCAAGTTGTTCCTCTAAAACTTGAGCTGCTTTCATCAAGTTAGCAGCAAGCTGCTCACCCAGAGCGTTCGAAGCCATTTTCTGAAAATAATTTGAAAATTTGAAGCGGAAACTCCACTGATAAAAGAGACCGTAAAACGTTCTAAAACTACAAAATGATTACGCCCTTCAAAATAGTATCTAAATAGAAACGAGAGCACTTTATCTTCATAGAGAAAAGAAAGAATAAGGAAAATATTTTTAAATAAATAATTCAAAAACTATTTCCAGAAACGAATCCCTTTAAGAGGGCTCTTAGTCTCAGGGGGGGGTGCCATTGGAGCACACTTGCCGTTAGCTCTAATTTCGATTTACGCGGTTTTCGTCAAATTTGAAAAAGGAAAAAGAAAGCTTAAGTTTGCGCAAACTTAAACTTTCTCTCAAATTTGACTTCTCAGTTTCTGTTTTGTATTTTCTTTTTTTTTTGGAAGTTACTTTAAAAATAATGGTCAGGTTTTCATGTGATACACAGATCCAATTTTACTGTGAGTTTCTTTTTCCTTTCGTCTTGTTGGAGTGGCATCCTATGATTGCAATAAAACGGAACATTAAACTTCTTTATGAAGTAAATTTAGTTTGAAGGCTTTTACGAAATGTGCGAACAAACTCAATAAAACGCAAAATAAAATACAAAGCATTTATCTGTAGAAATTCATAGCCAAACCAGTCAAACAAACATTAGAAAAGGGGGGAATGTCAGTGGGTCAATAATATAAAATTGTTTATTTTTTCAGTCACTCAGTACTCCTCGTTGCCAGGAATATCGAACTTTCCGGAGAACTCTTCGACTTTCTGCAAAAAAAAAAGAATTCATTTTTAAGATGAACAAAGAATGGACCTTGGCCAAGGCTTCAATTTCTTTCTTGAAGTCGTCATTTGATTCGGTAAAGGCCTTGAAATCTTTCAACGTCTTGCCCGCCTGCTCGTTGTACTTCTTCACTATTTGAACACCTGAAAAGGTGATATTTGTTAGTGATCTCTTAATTTGCGTTAATGGAACCTTCGTGGATGAAATCGGCAACTTTAACGAAGTCCTGCTCTTTGAATCCGCGAGAAGTGAGAGCAGGAGTACCCAGACGGATACCTCCGGGTCGGAAGGCGGAGACGTCTCCAGGACAAGTATTCTGAAATGAATTTTGTGAAAGAATTATTTCGTGAAGTTTGCCTTGTTGCAAGCGATGTGAGCCAAGTCCAGGGCGTGTTCTGCACGAGCTCCTTCGACTCCAGTTGGTCGGAGATCGACCAGAAGCAGGTGGTTGTCGGTTCCTCCTGAAATCATCATTCAGAAAAAAGATTCTTCATGAATGAACCAGTGGCGAGCTTGTAACCGTGCTCATTGAGTCGTTCCGCCAGTGCTTTGGCGTTTTGAATGATTTGCTTGGCATAGGAGACGAAAATCTTCGCTGAGACACTGCTTCAGAGCGACGGCGATTCCTTGGAAAACGAGCATTTTATCAAGTTGAAGGATTCTCAAACCAGCGATCGTGTGGTTGTGTGGACCTCCCTGGAGTCCAGGAAACACGGCAGAGTTGATTTTTTCGTCGAGATCGTACAGGACTTGCTGGCCCTTGGCGTTGGTTGATCGAACACCTTGAAAACTTTTTATTTACAAAAATTTCGGTTACGGACTCTTTGCGTTTTGGAGTAAAACGACTTGGAAAACGTTTATTTTTTTTTTTTTTGAAATTCTCGTTTTAGTTGAAAAATTATTTAAAATTTTTTTTTTTGGCATTCAATATGCCATAATCCCCCGCGTTATGGTCGCTTTTTTACCTTTTCGTGAAAAGATCAAAGCTCCGCGAGGTCCTCGGAGAGATTTGTGCGTGGTGGTCGTTACGATATCAGCGTACTCAAATGGCGAAGGGATCACTCCAGCGGCGACGAGACCCGAAATGTGGGCCATGTCGGCCATCAAATAGGCTCCGCACTATAAGAAGGATATTTATCTCAATTTAGTATGTATGACTTGTGAATCTGAGCCGCAGATCTGCCAAGTTTAGACAAAAAGTAGCGGAAATGTTTTTTTTTTCAAGAGGAAGCCGTGCTAGATTGTGAATCATAAAACTCAAGGCACCTTCATCGAAAATTTCTCACTATTTAGAACTACCAATGGATTTTTGCTTAAATATCTTGCAATCTAGCCTAGGATCAAAACAAACCTTGTCAGCAATCTTGCGGAATCGAGCGTAGTCCAAGTGGCGAGCGTAGCAGGAAACACCTGATATTAACTAATTTTGAACTAATTCTGCAGAGACGTCCCACCCGCGACGAGGATCTTCGGTCGGAACAACATGGCGTTCTCCTCCAGCTTGTCGTAGTCGATGAGGCCGGTCTTGGCGTCGACCTTGTAGGGCATCGATTGGAAGAACAACGACGTCGCCGAGACCTTCCTCGCCGGGGTGAAAGAACCTTCAAAATCAGTTTTCTGAAGTCGTCTTATCGAAAACGGACCCATGAGAGAGGTGACCGCCATCCGGCAAGTCCAATCCCATGATGCGGCCATTCGGCTCAACGATAGCCGTGTAGACGGCGAAGTTGGCTGGCGATCCAGAAAGAGATTGTACGTTGACCGACCATTTCTCGGAGTCCAGGCCAAATACCTGTTGTTTGAATGTTAAAATAATCCAGCTGCGAATTTTTTTTGAATTATCCCGCTCATTTCTTTTAAAACGTATTTATACAAAGAAAAAAATTGTAGAAAATTCGTAAAATTTAAAAACTTGTCAAAGAAATTTCATTTATTGCATGTGATTAAATCGAGCATAATGAACTTCGAGAATGGAAAACCCGTTGGAAAAAATAGTTATATTCTCAGTTAGAAACGATGAATTTTTGATTTTCCGGCTCAACTCGACTTTTTGTGCTATGAAAATGGCTCAATTTGAATCTAAAGCTTTAGGAGAACATAAAAAATATCACCTGGAGAGCTCGTTTCTGGCAAAGGAGCTCCATCTGATCGATGAACTCGTTACCGCCGTAATATCTGAAGAGTTAAAAAAGAGCTTCACGTGGAAAAATAGAGCAAACCTGGCACCAGGATATCCCTCAGAATATTTATTGCACATGGCCGAGCCAAGGGCGTCCATGACTGCTTTGCTGGTGAAGTTCTCCGAGGCGATCAGTTCGAGGCCGCGACGTTGACGGGCCTTTTCCTGAAGACCTTTCGTCTCGAAACATTGAGATGAAGCTACGAACATTTTTCATAATGCCGAAGACTTCGGTGTCGATCTTCTGGACACTGTCGCGCAGGATATTCTCTCCTGAGCCGTATTTGCTGCGCTCCACTGGGACCAGCGGCGTGTGGACTTCCCGTTCCGACGTTCCGTTCATGCTTGACGTCTGAATAACACATTTTCAATTCATACCGTGAGATAAGAGAGTGTTACTAGTTAAGTAAAAGAATGGTGGGGAAGTTCGAGAAAATGAATATTTTGTCAAAGGCTTCATTTCTATTCTTAAAAAGGTCTTTACTGCAATTAATTCATATTAATAACTTATTCTAACTTCAAAATTTCAGAAAAACGTTGTGAATGGTTATACATGCCTCAGTAAAGCATCAAAATGTTTAAAAATGACTTTTGAGAGGATACGATTCAAACGAGAAACGTGGTTCCTACATCAAGCCGTTGTTCCAATAGGCAACAGAAATTTGAAGTTTCATAAGAACCAAAATGGCTAAAAAAATATTTAAATTTTTAGCACTTATAGGGAAAAATGTAAAAAGAAAGTGACTACTCAAAATGAAAATGGACTTGTGTGCCTTGAAAACTGTTGGAATATATATGTCCAATCAAATTTTCTTCAAATTCGATCGCAATTTTCTTCAAGAAAAAGTAGGATCATCAAGCTGAAATGAATAGAAAAAATAGGAAAAAGTTATAATTTAGTTTTGCAAAAGACACTGGCGTGATCGATTTCTACAAATTGAAATGAGAAAAATGGAACAAGGACGTCTCGTGCAGTTTTTGTGATAAAATCTGACCAGTGACTGGACCGCGTGTTCCTCTTGAAAGTCGAAGAACACTCAGAAGAGTTTTCAATGAAACCGGGCAGAAAAAAAACGTCGACAGATCGATAAAGATTTCAATTCAAACTTCAATTTGAACGTTAGTTAGATAAAAGTGGCCGAAACGTGATCAAAAAACGGAAAAGACAGATCAAAGGACGTAGTTTGGCGGAGACTGACCTCTGGGCTTGCCCTACAAGGTTATCTAAAGGAAGACGCGTCTAATCGAGTCTGACCCACCATTTTTTTATCAAGATTAATTATTCCTTTATCGCTCGATAAAATTTCGTAAATAGTGAAATAGAGGCTGTAAATATAGATAGGACGACTCGGTTATCAACTATCTTCTCAAATTTTGCCAGCTTTTGAAAACACGCATTTCCTTAATTTTCACTGAAAAACTTGCTGATGAATGAAAAATTAGCTAGTTCGGAAAATAAGTGTCTGGCTGCCGAGGAATGCCACGGGGATGGAGTTGGCGCGAAAAAGTCGTGTTTGAACACGCCGTTTCTTTTTTATTTGATTCCCGAAACAATGGCCTGCCTCGTTTTCACAGAGATCCACGCATTGCAGAGAAAAAATATAATAAAGGGCGACGCTTCGTTTCCCAATCTTCATTTTTCACGTATTTTTGGTGATTCGAATTTATTTGGGTGGAATTTTAGTTTCAAATCAGATTTTTTTCAATAATTGCAACAAAAAAAGTTTTGTAAGCTTCTAATAACCATGCACTATTCAGTAGTTAGATTTGCATGCATAGGTCATGCTTGAAGATTAATGAGCAACAAAACAAAGGTAAACACATAATTTTCAAGTTAAAGCTGAACATTTTCGAAAAAGAATTACAGCTTCCTTCAAAATAAACTAGACTTTCAAAGGAGGAGCCAGTCTAATCCGTTAAAAAGAGAATGATGTATAGTCTAATCAGAAAACCCTAAAAATGTTTAAACTTCATCCTTTTTTTGCTCTTGGTGTTGAAGTACAAGCCCTGTTGATAACTAAATTCCGGCCTCTTTTTACTGAACTAAAAGCTTTTTCAGCACATCAACTATTGTGAACCAAAAACAGATTAAAATAACACAAAAATATTGAAAAATAACCTGAACAACGGAAAGCAGAGAGGAGACGGTTTTCGTGTGGCGGGCGCACCGGCTTAACATCAGCTGGAATCCGACCCAAGAATTTTAATGATAAACATCTTTTCAAAGCCAAAACCATGCAATAAAAATACGAAAACGTGGTTCATGCATTTGAAAAAAAAGAAGCAAGGAAAGTCGGAGACGCCAAAGAAATTCAACAGACACTTTTCTTATCAACGCCATTTTATTATCTTCTCAATGCGGTTGCCATCGATTCTTTACGGACAATGTTGCCAATTGTTTTTCTGAGAATTTTATTATTTGGTTATAATTTGACTGCTCTGAACAAAATTACATTATCGGATCCCGAATTTAATCCTCCTTCTAAATATTTGTGAAAAACAGTCCACGATCGCACGAAGAATACTAGACACGTAACGGCTGCGCAGCGGTTTTGAAGTGCGCAACCGACCAAAAACAACTTCCGCTCGAAGGTAGATAAATCGTCAGTTAGCTACTAAATGTTCCCGATTCGAGATAAACGTAACGATTCGCATTCTACGGACTACAAAGAAGTTTCTGACGTTTCAAATTTTAATAAAATTTACTTTTAAAAATTAGTTTTGCTTGAAAGGTTTTTTCAAAAAGCTGTCAATTTGAACAAAATAAGTACTGAAACCACAACAAACTTTTCACTTTCAACGGAAATTATTCAAAAATACTTTTACTCTTGCAAGAATATACACTTTAAATAAATACTTTACAATCGGAAGAAAGTTTGAGCATAAGGTCACTTATTATACAGAAAAAAAAATCGAGAAAACCGTACAGGAAACGAAACCTAGAAGACTAAATGGCAGAAGTCTGCACCTTTGGGAATCACGAGCAAATAGAAAAAAGGCCGTATAGGAAACATCGTCAATAGAAGGAGTAAAATGCACGGGAGAAGGAAAATAACTATCGTGGAATTACATGCCCTGGTACTTGGGGCCGCCGCCGCCTTCGGGCGTCACCCAGTTGATGTTCTGCAACGGGTCCTTGATGTCGCACGTCTTGCAGTGGATGCAGTTCTGGGCGTTGATTTGCAGCCGCGACTTCGACGAGTCCGTTTCGCTTGGCACGAACTCGTAGACTCCTACGAAATGATAAAAATCGTAAAGAGCTCTGATTGGTTTTAAAAAAAAGTATAATTTATTCAAAGCTAGCCTGAGACAAGTATACTACAGGGATAGCGACTTATAGATCTCTTTTTTCACAGAGTTTTCCGTGATGAGTGTAAAAATCTTTATTAAATAAGGTCTCAAAACTGCGATGAGAGTACTCAAACTTATAGTCATGGTTTCAGTCATATTATTGTGATCTGCTTCGTACTACGCCCTTGTAGCGCTTGAGCGACGTTGTGTAGCTGGGGATTTTGGAGGCCTGGGTTCCCACTCCCAATATTTCTTGAACCGCTTAGTTATGTCGCGGCGGAGATTGAACTAGTGACCCTTTGGACCTTAGACTGGCACAAAATCTGTTGCGCTAGGGTTGCGCCAGTCAAATTATTGGGAGCTTTCATTAATTGTGTTGTTTTGGTCATGGGTGAAGTCGACGTTTTTAAGGTCTTTTTCTGTTCTATATTTCTCAAAAATAAGTTTACTCAATACATTCTTCAAAAAAGTCGTTCATAAGGTCTTTTTTGACTCTCAGAAAAGTTTGCATTGTCTAAATAAGAAAGGAATGTTCGATAAAGTTACGATTAATTCTCTTCCACTTATCAATAGCCAGTGGAAGTGAAAGGTTCTTCCAGATATTTTTCAAAATTTCTAGTAATGAACTTATTAGTCTCACCGGCAGGACAGAACCGGCTTTCCGGACCGGCGAACTTGGGAAGGTTGACTTCAGTGGGAATTTTGTCGTCCTTGAGGGTCAGATGGCAAGGCTGATTCTCGGCGTGGTTGGTTCCGGTGAGGGCGACCGAAGTCAGAAGGTCGAAGGTCAGCTTTCCATCAGGCTTAGGGTAGTCAATCTCCTAAAGAACAAAAATAATAACTTTTTCTCTCTTTGAGGCAAACCTTGTAGTTTTTGGCCTCCTCGGTCTTCTCATTGTCCTTCTTGCCATGCTGCAAGGTCCACGGCTCCAAACCTCGGCCCAAAACGTAGAAAAGTCCGGTGTAAAGCATTCCACCGATATAACCTGAAAATTGAATTCAAAAAAAGAAAGATTCCGGCTTACTTTTTAATTTTTTTCTTTAATAGAAAAAAAATTAACTAAAAACACACACTTTATTGGTCAAATGGAGAGATTTTAAAAAAAGTATATAAAACTTTTCCAGCTTGAAGGAAAATTGAAGTTTTTAATTTTCAACCTCTTCGTTTAATATAACCATCCCCCATGACAAAACTACACTAAAACTCGTAAAATAAAATAAAAACGAACCCAAAGAGGAATTGAAAGAAGGTCGAATATTTCTTGTCGCCTTGAGTTCCTTCATCACAAAGCTGTCCTCCAACGCTTTAGGATATTTTTCCGGATTGATCGCTGAAAATCAAAAAATGTCTTCGCAACTAAAAAAGGTGCAAAATACTCGTTGCTTCCTCATTTTCCTTGATAGTGTCGAAAATCGCCTCAGCGGCCACCATTCCACTTTTCATCGCGTTGTGAGTTCCCTTGATCTTGGCGACGTTCAAAAATCCTGCCGAGCAACCAATCAGACATCCTCCTGAAAATGTCCAATTCCAAAATGTCCTCAGAAATTTCATTGAATAACCAGGGAAAGTGAGTTTTGGAATGCTCTGATAGCCGCCTTCGTTCAAAGCCCTAGCGCCGTATCCGATGCGTTTTCCGCCTTCCAAATGCTTGCTGATCGATGGATGCAGCTTGTATCTTTGGAATTCCTTGAAACGAAGTGATAATCGGTTTTTGATGATTTTGAAACCTTATAAGGGTTCATGTAAGGGTTTTTGTAGTCCAAGGCCATGACGAATCCGATAGCAACCAGAGGTTGTCCATCATCTTCCAGGTGGTACAGGAATGAGCCACCGTACTGGTCTCGGGGCTGAATACCGAAACTGTTCAAAGTGTGAAGAAATCGAAGTTGTAGTGCACACGGAGAAGTTTCCCGTGAAAATTTAAAACTTAAAAAACGAGAAAAAAAACGCAAAAAAGAGTCGTCAATCTTCTTGAAATGAAAATTTGGAAAAAAAAAGGGAATTTTAGTACTCTTTTCAAATTTGATTTTGAAAAAATCTGATGGGCTCAAATTTGCATAACCCAAAAATAAACCATAGGCCATCCAACAGTGTGTTCGACGTATCCAGGCTTGTGCTTGGCCGGATCAACTTCCCATAATTCCTTGAGGCCGATTCCATAAGTATGCGGATGTTCTCTCAACTCGAACTTGTCCATAACCTAAAAACTGAACTCAATGTTCTTTCAAATCAATTCAATTCAATTTATTCTCGCAAACAGACATTCTGTGACGCCGGAGGATGAGAGAACCTTATTGATCCTAGAAGAATCTCAAAAGAAAACCTGTTTGCTGAGATGGCCACGGCAGCCCTCGGCGAAGACGGTGCACTTGGCGTGTAACTCCATGCCTCTTTCGAAGCCCTCCTTAACCAGCGAAACTAAGTGTCATCCGAGTGTAAGTATTGGAAAACCTTAGGGGAGCCGTCCTTAGCAACGCCGACGTCATTCGTCGCGATACCCTTGACACTGCCGTCTTCGTTGTACAAGACCTAGTGGTAAAAGTAGCCATATAATAATCTGATTAGGATAATTTACTCTAACTTAGCCAATTTAGAGTTAGCGGAAACAAGTAACTCAACTCAAATTATATGCATTGACTTTTCATTCACCACGGTGAATTTGAATATATGCACAAGATTGCTAATTTCCTTTTCTTGAACTTTCCTTTCGAAACGATTTCTCTCCCAAATGAATGCACTGGATTATAGTAAATTTGTTTTAAAAGTGTTTTTTTTTTTTGCAAACCGTAGCTCGAGTAAAAGTAAAATATCACATGGAGTTCGTTTAGCTCTTATCTGAAATATCTGGAAAAACTTCTGCAAAATTATCAATTTGGGCCTCCTTATACTTCCACTGTTACCAATCTTGAAACTATACACTTTAATCTCTTCTCTAGAAAATCGCTCAAAACTCACTTCTGCGGCGGCGACGCCAGGCCAAATCTCGACCCCAGCGGCCTCCGCTTGTTCTCCCAGCCACTGGACGACTTTTCCCAGTCGAACCACGTAGTTTCCATGATTATAAAGTGGGATTCCTTTGAAGATTGGCACCGGAATTCTGCCCTTTTCCGTCAAAATCGCGACACTCTCTCCCTTAATAATTATGCCGGTTTTATCAAGTTAGATCTGAAACTTACGGTGACTTTCTGATGAATCGGAGCTCCGAGTTCTTTCCAATTAGGAAGAAGTTCATCCAAGGCTCTCGTCTCGATAACAGCGCCAGAAAGAATATGGGCGCCAATCTCTGGAGCCTTCTCAATGACGCAAACTCGCAGCTCTGGAAACAAAAAGCTATAGAGCATCAAAATAATTCAAAAAATAAAAGATTAGAAAAAAATAAAATCAGTTATTTACTATAGAACTATGTACGGATTCTAAAATCGATCCCAAAAAAAAAAATATAAAAATTGTTTGCAGATTTTGAAGAGTCAAACTTCAGACAAAAGGTTGAAAACTGATCCAAAAAATCATAATTTCGTTCCTAACAACAGTGTCCAATTCAACCTCAAATATTTCACTGCACTAAAGCACAGATAATTTTTTTATTCCTTAAACGCTGTTTTGGAAACTTCCGAAATAAAACCTTTCTGCTCCTTTTCAGCGAGTTGACGGAGTTTTATAGCCGTCGAAAGGCCTGAAGGACCTCCGCCAACGATCACCACGTCGTAGTTGTCGCTGGCGCGTTCCATGTCAATGTCTTTCCATCGCGGATCTTTACTCCTGTCCTGGAAACGAATAATTCGAATCCTCAGTAAAAAGCTCTTTTTTTAAACAATTTTTATCTTACTCCTAACTCCATTCCAATAACTAAGCTAAAGCAAGGAGATGCAGTTTTACCTTGATGGTATAATGTGTAGTTTGCCATTGGCCGTTGACGACATTCTTTATACAAGAAGAGGAACGGAAAAATCGAACAGCAGTTATATACATCTGTAACAAGTATAATATTAATGCCGTGTTCAATTTGATTCCGCGAAATGCAAAATGATCTCTGACTCTCCAAAATTTAGTGATATTTTCCTTTCTCTAACGGGTATTTTGCATTTCGCGGAATCAAATTGAACAGGGCATAAGGTATTCTATCTTCGAAAAACTCGAAGTCATTTGGATGAGACATTAAATATTCTTGAGAAACGTAGCATGCAATGGAAAAGAAATTAAATTAATTATGCTCTCTAAAAGAAAAAAACAAACAAAATTCTTAAACTTGAAGACGAAATTTTTTATATGTTAAATGGGAGCAAAATCTACTAAACGAAACAAACAACAAGACTGAGAGTTGGACGGTGGAAAAGAGAAAAAAAGAGAGAGAAGGAGAGAAAAAGATAACGTCTGAGGTCAAAGTACCACCCAACAATCGTTGTTCGCCTCACTGATTGAGCTTCTTCAAAGCATGGACTGATCAAAGTACCAAAAAATGAAAAAAAGTAAAAGTGGTCAAGCCCTAGTTTTCTCTTACTGACTTTAGAAGTTTCCTAATCAAAGTATTAAACAAAATTGAGTTTTAGAACAATTTTTTTCGGAGCCTCCGAGATTATATGTTAATTTTTTCATACTACAAACCCAATATACTTGAAATAAAACTGCGGAACCACCTCCACGCCGCAAGAATTTGTCTGTGAGCAAACAAAAACATTATTCATGGAAAAAAAAATCAAAGAATCAACATGTAACAGGGCAAAAACGCAGATGTTGTTCCGTGAATTTACAAGAAACCTTCAGAAAATTTAAATTTCAACTTTTACCATTTTTTACTGGATAAAAATATTATATGTTGATAAAGATCGGCAATTCATTGAACAAAAAAAAAATAACACGAAAGACGTTCTGATGAGTCGACGTCACGTAAATAAGAAAAACAGCCAATGACCATTGATCGGCCAGCGTAATAGCGCAAACAACGTCATAGACCAGAGAAGCTTCGACTATTACATCGACTATCGTATCTAATTGATCATCTTGTGAGGAAAAAAGTAACAGAAAATTTTTTACTCATTAGGAACTTTCGGAATATCAAGAACTTTTTTTAAAAAAACTTCCAATAAAAACCTGGAATCAAACAGGTTCACCAATGCAGTTATTAGAATCGTGGAATCTTTATATATGCATGAAATTTGTATAATAAAATCTCTAAAAGGCGAAAGTCAAGAAAATGCAACCATTATCAGACATCAGAAAATCACCTCCAAAAATGTACAAAAAGAGATCTCTTTAACGGAAATGCCATACAAGAAATGCAAAAAAATAATGAGATATTATATAGATTATCATGAAAAATTTTTGAAAAATCAAAAATATTTTTTTCACGACAGCTTGCCAACAAGTGCGCTCCACCGGAAAAACATCGCTGATTGGCTCTTTTTCGCCTTGATTCAAGGTTTCAAGGAACTAAAATGAAAAAAAGGTTACAAGCCCTTCACAATTAATTCGTTTCACAAGAAAAAAGGTGGCATTTGCGTTAAAAAAATAGATATTCATTAAAAAATTGTATCAGTGTTTATCCATTTGTGCTTCGGCCGCATCTTCCCCATCTTGGTTTGCCGTTCCGCGGCCTCTCCACCAGTTGGCGAGCTTGTTTTTCACTCGGCTTCCCGTTTCTCCTCAAAATTTTATAATTTAAAAAAAGGAGAACTTCAGAAGTTACCAATTGTGTTTCCTATGTTTTTGCCGGTAGTGTTGACAGCTTCCAGTACCTTAGAAGCGCCTTCGACGCCATGAACGGCATGATCCAAACGGAGGTACATGTCGTAGACGCCCAGCTGCTCCGAGAAAAAGTGTCTGAAAAGGGTTATTTAAAAAAACCGGTCCAGCTAGCGCCGAACGGTTTATTTTCAGATCACTACATCGGAACGAAACCATATAGATACGATTCGACGTAATGATCTGAATTTTCGTAAAGCTACAAAACAAAACAAAAACACCAAGAATAAGAAAATATCAACGGAATTTTCACACACAGCCTCTTTTTGAAAACTCAAACTCATAGACTTTATGCCGGTTTCAAAGTGATTTCCGCGAAACGCATCTCTGAATCTCCAAATTTAGTTACCTTTCTCGTTTTCTGGCGGCTATTTCGCATTTCGAGGAATCACTTTAAACACGGCATTATCTTCTCCTAAAAAAAAAACCAACCCTGGAGCGACAGATGCTAAATCTTTGTGCGTTTCGGCAAGCCAGATCCGATAATTTCTAAATAAAACCTTTTCAGCTATTCAGACCTTGATACAAGAAAAAAAATTAACATTATTACCTCGTGTGTCGCCAAGCAGTGACGAAAGGAAGACCGAACTGCGGAACAGAGGTCTGGAGATCGGCACGGGCGGTCGCTACCAGGCTCAGAAGATAATCCCGCATCTGAGTGCGGATCCATTCGTCACCCCCGTCGTAACCTACATAGTAATCGTACTTGGACAGGTGCAGAACTAAATTAGCCCAGGAGTGGTTGACTTGTAAACATTTTAAGAACGCAGGTATAAATGTTCCGAATCCAAAGAGGTAATATTGACAAGAATAAAAAAATTATTTTTTTAACTTTTTAGGGTTAGTTTTTGAATTTTATTCAGAAATATTAAGGAGGAGGTATAGAGGATATTTGGAGATGTTCTGCAAATGTATAGTAGTAATATAGTCTGTTGAAGTGTGATTTGTGATCCGCGATGTTCCCCATATGATAAAAAAAATAAATGAACCCTCAAGCAACCTTCTATCTGCATCTTATTTTGTAAACTTTGCATGAAAAAAGAGGATCACCGCCCAAAACGGTGTCAATTCATGCTCTCGGATGCCTATCAGTTTATTTTTTCCCCTGACGAACCGGCAGTGCTGGACCTTCTCTGTTCTTCAACGTGTCGCAGGATAAAGTCGGCAAATCGCAAATCTTGAGTCGTCAAGGCCAGAAGACGATCCAGATCTGGTGTCAATACCTCTACATGCTGATGGATTGTGGTTCCGTCGTCTTCAAACTTGAAAAAAAAATATTAACTTTTCTTTGAACTGTTCACACATTTTCACCTTGACCACAACATCGAAAATGCCTTTTTTCATTGCAAAAAGGGCGTTGGTCGCCCCGACGACACAACTTCGGACCGTGGTGAGGACGTCGAGAAATGATATAGATAGGTAAGGATCAAAGTAGGCGTTCTGGAGATTCAGAAGATGAAGATTATAATCATTCTAAGAATCACCTGGGTGAAAATACTCAGAGGAAAACCAAAAGAATCTCTTTTCTTGATGGGATCTTTTTTGAGCCAACCGCTCCCAATGTCCTCCTGGACAAAGATTTCTTCTACCGCAGGCTCTGAAAACCAAAAACTCGTCATGATTACTTTCTTTTGGCTGAAAAAGTTCAAACCCTTCGATTCCTTGTTCTCAGAATAGTCGACTTCGAACTTTTCCGTATCTGCGGTGGAAGTGGAAGGTTTGCTGGTTTTTTCGGTGTCTTTCACATCTTGAAGGGTACAACTCGAGTAGAAAAGTCCTTCCTCCAGCAAATCTCGAATACATTTGATTAGGTATGTTACTCTCTGCTGAAACTGACTGGGAAACATGGAGACTAGGGCTAACATTGTTTCGCCAATCGTCTGGCCATTGGAACCAAAGAATAACACCTAAAAATGAATAAAATAAGGTCCTTCTAAAAGAAAAACTGAGATTTTCTTTTTCATTTTTTTATTTTCTAGGCTTTTTTTCTCTGTCAGTAGATTTCTTCAGCTTGAGATCCGAGCTTTTTTTTCAGAACTGAAGACTGAAAAATAATGGGAAAATTAATTCAGTTCTCCAGATTTTTGTTACACCCACCTTTCTTTCTAATAAAACGAGCTTGAACAACATCAAAGCGCGGTGGCGAAACCGAATAAAAAGATCTTGCACGGATATTTCTGAATCTTTTCTCCCAGTCGTCAACCAATTAAGAGGAAAAACTTGCCATGATACGCTAGGCCAACATTTTGCTCCGAAGACATTTGTTCATTGAACATGTCATGAAGGTTGTCATACATCTGATTCAAAACATCAATCTAAATCTTCGAAAATATGATAAATATCAACCCAAACGATTTGAACCTGGCCGAAATCTCTTTGCTCAAAATAGGCTTGAGTTATCACTTCGAGTTTGGCCTTCAGACCGCCGAAAAGAGGAATTTTGGAGATGACACAGACGCTTTTCTGAACGCTACATCTGGTGACGTCTTCCGGACGCGAGATCAACTCCTACAAGAATAAATTGGAAGGCCTAGGACTCTGATTAGGGTAACGAACTGTCGAATCAATCTGTCTATAGCAGGAAATGCCGAAGACACACTTTCCAGGTTCGGTTCTCGAAGGAAGAGAGAAAAATATGACATCTTCAAAGAAGTTTGAACGGAAACCATTTTTAGTAATACCTTGTTTCAAATTGTGGACACCGTCCGGTAAGGCTAAAGACGGCAGATGAGCCCACTCCTCCGGAAGGCCTCCTTCGCCTTTTCCGTCAAGCTTTGGGTTCGAATATTCTACCTAGAAGCGTCGATATATTGACCGCTAGCTTAGGGAAACGTATTCCGGAAACTTCTAAACATATTCTTTTCACACACTACTCCGCTAAATAAAGACCATAATAAAAAAAATTTCTACAGCCATTGATCAAAAAAACCAATGGCTTTGAAAAAAAGAGCTCTCATCAAAATCTTGCAACTTTCTAAATTTTGTTCCACTTCATACTAATTAGTCCACGGAGTTCAGAAGAAAAACGCGGAAAGAAGATGAAAAAAAGGAGATCCAGAGAAAAATTTGACACCTTTTAGAAACTCAAAAAGAAACTCCAGATTCTTTTTTTTTTGGATGCTGTACGGAACTTGCCCGTGTCACCGAAATTCAAAATGTTTATCAGAGAAGTCTCAGTAGTTTTTTTCATTTTTAAAAATTTTTTTTTCCAGAACGAACCTCGCATCCGCGTTTATGATGAAAGCTGACTACGACAACATTCAGAATTGGGCTCATTAATACCTAAACGTTCTCAATTATTAGTTTCCTTTGCAAAAGAGCAGACTATTTTGAAACACAAAAAAACTTCTTCGACATTCTTGGATTACCACAACATGTGAGAAAGAGAAAACTTGGTAAATTGAATAAAGTTTATGTTTCCGAATGTCGGAGAGTAGCCGCAATGATGGAGAGTAAATATGATAACAACAGAAAAAGTGTTAGTTACAAAAATAAGTGGGATATAGTACAGCAGGATTATACTGAGCAAGCAAAGAGAGAAAATAAAAGTCTACCAAGAACCCCAGCCCGATAGGAATATTGACCATTTGAAATTGGCATTGTACCGAACGCGGAAGAGATAATATTTAGTAGTTGTTTTGGATTTGCTGGGAATACATTGAGATCACTTGAAGTGGACATATTTGAAAGATACAAAGAAAATAAAAAGAAATCTTTGATTTTCGAAAAAAGAAAGAGAGGTTAACAAATGACAGGATCAGAAACGGTGCCAAAAGCTTATTTATATGATTGCACAACTTGGATGAGAAAAATAGATAGAATAGTTTACATTGCGTTAGCGTCAAGGTGAGTTAACGAAGTTATGAGAACTTTTGAACATAGGGTTAGAAATAGCCAAGATACAATCAACGGCCTCCATGAAGCTAAACTCGTCAAAAGGTTTCTGGGATATACTGAGAGACAGTGTAGACGCAGTGTATTGGAAAGACTAAAAAATGGGCAAATTATGTTACTTAACGAGAGACCGATGTACAAATGAATGAATGGGAAAAGAAAGACCTAGGTTTGAAGATCTTTTGAGATAGTGATTATTGCGCCTAAAGTATCGTTTCATCCTGACATCTCGATAGTTAAGGAAAGTGAGAGAAATCTGTTCAACAGCTTGAATAAGCTTAAAGCGGGAGCATAAAATATAACCAGATCATGAATTGAGTTTTGAAAACAAAAAAAAACGAACTGATACACGAGATTGGACAAAAAAGCACAATGCTGCTACTTATAGGCTAAAAAAATGCGCGTATTGGGTGGAGTTAGGTAAAAGGCATGAATCAACATAGCCGTAGAAGGTTGAAGACCCTTTCGAGGAAAGGAAACGGAATAGAACAGGTAGGATAGAAGCAATTAGTGATGGAAACGAGATTCCGCAGATTCAATTGAAAAGGCTATACATGGGAAGTGAAGAAAGTAGTTACGTGTTTATGAGCCAAGGATTCTTCGCTATCGTCGCCGCAGTTCGGTCCCCGTAATCGTACAGAAGTTCCTCGTCGATCTCAATGTTTCTCTTGGCTACCAGTATCAGATGGTGTTTCCCGTCGAATTCCACAACCTGAAAAGCAAGCTATTTCCCTCAGGATCAATCAATCTCAATACAAACCTTGGTGCGAAGATTTGGCCGCAGCATAGAGTGATTGATAAGTCGTCCCTTGTAAGGAGATTCTTTGGTCGCATCGATGCACCATTTCTTGTTGTTGTAGGTGAAAAAATACATGTAGGAGCCGATCGAAGAGTCGTTCGCGTACTTTTCTTCCAGCGTCTTTGCTGCCGAATACTCCAGCATTTCCCCTGAAACAATGAAGATTCTAACGAGAAACTTAGCTGAAACAAACCTTTGTATTCTACGACAAAGTCTCCTTTTTCGAAATTTCGCCCGGCGCGTATTCCACGGCCCTTCAGAGGATCCTTATATACATCGAGGAACTTTTCGTTTCCGCCGGTCAAAACGGCGTCTCGTAGAGCATCCCGCTCTTCCTCCTGAAATCCATTTTTTTGGCTAAAGGTTGAAAAATTTACCTCAATCTGTTTACTCGTTTTTCGACTACTCCGACGAACAGGGAAAAACTCCGTGATTTTGTGGTTTGAGACATCTTTGACGGCTTGTCTTCTAAAAACCGAAGCCTTAAATTTAAAAGCAACTTCTTCTGGAAATTAACTGTTTGAGAACTTCATTAATCTCGAATTTTTGGTTGAATAAAATGTTTAATAGTGTATTAGTAATATCAAAACTCTCGCTAGGGTTTTTTTTTAAGTATCACAAATAAATTTACTACGCCACACCATAATTAATTTCGAACAGACTCAAAGGAATAATGAAACTGAAATGATGGCGTTTCAATTATCATTCCAAATAAAAAAATCAGTTAAAAAAATAGATTAGAGAGAAAGATTTTTCTGAGTCCCGCAAAAAAAGCTTGTCCGCCTCTCAACAGGCTTGAAGATTGACTTATTGGATTTTGGATAATGGTAAAATATCGAATACCAAAGAATGAAATCGAATATGAGAGCTACGTACCCTTTCTTAGACGGAATCTTAGACCTAGGCGGTGATACGGCGTTTTCAGTGTGCCCGTTTTCATTGGTAATGTCGACGACTGAAAGCGACTGCATGCTAACCACAGAAGATCGTTTCTTCTTGGTTCGGCCATTCCGTTTTTGTGCCGCGACCCGCATCATGTCCTACCTTCTATCACAGGTATGCTGAAAACTGGAATATACTAGGCTTCTGACAGAAAATATGAAAATGGAAGGAAAATTACGAGAAAAACAAACAAAAAGCACGCAGGAAAGCACGCCGGATTGTCACCATGATTGCGCCAGTGGATCAGGTTGTGGCGTCTTTGGCGTGTCTCGGTGTTTCATGCCAACCGGAATTCCCCCTTTTTTTGCCATTATTCGATTTCTTGTTTTTTCTTGTTGTTTTCTTCCATCTGACCAAGCTTTTCGAATGATGGGAGATTAAAATTATAACGAATATCGTTCAGCCACAGCTATCACCCAAATGTTTAATATTTTGATAACCTCTTTAAAACTTTATCTTTTATAAAAGTGCACGTGAGACAACGAAAAAATTTTTCGATGTAAGACCTTTATTTGGTTTTCAATTTCATTTCTTCAATTTTTTTTTCCTCATGGCAATACTCAATTCCATGGGATTATCATTCTGACTTGAAATAATAGATGTCTAATAGAAGGGAGAGCTCAAATTTCTCAAAACCATACTTCAAAAAAAGATCTTTTCAGAAATGCCACCAAAACGCAGAGGTAGAGGCCGTGGCGGCGGAGCCAATGGACCAGCTGCCAAGAAAGCACGAGGAGGAAGAGTTTCGACTCGTTCAACAAGAAGGGTTTTTTTTCAGTATTTACTCTTTGTTTTCGAAAAACACCCTTTAGAGTAAAGCCGAATCTTCTTCTGAAGACGAACAACCCATGTCTGACCCAGAAGAACTGGGGTTCGACAAAAACGCTCTTCAATCGGTCAAATATGACTACAATGAGCTCATGAATGGTCTTGTTTTAATCAAGATATTGATTTTACATGAAGTTTCAGATCCTGCCTACAATCATCCCGAGCTCATACATTCCATCGATCATTCGGGTAGGTATTATTCTATTATTATTTTTCTAAAATGTAATAATTTAGTATTTTTTCAATATCCTCGCTCGAATTTTCGAGGGTACATAAGTTTTGCGTGACTGCAAATGACTGTGAAACGTTTTCTTGCATTCAAAACTTTTTTTTTATTAGTCAGCGCTTCTTCTAACATCCCAGAAAGAATCGTTAACATGCCTAAATGACATTTTTCATACATAAAAGTTTTTTTTACTGTATTTTTTTCAGAACTGAACGAAGATTACTACGAAAGAACGGGTTTACAGGATCCATTGCTGTTCCATTGTGATCCTAAGTTACTCGGGATGAAGTAAAAAGAAATATAGTTTCCAACTAAAAAGAGAAAAAAATCTGTAGAGTCCCCGATGCGAACACGTTCACAGTAGATTCCGTTTTGGACTTGGTCGGCGGAAATCGAATGATTGAAGTCGTCGAGGTTTTTTCATTATGATTAGTCTAGAGAATCCTCTTTTCTATAGGTGAGCAACCAAGGTAGTGTCAAGATGTCGCTGAAGGAGTTCGTCGACTTTTATAAGTGAGATTTTCTTTCCGTTCTATCGAAAAGTGGATCTTTTGCAGTAGCCCGCCGGAGAAACGAGCGCCTCTCTACAACGTCCTTTCTCTGGAGTTTTCTAATACTCCGTTGCATGTTCGTTTATTCCCCTTTTTTAATATAATTTAATAAGTTCAGGACCACGTTATGATGCCAGAAATCGTGAGGAAGATAGATTGGGTACAGAACAATTGGCCGGACGAACTCAAGCAGAGATTCATCACGTTTGCCAGGAATCACAAACACTACACGCCGCATAATGCGTATCCCCAAGTCCAAAAGTGAGTCCAATTCTATAGTCTTTTCATTTATTTATTCCTTATCCTTTGGTTTTTTTCAAATTAATCTAAGAGAGTTTGAAAAAATATATAATGAATTTTCAACGTACTTCTGATCTGTACAATTAAGTAATACAGGTCTGAAAGAGAATTTTTCAATTTTTTTCAACTTTTTTTGTTAAATTTTTTTAAATAAACATGATGCGAAAGAATTCGAAAAGCGTGATGAAAAATAATATTCATAGTTTTTTTTAAAAATTGCTTTTATCGATATTTTTTTGCCTTTGATCGAACGTTCTACTCATTTTTGAAAAAATATTATTTCATTTTTCTTCTGTTAAATTCGATTCCTCTCATCACGAAGTTTCGCCTCAGCTGGTCTTTCTCAGAACGGTGTATCGGTTTAACTTCCTGTAACCTTGTTTTTATCTTTCTGCTATTTTTATTGTCAATATTGGAAGAAAATTGAGAAAGAGTTTTTTTTTTTGTTTTTCAAACGTTTTGGGGGCCTTCCATTTTCGATAATAAGGATCTTGATAAGTTTCAATTTCATTCGGAAATCTTCCATGTACTTTTAGAAGACCGTACCTCGCTTTTTTTGAATTTTTGTTTTCAATTTCTAACTTGCCTTTCATCGAACCTTTTCAATTTTTGGGCCAAAAAAGGTCAGTAGAGTTGCCCTTTTTTCAAGTTTTGAAATTTTTAGCTACTGCCTGATGAGTGTAGCTGGCTGTTACACGGACTTCCATATCGACTTTAGTGGAACTTCGGTGTGGTACCATGTCCTAAAAGGGCAAAAGGTGAATCGTCATCTCTATATTCACGGAAAATTCTCGTTCCAGGTTTTTTGGCTGATCCCGCCAACTGCCACGAACTTCCTCCTCTACCAGGAACATGCTAAGAACACAGAAGACCGAAGTTTCTTCGGCAAAAGTGTCGAGACTTGTGGGATGGTTATTCTGAAGCCTGGTGATACGATGCTCATACCAAGCGGTGCGCTTTGAAGTTTTTTTTGTGGTGGTTAGCTTTGTAATTGCACTGGATTGGTCACTTGTGACTCGTAAGAATACATTCAAACCGAATTAAATCGTTAATTTAAATATCAAACCACATCTTGCAGCTCGAAAATGCCTTTTTTCGAACTGATTATTCTATTTTATGAATTATTAAGCATTCTATCTAAGTCTTATTTCCAACATAGTTACTCGAAGATAAATTTGAAAAAAAGCTCATTTGAGTACTGAGAAACCTATTTGTGATTTTTTTAGAATATTAATTTTATATTGCTAACTTTTTCACCAAGCTAAATCATTTCAACTGTTGTTTTTTTCTGTTTTTTTCTTTTTTTCTCACTATTTTTTTAATATTTTTGAGGGTTTCTCGTTGGATGAGAATGTGTTTATTTAATCTAGTTTTGTTCTTTTCGGAAACCGCTATCAAAAAAATCTAAACTTTTTTTGTTAGATAGTCAAGTTTCCTTGATTTTTAAAAAAATTTTGTTCTTATGTCTCAGAAATTTGACTTACAAAAAAAGTAAAATGGTAAAATAGTGAAAAATATACCAAAAAGCGTAGAAAAGTTTTGAAAATTAGTTATTTCTACTATAACAAAATATTTTTTTTTGAGAAAGCTTCAACCCTCATTAGGGATTGTGAAAATCCATTTTCGGTTTTTCCCGTCGAATTTGACGCTTTTTAATATTTTTAATAACTATTTTTCATCTTTTTTTATCCAGCCGAGAAACACATTGAAAAGTCAGAAAAAAGAGTTATTATTGGAAATATTTCTTAGTTTACTCAAAAAAATATAGGACATAGTTTCTGGGAAAAAACTCTAGAATGAAAACATATTTATGGCTGTTGATTTAGGCTGGATACACGCAGTCTATACGCCAGTGGATAGCCTCGTTTTTGGCGGCAATTTTCTGCATTCTTTGTCTTGCAAAATGCAGATCAAGGTCTATCAGTGTGAAAATCGACTCAATGTGAGTAATTATTTTCCTCTTGTGTCGTTGATTCGATCCTTCATTTTCAGATAACCAGAAAATTCCGACTTCCGTACAACGAAGAGCTCATTTTCTATGTGATAGCCAACTATGTGAAGAAGTGGACGGGAAGAGAATATGCCCGACCTTTGCGGATAGAAGATGCCAAGTTGGAGTTTTCGAGTTTTTTTTACTTTTTTATTTGTTCCAGACGTGACTACATAGGCAAAAAGTGGTTTGAGGCCGGTGGACATCATAAAGAGGTATTATTTTGCAGTTTCTGTTCACCTATGAAACGGAGTGCTTTGCTTGAGAATAGCGAGTTTTTTTAAAGAGTTTTTTCAAAAGAATCAAAGCCGGAAATTTGGAAAATTCAGTTTGAAACACGAAGGTTTTATGGAAATTATTTGCTATTTAACATTGTGCTTCATTTTCATGAAATGAAGCTCAACTTTTTTGGTAAAATCATTATCTTTAAAAACCTTTCATTCTTCTTTCATCTTCATTCCTTGGTAATTGGAAAGTTTCAAAAATTGATACTTCTGTGAATTTTTCAAATTTATTTTTTTATTCATTTGGTTCTAATTCTTAATTCAACAAAGAGAGAAACAAAACGGGGAACATGGGAAAAAATGTTGGACTTGAATTTTCTTGACTTGAATGGAGTTATGAGGGTTTTGATGACATTGTTTTGTAAATGAATTTCGGCATAGTTGAAATACAAAAATAGTAATATTATAAACAGTTTTTATAATTTCCTTCTTTTTGCAATAATGAGCATGAATGGTCTTTGAAAAAGTTTATTCAGGCAACATTTTTGACTTCAAAATTTATTTAACCGTCTTAATATATCTTGGCGAAATGTTTTTGGTTCAATTTTTTTGAAACCATTACCAAAACGGGAATTTCAGTCTACAAGGTCTCAGAGAAAAATTTACTATGTTTTACCTCTTCTTTTTTATTAGTTATATAATCTCTTCTCATTTCTCTATCTTCTTTATTTTCCTTACCACTTCAGATCAACTTTGCCGATTTCGGACATCAATTAACGACGGAAGAGTTGCAAGAGGCGGAGGCCGGAGCGCCGACAACTGGTCAGTTTTGGTGTGAATGGATCTCACTTGCACCGTGGCTCCTTCGGTAGGGGACTGGCGTTTGGAAATGACATCGTGGGTTCGATGCCCGCCAAAGTTTGCGCGTGATGAGAAAATCATCCTTGCTCTGCGAGTCGTCCGACGAATCCCCGGCACGGCGGATGTTCTTCTGAAGACGGTCGTTGTCTGAATGACGTCATCCGTCAGATCGGGGAGATATGTCGTGGCGACGGTGAACAGCGTTGGCCTCTGATGCAAACTTTTTCTCATTTCTTTCTGAATCCATCAAAAAATCGTCTTAAAAGGATTTTATATGGTTTTTATGATCAAAAACACATATTCTATTTTTTTGTGAAAGCGATGCCAGTTTTTTTCTTCTGCTCGATTTTAACTAAAGTTAGAAAAAAACCGACTTGTTAAAAACAGCTTAAAAAAAAGTAAGTGTTATAGGAGAATTTTTTTTTCTTTTCAGTATGTTTCTCAAGGTTTTTTTTCTCATCATTTTTACTTTTATATATTTTACAATTTGGCCCCAATTTTCTGGTGATGTTTTTTCATATTCTAAGAAGAAGAAGCCCTAATTTATCTTTTCTCATAGCAGTTTGCTGGCGCATTCAAATCAAAATATAACTTCAGAAGAAGGAAGTTTGAACGTGATAGCGATGCACGACGCCAACTCGCAGTATGCCAAGCAGGTCGGAAACGGATCGTCGCCTCGAGTCAGTCTTACAAACGAAGAAGTCGACAAGCTCGTCAGCAGCAATCCGCTCATCTTCTACAAGAATGCCGTTAGTTTTATTTTAGTAGATTTTCTGCTTTTAAGGAGATTTTCAATATCCGAGATTTTTTTCTTTACTTTTCTATATTTCCCCAAGAGAAGGGAAGTAATGTGGTCTCTAAAGGTGAATCTTCAAGGGCCCCTGAGGTTTTCCCTATAGGAAACACTGGAGCTCCTAAGTACGCATTGTTTTCGTTTTTCTATGACCTCTTCTATAAGTGAAAAGAGAAGCAGGAAGATCTGACTGTTTCAAAGGCTATTTTGAAAAAAAAAAAGATTCAGGGTCACGACTTTTGTTCCAACAAGTCTGTGCAAGATCACAAACTGCCCGTAAACGCTGAACCACCGATCATTTTCAATGAAGGTTTTGAAAAAGCCTTTCATGACCGAATATTTCAATTATAGAAGAAATTAGAAAAATCTCTCCGTTCAAGCTGGACGAACTGGACGCCTTGTGTACTTATCTGCGGAAAAAGCAAAAAGTTTGTTGAAAAATTCCTATATTTTTTGTAAGTTTCACAATTTAAGGTTGAAATTGCCGAAGGGATTTGTCAGCCTGCCTCATTACTGAAGTGCTTTGCGGAAGTTTTGAAGCATAGGAGAGCGCAATTGCCCAAGGTTCATTTTTTTCGTCGGACTCAGCAGAGTTATTTGATTCCGGAGGCTATTTCAATTAAAATTCGTCACTATCATTTTTTTAATGTTTTAGTTTAAGCATTCAAGTCTGGCTCGAGTATTCAATTTCTAATATCATATCTCGGAACCTTGAGAGTAAATTTCGAATGATGCAAAGTTACTTGCAACTGCGAAAAAGTTGAAAACATTGGAGAATCAAAACTTTTTCTACTTTTTTTGAAAAAAATTGATTATAAAATTGTTTATTTAAAAAAAGAAAAAAAGTTTTTCAAACGGAAGATTGTTTTTTTCTCTTTTCTTTACTATGCTTTTATGGTGTATATCTGAGGAATCTAACTTTCGAGCTCCAGCTCATAAGGAAAGTGAACATTTCCATGCGAGGGACAAGTTCGTTTCTCGAAATTGTTCGATTTTTCGTTTTTTCCGTTGATTTTTTCATTTTCCAATCTGAATTTCGAAATGCAGGAAGAGCACTCGCCGTCGCCTGCAACGACCAGATCTGGAAGGAAAAGGAAATCTGCTCCGGTGAGTCATTTTTCGCGTCGATTTCATCATTCTTCGTCTTGTTGTTGAGTCATTTCCAATGAGATCTTTTTCAGGCCCCTAAATCAACGAACGAAGCAAAAAAACGCGGCATGTTGGCGACGCGAATCTCGAAGAAGAGGTTCGTTTCGAGTTGATATTTTCTTTTATTAAATGAGATTTTTTTGTAGGTGACGGAAAACGAAGAAGATGATGAGAAAGCCTCAGTCAAGCCGGAGGCGCCAGTTAAGGTAACTTCTAACTTTAAAAAAAATAATTTTTTTGATCAGCAAATACTTCAAGATCCTCAAATGAAAAAAATTTCGACAATTCATAAACTCAGTTCTGAACTGAAATGAAGTTTTTCAAAGTCCAAAAAAAGTTTTTGAAAAAAATAAATTTCCAAGTTTTTTTAGCACTTTTTTATCAATTTTTTGGAATTCAAATTAAACTTAGTATCTTGGTTCTCTTGCTCATTTAGAAAGAAAAAAAGCATTCAATCACTCTGAAAAAATCCCTGAATTTTTGGAATAAATATAGTTTTCTTCTCCATTGTATAAATTAACACGTATTGAAATCCATCAACGTCGTTTTTCTCACTCCGAATTTGTTTTCTCACGTGCATCAGTTTCCCATTATTTCTCCTGCCTTCTCTCTGCTTTTCTGTATCTTTTATCACAATTTTTTTTTCTTCATTGATCTGGAAACGTTTCTTGCGATTCTCATTTCTGCAACTTTCGTCTTCGAAAGAAAGTTTCTTGTTTTCTCATAACCTCTCTTCATTATTCAAGTGTAATTTGCGAGAGTCAAACAATTGAAATTTTTATATTATCCCTCATCTTTTACAAAAATTTTTTTGATTTTTTTAGTCATTATTTCAAAAAAAGTTTGTGACGTTCCCTTTCATTTTTTCATTTTCATTTTTTTTTCATCAGGAAGAACACGTCGAGGCGGCGGAGAAAATGGAAAGACGGGTGAAAAATGAGGATGAATTGACGAGTCTCCACGTCGACCACAAAACGGGATCTTCGCAATTTATCGTTGACGATCTGCCGGAAAATATTCTCGAAGACGAGGAAAAGCCCACAATTGGGGAGAATTATTCGGCTCTCGAAGAGGAATACGAAGAAGATGACGACGACGGCGATGAGTACGTGCCGACGGCTCCTGTCAGGCACGCCTTCTTTCTGTTTTCAGGGGAAAATTAAACCTCCTAACGATTACACAGGCCCTCCTAGAGCTCAAATCTTTTGAAAGATTAACTGAATTTTTTTTCGAAACGGCTGGCTAGCCACTGAGTCCATTTCAATAATTTCAATAACCAAAAAATATGATTTCAAAATCGGTATTTTTTGTAGCAAACTTGATGAACTTTCAGAAAAAGAAGCGATAGACTTTAGAGTCAATTTTTTTACGTTGTAGGATGCCTCTGCCTCCACATGAATCTTCTGGCGCTCTTGTTAGGAAGCCGGTCATTCCGGAGCTTCCTCCCGAGTTGGAGCTGAAGAAGTTGGACCCGAACATGGATAGGGTCTGTTTTGCAAATATATATAATATTTGACGTTTTTTGTTTATGATTCTGCGTGTTTTTATAAGATTTCCCTGAGCGCCCAACGAGATCTTTTTGTCCTTATTTCCTCGACCAATAAATGAAGTTTTAGATCAAAAAACGTATCAGCCGATCTTCACAAGAACTTTCGCCGGCAAATAACAAAGAATCGAAACACAAGGACGACGAAGACGGCAAGAAGAGGCGCGATGAGAAGCTCTCGGCGAAGGAGCGGAAAAAGAAGGAGGCCGACCGGAAAAGGTCCGACACTCATTTGGACGACGCTCTGAATGGTGAGTCACCAGATTAGTCATTGAAGTTTTTCCAAGCAACATCAAAAAATGAAAATATTTTGGGAGTTTGAGGGAGCCTTCCAAAAAGGAAACTTTTTGATAGAGAAGTGCGGAAATTAGATTTTTTTTTTTTCAAAAAAGTTCACGTCGAATTTGGTTTCCGACTCGAAATTATGGAAAAGTGGTGTAAAGTTCTACTCGTACTTTGAAGTTTAAATAGACTATTTTTTTAAATTAAATGAATTCAAGCAATTAAATTTTTTTGCGTGCAAAGTCGCCTCCAGAGTATTTGCTTTCGCGAAAGTAATTGAAATTTCGATTTTTTAAGAACTTTTTTAGCTTACTAATTCTCTCATTCAGCACAAGTTTTGAATATTGCGAATTTCGAGCTATCATTAGAGTTATCAAATTCGAACTGTTAATAAAAATGGTCTGCAAGATTATATTCAGCTGCACATGGGAACTACGCGCCGCGGCAAAAGAAGAAGAAACCCGAGAAGCCGGCCTTCGCCGGAGGAATCCCCACTGCGCCGATTCAACACGAGCCGGTCGTCGAAAATCCTTACAACTTTGACCCGATGTCGGAGATCATGAAGCTCGGACAGGGGCAGCTCAAAAGTGCCTACCGGAAGACGAAGACCGTCAGTTTTGATGGAAATACTCTCTGCAAAACTACAGTGTTCAGAACATCGAGTTGAAGAAGGATAAGAATTTGTACAGACTCGAACCGAAGCGACATCCGTCTACAGAGAATCCGTCGACGTCGGCTGCAGGTGCGGGAGAGTAGAATCGACAGCTCAAATTGTTTTGAAAGATATTATTTTCTTCGCGACTCTGTTTCAAAGAAACTTCTTAAATTTTTTTGTTTTCAGTTTTTTTTTAGTCAGAAATGCAAACAGTTTTCACCTTTTTATTCGAAATGAAGACTCTCGAAAAACTACTAGAGAATTTCATTCACTTTTCAATTTAGCTTTTATTGAAAATTTGCTTGAAACTTTTTGGAGTTTCAGATTTTGATTCCTGCCACCTATGCAAGCTTTCATAATGGTTGGGAAAAAATTCTTAAAATTCATGTTGAGCCCAAAAAAAAACTCATTTCTTCAAATCTGAGATTTTTCGTGAGTAGCGAGAAAAAACAAATCAAAAATTGAACAACCACCTCCTTCGTAAGCATTCAGAAGGATAATTGATAAGTCTCGACCTTCAGACAATGAAGAAGTCGCGAACCACTCGCCTGGTCAAAATGCGCAGCAACAAATACAAGAGCATCCCTTCAACGTGCAGCCTCGAATTGAGCGTCGAAACTCCATTCATTCGACTGCCAAACCGCCCTTGGCCAGCCATTCCAACACTGAATCTCCCGCGACTCCTACTGGCAGTGGAACCCGACCGATTTCCGTGGACACAGGCTTCCCGACCAGTGGATCCAGTACTGATCATCGGAGAATGTCCTTCGATTCACGATCAAGACGTTAGTTTGGACATTCTTTGAAGTAGACGTTGAAAAAAGTGTAGAACAAAATTTGGAAAAAAAAATTGAATATAACCGAATACTCGAGGATGTTCAAAAGCACATGAATCGTCTATGAATAAGTGAATTCAAACATATATCCTTTATGATGACATTCAAGATGTAGTTGAACAAGGATAGCGCCAGAAATAAGCCTGATTAGAACAGATTATGGAAATTTTCAAAGGACAAATCTCTAATTTAGCCTGGAAAAGTAGAAGTGTACTATTTTATCATTAAAGTCTTAGAGAAATTTTCCCAACGTTTTTTTTTAAATTTCGAATAAAACACTCATTACTATGACAATATGAATAGAAAAAATTTGGAACTTCTTGAAGTTATTTTTTATTAACTTCCATTTTTTTTTCCAGATGATAAGCCTTCTCCGAAAGTGAAAGAGCCAATGTCGGCGGCAAGATCAAAGCAGCCTCAGCCATCGCCAATCGGAGGCCCAGGAACCAGTCACGTGGCGCGGAACACAGAAAGGAAAAAGAGTTAGTCGGATAGACTCGAATCATCATTGGGATTTCGGGGATAAATTAACATGTTACTATAGAAACCTCTTCTTGTCGTACTTTTTGTTTTCGAATCATTCCTGTGAGCATTTAATGAGGCTTTACTCATGTCTTTCCTATTATATTACTTTCATGCGTAATGTTATGCGATTTCAAAGTTTCTCAACTGCCTTAGTACTTTTTCAAAAAGTTTTCATTCATCTTGTCAGTAGGAAGTTTGAAATTAAGCCTAAAAATGAGTCTCACAAAAATCTTCCTACTGCCGTGTTCAAAGTGATTACGCGAAATTCAAGGAGAAGAACAAAAAGATCTATTTTTGAGCTCGCATCGAAGGCGTAGGTAAAAAGACAGCCGGAAATATAGTCACAAAAATATTGTTTTTGTGGGGAGTTATCTTGGCCTACTAGTGCTGTTTCGCAGCTTGACTTGAAGAGAAATTGAATTATTCAATTAATCTCAGCAGTAGAAAATATTCCCATTCATTTTTTTTTATTTCTAGGCGAAAGTGGTTCTGGAACTGCTCAGCGCAAGTCTTACACTTCGGTGACGTCACGACTCGAGAAGTTGATCAACACGCCGATCGCAACGTCTTCTCGTCCAGCTCCACCAGCAGCTACCATCGAAAAGTCCGATTTATTCCGTAAACTCCACAGAATAACTGTGTTGAGCTTCCAGAAGACCTGCGATGCTTTCTGGAACTCCGCGGACGTCGTCTTCTCGGCCATCGACTGATTCTTCGTACACGCCGACGACGGCTCCGCCTAGGGTTATTATTTGCAAAAAAAAACATCGATAAATTTTAGCTATTAGGCTTCTAGCTGTTGCAAATATAGCAGGTAGTTAGAAAGCTAAGTTATCAAAAAGAACTCCTCTACGTTTTTTTCAAGTAAAAAAATTATTCCCGCTGATGAACTTTTTCTCTGAAAAAACACCGCGAAATCGGAGCTGCTTCTCTATGGAATTGAACATCATACAATTTTTGAAAAAGAATTTTTTTGAAAAATGTTCAGAAAAAAATTACAACCTGAAAGAGAGCTTTGAACAAAGTTTCCTTGTTGATTTTTTAGTTAATTAAAACGAAGGTTTTTTTTCTTGGGATAGTGAGTTAAAAGTTATTAACCATGTGAAAGAAAAGAAAAAATAGTATGGATGATGGAAAAACAAAGCAAGAATTTTACCAACTGTACTCTTTTTTTTTTTACGAATTTCGTCTCTGACTGAACAAGATCAAAGGGTTCTCCACACGTCTAAATTTCTCATTATGTTGCTTGATGCAGACGTCGTCTTGGATGCCTTCGAGCGACGCCCATCTCCATCTGAACACGAGCGACGCCGCCGACGACTCGCCGATCGACGTCGTCAACGACTCTCCGGCGCATCTGCAACACAATCCGACACGTCCTCTGCCGTCGCCGCGGAATTCGGCTGCCGCAGTTCTTTCTCCTCTTGCCACCAACAGCTCCAACAAGGGTTTCTCTCACGATCATCGTGAGTAGCAGAATTGAAAGGCTCTGATGGTTGACATCTGACTTTCAGACTCAGCGCGGGATCATTATGCTAGTCGTTCTTCCATTTCGGGTTCTCTAGACAGTTTGGTTAGTTTTTGGCTGGTTTCTCGATTCCAATCGAACGTTTTCAGCCTCCATCTGTGAATGGCGATCATCCGAAGTTGGCTCCAAGCGGAAGGTACCTCTTTATTTCGATAGACTTGTTAGAAAAGTAAAAGAAAATTACTTCACTAGTTTGAAGAGCTGTAGAAATGTTGTCGAAAATCAATATTATCTTCGAAAATTCTTTTTTGTCTAGTTTTTTTTTCCTGATTTTACGGAATTTATAGAATTGTCTCTGGAAAAAGTTAGACACCTCAACAACTTTGTTCATATTTATTCTCACTAAAATCTTAAATTATCCGTTTTTCAGGCCTTTCATCCCATCTCGAAACGCCATCGACCGTCTGAACTCTCTGTTCACACGTTTGAACGAGCTTCACCAAAGAAATGCATAAAATAATTTTATACTGATCTTTTCCCGTTAGAAACTCTTCTAACTCACTAGGTCATAATCTCTTGTTTCTCTGTTACTTTTCACTTCTCTTTTTTGTCCGTTGTTGATCCTCTGATCTCCGGCATTTTTATGCTTTTGATATTCTGTATCTTTCTACTTTTAGTTGTATCGAAATAGTTTATGTTTTAAGTTGTTCCTTTTAATAAGTTTAAGCCAAATTGTTGCATCGAGGAGCCATCAATGATCTTAACCCTTTTTATACCTCTGGCTTCGCACAAGTTTTTAAATTGAGTTTTATGTTTTTACAAAACGAAATAAATATTTGTTTTTTAGTGTATTTTCCAGTGATTAAGTCCCGTTTGTATTTCGGGTTCGATTAATTATGTAAATCTGATTATAAACATTTTTTTGTCTGTTCTTCTTTGAAAATACCGAGAAGAGATTTTGAACGGATCATGAAACTTTGATTGAGTTGAGGAGAAGTTCCTTTTTATTCCGAATAAAATAGTGCCCTGAATGAATAAGAAAAAATGAGGCATATCATTAAAAACCTCAAGAAAAAGAAAGTTGCCCTGACAACCAAAATTTTCCTCCAGATCATCCAAAAGTATACCTTATTCATGCTGTGATTAAATTTTTTTCCTATGTAACTTCCTGATCTTTTTCCTTTTCGAAAATTTTTGGTTTTTATAAGGTAGACTTTGACGATGGGCTTTGTAGTCTTTGAATTCTACAAATTCGATTCAATATTCGAAAAAAATAAATTAAATTTTTAAAGTGAACTTTATTGTTGTTCAAAGTGATGCCTCAAAATGCAAAAGTATCTCTGACCCTCCAAAATTTAGTTATCTTTTTCATTCGTCGATGGCTATTTTGAATTCAGCGGAAGGATTTGAATATTGCATTAGCTGTTCGAATAAATCTTTTTGAACTCTTAAAAAATGTAAAGGACGGATTAAGATTCTATTCTGAAGATTGGATGAGCCAAGACGAAAAGGCATCAGAAATCGAGCGGAAAATAACTACGGAGAAACGAGTTCTGAACAGTTTGGAAAAGTCCAAAGTATATTTTTGTCTTTTTTTTGGGTTTACGGAATAGTTAAGGAGCCGAGCGTCTACCGAGCCTCGCAGCCGGGAAGCAGGATCTTCTTCCTCGAGTCGAAGAATTCGACTGTTCTCGCCGTCAAAAGTGACTTTCCTTAGGATTCATTGATTAATGTTATGTTTCAAGAGAACATCCGGCAGTTGGAGAACGAGAAGAAAGACCTGCTCAAGGCCTAAAAATGACGACTGTTGAGAAAAGGTGAATTTTCGGGGGTTTTTAGGGGTTGCAATGAAGATCTCTTCCGTTTGTTCTTCTTTTTCAGTTCATATTAAGAGCTATCAAGTTATTTTCTGTTATTTCCGAAAATATTTTAATTTTTGCTCTTTCACAGCTTACTTCTGATTGAAAATATCCCAAAGTCGTCTGAATCTCTCCATTGTGCACACTATTTCGCTAGTTTCATTTAGAGTTTGGTTAGACATGTTCTCAAGTAATTATTTCAAAAGAAAAAAATGGAATTGAGAGAAAGTGAGTTATTCTGAGAGAAATGTGGCAAATTGGGTTCCGTGCCTTGATATTTTAGAAATGAGTCCTTTAAAAATCCATCTAGACTCACGCGCAGTTTTTCACGTTTTGAAAACGCTCTTCTTCTCCATTTCGATAGTAGATTTCAAACTTTGAGGTGTCACTTAAAGGGCTCGAATACTGTATTTTTTTTTGTATTTCCGCATTGTCGATAAATAAACTGTACTAATCGATGTGCAGACCATGCGCGGCAGTTGTCGTGCTCGGAGACGTCGGCAGAAGCCCGCGGATGTGCAACCACGCGATTTCCCTCGCCGAGAAACATTACCACGTCCAGCTCGTCGGCTACACGGACACGACTCCGCATGAGCACGTCTCCAAGAATCCAAACATATCGTCCGTTTTCATATTTTCTTTCGAATGAAATAGCTATTTTAACGCGAATATTTCTCTTTTTAATTTACAAACTTCTTTAGAAATAATTATTTCTATTAAAGGTCTTTAAGAGCAAAGGGATCTTAGAAGCTTAACGTTATTCTAAGGATTTAATCTTTTTTTGGACGCGTCTTATCAACTTTGAAACAATTTTGCCAGTAATGATTTCACATCCACTGGCCACGACTTGAAAAGTCTGACATGTCTGCGCCCTCTTCTCTCTTGAGTTTGAGGTCATAGAGACCCGGAAACAGCGCGGACGACCGAGAGTGTCGAGAAAAGAGAACGTTTTAGGCTGTAGCGATTGAGGAATATAGTTTGCAAATCTTTATTCGTGAAAAAGTAGTTGAAAATTTTACCTGTGAAAATTTGATTTTTTTTTTTTTCAGAATAATTTCACTCCCTCCACCGCCGGACTTTCTGTCCAATTTTTCCGAAGTCATTCAGCTGCCACTCAAATTCATTTGGGCGTTCTTCACACTGTTCTTTACTCTTCTTTTTCGGTACTTACAGCTTGAACTTTGAACTTGAATAGGTTTTTAAGTACTGATTTATTCAATCTTCGACTCGTCCTCCTGCAAAATCCGCCAGCTTTGCCCACAATGATAACCTGTTTCGTGGTGTGTTCCTTTCCTCTCTTCAAATCGAAGATTCAAATTTGAGGTCTCTCGGATAAAGCGAGCAAAGTTTGTCATCGATTGGCACAATTACATGTATTCGATTCTCAAGGACAAATATCGTGAGTCTCAATTCCTTTTCGATGGCAATTTCCGTGAAGAATTGAGCGAAGCTGAGATTTTCGACCGGAGTCCCATCGCCTTCTACAATGCTCATCAGACTGAGCAAGAGGATAGCGATGAACGTAAATCTGCCATCAAAAGAGGGTATATCAGAAAAATAGTTCATTCACAACAGCTTCTTGACATGATAAAAAGAGTATAACTGAGCGGCGAAGAAAGTTTTTTGGGAAAAATTCCTTTAAAATTTGTCGATCGAATTTTTAATTTTGTAGGTATGCATTTGCGAAGTTTTTCAAATTCAATTTCGCTAGATAGGGGACGTTTTTCATACTCCGGTTGAACATTTAATGTAATTTTGATGAAAAGTTCTCGAGGACCTCCTGATTTCCAAAAATTTTTTAACAATTTTTCATTCATATAACCTAAAAGTTCACCCAAAAGAAGGTCAGTTTTAGTTGATTCAAAGAGCTCTTAAGAATATTTACAAGGTGGCTCAAAATTACCCGCACAAAAGTTTGACGCCACACAGCAAGGCGAAAACGCAATTCTGGTGCTCGTAATACATAAAATTTTGATTAATTGGATGTTTTTTACCATTTTGCCAAAATTCAGATCAATCGGTTTTGTTTTCGGTAAATGGCACCACCGAATCCACATCGCTCTTACATTCTGCACCTTTTCAAAGAAGAAGTCGCTCCGGTTGACATCATTAAATGGCTCGCAGTCTCAAGTAGAACCGTCTACGACTCGATTTATCGTTTCAAAAAGCTCGGCACGTTCTTGGAGAGATGTGGGAGAGGAAGAAAAGCAACAGTCGTCACTCCAGATCGGATCAAAGCTGTGAAAGAGAGAACCAGAAGAAATTCACTTCGGAGCATCAGAAAGATTGCGAAAGATATGAAAATTAGTCAAAGTTTGATGGAAAGGATCCTCAAAGACAAGCTGAAGCTCACCTGTTACCATGTAAGAAAAGCAGCCATTCTCTCGGTAGCTACAACCAAGAAAAGGCTCGAAAGATCAAGCGAGCTCCTTCAGCGCACGCGCACTGGTGAACACTTGGTTACAGCGTTCTCTGGCGAGAAGCTGTTAACGGTACAGGCCGAATTCAACCCTCAAAGTCATCGAGTACTTGCTAAGACGTCTGATGAAGCTTTCGGCAACGGAAGGACCATTCATCAAGCCTCTCACCCCGCTAGTGTGATGGTTTTCGGAGCAGTGTCTGCTGATGGCAAAACACCATTGCTATTTGTCGGTCAAGGAGTCAAAACCAGCAAGAAAGTCTACATTTCGGAGATTTTGGAAAAGACACTTCTTTCCTGGGCTCAGAAGCACTCGATGGACGTCACTGGGTGCTCCAACAAGACGGAGCTCCAGCACACACAGCCAAGTTGTCACAACAGTGATCCGAGACCCAGTTGCCTGCGTTCATCCCGAAGGACTAACGGCCACCGTTTTCACCAGACCTCAAACCTTTGGACTTCTCCTTCTGGGGTTTTGCAAAACAAGGTCAACGCCAAACCCCACTCGAGTATCGAGGCACTGAAGAAGACCCTGGTCTAGGAATGAGACACTTTGTCGCCAGATTACCTGCGTGCAACCATCGTCGCGTACCCTCGGCGTCTTCGTGCTGTCATCGGAAAGAGAGGAAGTCAAATGGAACAGGATTAGCTTATAATTGTTGTTATGATCATGAATAAACTTTTTGTTGATTCCCATAGATTTCTGACTTTTACTTTTTCTTATACAGCGTTTATAGCTTGTGCGGGTAATTTTGAGCCACCCTGTATAGAGAACGATTTTGAAAAAATAACTGAAGTCATCTCCTTTGCACACCTTTGAATACCTCAGAAAGCTGTTTTGATCGAACTAATATTTTAGCTTGTTTGCGAGACACGGACTCAATTTCAGAATAGTTCGCTACGTGGCAAAGTGGGAAATGGTCTGTGGAAGGCTTTCTGACGCGAATCTCTGCGTGTCGGAGGCCATGAAAAGCAATCTTCGTCGTCTTTTTCAAATCGATGCCAACGTCTTCTACGACCGACCGCCAGCTTGGAAGTTCTGGTTCGTTTTTGGATTGATCTTTTTTAATCGGCGGGATCTTTGAATGTGATCAAATCAGTCGAAAAAAAAACTGTTTTCAGTGAAAAAACCCTCGAGGAGATTCACAATGTCTATTCCGCTTTGGCCACTGAGGAGAAGTACAAAGTATTGTCTCCGAATGGGAACCCAGATGGTTAGAAAAGTTGAAAAGCAAGGCTAAGAATTATTTTGTTCCAGAGACTTTGATCACGGAGAGAGTGAACGGAGTTGTCAAATATCGGGCTGACCGGCCTTTATTGCTCTTTTCTTCGACTTCTTGGACGCCGGACGAGAATTTCGGAATACTTTTCGACGCTCTAGTCGAGTACAACGCTCTGGTCGAACTTAGCGATGACAGGTTTTTGTTCGAAAAATAGGGGAAACGACTGGAGGCTCGACTGTAACAATGAGAAATGATTGAAATAGCGTTTAGGACTATAGAAAAATGAGCTTATTTATTTTTTACTTGTTTTTTTTTTCTGTGCCAAAAAGCTCCGAAGTGTATTTTTTCCTGAAACTTTTCTTTGACCTTTAGGCGAAGTTTTTTGTAAAAGGTGTGAAAAATTGGGATTGATCAAGAACTTCAGCGAACTCTGAGAGGAAATATAAAATTTATAACAGCAAAAAGAGGTGAGAAAATTTTAAGTTTCAAAAACAAAAATTTATTAAGTTCGCTCTTAGCTTTTCAGAAAAAAAACATTCACTCTTTCTTACTGTTCAGAAAAGAAATTTTGAACTTCAAGTCTGAAACTCTTTCTTTCACGAAAGAAATAGAAGAATCCCCGTTTTCAGATTGCCGCGTTTGCTCGTGCTTATCACGGGAAAAGGTCCCCTGAAAGAACATTACTTGAGCCAAATTTCCGAGAAGCAAATGCGTTTCGTTGATGTGAGTTTTGGCGTTTTAAACAGGCGTTCCAATGATGTTTAGGTGGTTTCTCCGTGGCTGGCCGCCGAAGATTATCCCACGATTGTCGCTTCTGCTGATTTGGGAGTTTCGCTGCACACCAGCACTTCTGGTTCATCTCAATCGGGATTTGTTTCGTCTAAGTACGATTTTTGAGGTCTGGACTTGCCCATGAAGGTGGTGGATATGTTCGGCGCTCGACGGCCTGTCCTTGCCAAAAACTTCCGCTGCATTTCCGAACTCGTTAAGGTTTCAACTTTTTATACCTCTTCACGAAAAAATTATTTCTTTTTGTTTCTTTTTGCTCAAATTATTTCGATTCTCATGCAAAAAAGTGTTTTGCCATTTCTGATTCTGAGCTTTTCAACAAAGTTTATCTTTTTATTTCCCATAGACATGACAAACCTTCTCAACCTCGAAAAAACTCGAGCTAGCGACCGCGTGGGTCTTGAGAATCTGCTAACTAACTGAGCTTTACTCTCACTCTCCGAAAGTAATATTTAAAAAACGAGTGATTTATAGGAGAGCGAAAACGGGAATCTCTTTGATTCGTCAGACCAATTAACTCAGCTTTTGGTTGATTTGGCTGAGGGCTTCCCCGAGGAGTCACGACTCAACAAACTCAAGAAGAACGTTTTGGAAGTAAGTCTCCTTATTCGAAATTCAAGCTTTCTTATATAATTTTCGACTTGTTGTTAATTTTTTGTCACTTCATTTCTAAGTCGGATACGAGCTAAGAAAAGACGCGACATTAATTTTGCACGTTCTGATCTTTCAATATTTTTTAGACTTTCCCAGCCAAATTAAAGCGTTTTCATAATCATTTACCTGAAACGTTTAATAAAAAAATGTTCTAAAATCGATTCAAACCCTCCTTCTAGAAAGTTTATATCGCTTACTTTGTTCCGTCTAAAGTATAAGTTTTTAGATGAAGTTCGAAACGTGGGAAGAGATGTGGGAAAAGACAGCGGCGCCGACTTTACTATTGGACCAAAACCAGAAGGAGACGAAAAAGAACAATTAGTTGATGACACGACCCTAGTTTTTTTTCGCATTTCGAATAGAATTCTCGAACTCTTACTTTATTTATTGGGACCATCTTATCTATTCACACGGTTAGCTTGAACGTATCTCGGTGTTCATTTCCAAATTATCATTCCATCTCACAATTTGATTTATCTTATTTTGCATAAAAGCATAAATTAGTTATAACTTTGACTTATAGTTTCATTTTCAGAGTCTGCAAAATTTATTGGAATTCAGGTTGATTTTACTAACAGCAGTTTTTTTCTGCTCCGGTTACACCTAAATTTGGCCATTTCTTATTGAAAAAAACATGCTGGCTGATCAAAAAAAGCGTCTTTTTCACGAGGGTTCATATTATTTTGAATTTTAAGAAAAAGCCTATTGATTTATACCATATTAGTCACCCTAAATAGTCCACTGAGTTGTGTAAAATGGATAAGTTAAAGTTTTTAATTTGGTCCGAAGACAAGGCGCATTGAGATTCGGTGTGAATTATAAGTACAAATCCTGGTTGCAGCGAGTCATACCTTTCCCAATACGTGGAAGCCTTCAGTTTCTCACCAATATTGACATCAATTCCCATGGAAATATGACGAACATTCCGGCCTATTTTCAGTAGCGGCGGCGGCAGCAGCGAGTTTATCTGCGGGCACAAAAAGAATGTAAAAAAGGCCGGCGAAAAAGTTTTCTCAAAGATAATTTATATTTTTTTATAGTATTTTTGATGAACTTTCGAATTTCCGTAATTTTTATTCAACTTCCTTGCTCTTTTTCAATAAGAATAAGTTCAATGCCGAGATATCACATTTTGAAATTTTTAATGAGCAGTTCCTCATGCCGATGTCAGTAGCTCTAGCATGAATTCTTTCTGAAAAGTTTAAATTTTGTAGGGATTAATACATTTAGAATCTTTATTAAGTACATCAAAAAGAGGTTTACAAGCCAATTTTTTTGAAAAATCAAAATTTCGAATAGAAACTTTTTTTCTTCTATATATCTTCTCACCATCAGATTCGATGTTCGACGTCTGTTTTTTTTTTCAAAAGCCCCAATTAGTCAAAATCGTTGCGAGGAAACTTGAGAATCTGAAATTTCCCCAAGCTTTTCACGTATTCATCCTGAAGTTGGTTGGTTTGGTTGGTTGATTTCGGTTTGCGGAATGGAGAGAAGCAGTGGAGGTGGAAGGAGAGTGCACCTGCCTGGCCGATAAGAGGCGGCCTGATAGACGGCCGTCGCCCTTCGAGACGACGATCAGCTGCAGCGGCGGTCAGCCGAGAGAGAGGGCGGCGCGCGGAGAGAGAAGGCGGCACAGCGTTCATTGGCGGCCCCGACGGCAAGCAGGGCGACATATCTCCCTCCTCTCGCCTCGCCTCGCTTCGGATCCAACCCGGACGCTTTCTTCCAACGATTCGTCATGACGCGTCTTTCCTATTCATAGTGCTCCATCTTATAAGCATAGCTTATCTTTTTCGTTTATCTGCCTATCAGAACTTTTGATACTTTGTGTCATTCCGAAAGTTGAAGAAATTCTGATTTTTGGTTATTTAAACTCCTGAACCATTTTTTTAATCTATCCGTTTGCGTCTTTGCGAGTTTTGTTTCTTCTAAAAATGTGCAAATTTTTTTTCGCACAGTACGAATCAAGTCACTCGTGATTTCTGCTCCTGAGAAACCTTCTTCTCATGTTTCATCTTCATCGCTTCACTCGAACGTGTCCTGAATTCTCAGTAGCTTCTTACTTCATCTTTTTTTCTGTTCAGAAAATCTTACTTTGATGCTCCAAGGATATACAGCCAAGTTCCTAAAAGTTCTCGAGACGAAGAGCTTTTTTCAGTGTTTTTTTTTGGTCATGAAAGACTTCTGCGCCTTTAAACTCAAAAACGAAAATTTGGCATTACTTTTTTGCAACCTGTCTCTCTTGATATTCAAATTAAAAAATATTTTCATATCAAAACAAATCTATCGTGTTTCATCTGCGCTCTGCTGCTCCTGCCGTGAACATTTTCGGAATTCCCGTCTCAAAATGCTCACCGAGCAGGCGGCTCTCCTCGCATGGCTTCTTATTAGGACGTCCCATCCGGCCTCTTTTTCAGCGCGTCTTCGTTTATTATTCCACTAATTCAGCGTTTTCAAACCGCCACAGATCCTTCAATTTTGCAATCTTCGGTTCTTTTTATTTTGCTTCGAATGTATTCTCACGTTTACCGTATCCGCGCGCCCTCTTCAACCTCTGAAGTTCTAAAAACATTTTGGAAAACTGTGGATGAACAGTCCGAAGTGACCTGCGCCACGTTTTTTCCGCGTTGGCGCTCTGATCGACAACAACTTCCTCCTGACATTCATTTCATTTTCTCGATCCGTTCACATGCAAGGTTTTTCCCCAAATTTCGCACCTTTTCGCGTTGAAGTTTCTAATTATCATAATATTATTGAACTGCCAATCGAAATAAAACACTTCGTCCAGAAATTTTTTAATGATATCAAGAGTCAGAACTTAAAGCTGTTTCGACGATCCATTCATTTACCGAATTTTCGAAGCAAAATAAGATTTCTAGCAAATTTTGAGCTTATTTCAATTTTTTAATCTTTCAGTCTTAAAAGCTGCAATTCTTTTCACAATATCTTTAAACCTGCCTCTTTTGTAATTTCCGACCGTTTTTCTCTTTTGGCTTTTCAGGCTGACCCCCTTTCAGCAATGGCTTCTTGGTGTTTTACGCATATTTTCTTGAGAGTAAGATATTGGCGTTTTTGTTTGTAGTTTTCTCTTCACACCTGGAGCATCGCGCCTTTCGAGATCTGAGCTCGGAATAATTTCTAATTTCCAGGATGCCGCCTCCATTAGCAGGGTGTTTGATTTGCGAAGGAAACTTGGATGACACCGAGGAAGAGGAACGGATACCCCAAGAAAGCTACGAGCAGAGCGCGGAGCCTGTTGATTTGGATGTTTTGAGGTTTTTTTTCGTATATTTTTTGAAGAGTAGAAGCCAAAAAAGTTAAAATAAAGTAAACTCAATGCATGATTGGATTTGAATGCAACTTTCAAGCTTAAAGGGAAGTTTTCAAATTTATAATTTTTTTAAATCGACATATAAATAAATAAAATTTTTAAGAAAAGTCGAACCATTTCGGAAAATTGGAAAGTTTAAAAATATCATTCAAAACTTTTCCAACGATTAGCTCAACAGTCATTCGCGAAAATGAGAGCGCTAAAAAAAGTTCATAAAAAAAGTGCAAAGTGTCTCGAAAAAAACAATAAAGTGATAAGCTATCCATGGATACAATACGTTAAGCTGTCAAAAAAATATTTGCTTGAAAGATTAGGAACAAAAAAAGTATTTTTACCTCATTTATTTTTTTGAGTTCTACAGAATTTTTTTAAAAGTTTTTCTGCTTTTTCCTTTTATGAAGTTGAACTTTTTTTTAAAATCTCTGAACTGAATCGAAATTTTGTCCAAATTTGCTCGAATAACAAATATCTTTTTTTGTTTTTTTCTCACGCTCCACCTTTTGGAAGAAAAACTGGTTTATCCTTTCAATAAAGCTTTTTTTCATTGTTAAGAGTTCAACGAGTGTTGAAAACTAGAATACAATGTTACTTTGAAGCTCGAGGGAATTGTTTGCAGAAAGCATCTGGTGGAGCGCCACTCGCGGTTCGTCGCGACCTCGTTTCTCAATCCGAACTTGGCGGACGCCATGTACATGTGGCTGTTGTCATGCGCGCGCTACGAGATGCCCGTTTTGGAAGACGAGGAGGTGGAAGAGGACGAAGACGTCGACGAGGAGACGCCTTGTTCGGCCGCCGACGTCGATGACCTCAAGGACGAAAACCCTGTATGTCTCTTTCCACTTGCAATCGTCGCCGAGGCCGACCGACCCTTTTTTGTGCCTGTTTCAGTTTGAAATGGGGTTCCTCGAGACTCTCGCGACGACTTTCAAACGCTTCAGATTGCAAAAAAGAATCGCAGATTTTACTGTAGACAAACGATCGTTTCATTGGGTCAACAGCTAGTTTCCAACTTTTTTTTGAAGTTTATGTTCGAAAAATATTTTTTACAATTTTTGAAGCAAATTAGAGTTTTTTGTGGAAACCGTGGCCAGTTTTATTTTTGGATTTTTTTTTGTCGAGAAACCGCGAAATTTTTGATCGTCGTTAAAAATTTAAAATTTCCCAAGAAATTGAAAATCTGACTTATGAAATCAAAATTTTTTTCTGACTTTCATCGAGCCACTCATTTAAAAGCTAGTAGAAGATCCTAAAATATGAACATATAAAAATTGCTAGGTTTTTCAAAGAGAAAGTTTAAAAAAAGTTTTTTTCAGTTTTGAGGAATTGTATTTTTTTAATCATGAGTGGAACAAACTCGCTTAGATGAAAATCGGACCGCCTCCGAAAATTATTGTTCTTTGACCAGTTGCATAATCTAAATAGGCCAAACGCCTTGGATCAGTATCTTTTTTTCCGTGGAGAACATGTCGGCTGGAGAAGCCGAAGACTCGGAAACGAACAAGAGGGTGGACAATGGGCCCGCTGGGTGGTCGGCTGATCCGTGGCGCTTTGTCGCAGTCGCTCTCGTTCATTACATGCGACGAGATCCCAGAACTCATCTGGCAGCGGGATCTGCGTCCCTGACCGGTCGCCGGCACTGCTTGGCGACGTCGAGAGGTCTTTTCCGAGGGTTTTGGCGGAGGATGAACTCGGCCACATGTCTCGCTGAGATCGATGGTCGGAGGAACCGTCAGCAAACCTTGGATTGCAAATTCTTTTCACAAAAAAGGGTCCAGGAATTCTCCTCCGAAAAGTGCAGAGAAAACTTGAAAAAAGTTAGAAATTTATTTCAAAGTCGCCATAACTCTGATAAAATTCACTTTGAAGTTTCATCAAGTTCTTCTATATAGTTTACTTTTAAAAATTATCATACAGAGAAGTTTTATCGATTTCGAAAAATTGAAAAAGAATTCCGTAAGCGTTGATTTTTTAAATGGAACTCAATAGATAACAAAAATTTTTTTGATCATAAAGACATTTTCTGAAAAGTTTGAAATTTTTATTTCATAATTTAGTTCGTTCTCGAACAAAAAAAGCTTGAAATTAGATAAGTTTTTTTAACTTGAAAAAGTAAATTCGCCCTGTAAGTGTGAACTATTGAGAAAAAGTTTTCTCATTTTTTTCAGCCATTTTGGGCTCATTATAGAAAATTTTCCGTCTGGACATCTTTTTTCGCTTTCTAACATCCTGAAAATCCAGCTTCTTAGGCAATCTTAAAAATTTTCCAACAGACTCAACTATCAGTGATTTTTGAGTTGAAAGGTTGGAAAAGGTCAACTCTTGGCCGACTCGGCGGCTGTTTGTGAGACGTTCTGCTTGACGCGTGAGCCTCGTGTTGTTGCCTGGCTGCCCGGCCGCTGCCTGACTGGCTTCATCTTCTTCTTCGTCTACTGCTGCTGCTGCTCTCGGCGGCCGCCGCTGGACGAGGGACCCAACGGCCTGCATTCTTTATCCGTCCGTCGCATGCCGTGCAACGCCAGGAATCTTTGCGTTTTCGCTATAGCTTGTTGGAAATGAGTGGGAAGAGTAGGGACCTCTCCATGTTATGTTCTTGGAATTACTTTTTTCGAAGTTAGTCTTAAAATCAAGAAAAACTTCCTTTGGTTCCTAAAAAATTCTGAGAGACATCACAAATCTCATTCTATCAAGCCATAAGTGAATAAACTATTGAACATGATTGAAAAATTTTACAGAAAGTCGAAGTAAATGACATTCTTAGTTTTTGTTTTTTTGTTCACTCCTCAAAATATTTGAAACCGTTGCAAGATACTCATGACCTGAAGTAAAACTGAAAATGGGCTCTTAGCCTTGAAATCTCTACGAAACCAGTCCTGGCTTTTTTGAATACTAGAGCAAGGATTTTTGAGAAAAGTATATAATCATCAAGGTACTTTATAAAAAATATTATGATACTCCAAGCTTCATCGAATCTTTGATTTCTGTTTGCGGAAGCCAAGTCGAACACGCCTGACCACTACTACTACTACTCTCATTTTGTTGGTGATAAGTGAATCCGCGGAAGTGTGTGGGGCATAAGTCGGTGGCGAGGCGAATCGACCGGCCTCCGCAGTCTCTCTCTCGGCCAACAACCCGGGCTGCTGCTGATGTCGCGACCGAGGTGTCCGTCGTTCGGCGCAGACATTCCTATCGCCTCTCTGCATCTCTCCGCTCCCTCACCTTCTTCATCATCTTCTTCTTCCGTGACGACGGCGTCGTCAAATACGACGCGGTCACATGGACTTGTTGGGGAAAGAGAGAGAAGAAGAAGAAGAAAAAAATCTCGGGGTTCCGCGGCGGCGCCGACTTGCATTTGGCTGACTGACTGAAGGGTTCGATTCGAATCTAACTTGATCAATTCCACGCTTGGAAGTAGAACATCGATCGGGATGAATACACGCAGACGAAGGGAATAAGACAAGGGGACAGAGATTTTAGAAAAAAAAGTTCTGGCGAGAGGCAGAAATAAATATGAAAAAGGAAACTAAAAAATAAAATCACGTTTTTTACCCAAAAATGCGGTCCCTGCGCATTAAAAAAAAATTTCAAAAAGCAAACCAGAAACGATAAAACAATTTTCTAAATGTTTGCCACAAATCTGATCATTCAAAGTGAAGCATCAAAGTAAAAAAAAAATGGCTCAATCTTGCAAATGTCTGTATAATAAGTTTGAAACGTGTCTGAACGACTTCTGAAGATAATTCTGATTGAAAATAATTTATTCTGACTTCTGAGAAGCAACTTTGGGACATTCATCTTTGTTGCATGCTTCTCCCAATTTTTTGAGTTTTATTCATATTTATTCTCTCAGGAGTCGATAGACGGAGAATCCGAAGAAAAAGCCGGAGAAGAGGAGGCAATCATCGACCTGGCCACCGTCCTCAACGCCATCATCGAATCTTCAGATCCCAATGCCTTTGAGGGATTCCCAGGCTTTGAAAATGTCCAGCCCCAACAGTCACAGTCACAGGCGGTTTGACATACTCTTGAAACTCTGTGCATATTTGGAAAATTTAGAAAAACGGGTCGAGAAAAAGGAGTTCAGCCAATGAAGACGGCGTTCCGAGAAAACGGAATGTAAGTTGAAAAAAAATGTTTTTGAACAAGTTTTAAGGCTCAGGGAGCTCACGACGGCTCTGTTGAACGGCAACATCCTCTTGGGCTCGTGGACAGTAAAGCCAAGAACAAAGTCACTTGTGCCGTACGTTTTTCTATTCAAAGCACAATAAAATTTCAGAAAATTGAAGCTTCCTACTGCAAATACAGTCCGAAAGTTTTAATATTAAGATAAGGAGTTATTTTGGTGCTTCAGGGCCTGATTCATATCAATAAATTGAAGAACCCTCTTTTTCTTAAACTACCAAGCTAGTTGGACAAAATTTTCAGAGGGCATTGTACAGTTTTGACATTTTAGCGGCCACTGTGGCAGTCAAATTAGTGGCCTCTTTGGCGACTAAAATTTAGTGGCCTCTTTAGAAGTCTTTTCCAATTTTGTGCCTTTCTGAAATGTTCAAAGTTTTATGAATATTTAACGTGATAATAAATTGTAATTCTTCAGGCGTGTCGTATCGAAGTCTGTAATACAGCGCGTCAACGGCACGTTTTCTTGGTACATGTGAAAAGAGAAGATTTATACAGGTTCGTTACTTGTTTAATGATGAATGTAGAATGATTTGAGAAAATGATGAACAATGAGAGCAGTTTTTATCAATTTTCTAAAAGTCTATTTATTTCCTGAAAAAAAAGTTCAGTCCATTTTGAAGCTGAAAAAGACCTTTTGCTTCAAAATAAGCCATCAGAATCTCATCTTGAGATTTTCAAAAATCCCGAAAAGTTGTTGTGAACCACGAAAGTTGGCCATGTCTTATAATTTATGCAACAAATCTCAAGAGATCCGATTCCAGGTGTCCAGAATGCTCATACCAAAACTCGAACTCGATCTGGGAGACTCGACGACATTGCCAGGTCCAGCACGGACCTCAAGTCGAGCCGATCAACAACGAGGAGAAGTACAAGCATCTCATCATTGTTAGTTGATAAGGTCCTGAAGAAGTTGACGACGTTCATTTCAGCCGTGGAACCGTCGGTGTTTCCCTGACTGGAAACACAAGAAGCCGTACTCGTGGGCACCTGCTTCTGGAGACGACGACAGTCTTTCCGGCGACGCCAAAGAGGACCTCGCCGCGTCTCCCGATGACGTCACTTCCATGATTCGAGTGAGAATCCAGAAATATTCTAATAATTAATGTTTAGAGAGGTTCAGACCCACCAACGTTAAACTATTTTGCAAAGAAATGAAGGAAAATTTGGCTTCTTCAGACTTTTTATGAAGTTTATTTCTTCAGGACGCGATTCTGAGCAACGAGGACAGCGCCAACAACAACAACGGCGAGGTGGACAGTGGCTGTGCGTCTCGAGACGAAGAAAACGAGACTCCGGTCACCGTCCCGACGTCCTCCATCAGCCTCGACGATAGGACCTGCCAGCTGTGTCTCGAGGAGAGCCGCTATCCCGGTATCCTCTACGAAGAACTTCTCCGGGAAAAGAACTCTTTTTAGGACGTCACATTGCTCAGAAACACCTCGACGAGTCCCTCTATGACTGTCCTATCTGCAAATTCGGGAGCTATGAAAGTTGCTCCGTGGCTAAACACATCCACAAGGTAAATAATATGGATGAAAATGTGTCCATGTATGAAAAAAAATAATCGATAATTAGCATTCCTTTTTTTAGAAGTTGTTGATGAAAAAAATGTTTTGGATATTTCACTCTTTTTTTATTCATAAAAAAATTTTTTTGAAAGCGTCTTCAAGTTTTTAAGTAATTTTTATGATCACCCAGCAACTGCAAAATTATGAAAACTTTGAAAAACTTAGAAAATCCACATACACATCTATTTTCTTCCAAAGAAAAAGGCAAGTTTTTTTTTTCAAGGTTCACCCCGACGAAGCCGGCGTCACTCCGATTTCAAACCTGGAAAGACTTTCCGACGTCCTTCGCGACTTGCAGCAACGCTGCTTCCCCAACAGACCGATGAAGCTGGTCCGAATGAACCTGCTGTCGCGACCCCGGGAACGCCACATCTGCAAAGTTTGCGATGCTCAGGTTTTTTCATGGATCTCAGGACTCCTTTTTAATTGTTTTAATCTTCTAGGTAGCCCAGTCGGACCGCCAGAGACACGTCTACCATCGACATTTAGGAAAAGATCGCATCTTTGAGTGTCCTCTTTGTCCTTACGCTTCAAATTATGATATCCATAGGTTGTTCAATAGATTTTTGTTCGAGTTTATTGATTTTTTTCAGAATAAAATGGCACCTGAAATGGATTCACAAGGATGAGACGGGACTGGAGCCGATTTCTCATGAGAACAAGTATCGGTAAGGAATTTCCAAACAAAAATCCGGGGCTATCCTTTTCTCGAGATTTTTTGGAGATCAAATTTGAAGCCCATGATTTATTTCTCTTGTAGTGTTTCAGAACCTTTCCAGATCTTATGTCGGCAAAATACAGTATATTTTGAAAACAAAAATATCAGAGCTGAAATTCTTTTCTAACCAACTTTTCGTGGATTGAAAAACAATTATAGTACTGGGTTGAAAATCAGAATTATTGAGATTAATTGAACGAAAACTGAGAAAACTTTTGAGATGGACTTTTTTTCAGTTTGATGCACTATTCTGCATAAATTGAAACAGTTTGATGTTTCAAGCGACTTTTCGCGTGGCGAGGCTCCAATTTAGGCTTATGACTGACTGATTCTGGAACAAATGATCTTTCCACTCGGAAACTTCAACAATTCTACCTTTTCAATAAAGTTTTTCAGTGATGAGATCGACAAAAGGAACGACGAGTGCTTCCCCGACTGGAATCATCGCGTGAAACGCTGCGACTCGCCAGTTTCTTCGGTTTCCTCTTTGGAAGGCCGCGAAGGCGACGGCACGCCTTCTTCCTCCAAAGTCAAGGTTCGGTAGAATATCCTGCGACCTCTTTCCTAACCCCCAAAGCACTTCAGAAGGAGGCCAGCGAGACGTCGCCAGCCGTCGGACAGCGGATGAATCGCGTCAGCGAATGGACTTGCAGGGTCGGTTGGCGTCGAGAGTTTATCCCATGAACGGTCGGTTGCAGATGTGCATGAAGGAGTTCAAGCCGACGTCGAACTTCCTGCGCCACGTGGCCAAGGACCACCTCGACATGCCGCTCTTCCAGTGCCAGTTCTGCGACGAGGGAGCCGCCGACGCTTCTGAAGTCAAGGCTCACATGGTCAAGGTTGGTACCAACTGGAGTCGAAGGAACATTTTACGAAATATCCTATGGAGGAGTTATTATCATGAAAGGAGTAAGAAGAAATTCCGTAAAAAAAAAATAGAAGAAGTTCTAAATCTGAGGCCGAAGAAATGAAAAATGGTTTTTCGTGATTTCCCTGATCCTCGACAAGGATTTAGTCTTTTTCACTTCGAAATTTGTTCTCTTCCATATGAATCATCTTCGCATAAAACTTTAGAAAGGAAGAATTCGAAATCAATGACCTAATAGCCTGTTTCAGGCCTTCTCTAATTTGTGGAAAATGACGGAAAATCATTTTCGGACAGTGTTTTGTCAACAAAAGAGTGATTAAACACACTTTGAAGTTGAGAAATACCTTATACCATTTGAAATCCAGGCTCACAACGTCCAAATTGAATTCAAACATGAAACCCAGTTTTTTCAAGTGAATTTTTTTTCGATGTAAGATTTCGAAACGTTTGAGATACTTCACCCTTTTTTCGAAATTTAAAAAAAAAGGAAAAAAAAAACTTTTCAATAGTTCGGAGTATTTTTTTCCTAGCATTTTTGGACGTGTCTATGAAGAAACTCCAATCGGACTGCTCTTCCAGGTCCACGATGAAGCCGACGTCGAGCCGTTGTCCAACTTAGAACTCAATCCGGATTATGTTCAGCAACGTTTCCAAGAATGTTTCCCAAGTCGGAAAATGAAGGTTTTCCCTTTCATCATTCTCATTGAAAACCTTCTCTTTTGAGGCCAATTTGGAGAAAAGAATCGAGGCGAATTCCGCGTCAGAAGACTTGAAAGTCACTTGTCAAGAGTGCTTTCAGGAGATGAAAACTGAAGATCGCCAGGTCTCTTTTTTTTATCAGTTTTCGAAGTTTCGCAGGGCATAAAGTTTGATGATATAAATTCAACAAAATGATTTCAGATTCACGTCTATCGGCATCATTTGAAAGAGCCAAAGCTATACGAATGTCCATTGTGCGATTTCTCGCATCATGCCTGCTCCAGCGACGTTCGAGCTCATATCAAGTGCGTTTCTTTATTTGAAAAAAAATGTTTCGTTCATAAAGCGATTGTAGAATAGTCCAGTTTTTGGTAACGACCATAAAACAGATTTTTTTTGTTTCCTTCACACTTTTTCTGTTCGTATTTTGAACCTTTTTACAAAAGTTCGAGGGGATATTTGATATTTTAACGTCTTGAAGACGCAAAAAAAAAAGTATAAAAGACGCGATTTAAAATGTGAAAAGGCTGTAAATTTAGAAAAAAAAACCCAAATTCGAAGGCCTATTCCGAAAGTCATTTTTATTAAATTTTTTTGCTACCTTTTTTTCGTATAAATATTTTTCTGGGTTTTGTCTATCAATTTTGGAAAATTTTAGTAGCTTCGGAGTCAGTTATATTTGTGTTATCACCCTTCAATTTCCTCATTCCAGATATTCTCATCGCGAACAAGCTGATCTGGCGCCTCGTTCAAATCTTTTCGAGTATTCTCAGCAAATCGCCGACTGGAACCTGCGCTGTTTTCCGGGCTGGATCAACAGAAAACTGCCGGCCAGCGCTATCGAAGACTTTACGAGGTAGAAAAACCGCCAGATGTGAACTTTTGAAGCACGTTAAAGCGCCAATCTCTGAGATCTGAGAATAAAATATGATCTTTTGCTCTTCATGGATCAGCCACCGTTAGAATTGATAAATAGTGATTAATTAAAAGCTTATTCAGACTACTAGGCGCCCACTTTGAGAATTCCGTATGCATTTCTATGGCGTGTTCTAATTCATTTTTGAAAAGTGCAAAATAAATTCTGATTCTAATATTCAGCTATCTTTTTCACTTCTGACGGCAAATTTAAATTTCCCGGAACACGTCATCAACTCAGTTTATCACAGTTTACCTAATAGAAAGTCCAAAATCTTCTTGTTTAGATGTCGCCTGTGCGACCAAGACGTCCGTCAGACGTCTCGCCACATCGCCGAGGAGCATCTGAAGATCCAGCTTCACGCCTGTCCCAGATGTACCTATGGAGCTCCAGAATCTCGACTCGTTAAACGTCATCTGAGGAACGCGCACAATGATTTGGTTAGTTGAAATTATCAACTTGAACATGAAAAGGTTTATCAAGTTTTAAAATTCCTCCCTAAAAAATTTTTAACTTTTTTCACAGTCAACTTTACTTGATTTCCTTTCATAAAGCTCGAAATTTAAAACGATGGTTTTTTTTAATATGTCATTTTTTATTGCATATCTAGATAAAGCTCTTAAAATTCCAGAAAAGCGAGCCGATTTCAAACGTTGGCCTGAGACGCGCCGACTTCTCGGCTCTACACGACAAATGCTTTCCAGGAAGGCCAAAACGCCTCTCGAGTATCATTATTTCAGGTCCGTCACTCTTACAACTCACTTTCCTCTTGTTTTGCTCGGAAGTCAACTTTTGTCTTTCAGAAGAAGGTCGTCGGACAAAGTGCAAAAAATGCGCGGCGACCATCTCACGCAAACGCCGTCTGCAACACACGCTAGAGAGACACGTCAACAGGCCCTCTTTCCAGTATGTTTCTCTTATTTCCCCTACAACAATTTGAAGATGAAAGCTGAAGTTATTAGGTCAATAGGCAAACTTTAGAACTGGCATTTTCTTAAACTTGTAGCTCCAATCTTCATGAATGGAAGTAGATGCTGCCACTTTTCTTACCATTGTTGAAGTATTTGAAATCTGCAGAATTCTACTAATTTAAATTTTTAATCTCCCTAAATCAGAATTCGTCCCATAGGACAACGCTTTCCCAACGCGAAACATGACTTTAACACCTTGAATCAAAAATAAAAAACCATAAACCATAAACCAAACCAATTTCATTTTAATATATTATTTATTTTTCAAACTAAATTCATTTCTCCTCCCAGTTTGTCGCAACGGTTCAAAAGAAAGGTTTTCAATTTGCAGATGTCCCCACTGTCCTTTCTCGCACACCTATGACGAAGCATCGATCTTGACGCACATGCGCAACGAGCACGATGACTCTGCCGGCGATGTTCGTTTCTCCCCTCCTTTTCCTTCCAATACATCAAAACTCGAAAGTATTCCAAAATTATTTTCAGGCGATTCGTCTGATTGATGAGTTCATGGAGGAAGTCCGAACTACAGGAGTCGAATGCTTCCCGGACTGGCAAATGGAGGAGCTTGACTGAACTTAATCAGTAATAAAGCATTTATCGCACATCTTTCCATCTATTTACTGCAATTTCTTTCCCATGTTTGGTTGCGGGTCACCTTTCATTCTTGTCACTTTTCCTTTCTTTTTCTTTTTATTATATTTTTGTCAGTTCTTTTGACAATATCCTTTGCTTAAGTTTCACTCTTAGCAACTTTACGGGTCGAACAACTCCCATATCTGTTTCTATTTCATATATTTATTTCGTGGTTAAAATTATTCCAGAATAAAGCCGAATGATTAATACAACTGTTTTGGTACACGTGTGAATCGGAAGTTTATAAGAGATCCATACCGATTGGGTTCGAATGAAGTTGCCTCATTCTGCTTCAGCGCTCGTACTTTCAGCTGATCCTTGAGAAAAAAACATAATAGTAATGATTGTTTCAATGTTTGAACTTTGAAAGTTTTTTTTTGAATTTCAAGATTGAAAGCTTTATGAAACCTTGAGGGCTTTCGACGACGGGGGTACGCTTCGATGGTGACTCATTGGTTGGCGCCGCTGACCTTTTTTTGTTCGCCGCCTTTTGCGCTTTGAGAACTTTCCAGTCTTCGACAACTTGCTTGCACTGAACTTTCAAACTTCATAAGTTTTTGAAAAACAGAGCTCATTCAGAACAGTTTTTAAGCTAAAGGAGCAGGAGTTTTTTTGAACATGAATTACAAAAAAATGATAGCAAGAAATTTTCCATATCTGTCTATGCTTCGTTGGTATGAAAAATAAACACCAGCGAAAATTCAAACGGCGACTTTTCCGATGGTTTCATATCGCTAGGGAACTTTCCGATGGATCCCTTCCGACTTTTTTCCCTTATATCTTTCGGTTTATAAAACATCTATAAAAAATTTTTTTTTCTTCTATTCCTTTGTGTTAATAATGAACCAACTACCTACGTTATATAGGAAGATTTAAAACGAAGATTATATCGAGAAAAAAAAAGTCGGAAAAAGATCGTCGGAAAGGTGGCCTTCGGAAATGTCCCTAGCGATATGAAAAAATCGGAAAAGTCGCCGTTTGAATTTTCGCTAGTGTTTTTTTTCATACCACCTATGCTTCTTCAAAAAAATCCAGAAAAAAATTGAATAAGGTCTTTATAAAAAAATTAATCTATTCAAAACTTGCTTTATAACTCATTTCGAGCAAGCTTGGGTACTTTTTTTCAAAAAAAACTCTTCAAAAAAATTGGAAAAATTTGACCAAACTTGGTTTTAAGACCCTTTTTTCCTGTTTTTTTTATGCATATTTGTAGAGCTAAAGTGCAAAAAAACAGAATTTACGGTAGTTTTTTTATCTTCTGTAAATTGGAAACGTGACCGTCTCTGGCAAGACACTATAAAAACTCTGTCTTTTTTTCTGACTGTTTCTTTGAAAAAATTAAAACTTCACGAAAAAGTAGGAACTATTGTTCGATAAAAGTGAGCTTTTCTTCAATTAACCAAAAGATGTTATTTCAAATCGAGGCCTTCGAACCTTGATAACCCAAAACGGACATTTCTGAGCATTCCAAATTTTCACTTAAAAGTTCTAACTCCGCTAAAGTGATCACTAGAAGTGCTGCTCAGAAAAGTCGGGGCGCGTTCGGTTTGCACTACCGAGGTCCGAGTTAGGCTAGTCTGTAGCTTCATGTCAACTTTCCAAATTCTTTCCAGAAAAGAAGACCCTCTAGGACGAACCGGAGAATAAAGATTGTCGCAGTCCAATGTTCTGAGGGCGCGGAGAACGTCTTCAGCGGCGACGACTTTGTGGTACCGATTTTGGGCGTTCTCGCAGGCCATTCCTGACAGATGCAGCATGAAGACGGCCGTCGCTCGACTCATCATGTCTCGTGATTCCTGAAACTATTCTTTCAGAAAGCATGGCAACCCAGGAAAACATCCGAAAGGAAAGGAAATAAAACCTTGCTGGCAGTGATGTTCTCTTCTTTTAGAATTCGAGCCACGACCGCTTGTGGCAAGTGCATGTTGGCGATCCGCTCATCCATTTTTCAAAAAAACGGAAACAAAATATATGTGAAAAAAACAAGTATCCAACAAAAATCAGAGCGCGAATGAAAAATAAAGATTGTTAAAATTTTCTCTATAAAACATTTCTGCGTTACTCCGAAGAAGAATGAATTTGAAGCCGTTTTGTATAAGAGTTTCTAGACAAGCAAGACTTTTTGCGTTTCTAAAAAGTTTACAAATATTTTTTTGAAGGGAAGGTTATTTTAAAACGCGATATATATCCTTATTTCAGAGAAAATGCCTCGAAAACGCAATTTTCATGGAACATTTTTTTGTTTTTGTGAAACACGTTCTATTTTTCCATTCTAAAAGAGACATAATAAAAAAATAAAAAAATGTAAAGAGAAATATTTTTATTTCACTGGGAAACTATTTACGCGCCAACTATTTAAACCGATGATTAACATTGGAGCGCACTTGCCCTTTCGTAAACAGCGGAATTTTAGGCCAAAATATCTATTACAGCAATTTTCACTGTCAAGATCAATTCGCGATTCTTCACAAGCAAAATAATCGATATAGAATTCTAAAGCACCATAACGGTCATTTGAAGAACTCATTCATAAAAATTGCTAGAACGTCAATCGGAAAGCATCACATGCGTTGGACTAGACTACAGTAGCTACTGCTGCGATTTTTTTTTGAAGTGTCCAATATGAACTCGATTCGGCAGTTTGTCACCACCATCAGAAATGGCACATATTCCTCAAAAATAAGTAATAGGCCCGAACAGGCTGAATATTTTGAGAGACTTCGAGAGTTTGGTCAAATACGCCGCAGACATTCCGCCTGCACAAGTGCAGAACTGCCGCTGTTTGAGCTCATTCCTCTCCTCGAGAGCTACAAGACCATTCACGTTATGGACAGGATTCTCACTATCGGCACAATGATAAAGTCTTTTTGATGTTAAACCAAGTATTCGACCTTTTAACGTTGAATTTGAGTAGCTTCAAAACCAATAAGAAAAATTGAATGTTTATTGAAAGTTTGGAAATTTCGTAAACCATAACAGCACAGAAACTTGTTGACTCACGCATTTTTATTTATTACTAAAGAAGAAGACTATAACAACGAAATAAAATAGCGTGGATGAGTGATGATCGCTAACAATACACGTGTGTCGCAAGTCACATTATGTAATTAAATGAAATTTTAAACGTGGTGAGAAAGGGTTTGGACGGATGGAATACGTCTTGCACTTGGGTATTATGATAAAGTAAAGCAATAAAAAATAATTCAAGTGCAAAGTGTGCTCAACCGGATTTGAAAAGAAGAATAGCCACCTGGCCCAAATAGAAGTATATGAAGTGCTTCGTCTCGTGTGTCACATAGCTGAAAAGGTTGATTAATAATCAACAAAATTTTTTTTACATAATTCTGAAAGTTTGTAGATGAGTTTACCTTCAATAACTACGGAGTGCGACGAAAAGACAACAAATATTTTTTTTAAATTTCAACCTAACTGAGAAAATGAACTCGACTCCAGAAAGGAAAAAAACTGTTTACCTTCCAAAGTTGCGGCCAACGATGCAATGCCACGTAGGGTTGTACTTCTTATCGAATTCCTTCTTGATGTATGCGGCGATATCCTTCTCGATGTTGTACCTGAAATTTCTTCACTTTTCCAATATTCTCGATAGTTAACATAGACATAGGGTCGGTGGTCAAATCAACACTTTGTGAAACTCCGTCATCAGCCCTACGTTTTAGTGTAACTGAAATAGCCGGTGCCTCCGAGCTTACACATGACGCAGCTGGTTTAATACATCATTCGCGTAATTGCGTTCTCATACTTAACCGAAGATTTAAACAGTGTAAAATTTTAGGTAGAGACGACATGCATTCCGAAAAACTCACTTTTCAAGGGCTTGGGTCGCGCAATCGATGGCGTCCTGTTGCATGTCCTCGGACATATCGGCGTTCTTGATCACGGCCTTGCGGTCAACCATTTTGAACTGTAAGGAAGTAATTAAAGAATATAAATAATTCAAACTCGAAAACGTAAAAAAAAAAATAACTATCTCAAGTCTTACACGATCGGAAAAAACGTAGAACTCAAAAAACAGATTTAAAATCTGAGAATCAGGATAACTCAAGTGAGTTCAAAATCTGACCAGAGCTATAAAACTCTGTGTTCACGCTTTGGTTGCACCAGAGCAGCAGATATATTGAGAGGAGAAAAATTCTATTTCGAAAGGACCGTTGGAGCGAGGAGTTCGAATTGAACTCAGGAAAAACTTTGAAGACAAATATTTCAAGGTTTTCTTATAATATATGTTCCTTAGAACTTGAAATAGGCCTATTGAGCCAGCAAATACGGAAACCGTCCGTTTGGCCGCTGGCGTGGGATGGCGAAACGAGCAAAACGCCGAGTGAAGGGCGAAAGAGGCGGGGCGCGTCGTCCAGCGCTGACAGCCGAGTCGTTTGCGACGCGGCTGTGCCAGAGGCCTCTTCGCGACGCGGCTGTGTCGATGTGGAGAATGCAAACAAAATAAATGCTGTGGGGTTGTGTGATGGGCGCGCATATCGTCGCTTTTGAATTCCTGAACCAAGGTAGAACAGAACTCGAAGAGATTGTGCCAGCGGGGTGTCAAAGACCAAATTCTGAAACAAAGAGGGCAACCCTGATATAAAGAAAAAAGTTCTTCCGGAAGAACTTTTTTTTTCCCTAGAACGAAATAAAAGGTTATTATATTTTTTTGATCGATTTAAAAGAGAAATTTTTTGCTTTTGTACGGCTAAACACGTAGGCTTCAAAAAACACCTAAACGATCTATTTCAGATCAATTACTGCAAATAAAATGAAAATGATTATTTCCATTTTATTTATAATAAAAAAAATTTTTTGAAAGCGCCTGCTGCGCGCAGGCGTCGCGAACTCAAAAGGCTTCGAAACGAAGAGAAATGTGCAACAAGGTAATTAAATTTAAAAATCTTCCTTTGTTTTAAAAGTTTTTGTCGTTTACGATAAAAAGTTTCCGGGGAGACAACTTTGATGTCCTTTATTTTTCAATGAAGGGAAAAATTTTATTATTACTCACCATGCGTTCTTTTTCTACTCTCCGTAACTAATTTCGAGGCTCAAAAATTCATAAAAAAAGGAAGCCATAAAAAATCAGCTGCTATACCATATCAGATCGCTACGTTTATTTTTCTAGCTGCAAGATGTAATTTTTAATCAGAATTTTTTTTTGCGCAAACGTTTATGGGGTGGAGAACCAGTTCTTGTTATCTTTATATAGGCTCAAACGTTATGCCGCGTTTAAAGTAATAAAACTACACGCGGAGAAATTGTTTTTCCTGTTTACAGCCACGAGCCGAAATTATGCGCGCCGATATTCGTTGGCAAAATTCCAACACAGTTTTTTTTTTTCTTTTCTTCTTTTTTACATAATTTTTTTCTTTTCTTTTTCAATTTTCAACCCGTTCAAAGCTATTAATTTCAGAAATAGTACGAATGAAAACCTTTAGTTAATTTTTTTCGACTGTTTGAACTTGAAAAAAAGTTCAATTTTTTTCTCAAATTTCGTATTTATCGTGTTTATTTTTCCAACGGATGTATCAGAGTGTTTGAAGTTGCAGGTCTCTAAACTATGGCGGGTCTTCGATTACCGAGTTTCATCTTTGAATAAGGTTAATTTTTTTATTCAAAAAAATTTTTCTAATTTCTTTTTTTACAATTTTTTTGATTTTGTTCACAAAAAAATTCAGATTCGTCAGGGAATGACGGGCGGCTTGTGTGAAAGTAACGCAAAATGTTCGTCTCTACAGTCAAGCATAAATTCGTGAGTTTTTCTTGTTCTTCGATATTATTTTTCTTTCATTTTCAATATGTCTTGTCTGTTCGGTTTTTACACGAAAAAAATTAATACCAAGGTTCAATCAGCCTTTCTTTTTTTGGAAAAATTTTTTTCTTCTTTCAGGCCCTAGACGATCGGTTTACGAAGGACACGCCGAAAGACTACACGTGAAACTTGGATCTCTCTTTATGGAACTTTTTTTCTAATAAAAAAATTCATTGTTTTTCTTCTGCATTTCAGAAAAAAATTTGACAACAAAACAGTTTCTGTTATTAGGTTTTGATTTTGATTAACTAAGCCGCTTGTTTTTTTACATTTATTCCTCAAGAAATTGATGCTCATCATCTTTATTCAAATAAAAGATGGAGGAAATAAATGCGTAATAAAAAAAAAACAAAATCATTGAAACAAAGGAGAAGTTAAAAGCTGTGAATTTCGAGACATGATAAATTGCAAATTTATCCGGCTGACCACAACGTCTTGTTCGAATGAGCTGAAAAAAAATTCAATATTTTTTTTTCTGAACTAAATGAACTAGTTATAAGAGATCTATAGGAAAAAACTCACAAATTTCTTATTGCCCGTGGCGTCGAAAATTACGCGCTACCTTCACACGAGCCGCCCCTTCCTCCCTAACGAGTCTGAATTTTTTTGTGAAAATAATCAAAAATTTTAAAACATAATTGCGAAAAAGTTTTTTGAATAAAAATTAACCTTTTTTCAAATTTAACACTTTCGGTAATCCAATACCCGCCATAGTTTAGAGACCTGCAACTTCAAACACTCTGATACATCCGTTGGAAAAAAAATAAACACGATAAATACGAAATTTGAGAAAAATTGAACTTTTTTCAAGTTCAAACAGTCGAAAAATTAACTAAAGGTTTTCATTCGTACTATTTCTGAAATTAATAGCTTTGAACGGGTTGAAAATTGAAAAAGAAAAGAAAAAAATTATGTAAAAAAGAAGAAAAGAAAAAAAAACTGTGTTGGAATGTTGCCAACGAATATCGGCGCGCATAATTTCGGCTCGTGGCTGTAAACAGGAAAAACAATTTCTCCGCGTGTAGTTTTATTACTTTAAACGCGGCATTAGATAAGAGCCCGAAGATCACGAGTTCAAGTAGCAAAAAGCGCTCTGTGGCTAACCACTATCCCTTTTGTTTGTGTTTTCAAATCATCTTTTTTTCTTTAATTTCAGTTCTTTCTTGAAAAAAGAAACTCTTATTTAATTAATTTCTCCTCAAAATAGGGTCATTTTTCACTTTTCAGTAATCATGGTGAACTTTTTTATGCTGAAGCTTTTTTTCAAGGACACCGAACACCGGTTTTTATCCCTTTTCTAGATCTTTATAATTTGATCAATCCGCTCTCTTCACGTTGTTTCCATTCTTTTCTTTTCTTTTTCGTCGGCAATTTTCAAATATTTTCTAATTACAGACGAAATGTATTCCTTACGGCCGAAAATGGTAGACTTTGAAAAAGTGTGGCTCTCTTTAAGGCCATCGGTTCTGAACATCATGAACATGAATCCAATCAACAGCGTAGACTGGAACAACAAATTTAGGTGAATAACTGCATGTTTGACAGTTTCGATGTTCAAAAACTTTGCTTTTTTTAAAACTTTTTCTCATTATCCGTTGTGAAATAATTTTATTTGCAGTGATGTTTATGACATTTGTGTTTCTATTCCCGATCCGTTGAGCCAAAAAAACTATACGAAGAAGTGAAAAGATGTCTCACCGACCACGTACAGCGCCAGTACGAAGTCTCCAATCAAAAATTTTTCTTATATAATATCAAAATTAAATTTCAGTATATAAGTTCGGTTCAACCTGACTTTCTGCTCCAGGAATACTTCAAGATGTGGGAGGTGTACTATAAAGGCACAGTTTATGTCCACATGCTCTTTGGGTTTGTTTCCAGAGTTTTTTTTTCTCGTTATCGGTTTCAATCAATTCAGATATCTCAACCGACAATTTGTCAGACAGAAGAGGAAAACGACGGACCTTGAGAACTTTTCGCAGTTTTCAAGCTTTTTGCAGCCTTGTGAAGTTAAAGAAGTTGGGCAGGTTTTGGTAATGTTTTGTAGAGAAAACAGAGAGGAATCATTCCAGTTGGCCCTGGAAATTTGGCGCGAAGAACTGGTGAAAAAGATGTTAGATCGTCTGGTGACTCTTCTGCTCCAGGCGATTGCCGAAGATCGTCAAGGAAATATTCCTGCGATTTCTGAAACAGCCGCCGGCGTCATTACTTCCTTCGTTCAGGTTATCTGCTTAAAAACACTTTCCATTCTTAATATCAATATTATGACAAACTAAAAAAATATTTCAAAGTCTCAGTTTCTACGAAATTTCATATAAGATATTATTTATCTTTTTTCACTAGAAATGATCGCGATAGAAAAGGTAATTTTCAAAACTCTTAGCAACTTTAAATAATTTCTGGCAGAGTTTATCAAAGTTTTTGATTTTTTTCTTTATATTTTTGATTTTTCAGTCTGAAAAAAATCTGGCTGATTTGTTCAGTAAATTGAAAGATATTTTATAAAAAGTCTCGAATGGAAGAGCCATTTTCAGCTTGATTTTGGCAAGAATTTTGCACATTGAAACACCCTGAAAGCGTTTTTGGCAGACTGTAAAAAGTCTTGACAGGAGTTTTTCATCAATAATAAGAGAAAAAAATCAGATAAATGATTAATTTTTTTCTTCTCTCAAATTTTTTCAGAAAATATGGATAGTTGTTTTTTTTATAGTTATTTTTTTCCGATCGAAGTCAATTTTTGTTGAATATGCCTTTCAGATGGAAGAATGCGATCTGGACAGCTCTGACGACACTGGAACTCGGAACGAAAGCGGCGTCAACCGCAACAAGTACCGCGAGACCGTCACCATGTTCTACCAGAAAGCCTTCGAAGAAAAGTTATTCTGTCCAATTTTGTCTTGAAAATTCTCTCGCTTTTTCAGATTCCTTCACTCTACAGAGGAATATTATTCGTCTCTTGCGCAGAAGATGCTCACTGAACTCACTTGCAGCGCTTATATGGAAGCAGTAAGATTTCAGTAATCCATTTTTGATCTCTAAAACATTCATTTCAGGTCATCCAACTTCTGGAGAAGGAGGAAAAACGAGCCAAGAAATATCTACACGAGTCGAGTGTCCGAAAAGTCATCGAATTGTGTCAGGAAGTGATGATCAAAGCGCACAAAGACAAGCTCCATGCCGTTTGTCACGATCTCATCACTAACGAAGAGAGCAAAGGTCCTTTTTTCCTGTCCAAAACTTAAACTTTTTTCAATCATCTTTTTGTCTCTTAACGGGCAGACTAACTTCAAAAGCCGTCATTGCCTTTTCTAAAATCTTTCTAAAACAAGGTAAAAAATACCGTGTCTAGAAAGCTATGTTTACTTTGCCGTTGAGAAGTTCCCAAAGAAAGAATACTTCTTGATGCCCCAGCAGAGGATCCCATAAGTCCTGACCTGTTCAGCTTCTTATTTTCGGAGAAAAAGTCTCAAAGTCGGAGAAAACGAAAAATATTTTCCCGGCCAAACTGTGAGCACTCTTTATTTTTATTCTTTATTTTTTTCTAAATTTTTTTCGTTTGAAAAAGCTTCGTCCCGGACTAATTGTCTACTGTACTTGCCTACGTATTTCTCTCAAAGAATTAGTCGTTTCGTAGATCTGCGCAACATGTACCGTCTTCTGAAGCCAATCCAATCTGGCCTTTCGGTGATGGTCAAAGAGTTCGAAGACTACGTCAAGCAACGTGGTTTGGACGCCGTTTCCCGTCTCACGGGCGACAATGTTCCTCAGCAATTCGTCGACAATGTCCTTAAGGTATATAATAATCTAATAATTATTTGATGATCTTTTTGAAGAAAATATATATAGGGGTAGTTTAAGAAAAAAATCTATTCAATAGCGTTAATTTTTTTAGTGTTTTTTTCTTATTTAAAAAAAGAGTTTTTTGCTTTAAGAAAACGCATAATTTTTATATGACATTAGAAATTTTAGTTGAACCGAAGGCCAGTTCGAATATTTATATATAATTTTAGGTGTACCATAAGTACAACGACATGAAAACGGCTGTTTTTATGGACGACGGCGAATTTTCCAGTGGATTGGACAAGGTTTTTTTTCACCTGAATTTTTTTTAAATTATTTTCTTCTCCAGGCGCTTCAAGGAGTTGTCAATTCGAAAGAAGCTGGGTCGACGGTCCCGAAAGCCAGCGAAAGAGTTTTACATTGTGCATTTTTTCGAGAATGTAGCTTCAGGCTATTCAGTTGTCGCGTTATACGGACTCTCTTCTGAAAAAGACAGCCAAAGGACTGACTGAGGCGGATTTGGAGACCAAACTGTCCAACTCCATCATCATTTTCCGCTACATTGAAGATAAGGACATTTTCCAGAAGGTTTTTGAACCGATGTGATTCGTGAAACAGGTGAAATTTCAGTACTACTCGAAAATGCTGGCGAATCGGCTGATCAGCGGCAGCTCCATCTCGATGGACGCCGAAGAGATGATGATCAATAAACTTAAGGTTTGAAAGTGGTTATTTTTTTGAGAAGTTGAGTGAAAATCGAATTTTTTTGATAATTGATCACTGAAAAAAAGTTTTTGTGAACTAAAATTTATCGATTTTTTTCTCTTGGTTTTTTTGAGGAATAGTGTTTTTTTAAATATCAATACGTTTAGTTTCTTTTGAAGAGGAAAAAAATGAAATAAACGAACTTCAATTATCATTAATGCTTTTTGAAATGCGATATTGATGGATTTAAAGCTTACTTAATAGTAAAAAGTAAAAATTTTTTTCATATGTAACCCATGAGATTCCAAGATTTACGAGTTTTTCTCGGAAAGTTTCTTTTTATTGATCCCTCACAACAGTAATATTATTATTATACGTCTTTCAAAGTAATTCAGAACTAGTCCTGTGGGAAATCGAAATAAAAATCTCAATTTTCCTAGTTGGGTAAGTTTGTGTATAACTTTTTTTGGTATCTGACAAGAAAAAAGGAGATCTAACGGTTTTTTTTTTTGAAGTTCCAAAAATTTAAAGAACGCCTGCGGCTACGAATTCACCAGCAAACTGTCGCGAATGTTCACTGACATCGGTCTGAGCCATGAACTTTCCGTTGATTTTGAGAAAGTTGGTTTTTCTCTTCATTTTTTGTCTCTTTTGATTTTGTGACTTTTCTAAAACAAAATTTTCCAGCACGCGACGGAAAAAGGACTGGGAATCAACGTTTCAATGCAGGTTTTGATTTTGCAAGCGGGCAGCTGGCCTCTTTCGGCTCCCCAGCACAGTCAGTTATCATTTATTCATTTTCATTAAAGACTTGAAACAAGTCAGAGCGAAAAAATGAATAAATTTTAACCTTTATTTAGTAAAAAAAAAAAGTTAGTTTCCGTGAAATTAAATTTGAAATCAGTGTGTGACCTTTGTTTGAAAAAAACCATTTTTTATATTTTTGAATTTTTTGAATTTTTTTTTTTTGAATTTTTGTTCTTGTACTTTTATATTCTAATATTTTCTCCGATATTTATCAATAACTTTGAAGGCAGCAACAACCAAACTGTTCAAGAAGCGGCCAATTTCATTCTTCCGGTCCCGTTGCAACCTTGCGTTCAGGTAAATTGGGAAGAAGAGCTAGCGATAAATGCTACTCATTAGTATTTTCTAGTCAGTTTCCTGTTGAACTATGGTAATCTCTTCTCTTGATGAAACCAAACACATGAGTTTGACAATTTCCATTTTTGTTCTCTTTTCAGGAGTTTGAACAGTTCTACACGACCAAACACAGCGGAAGGAAGCTCACCTGGCTTTATCACATGTCTCAAGGTGATTTCTTTGATAACATGCTCAATTTCGCACAAAAATCTTGCAGCGGATCTTCGTTTGACCTATTTGGACAAGCAATATGTCATCACCATGTATTTGCATCAGATGGGCATCGCTTTTTGCTTTGAAATTTGCGACCAGCTTACGGTAATTCTATTTTTTTCTATTTGTTCAGGAAAAAAATAATCATGGTTTTTTTCTTCAAAAAAATTTTTTTCATGAAATATGTAAAGTTTCTTTTTTTCGTTGGTTTCTGATTTTTAAAAAAAGGTTATAAAGATAGGGAGAAGTACAATGAAAAAAAGTTAAGTAAAGTAAAAGGTAACTTCCGATAAGTTCTTTTAGATCAAGTAAGTAAGTGGAAATCAGGTTTCATTTCATTCCTCTATATTGCAAAGTATTCAGTTGATTTCTTTCGCTAAATAAATTTGTAGTAGATAAAAAAGTAACTCTAAAATCTTTTCAAGAAAAAAAAACGTTCAGAATGTACGAAAGATGAATATTTCAGGTAAAAGAAATCGGAGATTCGATCGGACTGTTCGGCGACGTTCTCATCAAAACTATCCGGACCATGATCGACGCCTCAATTTTGATAGGCGATGTAAATTAACCTAATTGCATTCATTTATTGAAATTTTCTATTCAGAGTCAGAATTTGGCGCCGGAAAGCGTGGTTTCGCTGAATAAAAAGATGACTTCAAGGCGCATCAAGTTCCGTTTGCAGATGCCTCAGTTTACGAAAGCCGTTGAGAAGGAAACCGAAACTGTTTCCAACACTGTGAGCATCGAATACTTTCAGAGTTTTGATAGAATAATTTTTTTTTTTTAATTGAGCCACAGTAAATGCAACTCAAGACGTTTACGTGCGCTCTATTGATAAAGTTCAGTCAAAATTGAGAGCTTGAACACAATCAAAATATCTATTGATTGAAAAAAGTTAAACGTTTTCGCTCGTGCTCGGTATTTCCTTTTTTCGATTACTGTATTGACAACGATCTCCGGATTTAAATTTGATTATAAAGAAATTCAGCTTATAGTTCATTCAAAGCTGTTTTGATCAAGTATTCGAGTATATTTATGTTTGTTATTTCAACTTAAGACATCAGTATTTTGTTGCCGTCAAGAATCTCAAGAAACGTAACTTACAGGTTTCACAAGATCGCAAGTACTACATGGAATGCGCGATTGTTCGTATTATGAAGACGCGGAAAGTCCTCAAACACAACGCCCTCGTTGCTGAGGTTCTTTGTAGCTTTTTTCCGATTCCACAAGTTGAGTTCTAGGTGATGGATCAGACGCGTGGAAGGTTCACGCCGGACGTTCCTTTCATCAAAAAATCTATCGAAGATCTCATCGAGAAAATGTACATCCAAAGGACGGATCAGAACGACGAGTACCAGTACTTGGCCTGAGTCCTCCATTTGTTCAATCAGATTGTCTTCATTTCTTATGTTTTAATTGCATTGCCCATAGGGAGAGACCCTTGAAACCCTATTCTGTCATTTACAAATCTTTTATCAACCCCTAGGTTCTAGAAAAAAAGGTTTTACTTCAGGAAACACTAGTTTAAAGCTTTGAGATTTGTCTAAAGAGCTCGAACCGCATCATTTTGTGTCTTAACTGTCTTTTTGGGTTTATTCTCTTTCTATCCGAAATGTCCCCTCTAAGTTCTGGTTTTCCTGTATACTGCTCAATCCCAGGTAGGCTACGGTGTCCGTCTACGTTTTGTTGTACAATATTTTGTCCATGGTAAGCATAACGAATCAAGATTCAAACTCACTACTAGACATTGTTTGAGATTTATCATTGTAAAATGTTCCCTAACCTTTTCTCCAGCCTTATTTGGCAACACCCAAGTCGTCCAAAGTGTTCAATTTAGACATTATTCCTTTGAAATGTCTCTTGTAACTTGAATAAAAGGATGCACATTGTTGAGTATTTGAGATTTCAGAGAAAGGCTTTTTCCTTGCAGTTCTGAAGATTGAGGTGAATTTACTGAAGGAGACTTCGTAATTTTTCTTTTTTCAACCTCTTCTGGTTATATTCGAATATTTCAAAGTTTGTGGCTTCCTCAATTCTTTGGACTCTTTTAAAGTTTAAAGTTTAAACTTTCCGTTTTTTAAAGAATTGAGTTTTTAAAAAAAATTTCACCACATTTCCCATAATCACTCGTTACAGAATAGTTAGGTATTCCTCTCGACTTTCTCAATTAAATCAATGTACACGAGCTTTTTTTGTTGGATATTATTTGCCTGTAAGTCGCATTTTGTGTGGACCTAACCTGGTTAAGTTGGGTGTAGAAGCTAAAAATTTTTCAAATTTTTTTAAGAATTGCATAACTTTCAAAAAATGGCAGTTTTTAAGTTTATGGTTTTTATCTTGTTTTTCGACAGGTTCCTATGAACAAACTCTAGAATCTTGAAACAGATTTTTCTTTTAAACTTGCTTGCTGAGAATTTTCCACCCTTTCTAACCCCGAAACAGTTTAGAAAAGTTTTTTTCGGATGAGTATTTTTTGTGTCTTCTTCAAGATTAGATTCTCGATTTTTCATCAAAAGAAAAGGTTTTTCAATATTTTTAGAGTTTTTCTAAGAATTTTCGTAGAAACATTGAAAAAAAAAACTTTAAAAAGTCAAACAAAAATTTTCGCAGGTAGCTAATAAGTTTTTTATCATCATCAACATTTATTCATTCTGCAAGGAGAACAAACGAGTTTTTTTGAAAATTTTTTCTGCGAATTTGTCGAAAAGTTCAAACTTCAAACCAGAGCGGCAACTCTGACTGTAGACCTTACTTGGATTTTTTTGAAAATTTTCAAAAGATCATCCTCATAACATCTTTTTGTGCAAAAAAGAACCATAGATTTTCGCGTGATACTGGAAAAAAAAAGTGAAAAATAGACTTTTTGCCTTGAGCTCTGAAGAGTGGCGACTCTGAGGTCGACGAGAGGGACGGACTCCTGTCAGAACTCGACGGACGCCGCAAAAAAGTGTTGTCGTCACAGCGCGCTTCCCTCGTTTTCCGACTGTTTGCCTTATCAAAACGTCCTCCTCCTCTACGAGCCTCTTCTACTACTTTTCCTTTCTCCTCTGGAATCTCGTCTTGTTCAAATAGTCGTCCAAACAAGTATCCAGATATATTCCCTTCCTTTTCAAGCTAACCACGTATTTCCATCGTTATTTTCTTTGAAACGGCCTGAGAAAAATTTTTGAGAGAGTTTTGGCTGTTCTTTTCTAGTCGAGGGTTCAGTTTTTTGTAATTATTTCAGTATAGTCTGCTCAAAACTTCTAGGTTTCATTTTTAAAACCTTGCAGATTTAAGGAACCACACTGAAATCGGCTTTTTGTCTTAAGGAAATCATGTCTTTGATTTATTTTTTGAACATCAGATGCAGTTTGGATTTAGTTTGAAAAATATTAGACTCACACTTAATGGAATAAAAAAAAGTGTAATTTAGAACATTTTACTGTAGAAAACGTTAGTTGGCAAACAGCGGCTGAAAGTTTTCTATTTTGAAAAAATCTTGTTTTGGTACATTTTTTGCAGTTTAATCGTTCGTGAGCTCGAGCCAGCTTTTTGTCTTCAGTTTTCATTTGGTCAAAGAAGCGCCTGATTATTTTCTCAACGATATCTCAGGCTTCTCGTTTAAAAGTTAGGCTGAAACCCCTTCTCCAAACCTCGCAGATGTTGCCGTTTTTTTAAATGATTCATATTTTTGTTCGAGTTTTTTGCTTTGAAAAGGTATAGAAAAAAAAAAATTACAAAGAGTTCTTTCGATTTGTAGTGAAGTTACTAAAATATTCAATATTAATAAAAAAAAATCAACCGTTCATAGATCCGACAAATTCCAATCTCAGTGAAAGAAAAACTCGATATCTTCTTTTTGCGGCGCCGTTTGTTTTGTTCTGTCGGCATGGTTGTTATGATCCGCTGTTTTTGCGCCGCCAATTCTGCATTTTGTATACCTTCATCTGGGAATTGCCGATTTTTCCTGCTTTATAATAGTTAGAGCTCCCAGAGGTTCTTAGCTTCTGGAGGGGCCGCTCTAGCAATTTTTCTTTTTTCTTCTAGTCTGTTCTAAAATTTTTATGCAATTTAAAAACGCAAAATCTCGAATTTCTTTCGTAGCGAATTATTGAAATGGCTAAGTTTGTAGATGGAAGTTGAGCCTATCACATGTGAGATTGAAAAATAAACTTCGTTTGACGGAATGCTAAAGCCTTTTGAAAGCAAACAATATATTTTTGATGAGGGAATCAGAATAAACATGAGCTAATAAAACTGAAAAAATATAGTTTTTATATGGAAATTTGGAACAACTACCCCCCATAAGACTGTGGAAAGATCTTTTAAATCAAATATAAATCCTTCTGCACCTTTGAAGACCTCAGAATCAATTGTTTGGTCTTCAGCACACGGACTATAGTTTCCCATAGAAGGTTTATCTTGGAGCCGCCCATCATTCATTGTTTAGAAGTTTGACCGCTTGGAACTCCAAAAAGGTCAGAAATGACCCTAGTAGTGTCCGGGTCATCGTTTATCCCACTTAAGCAGACTCTAGGATGCAAAATGGTAAAGCGGCTCTCCAAAAACGGGCAGAAAAGCGATTCCCAGAGGAAAGAGCGTCGGTGAAGTGGAGGGCGGCAGACGACGACGGCGTCCTGGGCGATAAGTGCACTTTCACTCGAATGTGCCCAGCGGCCATTTCATCGGAGCTTCCTTTTGTCTTTTTATTCTTCTAGAATTCTTTTTGTTACTGATTATAAGGATGAGAAAAAGCTTTGTCTTTAAAATTGTTTTTTTTTCTGGACTCAAATCGAGATTTTTAGAAATATTTTTTTCAAAAAAATGTATGTTGTTCACCAAAAGCTTGAGGCAAAGCGACGAAAGGCGCATCATCTTGATGTGTTTTGATTTTGCACGAAAACATTTATTGTTTTTTTAATTGAAAATTTCTTCTAGAATATTGTTTTTTTAGGTCATTGTCTCTTTTTAGAGTATCTCAGAAAAAAAGTTGATATTTTTTTCGAGAAAGCTAGATTTTGTGTATTTTTTTCTATATTTGCGGCAAAACTTTCGGCTTTACTCCACTTTCGTATTTTTTTCATACTGAATTTTGTATTTTATTCACGGAAGCTTTCCTATTTTTCAAAACCGATCTAGATTAAAAAAAATTGTTCGACGCTGAGGTTTTTTTTTTCGAAAAGTATCTGAAAAAATGGCAAATCAAGTATTTTAAAGTTTCTCCCTACGTAAATACCTTCGCAAGCTCTTCGTGAATCGACTAGACCCGCCAAAAGGCAAAAGAATTTTCCAACGACTCGACCAGACTGAGTACAGATGCCCTTTCTCGTGGTGCAACTAATAATCCGCTAGACTTTTTTTTTCTCTTTTCTCTTCGAGACCTGAAACCAAGCCGACCATTTCATTTCGATTCGGCTTCGCGTGTCTTTATCCAATCCCCGTTTGGTCGGATCTCCCTTCTTTCTGTTGTTTCCCTCTCTTTCTGAATATAAATCACAACAGATACGTCTAAATCTCTTCTTTTCACTCAGTATTTTGTTAATCGTCTAAATATCTCTATCAAATATTGATCTAGTGCGAAAAACTATAACAATCCAACTAGTTTTTCTGAATTTCTTGAATTCAGAAACCAAAATTTGAAGACCAATTCGCAGGTCTTAAACTTTTTTTTTTGTTATATGGACATAACTTGATTTTTGAGTGAAAAAGGTTTTCTGAGAAGCTGAAACGTTTGTATGCTTCCACTCTAAAATTTGTGAAACTGACCACTCCCTTGTATCGATTGATGTATGCTAGCAGCACTATTTTTCAGTTCAAACATCGTAGCCCGTGGAAAAAGGTCTTTTATGCTTGCTCAAACTGTTTTATTGATGCCGAAATCCTAAAATTTTTGATTCGAAAAGGAACTTTCCGTCCAAACTTGATGATACTTCTCCACTTCGCCGGCCAACTTTACAAAATTTCGATCAGTTCTAAAGATTAGACGTCTTTTCTGGAAAAAAGTTTCGATTCCTCCCTCTCCTTCCAAAGAAGAAAGAGAAGACCTTCTGAAAGCCTCAACATAGGTGAGAACCCGTTTGTAAGTATTGAGAAGCCGAGGCCGAGAAACTGGTTCTTCTCAGAGAAAAAAAAAACGTTCCTTCCTTCTTTTTCTACTCCCGCCGTTCGCGAAATACAATTCCCTCGCTTTTTCCGATACAAATTGTTGTTTCTGATCGTCTAGATCATTAAAAATCCCGTTATTCATTTATCCCAACAAACGTCTTTGAATGATTGCAAGGGAAAACAGAAAAAATAATACAAAAGGCCTCAAAAAAAATGGCATGAGCGTCAGGCGTTTTATCATTTATGAAACACGCCTCTCGGGTAGCTTCCATGTTTTTTTTTCTTTATTGATTTTTTTGTTGTTGAATTTTTTGTCGGTTTCTTCGCTGGTAGACCAAAAAATTGAAAGACATTTTTGACAAAGACTTTTTTTTATTTGAAAATAATTTTTCTTCCTATTTTTTTTTGGATAGTTTCCGCTGTAGAAAATATTCTACCTTTCAATAATTGAATTATCGATTTGCCTTACTTTGGTTAGCTCGGAAACTCATGACTGCAAATGGAATTGTCTGTACAACTGCGATGTTGTATTTATCAGGCGCGTCTGACTTGAAAGGATTTTCGCGCGAAAATTGAAAACTGAAACGTCTCGAAGTTTTTTCGAATCACCGAGAAAATACATCATTTTTTCCAAAATAGATTATTTCTAATCAACGTGACAAAGTACCATCTTTAGAAGCGTTTTATCAATGACAAAATTTGTATATTTTTGGACAAATTCGTTGTTTTCTATTTTGTTCTTCGTTGCATTTTCGCTTTTTCGGCTCTGATTTTCCCCTTTTCTCCTTTTTTCATCCAAAATAAGATTACTAAAAATTGATAGAAGATTTTGGCAGAAACAAATGGGAAACCGATGTGCCCTAGAGCGAAGCAAAAACACTGGCGGAGGCCAATGAACCACTCTCCTTCCCAGAATTATAAGCTTTCTTCGAGAAAAAAACGAGTTCCTCTGCCCCAAAACGTCTTTGTGTTCCTTTTGCTCATACCCCAGTTTCTGTACGACTTTTTTTTCTCTTACACATTTTCTTGCGCTTTTCAAAAAAATTTTTAATTCATTTTTTGGGGATCTTAACCAAGTTTGAATAGGGGGTTTTGAAGCGGAGAGCCGTTTTAAGTCATTTCAGGCCCGACAATAATTTTGCGCTCTTGACAAAAAAAGCAAGTGTTTCTTTACATATTGAACACTCTGTTTAGTTCGAATATCAAGAAAAAAAAATAATTTAAATAATTTCAAGTTACTCCTAGCGCGAAAGTGTATAGACAGTTCTCTTTGAGACTTTTGCGCATTTTTCCGCGAAAAGTAATAAAAGTCAGTGAATAAGCATTTTTCACAGTGATTTTCCAAGAAAATGTACATTTATATTTGAAACTATTTTCCAAAAAATGAAGCCAAAATGTTTTTTTTTTTAATTTGATGGAAAACAAACAATTGATGAAGGAAAAAAAAATGTTTACGCTGAAATTTTAGCTTTTATTTTTATTGCTATCACGTAAGTGTAAGCTGTACTCAGACACGTTTTCGGCAAATCTTTGATATTTATGATTGAATTTGTCATAGTGTATCCACAAACAGCTCACAGTAAGGTAGAGCGTCAAATTAATCGCTTCGAGCCGCCATCCGCTGTGATAAATTCAGGCCGAGTCGCTATTAATATCTGAATTTAAATTGCCTCCCCACCCCCTGAACTCACTTGTTTCAGAACACACTGGTATTCCGAACACTTATAAATCTCAAAAACTTCCAAGCTAGAGGTCCTAACACTACTCGAATGATCACTAATGGATTCTGAACCCATTCGGTGTCTGAAAAGCTCAAAATTCATATCACGCCACAATATTTGTATGCAAATGAGAAGGAAAAAAAAATCTTATTATTTGGAGACCCATTTATTTTTCGACAAGTTGTATTTGAAGTCCCGAAAATAGAGTGTTTGGAGATCTCTCGTGTCGTGCCGCGGCGGCCTGAAAAACACGCCACTGAGTTCCTGGGACCGCCTGAGGCGTTTTTTGAAGGAGAGACGAACGTCCATCCGTCGACGTGCCAATGGCGTCGCAGATGAACGGCGCTTTTCGCGAAATTATTTCTTGGATATAGTTTTTCGGCTTTTTAAAGAACTTTCCGGGCTAAAAAATTTATTAAAAATCTGATTATTGTTTTTCCCATTTTCTTTTCGGCTCTTTCATTATTTTTTTTTGATCCTTCTTTTCTCATAAATTGTATCAATTTTTTTTTTTATTTCAGTTGCCTTTTTTCGTAGCTTTTTGGTGGTTCATTCGTTGATCAGTAGGAAGTTTTTTTTAATACCGATCGGTACAATTCAATCAATTTTGTGCAAAAATTATACTCTTCGAACTGTCCTTCGTTGTTTTTTGAGAAAAAGCTCCGTTTTATCGCTTGGCTATATAAATATACTGGAGATTTGAATAACCCTTCTTATTCATTTTTTTTATGAATATTCTGTTCAAAAGAGCCTCAAGTACCGAAGATTTGACGATTAGACTTGAAATTACCTTTTTTGATATCATTACTGAGCATAAGACTTATAAAACATTATGAATATATTCTAGAATTTTTTCCCCCATTATCTGAGATTTTTTTGGACGCCTCATTATCTTCTTGCTTATTTTATGCTTGAAATTCGAGTTTTCAGATCCTTTTGGCTTTATTAATCCTTTTTCATAGGGAGCTGTAAACTTGAGCTTCAGCGCTTTGTTGATAGAATTACCTCTCCTTCCCCATCTCGATGAAGCTTCCGTGTTCTTGAGACACGACTAGACGCTCTTTTTGTCTTTTTTATGGACCGGCTATCCAGAAGGGCCTCAGGCGCCACAGATACATATAACGGCGTTCAGAAAGCGGGAACACACACGCACACACACAGACACACGATAAAACCCTTTCTTTTGGCTTTTTCCTCGAGACTCGACTCTCCGCCATTGGACGCATCGATTTCGCTTTTCCTTAAGCATTCTTTTTTGAATTGGAAATTTTTATTTGCTAAATTTTTTTTCAAAAATGTACCACGGAGCTTTTATCTTGCGAAAAAGCTAAAAAGCAGTCTGAAAGTGGTCATCGTTGTTTTTGTTTTTCGGCAGAAGTTGAATCGAGCGAAGCTTGCTGGGGTGTTTGAAGCCGGTTGGTAGAGCTTAATTATACTCGTTTCAAGATGCATTTTTAGGAAATTATTCTCTCTATCGTTCAGAAAAGGGGCATGAGAAAAAGGTGTGAGTGGGCGAATTTCTTATTTCTCCACAATCACTATATTTTTGACTTTTTATTGAAAAAGAGGCCGATTTTTTTTTGCTCTGCGTCCGAGAAGAAATTTTCTGAACTTTTGTCCAAACTTCAAATACTTTCCAGTTTGTTTCAATACTTCATAGCTAAATTGATCCCCATTCAAATCTGGTTTTAAATAAAATAATGCGCATATGAAAGTAAGGCACAGCTTTCTTTTTCTCACTTTTTTTAAAAAAATGTTAATAGAAAAAAACTATTAGTAAGCCATTTTTTGAACTTTTAACAACCTTTTTTTGCTTTCCGAATTTTTTTCTGATTCTTCTTCATAATTTTTTTAGTTCTGTCCAAAATCCGATGGTTTTGAACAGTTTAATCAATCGTTTGAAAAAAAAAAACTTTGAAATATTTTCTTTGTATTTGTCAATCAGGTGATCCCATTTCTTTCGAAAATCAGTTCATCTTTTTGAGCCAAGAAATGAAAGAAGTTACTCATTCTCACTTTGAAACGGGATATTTTCAAACCGCCTGTTCTCTGGACACCCCCTACAGCAACTTCCGATCTCTCAGTCTTCACTTAAGAGGTTTCTTATCTTTCAAGGGCCTCCTTGGAAGATTCATTCTTAAATTTTCGGCCACTCACATGGCCACTTCATCGCCTTCTCCTCTGTAGATAGCCTTTGCAATCCGAGAATATAAGGTTGGTTGTGGCTCGTTGTTCGTGGCGCCTGGGGCTTCTTTGTTTCTCCCAATGTTTCGGCGGAAGACGGCTGCCCCGGCGTCTCATGAGGCGCCTCCAGCACCGCCTGGCCTGGCCGCTCTCCGTTCCGGCACGTTTCTCCGTCGTTTTTTGTTCGTTCTCCTCGATTTGCATTGCTGTAAGCTTCACGTTCCTCGAGGTCTCTACTGAATTAATCTCAAAAAACAGATTGATTGAATATTTATTGAGAGCTACTTTTTCAATTTTTTTTTCTTCTTTTTTTTTTTACTTTATTCTTCTCCTCGCTTCCTCAAAGAAACTCTCGGTGATGTGTAAATCCTCAGAAAGTATTTCCGACGGAGTATTGCCTGTTCAAAAATGTTTTTCCGAATTTTTTGAAATCGAAATTTGAAAAAGTTCCTAGTGTTCTTATAGTGAAGACCTTGCAGTACACGCCAAATTTCTTCTTTTCAAAATCACGGTAAAGAATTTCCATGGCCGATTCGCTCAAAAACCTTTCATGTAAACTTTTTGTGCTTTCATACATTTGAGCGAACTGTGAATAAGCTATCCGTTACTTCTTTTTTTTTCGGTCTCGCCATTTTTTTCAATCAATTTGCTTTTAAATGAACTTTTTTTTCAGATCGGGTGACCAAAAGTCTTTTAACCTGCCGGTAGAGTAGATTTTCGGTTCATTCTGTGTCTTTCTAACCGGGTGGTCGAACTTCTCCCTTCGCAATCATTCCTGTCTGGTTTGTTTTTAAATTTGTTATTTCTGGCAGTTGATAAAATATTGAGAAGTGAGAAAAATTCGCTGTGGCTTTCCACAAACTTTACATGAGGTTTTTGAGCTAAAATTATTTCAGCGTGTTGTTCTTTCTATTCAGCAGAATTTTGAACCAACTTCAAAATTCATGAGTATGTCATCTTACGTAGATGGCTTTGCACAACAAACACATTAATTGACGACTTTTGGTGCCTGAATTGCCCAAAAAGTTTCGAACCTTCTCCAACTTAATTTTCTCAAGTGTTATCTTTATAATAACGGGATATTTTTCAGGGGCACGTAGCCATCGGCCAATACGGACGGCACGATGCCCTACGCAGCAGCTCCTGGAATCACGGAGTCTGGTGCGTATTTTTTCCTTCTTTTTTTTTTGTAAGCGTTGATTCAATCGAAAACTGGCGAAACAAGAAATGATAGGTTTTTTACTCGAGTAGGAGGTAAGCATTTTTATTTTCTCTTGCTTGAGTCTTTTCGGATTTAAATTTTGTTGACTAGTTCTGTTTTTTCCGTTAAGAACTAATAATTTTGAGCTTTGATGAGAGCTTACTTTATTTAAAATAGCGACGATTATTGGGGTTTCGCTTTTATTTTTTTTTTTCTGTAAATTTGTATCCTATTTCTTGTATTTGTACTGAATATTTTTACTTGGCCTAAGAAGGCTCTTTTTCACCCAATAGCCTAATTTTTTTTTACATATGTTTCAAGAACTTGTTTGATCTATTACAGCAAGAATAAGGAGTTTCAAATAATATACTAGAAAAAAATATAGAAGCTGACTTTCACAAAATCTTGTCATTTTTTTGTTCGAAAACGCTTTGGTCAACTATCCGAGCACTATAGTCAGTGGTCAGCTGTCGTTTAAACGGCGAAATGATCTTTTTTTCCTCATTTTTTCCCCTCCCAACCGTTCGTTTTTTTCCTCGAAGTTGTTTAGAACAACCACTGAAGCTTTATTATTTTTATTTTTGCAAATTCCTAAGGGCTAGAAGTTTTTAACATACATTTTCCATTTTTGCGGTTTTTTTTTTTGCAAAACATTGCGCCCACCTTTGAGTTGCATCAGCATTCGAAAATCACAACGAACATTTTTTGTATTTTACGTAACTTGAGGATTTTTCGCAACTTAAGAAAAATACAAGACACGTATTGCTCGAAAAAGTGGTCTCAAATGAGATAAAATAATGATGTTTTGAAAAAAAAAAGCGAGACAAAAGCCGTTTGACAGTGTTAACTTAGTTCGAACGAATTTCAAAATTGTTTGAAAAGTCTTTTTCAATACTATAGCAGCTAGTTAACTGAAAAACTCTGGAAATTTATTTTTTGAAACTTTCATTACTACGGGAGCCCATTTTTCCTGAAGAAAAAGACGTAAAAATTGAAAATGAAGTCTTCTACCCACTTCACAGTTCTGACCTTGTGCTACGTCGTCTCGGAAATAAAAGACAGATTGATTGCTCAGAAGGCTCTTTTCACTTCGTCAGATCGTTATCTTCCTTGAAACTTCAATTTGAACTTCGATGGTTGATCGATAAAAGAGAAAGGATATCCTATGATTTGAGATGAAAATTTAGGAACTTGGAAGAAATTCTATTTTCGAAATCAAGGAAATGACATAATTCTGTTTGAAGATACTTTGATGTCAGATTTATTCCATATTTAAGCCGATGAAATGATAATATTTTTGGTTATTTTCCATTAAAAGAGGCTGTTTTTTTTTTTTTTTCTCTTATTGCTGAAAGTTTATTTTTTTGAGAAATTCTGCTTCAATTCCAAGTTTTAGAATTTTTTTCAACTGTTTGAACCTCTTAAAAAAAGCCCTTTTTCGGTTTTTGGAAAAGGTTTTGAATGCCCTGAAATGAATTTGAAGCAACTTTTTTTAAACGTCAAAAAGATGATATTGATAGTAAAACGCAAAATTTCAACTTTCAAAAGTTGAATTTTTTTAGAATGTTTTTATTTTTGAGAAACTCTTATGAAGAGCAATGAACTGAAAAGTTAATCTTTTTACTTACGGATTGCGAAAAAAATTCATGATTTTTTTCTACCCTTCTTTGCGAACTTTTTTTCTTTCATTTCAATTTCGTTTATGATCCTTTTTTTTTTGTTATTCGAGAGTTTTTAAGCCATCAAAAAAACGGCGATGTTGGAAAAGATCGGATTTTGGTCACTTCGTGGTCATTGGATTTCTCTTTGCTGTTTTCTTGATCGGAATTCTTCACAATCCTAGACGTCATCAGTTTTTCGGGATTTTGTAAGCCTTCCTCAATGTTGTTGACCCTTAAAGGATCGTTCCTAGGGACTTGGAGAACATTTCTAGGAGAAAAACGTTCGTCTGCCATAGACATTGAGCATGAAATTTTTGGGGTGAAGATTAAAAAGCCACATGTCCGGCTGCAGCCATCTGTTTCGGTAAAATCGAAACATTTGGCCCCCGGCCGATGATAAATTCGTGTGGTTCTTAACGACGCCAACCCGCTAATTGTGGTTTCGTGTGCATAATTTTGCTTGGAAAACCTCCCGAAATGTTTTAATTTATACCTGGGACATTATCTAGGGAGATTGACGAGTAACGACTTTTTTTCAATTCAGAAATGTTTCATGAAACACGAGGTTTTTGTATACGAACTGACTTATTTAGGAAAAGTTTTTTTTTGTTGATTATTCTACAATTGTTGGATATGAGCTTTGTGAATGAATTTCTGAAGAACAAGTTTTTTTTTTCAGTCTTTTCGCGTAAATAAGTAGTAGGGTAAATTAAAACTTTACATATTATACTTTTTGAAGTCAATTCCCTAACTCACATTGAAGGAGTCAGGCTCAGAAGCTCAGAACTGTGACTTTTTTTCTGATTCAAAAGACTCCTTTTGAACGCCTTGGAGTAGGATTACGTTTGTTTCATAACATCAAAAAGATTCTCAGTCTGGGAATCTCAAGAACTGTTGTGATGAGAAGAACGGCCGGGAGAGTTTCTCCTGTCACTAACTGGTCCTGCGTCCGGAGAAGGTCGTACTCGTGAAATCGAAAGTCGTCGTACTACGGGAAAGCGAAACTTTTCCTTTTTTCCGTGGTTTTCGAGTGGATGTTCACTGACCACCATGACATCATCATTCAAACTACATTTTAACGATCAGATCGTTTTTAGGGGCTATGGGATAGGCGTATGCTGACAGGGAAGAACTTTGCAAATATTTTAGGATTCTAGATTTGTCTTAACTTATAACTGAAATCGATCTTGAAGTATCCGGAAGAATTACTGAAAAAAAAGATGATGGAGATTGTTATAGTTATGGCGATTTTGTAGCCGCTTTTTTGAGTTTTTGTGCCATTGCGGTTCTAACTTTTTTTTTACCTTCTCTTCACTCAAAGACCTAGGCTTTGAGATCGCTAAGGGCTTTCTCAAATGATCTCTAACTGGAAAATGCGGATGATGCAGCTTTTAGAAGGATGAATCAGCTTAATGGCGCCTTCAGCAAACTCCTGACGTCACCTTTTTATGTCAACTTGAAAATACCTCTGACGACCTATGAAAAAAACTGGATCAGGGTCAGGACTAAAGTGCTGAGTTTCATTTTTAATTTATTTAGAATGGAAAATGGATTGAAATCCTAGGACTTGATAGACTGATTGCGGCTCCGAAAATTTGTAATAAAAAAACGTCAGTACCCTGATTAATCAGAAATAAACTTATTTTCCAGTTACAATAGCACATTCAATGATGAAGTTACAGACAGCTTCTTGGTGTTTTGCATGTATTGTTTCGAACGGATCTGAAAATTTTCTTACTCGATGAACTTTGGAAATCTACATTTTTACAAGTATATTATTATTTTCCGCAGAAATGGGTGCGAAAATCGATTTGATAATCAGATTGCAACTTCACGAGCTTCCCACAGAGTTTAAATCAATCTTTTCTGGAATTTTCGAAAAACTACGGTCCCCGAAGTGATTTGGGTGGTCCTAAGCTATGTAGGACAGTCAGCACCAAGTTCTCCTTCTCTGGGTTGCGGTTCATTGCGCAACGAACATTTTCGAAACTCCTGTGGACAGTACCGGCGACTGTGCCGGATCGGTGCCGGCCGAGTTTCCCGACGACTTTGAGGATGACATTGGTCGGTTGGGAAGTGTTTCGAAACGGCCCTTTTGTCCACTTTCGCCCAATTGTCATGCGCGACGTTTATTTGCTTAAATAGCCGTCACATGCGCCTTTTTTTCTTCTTGTCCAGCTGGCGTTTTTCAGGGAAAAAAAAAGCTGAAATTGCTTTTTTCTGCTTTTGGAGTATAGTCCTTTTTTTTTTTACCTTTTTGCCCTTTTCAAGAACCGATTTTTGCGGAAAAACGCCAGAATTATCGCGGGTTCTTGTCCCGCTGACCAGTCCTCTGAAACCGCTGTCTACTGTCGAATTTCGTTTTTCTTTTCTGGAGAGGTGGAACACTTTGCTTTCTCTTCGTTAAGTTTAAGCTTAGTTCGATATAAATCAAGTGATTCTCCAACAAGGCTAGTTAAGATGAGAAAAAATCTTCAGATTTCTTTTTGATTCTCTATTTTTCTCAAACCTTAAGACTGTTTGTGTGCACTATTTTGAATGACATTTTTTTTTCAATGGCTATTTTTGATATGCTCTGTTTCTCTTAAAGTGTTGCAGAAATCCTGTAAAATTTTTTTGCGAAAGTAGCCTCTAAATTTGTTTCTAATGGTTTTCCATTTTTCCATTTGCAATCTAGGGTTATCCGTTTCTTATTATTTCTCTCAAGAACTTTTTTGACTACTCTGGAATAGCTTGATGATCTGGAATTTGGAGGCTCCTAGATTTAGCCTAACCTAAAAAGAAATGCTCTAGCGGTTTTGTACAAAGTTTTAATAAACTGACTTTTTTTTTTGGAATAAGCTCCATCTAGAAACGTACTCCAACTTTCCCGTTGACAATAGTTTTCCCCTGAAAAAACCGAAAACCAAAAGAGAGAAAAAATTTGGATTATGACGATTTTGACATCCATTTCCAATAGTTTGCTCATGTGTAACCAAAGACCGTGAAGCACAGCTCGAAATCTGAAGTTCGATGCTTTCTGAGCTAATTATTTGATTTTGACTTTCTTTCATCAAGTAGAAGCCATTTTAGGTTTTGTCCTTTTAGAGAAACAACAGACCTTATGTTTCTTATCGAACTTTTGCTATCATATTTTACCCGGGGCTGATCTGGATCCGAAAAATTTCCCTGGAAACTAAACGGTTCTGAGAGTATTCTCTAATAGAGTCTTTTTAAAGTGTAAGGAAGCCGAGGCCACAGTACTAGTCAGTTTAGTTTTTCTCCACTTAGTTTCCTCGTGGCTGACATAAAACTTTCTTTGAGAATCGGCTCAGGTAGTACTTAGGAAATCTGAAAAAAGAACGTTTTCTGATGGCCTATTTACCATAAAAACACTTGGAATTCCAACGATTTCCCATGTTCTACCCGAGCCGATTCTCGAAGTTTCGTCGGATGTCGACGGCGTCTTGGTGCTGTAGGAGCGCGTGTCCGGCGGTGCGCGGCGACCTTAGAGATCGCTGGTGCCTACCGCCTCGCACGAATATCTAGCCCAGCGGGTCCCAACCAACCTCGCCGGCACACACCAATTTTTGCAAAACATTGGCCGCTCAAAGTGCAGAAAAAAATATAACGAACGCTTTATGAGGTTCACGAAATCGTTGGGTCAGTTAGACGCAATTTCCCTCATTTCTCCGATTTTCTCAACTTTGAAAGATTCCCAGTTGATTTCAGTTGAACCTTATAAACGTATAGTTGTGTGTGTATTTTGTATGCGTCGTCCGAGGGCCCGAAAAACGATCCGCCGTACCTGTTGTACCTGTCTTTTTCTCTCTCTATTGACGTCGATAGTAGTAGTTTCGCACTTTTTTTTTCCCGTTTCTCTCACTTTTCATTTTCCTGCTCCCACATTTCATTTTTTCTTTTTCTCGGTACATCATCAATCTGAGTATAATGAATGACGGCTCCCAAAAACAAATTTCCTTAATGCACCACCCACACGAGATGAGCTTGTTTTCGGGTTAGACGGAAGTACCGTCGCAAATATGAGCCAGTAATCTGCCGGCCAAACAGTCCTCGGTGCCATTCGGTCGTCGCCTTTCTCCCGTTAATTGGTTCTGTCTTCTGGAATAGGTTGCTGAAGGCTTAAAAAGATATATAATCACTAGTTTTTATGTCAAACGGTAAAAAAGAAAAAGAAAAAACGGAAAATTCAGCCTTTTGCTAACGAAATAATATTTTCTTAATCCTGGCTCTTTTTCATGTTTCACTCCTTCATTAAAGAATACAAATGTGTATTTTAAACCGATGTCAATATCATTGAACTATCTCCGCTTCGACTAAAGCTTCAGAGACCAGATATCCTAACTTTTTCGTTAAAAACTGGAGATGGTCTTTGGGTTAACCTTAATGGTACCTTGGCAAGGGAAAAGGGAAATTAAGAAAAAGGTTCAGGTATAGATCGTTTTGATTCCTCATTTCTTTGCGTCACATGGAAAAAAATCATAGCTTTCAAACTCCGAAACTAAATTTTTCAACTTTCTTGGAATTTTTTTTCTTTTGGGTTGGAGCTCGGAAATGATCCCTATGATGGCACCTTGGCACGCGGAAAAAAGGAACAACAAGAAAAAGGCTCAGGTATAGACTGCCGCCGACACCTTTTGGCGCGACTGTTTTGGCGGGACGGCTGGCGGTGCCGGCTGGTACTCGCTTGGGGTCACCTCCTATTCTCTTCGCGTTGGCGCGTTCCACTCGTCTTAACCTTAGTCGTTCGCCACAGCCTAATACCACACATCCGATCACTGGTACTAGTATCTTATCATCTTCTTTTTCCCCACTTTTGATCTTTTTTCGTAGTCTCTTTTTCGATCTCGTTTTACTGGTCGTTTTCACGTGAGTGACATTTTTCTTATCATTTTCTCCTTGCTTGATAGAAAAGTTCCCAGGTTTTAGCGGCCATCTTTAAAGTTTTTTTGATTTTGAGATTAAATTTTTTCTTTTCTCCAGTTTGAACGCTTTTAAATGAAACAAAATCAGGGATTCAACGAAAATTAAAGCATTGGCTTTCAAATAAGTTTCTCAGTTCGTTTTTTCAATCCGAAACACCTGAAAACCTGATTTTTGGACAGGTTGATGACTTGGAAACGCCTTTTTTTCAAATAGATTCGAAAACATTTATTCAAATTATGGCTTTTTTTCACGTACCAATTAGGTTTATTCTTTATTTTATTTTGGCATTTTCATCATATTCTGCTAGTTCTTGTGTTTCAAATTTTGAGAAAAGTTCTAATTTTCCAACTTTTATCTTTGTTTCCGAAGATCTACCCGATTCCAATGAAATGACCATTCAGATCGGATTTTTTTACTTTTTCTTTTGCTGAGGAATCCTTTTTTTCGATAATTATATTGGAGTATTTGTCTTCAGTTTCTCAGAAGCTGAACTTTTGAAAATGGATAACTTGGAAAACTGCAATCTAAACCTATAAAAAGAAATTTTTCGATCTGGAAAGTGATATTTTTCGAAGAGACCTCATACAAGGTGTCACTGGTTCGGGATATTTTTCCTTTTCACGTCCTCCACTGTTTCTCGGCGTATTTCGCGTGCTTCTCCGTGTATTTCGGTACCTGTGTGAACCCTCGTTCCTTCCGCGGCTGGGATTTCACAATTTTTTGACCCTCTCGACGATCCTCGCACTGTATTTTCCCTTTTTCTTCTTCTTTCTTTCTTCGTTTCGTTTGTTTTTTTGTGCTGGCCGCACTCGTTGGGATGTTTTCGCTTCTTCGTCAGATTAACTACACGTTTAATGCTTTTTGGAGGTTCTAGCGTCTATTTATCAGTTCGATGATAGCCTAGTTTGGTTGGAATCTTAGATTCAACAAGTTTTTCTTTAAAGAAAGATGTGTTTCTGAGAATCTTTGAGAACAAATTAGAAATCCCTTTTCATTGAGTCTTGGTCCTTTTCAATTTTTAAGAGCTACGTTTAGAGATGTCAAGTGGTAAAGAAAAACTTTTCTGCGTTATTCACTTTTCATTTTTCAATTAGAAAGATTATAGGCAATAAGTTTAGTTTTGTCGGTTTTTCCTGAGGTTTCGAAGATGCTTTTGAGGCTTTTTTTGTATTTTTCTTTTCGAATGTTTCTCCTGCTCTTCCTCTTGATTTATTTCTTGGAACTTTTACGAATAGTACCTGTAATTTTTCTGTTTGATAGTTCAGTGTCCTTAAATGACTCTGCAAACGATTAAAAAACAATTTCATGTGATTCTAGTTTTGGAAGATTTTCTTTTTGGATAACTTGCAGATAACATTTATTACCTGACCTCTCACAATCATTGTTAGTTGTTTCGTCCTTCCGCTCCCCTAATGGCTCCTATCCGACATTATGGGTTATTGAAAGGTGTGTATCTGAGGTCAATGGAGATTTTGGCAATGTTGGTGCCGTCTGACACCAACCGCCACCAAGGGCCGTGGTGCCATTGGTGCCAAATGGCGTCCAAAACAATTGGGACGCGCGAGGTTTTCCCCGCACTCGTTATTCTTCTTCTTCTGATTTTTCAATCTTTTCAATTTACTTCTCATTTCACTCTTTGTTCACATCAGCCCAACGCAAACATCTGCTTTTGTTGTCTTTGCCGTACAAAAGAGTTGTTGTTTGAGCTGAAAGTTTCGAATTTTCACATTGGATTTTTCGAACTTGTTGGATTTGTAGGAGACACTCGTATCATTTGTTTCGTCGTTTCCAACCCTCGTTTTCGGAAAAAAAAAACAAAATTTTTCTCCTTTATTCTTCAAGTCGTGAAAAATGAGCATTTTGCATCTGAAATTTCTGAAAATATTTCAAATTTTACCACGTTCGGTTTTTTTGAGGTCCTGTAAGCAACTGGAAAATTTTTCGATTCTAATCATTTTTTTTTTAGTTTTTTTTTTCCAAAGTAGCCAAATTTCCTCATAGAATGACACTTTTCCGAATTGGATTTTGTGGAGATCTCGTAAAAATTAGAGCTTGAGTTCATCACTCTGCATTTTATCGGGTTTTCTGAGCTAGAGAAACTTTTGTACAGTAGTCGTTTTACACTAACTCTAATCGTATCTAACGGCGCTCTTTTTCGGCAAAACTTTTTGAAGGTCCTCTAATGACTGGCCCGACTGCGATTTTGTTTAAAGTCTCAGGATCCTGTAGATTAATCTGATTTCAAAGTGTCGCCACCACGTTTTCCCGTTTCTTGCCTAGTTTTCTAGAGCCTCCAGAACTGAATTGTAGCCTTTCACTTCTGATCCTAATGCTAATTTCGCAATTCGTCTTTTGAAGCATAATCGGCTCAATGAAGCTGGTTCTTACTCGACAGACGCACAGAATTCTCTTAGTTTTCTGATCCATCGGCCCTCCTTCAGAAGCATTTCTGAGCGTCGTGCCTAAGTGTGAAGCCGGTTTGCTGATGTGACGTCTTCAGGCTGTTGCTGCATCTTCGTCGTCTTCATTTTTTGCTTTTCTCATTCCTTCGGCATTCTCATGGGAAGCTTTGACGTTTTTCTTCCGATCGTTTGTTGTTAGCATAAATTAAGAGAAAGAAGACGTTTTGAGGTCCGGTCTTGTCGGAGGTTTCTTTTTTGGTGGCTAATTCGCGCGCTCGAGAAGCGTTCAGTTTGTGACGAAAGCAAGAGGATTGGTCTACTTCTTTCCAGAAGCTTTCGGCGTTTTTTCAAAAACTCTAAATTTCGAAATTCTGACTTTTCATTATTTTTATGGTGATCATAGACGGAATTTAAGAAGGAAAAGTTGCAAAATTGAACGATTATTTACATTTATTTCTTAGAATAGTTCAAGCTGAACTTTTTTCGAACAAATCGTCGTCTCCATTTCTGACTTTTTTTTTTTGTTGGTATTGCAACTGGAGGAGAAGCTCGAGATTGGATTAGGTCTTCACTGGTTCATAGATAAAGAAAATATTTTTAATATTTTGAAGCCATGAGAGAAAAACTCCAGTAGTACCGCTCCCGAGGTTTCAGCTTCGACGAAAACAGAAATGTGGATAGGAGTTGAAAGCTCTCATTTTTTTTAAAACCAAAACCTCGAAACTAAGCAGGTCTGCCTTTCTAAGGAGTTTTGCAACTCCAATTACGGCTTCAACCCATTCTCAACCCAAGTAGTTCAGCACCAGGTGTAACTCTCACGACGTAGGATCTTGATCCCCTTGTATTCGCCGCGTGCGTATGATTTCATATACACCCAAAACACACAGAGACACACAAACAGTGTTCTATTCTTGGGAGTCCGGAGAGCGTGACTCGATTGGAGACGGTCCCCCAGAAATAGCGCCCATAGGGCAAATAATAGACTGCACGACTGACCTGCCCGAAATTTGTTGCGTCGCCGCGTGTTTGGTGGCTCTTTTTCTCCTTTTTTTTTGGCTCACCGGAGCAAATTATGAGAAAAAATTTGAAAGTCTTATTTTTTGGAGAACAAAACTACAGTTTTTCTTCGGATTCGTACATTTTGCTTGATTTTGAAATTTTGAAATGGCTGTTCAGCATAATGATCCTCTCAATTTTCGTTTTTATTGCTCTTTGAGCTGAAAATGGTTTGAAATACGTTGCCCTCAGCTCGTCGCCTGATCAAATTTCGAACATTTCAAGCTTTTTCACTTATTAAGAAATCTTCGACAAGTAAAAGTTTTTGATTTCCCTAGAATAGTGCATAGTTTCTTTCTCCAGTCCTCGGAGAATCTTGAGATCTCAACCAATTCTCGTGGACGTTTCTCTACCGTAGTTCTTTACTCGACAGACCCTCAGGCGCAAATCCTCGGACCCCCCACGCGAAGTCAATTATTGGACAATGCGGCTAAAAATAGCTGCGGTCGGACGCCGAAAAGGGAAAAAAAAAGAGGCAAAAAGAGCGAATTGGAAGAACGGTTTCGGTGCGGCGGTTGTTGGGTGTCGCGTGCGCTCGTCGGAGCTTTATCTTTCTTTTTTTTTCTCGGCTCCTTGTCCGCCTGGGGCGTTCTGCTCTGCTCAGAAACCGTCGTCGGCGGCGCCGTTTTGTGCTCAACACACTTCACTTTTACGGTTGCAGTCGATTCCTTCGGCTCTTTGGAGCTCCTTTACACTCTCGCTTATGCATTCATTAAACTGTCCTAGTGTTGCTCTCAGATCTCCTCTGTTGATGAAAATTTTGTTTTTAACTGTTCTGCTCTTCTTATTTCAGTGGTTTCTGTAACTCATATTGGATGAATGGGGATGATTTCAGCCTTCATTCGAGAAAAGTTTCAGATAAAATTTTTTTTTCTCTTTTTTTGTGGAGGTTCGGAATCTTGATTCATTTTTTGACGGTTTCTTTTTTGAATCATCTTCAACTGGGCGGATTTTGAGCCGTTTTTGAAATGGTTAGCTATCTCAGGACCTTTTTTAACCCAAAAAGTTGTGTTTTTACGTATTATTTTTTTATTCGCCCGATTCTATCCATAATTAACGTAACTGAGCATCTACAGGTACAAAAAACTATTAAAATATGGTTTTTAACAGATTAGCGACATACCTAGCATGAACAGGTCACTTTTTTAAATTTAGGTGTGAGCATAGTAGATTCAACCTAACTTTTCGCCCATTTATCAAGCCCCTCTCTCTCTCTCGTTCTATCCAAGAATCCATCCAATGAAAATATATCGCGACGGTCTCATCAGCTGACATCTTACAAGCTATTCTGTGTGTGTGAATGTCGAAGGCGACGATTTACGCGGCAGCCAAATAGGGAAGAAAGATTGGGCCTCTGGAAACCTGTCCGTTTTCCTTTTCCTCTTCATTCTCTCTTCCAAAAGTCTCCCCAAAACTGTGCTTTTCTTTGGCGCATCTTGCTTTTTTCCTCAAACCTGTGAAATTCCTGTATTTCTGGGCTTTTTATAGTTTTTTTTTTTTGAGTTGATAGTTGTTTTAGCTCAAATTTTCAAAATTTTGGTTTTTTCGATGCGTTTTTTCAACGATAAGGATTATATTGAGTAAAGTAGGGAAATTTTTTCATTTTTTCCTTGATTTCTTTTTTATTCATATCTTGTGCCTCATTTTTCCACGATTTGAACTGTCTGACTTGTCTGCGCTCTCTTTTCTTTCAAAGTTCCATGTGAATGATTTTGGTGAGGAAAAAACAGCAAAGACACTTCACACTATTGTAAAACGTTAAAAATCATTGTTTTTTTTCGAAGGAACACGTATTCATATGCAATTTTAAACAATTTGAATACTAAAATGTCTACTGTTACCTTGTTTCTACGTCAAAAATTTTTTTCACTTGGCGAGCACTTTTTATTTTTCTCTGCGAAGTACCTAACCTGAACGATGAAGCTGGGGAATAAATAAACAGGTCTCGGAAAAGTCCGGGGATGTAGTCCTTCTTCTTCTTCTTCTTTTTTTTTGCTCTGTCATTGGGGCGCACTATCGATGCACTTCCATTTTGCTCAAATTTGACAAAAAAAAAAGATAAATTGCCTTTTTCATGCCATTTTGTAGTCTTTTCGGATGTAAAGGGCAAGTTTTTCCTTGCCTTTTTTGGGAAATTATACGAACCCGAGGCAAAAAACGACAAAGGCCGCGGACTATATATTTTTGTTGACGGCCTCAGCTTCTCCTCCATTCCTCATTCTGCCGCATTCAGTTTAGCTCTTTATACTCATCGGAACTATTATTTTTTTGAAATTTTTTTGAAGTTTGATATGTGATTTTTTTCTTGATTTTTCGGTTAATTTTTGGTTCATAGTAAACGATTTTTGATTATTACTATGATTGATGAGAGTTTGAAACGGCAAGAGAGATCAAAAGATCAAATTTGTTCTCAATTAAACGTCTCGCTTGTTCGAAAGTTTGATAACTGTAGGTTTTGCGAAGAGAAAGGTTTTTTTTTAGCAATTTTTGTTGCAATTGAACTTCCTAGTTTCAAAAAAACTTGAATATGGTTTACGAAAATTTTTCATAATGTACGTTCTAGAACATCTGAAGAAATGGTCTGACAAAAACGGCTACTTTTTTTTATGATGTTCAAATTTTTATTAGCTCGAATTTCATGATCTTGTATTCGATTTTCACGATTCACGACACTTGAGTTAAGCCGCTTTTTTTCTGAACTCCTTGAACTTGTTGAACTGCTGATGACAGTTATTGTCGTTTTCTTGTGCAAACACGGCCAAATGTGAGCCTTTTTGACCGGCACCAAAGCACATGTCCATTTTTGGTTCGATGCTGTATGGGTGGCGTCCGAAGAAGTCTCGGTATTAGCGAGAGAAAGAGAGAGAGAGAGAGAGAGGCTCAAAGAGGGAAAGCCAATTGCGGTGTGAGCTCTCTCTCCCCCGCAGAAAGGAAAAAAGATGGACGAATACGACTGGCGCGAAAAGCAATGGTGAATCGAGGCTGCCACACTGATGCTGGAAAAACCGGTCCATCTTAGCCTCAGGGCCCGATTTCTGTGTGTGGTGTCTAGTGGAAATCCTCTTCGTTATTCAATTTTCCAACTTTTTATGCGAAAAAAAATCGAGTCTACTTGGTGGTTTTTGAATGGCAAGATGCAAAAAAAAACCATCCCAAGTGCGACTTGGAAGGGAAAAGGACTGTTGTTTCTTTGAAAGAAGAGATAAGCAAAAATCCGTTCAAATGCGGTTCAGAAAATATGAGACGTGAAAAGTTCGTCTGAGATCAACTTGAGCCATTCAAAAGGGCAGAGCGAAAATAGTAAAGCTGATCTTTGCAAATTTTTTATGTATTTCTTTTTTTGTGAGAAGGACGGATAAGCCATTCCAAATACGACTTGAAAATCACTCTGAAGCTAAAAACCTTTCGAAGAGACTGAATGGAGGGTTTTTGAAACGATTTTATGGATATCTAGGAGTAGTTTCATATCTAGAGAGCAAAGAAACGGAATTGAGGTATACTAATTTGAAGTGAGACTGGTCAGCTGTGGCCTTTGAACCCGGTTTTCCACTCTTGGCTTCGTTCCAAATCTTCCCCACTAATTCGAAAGAGCATTGGAGCACTACTCGAGCAGATTTTTCGTGGAATTTAACTCGTCATCGGGTTCCAAGCCAACGTATACGAAGAAGAGTCTGGCGAGACCGGACCTCCCGAGCAGTGCAATTTCGTTGTCTGAGCTCTCTGACCCTTCACAATTATCTAGCCTCCAGACGTACACGCTCGACGCCTCGCCGCACTCTCCTCTTCAGGACACAGCTGACCAATCAGTAGTCTCGTCGATTTCTCTCCCACACTCTCACGTCTCTGTCTCTCTCTCTCTGACTATGTGCGCTATGTGCTATTCGCGTCGCTACTACAGCTGATTCTTCGTTGTCTTTTGCAAGACTTTATATATTTTGAAGTCGGTTTTTTCTTGTAGGGATTTTGTGTAATTTTTTTTTGATTTTTGTAAAGCTACGATTTCAATTTTGACCATTTATTTTACCTCCTTGAGTCTTTGAGTGACCTCTATTGGCGGTACTTGATTATACCTTCATGACCAAGCCATTTCTGGCGTCTGCCAACTTCTATCAATCTTTTTTTTGTGGTTATTTTACGCTTCTCCAAACTTTTTTAGGCAGTTTTGCTTCAAGGTTTTTAGATTTTTTATTGAGAGTCTTCAAATTTCAAAAACTCGTCCTTCTATGAGCCTTTCATCAAATAATATTCTTATGTGATCCAAAGATCAGCCTTGGTTATTATCTAGCTTCTCACTCGATTTGGAGCGTTTCCTGTGCCCCAAACCTTGATTGCAACCATTTTCAGTTTCCGTCCAATCCAAAGATCATCTCCAAGCGTTTCACTTTTCCTTTCGAGTTTCACCATCTCAAAATCCACTTACAGTTGCACTTTTTCTGTGTCTGTGTAGGCTCGCATAATTTCTCCTCAGCCGTCGCCGCGCGTTTAGAGGATTGTGGTGGACCAATGACCAATCCGAACCAACCCATGCGACCAACGACGGCTGCGTATTGAGGTCAGCCAGTTCCTCTTTTCGTTCCGGCGCACGTGACTTGTACTTTGGCTGGACCTCACAGGTCCGGCTTCTCCTTTTTCGGAATATTCGAATTTTGTCCTTTTATTGGCGTGAATTGTGATTTTTTTCAAAATAGTACCTCTGAGAGGACTTTTAGATAATTAAGTCGATTATTTTCTCTTTTATCTTGAACTCATTAGAGTAACAAAACTGTTAGTTTTTTTTTTCAGTTGTGATTTTTAACCGAATAGGTGATGATTCTAGAGAGTTTTCAAAACTATGTTTCTGTGATTTGAATCTCAACTTCAAACGGTCAGAAAGTTTTTTGCATTTCATGAAGCTCAATCTGATTTTTTTTACTCTTATCAAATTTTGAGAAAAATCAGAAAATTTCCATTTCCACTGAGATTCCAGGCGGTTTCTGCTGTTTTTCGAGAAATTTTACGATCAAAAAGCAGAAACTTTCATTTCCCATATCATTTAGTTCAAACTTGGCTTTTTTGAGGAAAATCTCCGATACTTCATTTTTTTACGTATTCAGAATGTATTCGACTTGATTTCGTTATTTTATCTATTTTAAGTTACAAACTAAAAAGTTCTATCATCATCAAGACCTTTTCATAATAAATTATTCCTTACAGATACCGTTTTTTTTTTCGTTTACCTTGAATCCATGCAAAATTAGTGTATCTTCACTCCAGACAGCCCAATTTTTTGCAAGTCTTTCCGAGAAGAAACATTTTTCGCTTTCTTTCATCGCTGACTAATACTTTGTATGGCAGCTTTCACACATTTCCCTCCGTTTCTGTACGAAATATTTGGTGTACGTTTTTTGAAAATTTTCTCCACGTTGATGTTCTCGAGAATTAAACTTGAATGTTCATGGATTTCAGTCTTCTTACTAATGGAAGGCAGGACCAATAGAAAAATGGTTTTGGATGGTTGAAACGAGTTCGGAATCGTAATCCTTGCGTCGTCCCTTCCCTCACAAAACTTCTCATTCTCTAACGTTTCGTACAAAACTGGCCCCATCCGTCTACAAATTATTTTCATTTTGTTCATTTTTATCTAGCCATTTTATTGCACTTTTTCTCTGTACAGTTTGGCCTTGCTCGGTCATCTACTCACCGCTCAGGATAATCCTATTTTGGAAGACCGAAAGAGGATTTTTGCGGGGTTTTTGTCATTGGAGCAACTTGGTGTTTGTCTAAAAAAAGCTCGGAAAAAGAGGTCTTTTCTGAGCTTAGGAAGAGTTAGACGACAGAAAATATATATAATTTGGGAATCAGCCATGGAGCGCACTTGCTTTGGCTGGGACCTCATCCCACCTCCTGAAAAGTTCTTTCTCTTTTTGATTTTTTATATTTCGATTCTCGAACACGACATCATCGGAAAATTTTGTACTCAATGACAATTTTTCAAGCGTTTCTCCTATTTTTTTTTCTTTTATCTGTTTTGTTCTAATGTCAAATTTCATTTATATGGATTTTTGTGGTAATTTTTAAAAGCAGATTTTTCAACTTCTCAACAACGGTCACAAGTCTTCAATTTTTTTAATTTTGTTTTGACTACCTGAAATATGGAAATTCCTGTCCTTGTTTCTTTTTTTACTAGTTCCGCTAGTGCTGTTTGTCCAGGGACTTTGCCTCTCGGTTTAATCAACTAATTAGCTTAAAACAGTGCCAAAAGGTGGCTTTCGACCTGAGGCAGGTGGTCATTCTCGTGCTCTTAGGCCAGTTGTCGTCCAACGTGACCCCAAGGAAGACGCAATCCGTTACCCAACCGCTGAGACCGTTCTACCGGTGTCCGCCGTGACCCCGTCTGACCTCTGAGGATGCGTCGAGAGCATTGGAACGACGCCAAATCTTTTTCGCGTTTTTTATTATGCCCTTCTTGTTTTTAACTTCATTTTTAGTCTTCTTGATGTTATATTGTTATATTTTGCTAGACAACGTAGTTGTTGAAGTAAAATATTTATTATATCCTAATACGTAGAAACGATTTTCAAACATGCTCAAAACCATCGCTTCAAACAAAAATGCATAAATTTCATTTCTTTTTAGTGATTCCTTTGACTTTTTTCTACGAAAAGCTATAATGAAACTCATTTAGGTGGACTACAGAGGGTTTTGGGTCTATTTTATCGAAGTCTGAAAAATAGTTAAGTTTTCTTGTTTCATTCTGCAGCTTCAGACTTTTGGAAGTTTCTTGAAAAGTACTAGTCAAAAACCAAAGTTCTTCACAGGCTTCTATCGCGAACTTTTGAGCTCTGGACTTTTTTGAAACTATGGATTCGGTTAAACCTCTCATTTTTCGCATTGTTTTTGTTATTTTTTGTGAAGTATTTTGGCATATCATTGTCTTAAGTCAGCGGTGAAAGATTCACCATTCTAAATAATTCCTTTTTTTCATAAATTTTTGAAAAAAAGATTTATATTTACCCATGGAGCACACAAGCTCTAGAAAGTTTTCGCGTTACTCCTTCTTTTTGAACTCATAATCCAAAACTATTCTTCGTATCTTTCCTCGCGTCGCACATGCACGGCGCATAGTTTTGACGGATTACACAGGGAGAAGCTCTGGACCATTGTTCCCAGGTGTGCCCCTGTTGTACTCTGTTTATTGCATTCCCATGCGTAATACTCGGTTACACACTATCATTTCCTTCGTTCTTTTTTCTTACATGGCAACTGGGGATTACCCACCCTCGCGCGATAAGCATCATTCACATAATTAACGAGGAATAGTTCCTGAATATGCGGAAATTGAAGCAGCTGGCGGCTCCTCGGATGAACGTTCAGAAAGCAAGGAAGGAAGCTTCGGAGAAGATCTCTCGCCTTGACGTGATATTTCCGCTTTCCGGCTTGCCGCTTCTCCCAGGAGAAACCAAAGCAGTTCCCTCGTTCCTTTTAAAAGTCGTTTCCTTCCTTGTCAATGGAAAGTCTCAATGAGGAGGTTGAAGACAAAAAACTCGGAACAAAGAGGAATTTCGATATAATGAGAATATTGAACTGTTTTTCATTTAAAATGTTGATATTTATCATGCAGTTTTCTTTTTTCTGAAGTTCAAGAATAATCAAACATATAATAATTTGAATTAAAAAGTAGGATGTTTTTATAAAAAAATAATTAAGCAGGGAAAGATGTTTCACCACTGGATTTTTCTAGCCTATTTTTCTTTCTCTTACAACAAATGATTAAAATTTCCTTTCTTCAAGAATTCTTTAGTTACTGGGAAACTTATTTTTTTAATTTCTCAACATTTTTCTTCTATTCTAATATCAAGATCATCCGTTCAATCTGAGATTTGCATTCCACTGCAATTCATTTCCTCCTCTCTACTTCAGGAGAATTTAAAGAAGTCTCAAATTATTTTTTTCTTTGAAATTAATAGAAACTATCTTTATTCGCCGGTCGATTGATTCTGTCCTTCGATTCCAATATTTACCATTGATTTATGCTGATTTTTTGCAGGCTCCAGTTCGTCTTCCGGCTGTTCGTCCACATCGGCTGAAATTTACGAACTGGCTGCGCACGCCGCACTCATACAACGCCAACAGCAACTCTTGCAGCAAGGTCAGTGAAACTTTTGGACAGGTATTCACGGAGATCGGCTTTTTTTTGGAAATGTAATGAAAAATTCATAGAAAATTACGTAAATTCTTTTTTCTTCTCTTTTTTTAGCCAATTGGATCTTGGAAAAAAAATGGAGCATTTTGATAATATTTTCGCCCCAGAGAATTTTTCGAAGTTATTGAATCTTCTCGAATTTTAAGATCGCACATTGTTCTGAATTTCTCTTTTTTGTTGAACTACGAGGTGAAAAAAGAAGACGCTACCAGACAGAAATTCTATCGTTGATATCTGAATTCCGTACCAAATTCGTTTTTAAAGTGACTGGCTGATTTCAGGCGTTACGGGACTCCCCATACTGCCGGCTCCGGTTGACTTTGCGCACCAAGTTGCGCAGCAACAGCAGTTCCAGCAGTTGCATCACCAGCTCCAGGGCATCGTCCATCACCAACATCATCACCAGCCTCAGCTCCGACCCGTCCAGCAGCATCCCTTCGTCGGTGAGTCTTTTTTATTTTCTTTTTCTCAAGAAGTATCGAGACTTTTATATTCTTAAACAATTGAACTGAAAATTCTATGAGACATTAATTTTTTTGGTAACTACCATGACGAGAATCGAACTTTATGCCTTGTTCAAAATGTTTCTTTGAAATCCAAAATAGTCGTCAAAGAAAGAAAAAAACACAGTTTTGAATTTAGCGGGATTTTTTGAACATGGCATTAAAAGATATCTTCAAATACTACAAAAATATGAGCGAAAAAATCAATAAAAATGACAACTGCAGCTTTGAAAGTAATAAATGAGAATGAACTAAAAATAACCTCTTTATTTGATCCTTATCGACGCGTCTTTTTTGCCCGCCAAAATTAGTTTTCAAAAAAAAGATCAACCCGATATTTACTCCCCTAATAGTTCAAACCGGTTCCTAACTACATCTCAAACCAAACAACAAAATTCATATATTTATTTGCTTTTGCATTTGGAAAAGACCAAAGTTCTCAAAAGGAGCCAGGATAAATTAATGCGACGCTCTCCATCTTTGGTACTTTCTGTTGTTTGAAACGCGCCCCATGGATCAGTTTTTTGGTGTATACTTTGCCGATTTTTGCACGCTTATTCTCGTTTGTTGTCTGGCCTGAAGAAATGGCCAAAATGTTTGTGTTTCCCTGGCAAAGGTTCGACAACAAGACCTTTTTCGCCATCAGTTTGTGTTGAAAAATTTTATCCTGGTAGTTACATATGCCTCCTTTCATTTCACGTTGCGGAAGGAGCGTTGGAGAACTAATTCGATGTTTAAAGTTCAATTTCCTTTTCAGTACTTTTTTCAACTAAGTTCCTAATCTTTCCAACTTTTTTTTTCGTTTTCAACCGTTATTGAGTATTTTTCGATCACGTAATTTCTTTCGCTTTACTTCGCCGTTATTCTTTTATCACGAAAAATGTTCCCTCAAAAAAATCTCGTAATATTTAGCTCCAAATCGAATATAATCGTCATTTTAAAAAAATGATTTTTCCAAATTTAAAAAAAGAAATACATCGAAACATTATCGGAACACGACATTTCCGTCATTCTGAATTGTAGTTATCAGCTGTTTCCAATTTCGCGTCACATTGACGCCTTCTACAACCTTTTTCACCTTTTTGGATTGTTTTTTATTCGACTGACACGCAATTTTTGACGTTCCTCTCAATCCGTGTTTACGTCACGTCTTAGCTTATAGAAACGAAATAAATTAAGTGGAATTCCTCGTTTCTGCGAGCGGATTGACGTTGGCTTAGCTCATTTCCTTCCAAAAAACACATTGCGTCGAATGAATTACGTCCGGAACATTTTTTGATGTCTTGTTTTTGATTTTTGAGAGATAAGTTTTAAGGTATTCTTCCAAAAGTTTTTGCCATGGAATTTTCGAATTTTTTTCTTTTCTGGTTTTTCACTCTCCATTTCAGAAACCATGCTGTGAATGTTTTTTCCGGAACCAGCTCAAAAATTTGAATTTGTAGCTGAGAAAGCTGGTATATAATGTTTGGTTTTTGAAGTGAAAATCTTTTTTTAATATAATCTTGAGAATGAAATTTTTCAAAAAGCCTTTTTGTTACAGAAAAAGAAAAAAACTTTAGAAAAAAAATGCAAAGAAAATTGATACTAATCCGAAATCAAAGGCTTTGAATCGATTTTTGTTGCTATTTCAAAACAAAAAAACATTTACTTAACTTTGATGTTTTTTTCCGTGTGACTTTTTTGATCCAGATTGAACTCCAGTATCTGAAACCAAGATGAATTTTATTTCCTGCTGACTAATCAAAGAGATCAGAGTTCTCGTGCACCTCAGACATTCTCGAGGACATGCCAAAAGCTGAAAATGGCATATCCGGAGGGAAATTAGGAGAAAACCGAGCGACGCAAGTTCGCGTGACCTTTTTTGGTGCACCAGTTCCTTCGTTCCTCGGGTCTTCGCTCTTTTTTGAGTGGAAACAGAAAGAGAGCATCTTTGAAACGATGATATATTCATCAGCAAAAAAGCAAGAGAAAAGATGATACAACCATTTTTGGAAATGACGAAAAGCGTCAATGCGAAAGTTGTGATGAGAATCTCCAGGGACGGTGAATCTGGATAGGATTAAAGCGAAAAAATAAAGAAAAGTTCCTGCTCTTCTCTCTTTTTCTTCCCAGTGAGATGAAGCGTTCCCGGAGTTCCTCTCCTCCCAGCTTCCGCCTCTTTTTTTCTCTTTCACTGAGTGTTCTTTAGAGATTGTGCCTTTTTTTTCGAAGCTTCCTCGTAGTTTTACAAAGTTCCGTATTGCGAGATTTGTAGGTTTAGGTTTCAGCTTAACATATCAATAAATTTAGTACTTATCATTTTGATTTTTTAACGTAAAGTTGAAAAAGAAATCTTTGGAAAAAAGAAAAAAATAAAGGCAAGAAAAAAGAAAAAAATAAAGGCAAAAGTTCATGCTAAAAAAAACCGTTCTTATTAAGACTTGCAGAGAAAAATTTGTTCGAGCTCTTTAATATCTTTTCGCTTTAGATTCTGTAGTACGCCGCCATTTTATGCAGTTTTCCTTGTCTTTTTTTGCCTTGAAAGGTTTTTTTTTTCAAAATCATACGTTTAGATATTATTCAAAAATAATTTTTACTAATCTTCATTTTAAAAAAATGTTGCTTCGAAATGCATAGCCTGCTCTAAATATTATTAAAGCGTTCAATCGTGGAGACGTTTTCCATAATATGAATTTTATTTAAGAAAAGCTCTTAGCCATCTTCGTAAAATTCGAAAGCTCTATTTTTTTCTCGCTGAGAATTTTGGATCTTCGTATACAAAATTTCGCGTGAGAAAATTTCAACAATTTTCGAAAAATTTTGAACTTTTGCTGAACAGTGATTGAACTCGAGGAAGTAGTTCAAAAGTAGTGATCTCTACTCGTCGGCAAAGGACAAGGTTCGTTTGTCCTGAAAGGACGTGACGGCGGAGAGTGGGAGGAGCCGTTCGGCCTTCCTTCTCTTGGTGTCGTCTGTTGGAGCGTGTGTGCCATTTGTCTCTCTTCCCTTTTTCGAGCCACGCCTTCTCCTTTCCAACCCCCTCATTCTCGTCTCCGGATTTTCCATTTGAATTCGGTTGCTGGTTTTACTTCTCATTTTACTCGGGTTCCTTTCTGATCTCATCCGCTGCTCTCTCTTCTACGGTTCAATCTTTATTCCTAGTCCTCCAGGGACTTTGACGGTTGCGACGGACGACTTCCAGTACAACGCACAAGTGTATCTAGCCATGCGTGACTTGTTTTATGGTACGGATTTCCTTGAAGAATATTTTGTAAGATTTGTGTTCTTGCGCGCGTGGGCTTCTTGTCGAAATGTTTTAACGGGCTTTCTTTTTTGAGCTGCTTGTAATCATTAATTTTTTTATATTAATATCAAAAAAACTTTTTTTGCTCTTTTAACGTTTACAGTTGTTTTTTTAACTTCTTAAACTCGCTCTTTTATGAACGTATTGAAATTGAATCGGAAATTAAAACAAAAAAACAAGTTGGAGAAGATTTGACTGGACTAGAATCTGTTTTTTTCCAGAATTGGTGTTTTTTTCAATGTTTCCTTCATTTTTTTGCACTTTTTTTCGAGGTCGAAATGACGGAGTATAAAATTGTTTAATTTTTAATAAATTGCGAGGTGCTAAAAAAAGTTTTTTTGAACCGCAGAAGATTCCTTCAAGATAGAATAATCATATTTTTTTAAAGAAAAAAAAATTTTTTATATTAAAGATTGTTAATTTTTACAGCCCATACTCAGCTTTTTTTCAAAACTATTTGACAGATTTTTCAAACTAAAAAAAGTTTTTGGAAAAAAAGGAAATCTCATAATGATCGAGTTCCTCAAAAAGAACGAATCAGAAAAAAATAAAAAAATATAAAAAAATTCAATGATAATGAATTAATTTTTTCTTGATAACTGATCGATTCTGAATCAGAATAATTTGCAGGTGACATGGCTCTTGTAACGCATCAAGCGCCCGTGGGCTCGGCGACCTGCTACGAAAAGATGCAGAAGCCAGCTCCACAGCAGATTCCTCAGCAGATGCCGCAGGTACTTTTTTTTTTCCTTTTTTCTCTTTTGAAAAGTTCCATTTGTATGCGATAAGAAGGTGCCGGCTCAGGCTTTCATTGGTTAGTATAGTAAAGTTTGCCCAAGTTTGCGTGTAATTTGAACCTTTGCGGTCCTTCTCGGCGAGCACTTCCGTTGTACGAGATGTGTTATTTCCAATTGTTCGGAGGGATTTTCTTAGAGTTTCGATTTGTATTTTATTAGTTTATGCTTTGAATAAGGCTATTTCTGTGCTTTTTCAACGGCCGATCTCACAAATTGTTTAGTATTAGAATTAAAAAACAGTTGGAAATATTTTCGGATTTTGAAAATTTTTTATGAACTCATTGATAATTCTGTGCTTTTTTTCTGTGCCTCACATACAATGCTTTTGGTTTTTGTCCGGCTGTTTTTTTCTCTAAAACATGCCTTTTCTAAGATTTCTCCCTTTCAAACTCTGCAGATATTCAATTTTTTTTCTCCAGCTGAATGAGTTAATTAGGTTCAGAAGTGTAGTGAAAATTGACCCTGACATGTTGACGGCCGCTTTTTTCCCTTGTTTTTTGTGTACGAATTCCTTTTTTGCATACATCTGTGTTATTTTTCCCGCCGTTCCACTAACATGTGAGCTTTTTTTTTCGTGAAATCAGCAGATATTTGAAGAAAATGACTTTCATGGAAGTCGTCGAGTCAACAGTTATTCACGTGACATTAAGCTCCGGGGCTTTTTGGGGAAATTGAGGATTAGAGGAAATTTTCAACAGATTTTTTGGATTCTTAAAGATTTCGGGGTATAATCTTGAAGTTGAAAAGAACCGAAAAATGAGAAGTAGAGATTTTTCGAAAAAGGAAGTAGAATTGAATAAAAAGTTGAATCCTTTTGGATGGCTTACATTTAATCCCTATGCACTTTCTTCTCCCTTTCCCAAGTGAATGTCTGATCCAGTTGCTCTATAGAAGAGCGCGGAAGGGACGCCTTAAGGGATCGGTCTCGAGTCCAGCGGCTGCTGCCGTGGGTGTGTGTGCCGGCACAAGTACAAATCCACTCTCTCCCCCTTTCTTTCGCCTTTTGTGCTGGTCGGAGAGTTCCTCAGTTCACGCGCCCTTCGGCCTGGTACGGCCGTCTGTGGAGGCCACCGCGAACTGTTTCTCAACCAAATCAAACAATTTTCGGCTTTTTCAATGGGGATTTTGATTGGAAATTCAGTATTTTCTCGCTTCATATGGAGTCATTCAATCAATTTTGAAAGAAGAATACGTTTTTTGAAGCAACGTTTATTTTCAATCGTTTTATTAGCGGGATTTGACTTTCTGAGCGAATTTAGGAAACCAGGCGAAAATTTTTGACGAAAATTTCATTTTATTTTGGAGTAATTTCGTCCAACAACAAAAAAAAGCATCATCATTATAGAGGCCACTTTAGATTTAAATTAAAACAGTTTCCTACAATCTGACGCAATCCAATCTCAAAGTTACAATCGATTTTTTATATTTATTTTTTTTGATAAGCCGAAATTTTAATCTCTTTTGTATAATCTGAGACAGTGGAAGTTGAGAAAATGAAGCAAAATAACCAGTCTTGTCTAGAACTATAAAACGCTTTTTCACAGAAATTTTCAGATTTACAAAAGTTTTGAAACCGTAAGATGCGTATAGTATAGTCCAGAATTTGAATAAAACCTTCTATTCCTGAGGTTCACTTTTAATTTTAACTTTTTTTATTTGATATTTTTTTATTCTAGCTATTTTTAGCTCAGATTAGCCTAGTCTAGCCGAAAGCCTTTCGCTAAAACACTTTCAAGAAAAAAAAATCTAAGAAAAAACTGAAGACAAGGTGGTATCTCAACAAATGTAAATACAAATGGGCGCGAGAGCACAAACACAGAAGTTTTTGAACCAAAAGGTTTTGTTTGAAGATCCCAGCCGTTACATCACAGGCTTTCGAATTTTTTTATTGATTTTTTTAAAGGTTTTTCAAATTTTTTTAAATCGGGATTTTTCTCGTTTTTGAAAGCAAAAAAAGATAATAAATAGGCACTATCCTTCGAAAACTCCATTAAAATCTGTCTTAAGCTCCTTCAAAAAACACAACGAGTGTTTTTGACTAGACTATACATTTTTTCGTGAGAATTGGCGCGCTTTTTGTTTGAAAAAGTTTAGAGTGAAGAGACACAGAGAAAAGGAACGTTTTGGTGGCGCCACCCGAGGATAGCGCGATTTCAGACGGCTGCTGCAAGTTCGTAAAAGTGGATCCAGTGGAACAAATGTCCTTTTGATCCACTACTGATCCATCTGTTAACTCTTATCAAAATTTTGAAAAAAGTTTCTCTTAGTTTTTTTTTCGATTTTTCATTTTTCTCTTGAATCAAGCTTCATCTAGATTTTTCAAAGACCTTGAATATTCTGGATTTTTGGAATCGCCGCTTCTGATCTTGGCTCCTCCTACGATATTTCTGTCCACTTGGCATCCAAAAAGATGTTCAATTTTTTTTCTCTTTCATTCCTAACAAGGAAGGTAATACAATTTGGGCCTATTTCTAATTTCAATCATACTTTCGTGCTGTAAATTCAGAAAAAGCTTAACATTAAAGACATATTTTTGAGACTATAGGCATAAATTGAATGACCTCCCTTATAAGTACCCACTTTTCGAACCGAAATCACCTTGAAACGTAGTTTTTTGGTTACACTTTTCGATATTTACACAACCCTTTGGCTACGTGCCACACTATTAAAAACGTCCCACGTGGGTCTTGTCTGTGTTTTATTCGGAACGAAAAAGAAATACACGCGCCGAAAAGCACCACGTGACTTCTCGTGCCATTCCCTCACACGTCTTTTTTTTTCTTTTCGAGACTGGTTTCATCTGGAGCCAGTTGTTGAGGTCGTGTTCTAGATGCCTTTCTCCAACTTCCACTGTACTTTTTTTTCCTTTAAAAGTTAGGTTTTCTTGTTCGAAATTCGGTTCGAAAAGTCGGATTTTTTCTTTCTGTTTTTTTTTCTGTCAGTCTTTATCAACATAAGTGTTGATTTTCAAGTTGTTTCAAAAGTTATAAACATTTATTTAAGTTTAATTTTTTCGTTCAGTCTACACAACTATCTTGGAAGTTTTTTCAAATTCAACTTTTCTGAACGGTTCTAATCAAATCTCTTATCAAATCCTCTTTCCTTTTTGACATCGTTGAACTGGCCGAAAATGTCGTTGAAAGTGCGCTCTATCGATACGCTCCTTGTTTTTACGTCGACTACTCAATTTATCAGCAGAGGCCAGCCAGTACAATTGATACGTGAGAAACAGCGGCGCTATTTCAACGCGTCCAATGGAACACAACGTGGCTGATTTTATGCTGTAAAGAATCCCCGACTGGACTTTTTCCCCCATTGTTATTGTTGTATTATATTCTGTTACTCTACTTGTACATTCTTTGTAAATCACCCCATTTTTTGACCCGAGGAATGACCATATTCCTAGCCCTTTTGGAGAACTTTGTCGAGTACCTCCGTAAGATTATTTGGGTGAGTTTTTGAGCATACAAATGGGATTTTCAGTTGACTTTCTTTAATTTTTTTGGAAATATCAGGCTAAATGAGCATTTTCAGGCGGCTCATGTTTCTTCCAACGCTATTTTGGCGGCGGCTCAGCCTTTTTATCCTCCCCCCGTCCAAGACGCTCAGCCGGATCGGCCTATTGGTTATGGCGCATTCGGTGTTGTTTGGTTTGTTTTTATAACTTTCAAATTTGAAATCAACTTCTTCTAGTCATTTTAGTGGTCTCAAGGTCAAGGTCAAGCTTTAAATTCTACAGAAGAATAATCATTTTTTTCCTTCTTTTTTTCTGCCATTAATAAATTTTTTTCACCTTTTTTTGCAAACTTTTTTTGCTTTTTTTCGAGTTGAAACCTGTTTTTTTCCAACAGTAAAACTGCTAGAAAAACCTCAAAAAGTATTTTTTTAAATTGCTTCTGATGGTTTTTATTTTTTTAAAAAAACTGTATTTTTATCGAAGTTATTTTTTTACTGTTTCAGGTCGGTGACAGATCCCCGAAGCGGCAAGCGGATAGCCCTGAAAAAAAGATGCCCAACGTCTTCCAGAACGTCGCCTCGTGCAAACGCGTCTTCAGAGAAATCCGCATGCTCGCCTCCTTCCACCACGATAACGTTCGTCCACCTTTCTCAGAAAAATAAATAACCATTCTGAAATTCATAATATACCTCCAAAAAATGATTATTTCTTTTTTCATCAGCAGCTGAAACTCGATGTTAACAAGCAAATTTGCAGGTTCTATCCCTCCTCGACATTCTCCAACCTCCAAACCCGCACTTTTTCCAAGAACTGTGAGTTTTTCCTCCATTTTACGAACAGTACATGCGAAGCTGAGCGCTTTCCCTATTATTTGGCGACGCTTTTTGATGTCTCTCTCATATTTGCTCAGTCTATAGTCTGGTCATTCTTGTTTTTCATCAGCACCTTTCGGGAGAGAAGTCCTCAAGTTTTTTGCGGTTTCGGGGTCGTGAGGACGTTCAAGAGAAGCTAGTTGGAATTTTTTGAGACTAACATCAATATTGAGTTTCAAAGTAGTACTCGTTCGGGGAACTTCAAATCATTAGAATCTACAATTGAAAGTGTTTTCAGAAGTTACCCCTTTATTTTCTCATAAAGAGACATTTTGAACGTCAAAATTGATTAGCGTGATCTTTTTCGCCTTGAAAATAGGTTCGAAAATCAAAAGTTCTACAGTTTTTACAGTAAACCCTTTTGAGAGAATTCGGAACAACTTTCCCCGTGTTATTTATTGTACATTACAAAGCAGCGAAGACTGGTTTTTCTGTTCGATCTTTCGCCAAAGTGTTTCGATCACCCCATTTCTTCCAAATCTCACAAAGATTCAATTGGATGAGAGTGAGAAATACGAGATTTGGGACAAGGTTACGAAAGGAGAGTGACATTTTATGAAAATTTCACTTTTTCGTCGAATTCCAGACTTTCTCTCTTGTTTTCCTGCTCCTGAGGGATCGTATATCTATTTCCGGATCTCATAATTAAGAAAAGAGTCCTTTGGACATAGTGAGAGGCCAAGTAATTCCATAAAATGCGTCGAATGGTTGATTATGACCTTAGGTGCAAAGAGGCGGATGGCACCGACAGCACCTGTCTACTCGTTCCTTTTTCTTTTTTTTTTGGTTTGGGTTTTGAAGGACGGCGGTTGGGATTTTTGAAGATTTGAACAGTTGAATCAGGATGGTTCGTGTTCGAAATATTAAAGCAGCTCTTGAAATGAACTTTGAAAATAAACTTAAAATCATTAAAATAACGAGAAAAGGAGAACTGATCGGAATAAATCATCTTTAAATCATGGTTATATTTTTGGTTACTGCAGTGTTTGAGCGTAATATCATTTTTTCAAGGTACTCGAAAATCGAAGATTTCTTCAAATTTATAATTTTTCATTTTTCGAATTAGAACGCAAAAGACAACAAAAAATAATTTAACAACATTTTTCCTAGAAAAAAAAAAAAAAATCGTTTTTTTTGTTTCTAATTTTCCAAATTTTTAGATAATCTTGATGATTTCTCAATTTCAAATTTGGGTATAGACAAAAAGAGCCTTGAACCGGTGGCCGAGTACCATGATGTCTGGGTGGCACGCGCGTTGGAGTTTTTTCGGAGGTGATGGCCTCGAGTATTTTTGCGCAGGGCCAGTGACCTCAGACCTCCCTCAAATATCATCTGCTAGGGCGAATGGCACCTCGGCCTCCTCTCGAAGGAACGCCGTGTCACCCTGGAACACCGAGGCACCGCGACCTGAACCGCCAAAAACAATAACAAACTAGTGTGTCCTTGTCCTACCGGGGATTTTTAACTTAATTATCGCCCTAATGAGTTGTTTTCCCGGGAGTTATTGAACATCGAAATCGATTGAGACAGAAGAATTAGCCTCACTTTTTCGCGTATTGGCTCGAATTCGAGCCTCTTCTGCCCATTTTGAAGAGTTTTGGGCAGTTTGAAAGGCGCTGTAACGAGTTTGACCATGGCATCGTATATCATTGTTTAAAATGAAGCCGTTAAGTGTAAAGTCTCAGTCTTGGCATGTGCTTTGAACCAAATGATCTGGTGGGATCTTCAGAGGAAAACTCTTTTCAGAAAAATTGATTAGAAGAACAGAAAGTTCAATAATGATATTCCAGGTACGTGCTGACGGAGTTGATGCAGAGCGACCTGCACAAAATTATCGTTTCGCCGCAGTCGCTGACCATCGACCACGTCAAGGTCTTCGTCTACCAGATCCTAAGAGGTTCGATTTTGTGATGGAAAGAGTGATTTCTGAAAGGTTTTTTTTTGGGTATGATTCGTTCAATCGTCCGATATCCATCATGTGCCATTCTAATATCTATTCTTTATGAAAATCCCTCTCGAAATAAGAGACTTTTACTGAAAGAAGTAATTTTCAGGACTGAAGTACCTTCACTCGGCGAACATCCTCCACCGAGACATCAAGCCAGGAAATCTTCTGGTCAACAGCAACTGCATCTTGAAGATCTGCGACTTCGGCCTGGCCAGAATGTGGGATCCGAGGGAACGGCAGAACATGACCCACGAGGTCGTCACTCAGTACTATCGAGCTCCGGAACTTCTCATGGGCGCTCGACGGTTCGTCTTTTTCTCATTTAAGGGTTATCTAGGGAGTGGAGAACAAAAAAAATCATATTCATTTATTTTTTTCCAAACAAAGTATAGAATCTGAAGTTAAATGTTACAGGTACACGGCCGCCGTAGATATCTGGTCCGTCGGATGCATCTTTGCTGAACTTTTGCAAAGAAAAATCCTGTTCCAAGCCACCGGGCCAATTGAGCAGGTTTGTGCCTTCCCGAAAAAAACCAATTTATAGAGAAAAAAATTGAAAAAATTATCAAAATTCTCTCAGAAAAGTAAGTTTTTGAACAATCTGAACTTGATGTAGAAGAAAGTTTTTATTGGTTAGAACACTTTTTTTTTTCGCAATTTTTGACTTCGCCGCTATTTTGAATATTTCGTTTATGCATTCCTCAACTAAAATCGAAAAAATTTCATTTTTTAATTAAATCCTTTTCAGCTCCAACTTATCATTGACCTTCTCGGCACCCCGGCTCCAGATTCGATGAAATACGCCTGCGAAGGAGCTCGAAACCACGTTATGCGTTCCCCGCCAAGGCCCAACAACTTGAGCAGGTTTTCGGAATTTTTAAGTTTCCTGAAACAATTTCCATTTCAGCCTCTACCGCCTCTCACCTCATATCACTGACGAGGCCGTCGATTTGCTCATCAAATTGTTGCAGTTCGACCCGGTAAGATTTATGTCTATTTCACCAGTTTTTACAGTCTTTGAAATATCCTTACCAATCATTTGTCGATCGAAAAAGCTTTTAAATTTTCAAAATTGTTAATTTTTCTATGTCAGCTCCTGAATAATAGTTTATTGACGGATCAGTGTGAACCCTAAAGAACTCACTTAGGTCTAAACTTTCGAGAAGTTACAACATCACTTGATTTTGCGAGGAACAGATGAGAAAACTCACTGAATGGTAGATTGACCGTCAGTTTTATGATGACTGGGGTGGTGGATTGCTCCTCACAAAGATAGATAAATGAGGAGATTGATATCTTTTTGTTCTTGCAGGATCGCCGAATCACGGTGAACGAGGCGCTGGACCATTCCTACCTGAAGGACGGCCGCATGAGATTCCACTCCTGCATGTGCTCCTGCTGCTACACCAAGCCGAACTGCGCCTCGCGGCTTTTCGCTGTTGATCTGGATCCCTCGGTGAGCCAGTTCAACTTCACAGAAAGCTATTAGAATGTCATAAGCTTTTGTTTAGAAATATTTTTCATTTTTCCTCCATAATTTATATCTGAACTAATAGACGTGGGTGAAATTGGTTTTAGGCTGTATTTATAGCGTCTTATGATAACTAACTTTTAATCTTGTTTGAAAAAATAATACTTCAAAGTTTGAAAAAAACCATTTATTGGGCTTTTTTTAAAAATTATTTTGTTCTCAGATTATGGCTTTTTTTGAAAATTCCTGATATGGTATTTGGAGGTTCCGAAACCTTGAGAATTGCATAATCCCTCAAAACTTTACAGTAAAAATGTTTCAAACGGGTTATAGTTTAAACTTGACCTTTTTCTATTATGTCAGCGATACCGATTCTTTTTTTTCGTTTCAAATCAATAAAATGGCAAATTTGCAGTTCCAACACGAGCAGCCGTTCGATCCGAAGTGGGAGAAGGACATTTCCCGACTTTCCATGTTCGAACTCCGCGACCGGATGTTCAAGTTCGTGACAGAGCGACCGCCTCTCTACGGAATCCCCCTGACGATCAATCCGCAGTCTGCCGCCTACAAGAACTTCGCCAGGTTGGTTTTTACTTGATTATGATTTTTAGATTTCTCTGTACATCATCTGAAAGTTTTCAAAATATATTTTTTTTGTAGTTTCCATACTGGACTTTGATGTGTTTTTTCTTGACAATCCTTAACTTTCACCTATTTTTTCTCTTTTCAGCTCATCAGTGGCGCAAGCATCCGAACTGCCGCCCTCGCCCACCGCTTGGAGCTAAGAACTACTCTCCAATCTAAGGCCAATTTATTTTAAAACATTTCATTTGCAAATGTATATTTTATATTACCCACTTTGAATTTCGTTGTATAGTCTTTTTTTTTTTTCCCCCAAATCAGTCCGCAAATGTGATCACTTACATGAGGAAAATCGCCAATAGAACATTTTTCATTGTCAGATTTTTGTGTGCTCGTTTTATACTTTTCTATTTTTTTCTTGGTGGGGGACGTTTTACAATTATTATTCTTTCACCCCGAAATTGTCATAATCTTTTTTTTTCGCTACAATTTGATGACGACGGAACCGTAATACTCACTTTTGTTTTCCCTGGTGGATGGCTTTTTTTTGCCAAATTAAGCGATTTGTCCAATTGATTCATCCTTTCGTACTCGTGCTTTCAGAAAACGATTCACAAAAATACACCGACATTTTTTTTTGAAATTTTTCTTGTTGAATGTTTTCTTTCTTTCATCCATGTACACACAAACACAAGTAAGGCAAGTTCTTTCATTTTCTTTTCCGGTCTTTTTGCGATCTTCGAAAGACAAAATCTACAGAAAAGGTGTAGAAAAGTGTCTCGAAAAGCGCAAAAAGACTGTATTTCGATCTGATAAAACCAATAATCATCGTGTTTTTCGTATCACTTGTGATGATATCAAACCCATTTTAATATTGCCCCCATCCTCAACCGAATGTCTTTCAACCATTTGATTCATTGCGTGCTGCTGAATTGTCTTCCTTGTTTGACCCGATTTTCTGGGCTCTCTTACGATTTTGCCTTCTACCCACTCGCTTTTTCTCACCTTCATTTATGTCAGCGTGCTCTTGGTTTGTCGTCATTTCTGTCCCAGATATCTATGATTATATTGTTTTTTTTTCAAATCGGAATCTATCAAAAGTCGCCGCTGTGCAGCTAACTCATTGCGAAATGGCCTCTGTTTTATATGAAAAAAATTATCATTCTTTTTTTGTCTCCAACGTCCATCTTTCATTGTGTCTTCATTCGTTTTAAATAAATCTGATACGAGCTTCTTGAACTGTTATTTTTTGAAGTGTTCAATGCAAAAAAAGAGATACATTTATCTGGAGTAGACTTTTACTCGTGAGATTTTCGACACCAACTCAGGCACTAGTACGGCAAACCGGACGTGTCCTGAATGTTTCTGACAAATTTAGTGATCGCTCAGAAAATTCCGGTTCGCGTTACCAGTGTTGGAGACCATGCCAAAAATCAGATCAGCGAAGTCGAGATATGTACATCAAAAGATATTGTATAAGATTATCGAAAGTGAATATTTATTTTAATCGGCGATATGTCTCCGGATTGCTGTAGGATCGTAGTACAATAGGGTCTTCTGCCAATTTTTTGTGTACTTCGCTTTGAAAGTCGATCAGCGTCTCCGCAGCTTTTTCGGGTTGCTTCTCGCGCTGGAATCGTGCCAACAGCACGTCGCTCAGTCTGCACGGCTCCACGAACGTTTTGACGCCTCGTTTCTAGAAAAAAAGAGCGTTTTCTGAAGGATTCGACTGATGGAAAACGAATCTAAACGGATACATTTATCATAAATACAGTTTTTCAAGTTTCATGAATTTTTTTGAAAAGCGTTTTTCTCAGCCTTGACTTTGAGTAGGATGATTATTTTATGCAATATTGTTGGTCACTCTGATTAATAAATTCCTGCAAAATTTCAGATCAAACCAATTATTTTCAGCGGAGTTATCGTTAAAAAACCGTTTGTTGCCTCACGCATTCTCGCTACTGTAAGTTTTTTTTTTCAAAATCACATGTTAGACCTTATCCTTTCTATCAAATCTCCTCCATAGATCCGTGTTCTCTTTTCTTTCTTTTTCATACTTTTCTTCTTCATTCTTATTGTTTTTTTACTCTTTTTGATAGAAATCTAGGTTTATTTTCTCGACACGACTGACATGAGCAATCGAAAAAAGGTTCTGACACGATAAGAATAGAAACAGTGCCTGTTTGAGGGAGAGCGCAGACAATCAGAGCCATTGCAACCCAAGATATAGTCGATGTGCCACGACTTGAAATTTCATGGAACGACACTCCGTTGGGTGGCCGTGGCCGTGAAAGCGCCTTGCCTTTGCGAATTTCGGTCGCGCTTTCCATTTTTTTGTTTTATTCGAAATGTTCATTATTTTAATTATGTTGTAATAGTTTTCTTCGCGCCAAAATCATAATTATCTTTTCTAGAGGATAGACTGTTTCATTGATAAAAAAATAAAGTAGAGTAATTTTTCGAATTTTAAGCGAAAAAAATGCGTTTATAATATTTGAAAGTTTTTTTCATGAGATGGTCTTTGGTTTTTGTTCAATATATTCCGTTATTTTTACCTTCATTGAGCCTTTATCGACATTTCTTTTTTTCATTTCAAATCATGTAAAAAAATATTACAATCAGAAATAAAATACACAGTGAATGATTTTAAAAAAATTGAATGTTTCTACATTGACGAATTTTTATTTAAAAAAAAACGACTGCAAACAGAAAAAAAAACGATGAAAACATTAAAACATGGCTTAAAAAAAACACAGAAACTATTGTAGAATATTGTGGCGTTTCACCCGCAAATCCTTTTGGTAAGTCTTTGAAAACTTTTTTGAGAAACGAGAAAAACAATATCAAAGCGATTGAAGAATACATGAAGTTTTTCAAACTTTTTTTTAATCGCTTTTTTCGAGAAACATCATGAAATTTACTGTGTTCTTTCTTTTACATTTGTACAACGCAATCCTTTTCAACGATAATATTACATTTTAAAGAAATACAACAATAAAAAAAACGATCGAAATTAGAATGAAAACCAAAAAAAAAATTAGCGTGGCCGAAGTTGGCAAATTCGCCAGATGCGCGCTACCGCACAAAATCGAAACAGCGGAGTGTCGTTCCATGAAATTTCAACTTGTGGCACATCGACTATACTCCGAAATTTTTTTCACTATTTTTTTGAACTAGTTTAAGAGAGAAAATTGGGACGATGGGCCACCCTACAAGTCGTCACCGTTTGTAAAATTGGAATCCATAGACCAGCCGAAATAGCAAATATACATTTTGACTTTCACTTTTTTTTTATTTTTAGAATTTTTTTACTTAGTTACTACCTCAAGGAAAAAAAATATCCCTGGTTTTGATCATTATCATCTTTCGCGCAATCTCATTTTATCCGTTTTTGAATTTTTTTCGTTTCTCTTTTTCTATATACATCGTCTACAAAATAATTTTGACAAAGGTTTATCGATATAATTTTGAGGTGGAAATGATGGAAAACAGGCAAGAAGTTCTACTTGGCAGCTATCCAGGGAGCGCCATCGATTCGAGTTAGTTTCATTCTACTTTCAAAAGTCATCATATTCTAATGACGTGTTCAAAGTGATTCCGCGAGATCCGTTTTGCATTTTGAATCAAATCATTCTTTTTGTTAGTTTTAGTCATAGATGTAATCGACTAGGCGGTGAACAAGGACTTTTGAAGCTATAACGAACAACTTATCATCCTCTGAATACTGAAGCAAAAATATTTTGCAGCTGAGTTTTTCCTATCGGTAGAGACCCCAAAAGTTGAACTTTTTTGAAAGAAAAGCTTTTGACGATTTTGGGTTGGTTTTTTGAACTCGAAGATTTCCTTCTTTTGTTGATTCATAAAACGCCTACTTTTGAACTTTTGGCGAGTCTGACAGCCAACAACGTCGCCTCCTCTAGCGTCAAATCTGTCTTTGGCACTCGGAAACGCATTTCACGACGCGAAATCCGCAAAATGACTGCCCATGAGAACCTGGGGCCTTTTGATTTTGAATTAAATCTAGAGCAGAAATCCTTACGTTTCGTAAACTTTTATGGCGAACTCTGGGTCGAGAAAGTCTGGACCGTCGCTGAGGAACGTGACCAGCAGTTCGTTGTGTCTTTAAATCGGATATGTAATGAAAGTGCCAAGTTTTGTTACGTTACAAGTTGATTTTGTTCCCAAAAGAGCTTTTTGAAATGTCAAAACTCAATTTTTCCCGCGAAAAGAGTCCTACTTGTCAATGAAAGACTGGACAAAGTCGACATCCTCCTTGTCGATTCGGCCATTTCTGAGGAAGCCGATTTTGGTGCAAAGTTTTTCGCATTCGGCCATCGAATGCGAGGCCAGCACTACTGATCGGCTTTGTCTCGTCTCTTCGATCGCCTTCCAGATTTCCATTCGGGACTAAATGTTTTCGAAGATTTACTGATTTTGATTCTCTTGTCTCTGTATTTCATTCCATGTTCCAGAGTCTCTTCATAGTTTCAATGAAGTCTTTAGCTTCTCATATTAGGAGAATAGGCATTTTCAAGCAACCTGTTTTTCTAGGTAATGAAAACTTCTCAATTTTTCCGCTTTTTTCCAATATTTCAAACTGCACTCGAATTCTTTTCCTCATTCCGCCTTTCTTTTGGATCTAATATTTTTTCATCAAGACGTGTTCACAAAACTGAGTTCCTACCTTTGCGTCGATTCCCGACGTCGGCTCATCCAAAATGAGCACGTCGCTCCGTATCAACAAAGCTGCGGCCAGCGAAATTCTCCTTTTCTCTCCGCCACTTAAGAATGTTGGATTGGTTAAGTGTCCACTTTGGGAAGGATACCTGTATCTTTTGATAGCCTTGTCGGCGTGACGCAGCATTCCGACTTTGAGCAGGACTTCTCTCACTTTTATCCTAGCTCCGACGATCCCGTTCATCTCGGCAAGTACCTGAGGTTTGCCATTCATAAGTTTGACCAAATGTTTTCTTTTTTGGAATAGCATACTTCTAATACTTTGAAAAAAAAAAAAACTAAGTTCACCGTTTTCAAAAATTTTGGATTCTACGCGCGAACAAAGCAAAACTAGATAATCTTTCATTAACCAGGAACTTTCGAAGAATTAGCGGAAAAATCAAAAACAAAGAAAAACAGGAGTTTTCTTGCTAAAAAGGTGATTCGATCATTGCGGTGCAATTTTTATGAGAGCCATTTTTTATTACACTACGCTACAAAAACTCCAATTTACCTCCAAGTTCTCCCGCCCAGTCAAGTCTCTCAACAGCGCGTCAAACTGCGGACAAAACCCGATAGTTTTCTGCAAAAAGAACGAGATTTCTGAGCAGTTCTGACCATCCCGAGACCGAGAAATGATGAGGTCGGTCCCTGTAGAGAATCATCTCTCCTTCTGCGGCCAGCTGCCCCGTCAGAAGCTTCATCGTCGTCGTCTTGCCGGCGCCGTTGACGCCGAGAAGCCCGAAGCACTCGTTCTTGGCGACGTCAAAGCTGAGGTTCTCCACCGCCGTCACGCCTCCCAACGTCTTCCCGACGCCCTGCAACTTCTGATTTTCTACCAATTCATGTGTCAAACTTTGATATGCAAGGCGTCTTCTTCCGATTCTTCGTTCTCCGATCTGAAGAACTTCCAGAAACGCCAGTCGAGAATTATGAACACCCAAACGAAGAACAAGCCGAATAACAGTATTGGCAAATCTGAATGATTTGAAACTGAATCGACTTCTAAGACAACCAAAACCTGTATACGGATTGAAAATGAGTCCAGCGGCTTTCCGAGGGCTCCAAATCTCTTCGTTGATTAAGTTCCAGACGACTAACAGTGGAGATAGAATCGAGAAGGTTCTCTGAAAAAGGGAAATGTCCATTTCGAGATAACTTCTTCAAACATCGAAGAATGCCGGATTGGATAACCCCAAGTAGGCGTGGTAAAATCTTTGGATGATGGAAAAGATTGCGGCGGTCGTCATGAAGAAAGAAATGAGGAAGATTTCCGTCTGAAGCGAATCTCTAGAGAGTTAACTCTTGGGTACTCACCTTGTTCACAGAAGAGCTGCTCGATCCAACAAGATAGACGAAGGAAACCGAGCTGAGAAAATAAAAGTCGGCGATGAGCACGAGTCTGAAACTCAAGAGTTGTCGAAGCGGTCATTTTAGTGTGCATTTTCGACAAATTTACCTTACCATTCTCTGAATTTCTATATGATTTCGAAAAACCGAAACTAATATTTTGCGAACTTATGAGAGGTTCCACAAAGAATTTTTGCACTGTTTTTCAGACAATTCCTGATTTCTTAGTGAAATGACCTTCTTTCAAGCTAAACGGCTTAACCTGAGGATCTGACGAGGTTCAATAATCGCCAGCAAATAAGAACAGGACCAGAATAAGATGGAAGTGGTTGCCGTGTAGATGAAGAAGTCGACGAAAGCCGTGAAGAACCAAGTGAAAAATGGATTTATTCCAGTTAGAGACATCTGAAGTTGTTCTTCAAGAGGAAGGAGACGTCTGGGAGGAAAACCAAAGTGTTGAACTTTTCACTGTTCTCAATGACATGGATCCTGGCGGAAGACATGATGATGAGCAACAAAGAGAGAACCAGCCATGTTGGGGCCACCAACTGGACCATTTCTTTCGACACGAGACCCTGGAAATCACTTTCTGGTGCTTTTTTCTTGACAAGCTAGGTCATTTATGTGTGAAGTTAGGAATTTTTCGTCATATGTTCGAAATATCTCTCTGAACGAGTAGAGGAAGGATCCTCATAATTGTTACCAAAAGTTTGATTTTAAAAAAGTGATCTTCAAAAACAGGAGTTTTCGGACATTTCTGTGTTAAACACGCTTTTTAAGAACTCATACATAACTCGAAAACTTGAAGTTTGCGTAGGTAGAGATTATGATAAATCTTTTCCAATAGACTTTTTAGAATATTTCTAATGGTTTCCAAACTTCACACTTAAAAATATCCCTTAGGATAGTCTGAAAACCTGCTGTTCTCTACTACTGGAAGCACTGTAAGTGAACAGCCTTGGCCGAAAAGTAACATTTCTCCCGGCCAAAGTCGACGCCAACGCCTGGTTGTACATCGACAGCGCCACGGGCAGACATTTGAAGCAGCGGCCGCTGACGGCGACGGTCCAGCTGTTGTCCCGCGGGTCTCCCGCCAGGCCGAAGCCGACTCCCCTCTGTCAACTTCTTTTGTTTTCTGTATAAGGAAGTTCTATGCAGATAACGTTATCGATTAGAGTCAAACTTTGCGGAAACAACAACAGTTCAGGCCTTGCAGTTGAAATGTCACCCAGTTTTTCAAATTCACTCTGATCTTTTTTCAAGAAATACGCTGAAACGAATGGAAAAATTATATCTTTTTCCTGAGATCAGGAAGAAATCGGATACATTTAAAGGAAATAGCGTTTCTAATTGAAATAACTCGGAAAGTTTAAAAGAACTCCTTAAAAAAAGAATCAAGAAGAAATTTTTATTGAATCACCTTTTTTCATCAGTAGAATGTTTCTAGAAAGAAGGATTAATATTATTTACAGATACACCAAAGTTTTGATGTCTCACTAGGTCTCACTCTACCTGTAAAACTTGCAAAGGATCAAAAACTCACCGCATGATGTTTTTCGAGATCGAAGAGAGTATCCACGGCCCGAATCTTCGAGTTTAACCTCATTTTCAATCTTCAAAATGGTCAACTTACTTTCATTTTTGGAGTCTGAAGACGTCGGAAGTTTCGAAGGATTTCTTCGAACCTGGGGTCCTTCGAGAAATTCTCAGGATCTTGGGAAACGACATCAAAAGAACTCGTTAGATGAAATGTTTGCTCTGCAACAACTTGGAGCTCTTGACGAAGTTGAGGTTGAAAAACCTGTCAGAATTTGCTTCTGGAACGTCAGCCGTAGGAGAGCGGCACAAGCTAGAAGAATGAAAAACGGAAGGAAGAAATGGAAGGAATGGTAAGAGATGCCGCCTCGTGCGACCAACATCTTCTTCCTCAGGAGGGCCTTGGCACGGAGAGAAGACTTCCTCATGAAGCTTGCGTCTTCATTTTTCTGCTCTTCTCCGGTTCCGCCAATGTACAGATTGACCTAGAGAAAGGCTTTTTTAGTAAAGTCTGCTTGAATTTTATTAAAGGCGAGAAGTGCAGCCTGAACTAAATGAACAGTAAAAAAGGCTGGGTTTTTTAAACATGAGCGAAATCTTGAAGTTTCACATTTCAATAGACCTCTTATGGCTCAAACATTGTGAATGGTTGTGATTTTTTATGAATAACATCCAAAAAAAAACCTTCAATTCTTACCTGTATAGATTTTTCGGATTTTATGATATTTCATCAGTTTATAGCGTTTTTAGTGTCCACCTGAATTTTGAAAACAAAAAATTCTTACAGTGGAAGAGGACGCCGTCAGCGCTTCCTCAGCTTCCAGCAACTCCACTATCTTTGAAAAAGACATTTTCAGCCACTTTTAGCGTTTCCCACTACCTTGTCGAAAGATGAGGTTGTCATTTGACAGCTCTCCGGATCGGTTATCGATTTTAATTTTTGAAGAATAAGCCTAGAATCGATTTTTCATAGATCCGAATCTCTTTCGATGGCCTACTCTGAAAACACGACGTCTTTTGAATAGAATTCACATCCATTGTGTGTATTGTTTGATCCGTAGATGCGAGCCTGTATTCCTGGGCAGATCTCAGAAATGTACTCTTTGGTGACCCCGCGCACTTTTATCGTTTGAAACCTTCGAATTAAACAAGAATTATGATTAAGACAGCGCCAAACGGACCTGGAACGGAGACTTTGCGTGCTTTCGTTGGCCAAAATGTTGCCCTGGTGCATGAGGAAAAGCCAGTCGCCCAGATACTCGGCCTCTTCCAAATCGTGCGTCGACATTATTATCGTCCTGAACTGTTTCTTTCACTTTTCTGTATCCGTCGAAACCTCTGAGATCTTTCCTTCAAAAGCAAATCGAGGACTTCTTGTCTGGTCACGATGTCCACTCCCACTGTTGGCTCGTCCAAAATCACCACCTGGGAAATCGTCATCAAGTATTTCGGCAAAAACTCCCTTTTATCATATATTTTAAAGAGTTTCTAATGAATTTTTGATCCAAAACTTGGACTAAAAAAACTTCTTATAGATTAAAATTGTAATTTATTCGAAAAATGTAGCGCCACAATGAGAGAAACGGATCTTTAAAAAAATTTTTTTGATTATTTACTCGTTCAATTCGATTTTTGATTAATTTTGTCGCTTTACTTATTTAGTGTTTTTTTGAAAGCTTCCAAAAGTAAAAAATGGAATTTTCGAAAGTCGGATCTGAGATCCCCGTTAAATCACGGTTTTTCAACCCTCTGGGAATTGGTCATTGGGCGTTTGATTATACCAAAAATGTTTTGAAAAAAATCCAAGCCAAATTTTTCTTGTCTTCGCTATATATTGAATGTGAAAAAAAGATTAGTATAAAAAAGCCGGATAAAATTTGAAACATAAAATTTCTTTTTTCGACAGACCTTCGGATCTCCCATGAAGGCCATTCCAATATTGAGCTTCCGTAGCATGCCTCCAGACAACATCGAAGGAAACTGCGAAAATATGTGTCTTTTCGAAGAAAATATTAGATTTCGATACCTTATCAGCTTGATTTTCGAGTTTCAAAGCGTTCAGTATTTTTTCAGCTTCTTCTAGGCATTCTGACCGATTTCCGCCTTTCAATAATGCTATCAAAAGCAAATGTTCCCTGACTGTTAACCTGAAAAATATTTCGATTTTGACGAGAAATTTAATTTGGAAGACCTTTCGAAGGACGCGTTCGACTGCTGACAAATGCCGATTTCTCGTCGGAATGAAGATTCGGAATAGATTTTGCCGTCATCGACAAATTTCAGAGTGCCTAGGTTAAGATGTGAAACTGACTTTTTCTCATTGGATATTTAGAAGTTTGTAGAAGTGTTTGGAAATGATTATCTCATCTCTAATCTTTCGCGAGTTTTCAAAAAACTTCTGAAAGATGTGCCTACATCATTTTTTGATGATAAATCAGTGTCATGAAGAAACTTTTCTATCAAGGTAGCTAAATCACCAGAAGAAGGTCTCAGAAGGCCTGCAATTATCGAGAAAGTCGTGCTTTTCCCAGCCCCGTTATGACCGGCGAAAACCGAGATTTGTCCTTTCAAGGCACTCAGGGTGATGCCATTCACGGCTATCTCGTTAGTCGAAGAATATTTCTGAAATTGATAATTAGGAACTATTAGGTTGGTAACTAAGTTTACGACGATATTTTTGAGGTGTGTTTTTGGTTAGCTCCCGCGTTTTACTGAATGGACTAATTGTTCTGCCACTAGGCATGCTAGTAGGAGGAAAGTCCCCTGTACGTGAACAACTGGTAGATTTAGTCTCCTCATTGTTCCCCTTTTAGGATGCCCCATAGATTCATCCCCGACCGAACGAACTTTTTACACATACTTTTGTTTCTGTTTCTTTCTGACAGCAATCAACCTGCTAAAGAACGTCATATCAAGGACGCATAAAACGAGCATGCGCCCTCTCAAAGCACCACCAGCCTTTAGTTCAACAAGTTCTCGAAAGGAGTTTTTTCATGTCTGAAGGTGAGAGGTCGGGTCGGCCGTCCGAGTTGGATCTGGACCTGTTGCGGAACCAAGTTGAAGCTGATCCTTATCTAACCACCTGGAAATTGGAAGCCACACTGCGGGTGAGCCATGTCGATATCTTAAAAGGAATGACAAAAATCGGAAAGGTCCAAAAGATGGGCCGATGAGAACCCCACCAATTGACCGACTAAGACAAGGATCGCAGAGTCTACATGGCTCTTTCTCTTCTCCCTCTCCACAGAACGCACGGATGGCTGGACAACCTTATCACTGGAGATGAAAAGTGGGTCCCTCATAATAATGCTGAGAGCCGTCCTCAGTGAGTAGACAAAGATGAAAAGGCATAAGACGTCGCTAAACCGGCTCCACACGCGAAAAAGGTCATGTTGTCGGGCTGGAGGTCGGTTCGAAGCGTGGAGTTCTGGAAACTTTTACCAAACGGGACGTACATCAACGCCAACACCTACACTAGCCAGCTGCGAAAGCTGAGACTCAGCGTCGAAAACAGACGCGGGAATCAGGCCGTTCACTACTTCCAACATGACAACGCTCGACCACACACAGCCTGATCGACGAAGGCTGAGCTGGAGACGTACGGATGGCATGTTTTATCTCTTTCACCACACTCCCCTGACGTTGCCCCTTCTGAATATCACCTTTTCTCCCATCTTCAACGAGCCCTCACGGAGCAGAAATTCGACGACGAGAAGCAAGTCGGACCCTGGTTGACCAACTGGTTCAAGGCACAGTCCACCACATTCTGGAGGCAGGGCATTCATGCTCTGCCCAGGCAACAGACCATAGATGCCCATAAAAAATAATTCTGAAGTTTGCTCCTTTATTCCTCTACTAAACATAATAAAGTTTGTTTACACCAAAAATATCGGAAACTTAGTTACCAACCTAATATTATTTTTACTGATTAATTTAACTTTAACTAAGCTTTTTTTATCATAATGAAGACTGATAATCCAAAAAGTCCTCATTTTGACTGATTTTTTTACCAAATAAGTGCACGATAAGGCTGGTGAGAGAATGGATTAGAACGAAAAGAACTTGCCTTGAAGATGTCTTTGAGATGAACACCGTCCAGAGTTTCTAGGCGCTCGTCGATGAACTCATAGCGACTTGTGGTTTTTAAAGAAATACTTTTCTGCGTATTTTGGAAGAAGCTTCGTAAAGCAGTGAAGAGCTAAAATTTTTAAAATTTCTCTACATCCAAAAAAAATAAATGGTCACTTTTTCAACAATATACTTGGTTAATCTTGTGTTTGAATCTTTGGAAACTATTGGAAAATCGCATTCAAATTTGGTAGAGAGATAATATCAAGTAACATAATTAGACGTTCTAGAAACTTTCCCTGTATCAAGTATAACTTTTTATCTCTTCCCTTGCTCTCTTTTTAATGATAAAGGGCCAGTGCAGTCTTATCAATGAAAAAACCTGTGTCCACTTCATTCCTTTCGAATTGCACGCCTTGTCCACCAAGACAGTTGAAACGAAGAAAAGGAGACAAATGAACAGTTGGAGAGCCATCGCAATCCCACAGTGAAACTCTTTTGGATGGTCGCCAGCTCCGAAGACTGCATCCCAACTTTCAGCTGAACAATCAGGACTGCTAGGTTATGAAATGGAACCAAACATTTGCTGACGACGTCCCTCAAAGAGTTCATGACGAACTGAGCAGCGCCGTTGATGTTCAAAGTGTTGAAGAAGTTGCTCCAGAACTCGTCTGGTGACGGATCCAGCATGGTAAAACTATAGGATAGAATCCAGGTTCCAGAAACAACTGAAATGAGGAATTCAAATAAATTTCCTTAAAAAAACTTTATTTTTTTATCTTTATTTGAAAAAAACTGCTTTTTCTATTTAACAGATGAATAATCATCTTTTTGACGCAAGAGCTCCCAAACGAAAATTTAATTAATTCGAGGTTAAGATACCTTTTTGTAGAGCTTTCCTTCACTTTTTTCTTTGTGAATGCTTAACGATTTCAAAGCAATATATTAACTTTAAACGTTCTTTTCTCACAAATTCTTACCTATCACAGCGGCATCAGAAGAGAAGAAAAGCGCTGAGCCAAAAGCCCCGACTGTAATTATAGCCAGTTCGTAGATAAGTGCTTCAGCTAGAAGGACGAGTTTGAGAGACATCTGAAGATTCGAATATTCGAAGACGAGATTTCAATAAGATTCAAACTTCTAACTCGATGCTGATCGAGACGGTTGCGAAGAGGAATATCGGGAGATTCTTGAAGAAGGCAAAGACAATGTGGGAAAGGTAGAACATCGACGTCGACAGTCCCATAGCAGAGAGGGATGGCTGAAGAACCGTCTTCGCGTGTTTTCCTAACGGGAGAAAAAACTTTGCTGTTCTGGCGTTCGGCACTGATCCCGCGAACAGTGTGGAGCATGACCGAGAAGCCGCAAATGACCCAGAGAAGCGTCACCTTGGACGTCATAGAAGTGAACTTGTTGTTGACGATGAGGGGCTCGGTCAGTCTCTGCACGTAGACAGCCGGCAGGTCTTCCGTCTCGTTGCTGTTCGACTTTGAAATCTCCTGAGAAAAGAGACATTTTACAAAGGGGATTACAAAACCTGGACGAAGAAGGATTCAATGTTGAACTGCAAGGTAATGTATCCAGTAGGCCAGTACGGAGAGTTCGATGGCGGCCTTTAAAGGGTTCTTTGTCTTCAAAACTGTTTCTGAAATCACGTGTGAATATCGGCGTTCATCAGATGGCTTGGAAGCCATTCCGACGGCGATTCCCAGGATCCGTCATCTAACGTGTCCGGCAGAAAGATGCTGTACGCATAAGAATCCGCCTCCGAGTTCATCTCGACGTCGATCCCTCCGATGAACCTGACAGGCTATTCAGAGTCTTCTTTGCTTCTAAATATTCTTACGATTCACAATTGCTGCTCATCTGGTTTATTTCCAGGGTGGCGAGCATTTCATCACTGCTATCGAAAAACACCTTCAAAATTTCATTTCTCTCTCCAGCTGAATTTTTTTTTTAATTGGCTCGAATTATAAATTCAAAGACTGAACTATACGGTAAACTGTTCAATGCGGGTTCGAGTATAGACTTGACTCCAACCGCAACGCGACCGCGAAACTTTGAGCCATTCCAACCGCGACTACGAGCATGCATTTCAACGTACCCATTCGACTTTCATTCTTCCTTTTCTTTCCAGTGACTTCTTTATTTCTGTTGTCAGCCTCAACAACTTCTGGTCGTCTTCACTTCCTCTGAAAATGCTACATTCTGAAGATTCGCGTTCACGTTTCGACTGACTTCACAGCGAGTTTGTAGCTTCCATACGGACTGCAGCCGACCTTTCTGACTTGCGAGAGGATCGGCGTGCTTTTCTCAAGAAGGACTGATGGGTATTTCTCATTTTTCCACAAAGTTGACTCTGGCTGCAAAAACTTTGAATGTGTATTTCTTTTCATTTAGTGCTCGTTTTTTTTTTCAAAGGCTGAAGGTAAATGAAATTATATAAATTTCGAGAGAAAATTCACCCAGACGAGCATGAGAAGTAGAAGAGCGAAGACGAAAACCAGCGGGACGAAGATCTCGAAGAAGAACCAAAGAGGCTCGCGAAGAGTCGTCAGCCAGTTCTTCCAGGAGAGCCATCGGAACTGCCGGAGGGCCGTTGAAACCCCACCTGAGACTCTTTTTAAGAACAACTTCCTCAGATAGTCTCACCTGGTCTTATGGTCTTTTTTCTGATTTTCGGGACCATTGATCTGATCTGACCCTCAATATCTTGATCTGTAACTTAAAAGTTCCGAGCGAAAATTCTCAAGGCCACCTGTTGTTCTTCTTATTGGATTTGTGCCAGAAAAAAGTTGAGTCGTCTCTCCGGGAAAGTTGAATGTATTTTCGTCTTCGTCGGAACTTTTTTGTTCTTCTTCGCGCCATCTTCCGTTTGATTCTTTCCGCCAACGTCTCCCCCTGTCAGCTGAATTTCTGAACAACTTCAAGTTTTCATCATTTCCCAGCTGAGCCATTCGGCCACAGAGCTGGACCTGAAAGAAAGAATTACTCTTCGTGTGAAATGGAAAGAAAAACGTTCAACGTTCAACTCAAAGGTTGAAAAAAGTTCTCAAAACAGTAGAAAATATTTTATTCAAAAAAAAAATTTTTCCGGAAGAATACGTTTTCAAAGTTTCGCAACTGACATAAATGATGATGCCATCATCATTTTTTTTTCTTGTAAAAGAATGTTTTTGAAAAAAAGTTTTGCAAACTTAGAGAAATGAAAGAAAAAAAAGTTTTGATAAGGAAAAATAAATCAGATGATGAAACAAAAACGGCTTTCTCATAATAGTATTCGAAAACCTTGGAAGTGGTTGCGCAGCTCTTATCAGTGACCCCTCTGCGAGTCAAATTTTTCTCTCAATGCTCTCACAAATATCACGGGGCAAAAAAAAAAGGCGGTGGTTCTTGAGATAATTAGTGGAATTTCTTGTGGAAATTTTCTTTTTCAATATTGATTACTTCATACTACAGCGACCATTCGGAGAGCTCGTTAATCCCTTTTTTCGTTTTTTAAAAATTCTTCAATGACTTTTATCATTTATGCATCAAGAAGTAGTAGAATAGATACAAAAAGAGCGGTGACCGAGCTTTTTAAATAGTCGATGGTGGTTAAATTGAACTTGTGCCAAGAACCGCGTATGCACACGCTACGCGTCCCGCCCACTTCTCTGCCTCTCTCGCCTTTCAAGTCGAGATGGATTGACTATATCAGCAGCTACATTTTCCCGTCTTCTTTCAACAGCTCCTTTCTGCGGTTATTTTGAAACACATCTCGTTTTTCCGTATATTTTCAGTTCAGTAATAATCTACTGAGGGACATTTCTTCTCACCTTATAATCCGCAAAGTACCCGATATTTTTGAGAAGCTTTTAAAATTATCTTGTAGATTGTCACGATGAAACATTTAATACCAGCATTTCAAAATGTTTTTTTGTTCAAATGACGTTGATCAAATGTGTTGAAACTGATATTCTCGCGTTGATCACTGATAAAAAGTTTTTTTTTTCATCCATAGAGTTTTTGAATGTTTTCAAAGGGTTCATAAAATGTGAAAGACTGTTGAATGTTCAATTTATTCACAATGAAAACTAGAAAAGCATCTCGATTTCGTAAACACTTTTGAATGTTGCCCAAAAGTGAGGTTTCGAAGGCCTCATGGAAACTTATAAAATGTTTCAAGTTCTGTGTATCGAAGCCAATTTCCGAGCTACCTCCTGTAAAGAGCAAAAAAAGGCGCGGTCATCAGTTCAGAAAGTACTTTGATGATATTTTGAAAGTTGGTCGATGTTCGATGACCGCTATTATATTCCAAATACTACGAAACGATCACATAGCTTATAGCTGTTTGCCCTTATGGTCTGAACTTTAAATTCGGCGTATACGTGATCTATCAGATCGCGTGAGCCGATCTCACGAGCTTTGCGTAGTGAGACTCATTCCCAGCTGTTCAAAGCTCTTCGGTCGCGCGACTGATCATCAGATCGGTCGGGGTCCTGTCGGAGTCAGACAGGATCCTGGTGAGAACCAGGAGATCTCGTTCACCTGGTTCGAACCGAAAATCGGATCCAACATGGAACCGAGGTCTGAGGCCCTGTGATACACAACCCACAGGGACCGCGCTTAAACCAACGGAGACTGATATCCGTAAATTAAGCGAAAGTGGATCCGTGAAGGAACCAAGGCCCGGGGTCTTACTGACAGTCAGAGTCACTACCCGGACCAGAGCAACAAGAAACTGTTGATCCCAAATAGGACCAATCCTGGAACTCCGAAGTAAATTTCGTCGAGATCCGGGTCCTCGGGAACGAATCAGGCAAGGACAAAGAAGTTTGTCAACCTGAGGAAAACCAGTTGAGGTTTCCAGTAACAAACTGAAGCCGTTGGTTATGCCTATATCAGACACGAGGCGATTGGCGAACAGGAAGTGCAATCCTGAACTAGCCAGATGCATGTCACCTTGAGAAACCAGGGTTCGACTAGAGTCCTATGAAAGAATGCAGATTATTCAATCCATAAATCCGCAAGGATTCTACGCACTTTGATCATAGTGCTGAAGCTGAAATTTCTGAAGCTGAAATTTCTGGAAACATGATTCTGTCTGACGGTGTAGTACTTCTCGGAGAAGAGAAGGCGTCAGAGGAGTTTCATTGCGATCCTCGCTGAGTGAGAAGCGGTCATCAGAACCCACATTCCATGAGGAAAGAGGATAACATACAAGGCAGAAGTATCCGCAATGAAGCACAGAGGTATGCTGGAAAGCAGTAAAATATGCTGATGATAAGCCAGGTTCATAACTGGGCTGCCAACTCCAGGAGATACATACGCGCTCGCAACAAAGAGAGCGGTATCTCCAGTTCCTGAACAGAAGGATGATGCCGACTGATTTTAGTCGATTTGGAGATAATCCAAAATGAGGCATAGAGGAGAGTATGGCATAAGCTCTATAACCGAGAGAATCACGACGCGGTTCGTCGTCAAAGACGATAGATTCCTTGAACCTGGCGAACACAGTAGCGGAAAGAGAAGCTACTTTGCCAGTTCCTAGAGCAGGAGGAAGATACGATATCTATCGAATTTCTGAAAGCTCCGTTTGTTTTTCTAAACGTTCTTCATTAGAAGATAGGAGCGAAATACCTCAGAGAAGTCAATCATTTCAATACGATCCATAAGAAAGGATTTTTTCTCGAACAAGAGAAGCGGAGCGTGTTGACAGGAAATCGCACTAAAGCAAAGTCGCGACGCACGAGAAAGCTTCGAGCACTCGACCTCGCCAAGAGGAAAAAATTTTCCTAATTGTGGAAATAAAGCCAACATAGAATAGATTGAATCGAACTATTCCGAGATATTGAAGTTCAGGACGGAGGAAAAGACCTTTTCCCTGAACGTCAGTCGGTACATCACCACTGACAGACCTCAAACGTCTCGATAGGGAACAAGTTAGTTCCAATTGAATAGTCAACGAAATCGCTGTCGATTCCCGTCTTCTATCGATTAAATTGGCAATACAAGGAACTCCTGGCCAGAAGGAGATCCATTATCCTTTTGGGACAGATGAAATGTCCCAGAGCAAAACGCAAAGACTAAAGCTAGGGACCGCAAAGCCACGCCCCTTTTCGCGATAGAAAAAGTGGCTTTTTTTTGGTGTTCAACTTTCATTTTGCTGTAGTTGCAAAATATGTGGAACTGGATAATAAATTTTGGCACACATGTACAAAAAAGCTTCCTCTTTCGTTTGAAAAATATTTCACGCTTTTTTGATGCGTTCGCGCGGAATGTCGTACAAAAACGTGAATGGAACTAAAAAATTTTGTCGTTTTTTGCTTTTTCATGTGTTTTTAGGTCGAACGCATTCTTTCTTTTTTTATATAATGATTTTGATTCAAGTAACGGTAACTTTAAAATAATAAAATAAAAAATTCGTCTTTGCCAAAAATTTTAGGGAGTGCCGAATGTGATAATTCAAAATATCGTTAATAAGCGAATATAATCGAGTTTTTGTTTTTTCAAAATTTAGACCATGGGCTTACTTAAATTGTTCTCCACAGCATATGTGCTTGAAAAAGTTGTTTGATAGGCGAAAATGCTCTTGAAACTAGATAATAAAATTAGCGGCGTTTATCACACCGAAAGCGGTCGAACGCAGGTTTTTTAAACGATTATATACATTTATTAGTAAAAAATCTTTCAATTAAAAGAATAAAATAAAAAATTCGTCTTTGCCAAAAAAATTTACGGGGCCGTTTTAATGCAGCGATCGTTAAACGAGGCAAAAAGCACTAAAAAAATAGTTTTTTCGAAGTGAATTTCCACGAAAAGTTTGAGTAAAGATTTGCGAACATATTCTGATAAAAAAATAGCTTCATTACTTCTAGTTTTTTTCTTTTTTTGAAATAGGCAATCTGTGCTATTCAAACGGCTCAAAGGGTAAGGCGGATGGAAGCTCCCCTCGCCAGACCTAACAGCTTGGCGCAGCGCGTGCGCTGCGATTTTTCATTTTGAGGTCGCGAGTTCGATGCCCGCAAGCGCCAGTTTTTTGTTTTCTGGAAAATACCGACTTTTTCGGCAAACTAGCTGATTAGCATTATTTTTAGCACTCTATTATGATTTGTTACATCATAATAGACCAGTATCAAAAACTTGTTCTGGAAGAAAAAAATCGAGAAAAAAATGTCAAAAAAATGGATAATACCAAAATTTCAGTACTAAAAAAATGGTGCGCGGCGCGCCACATTTTTCGTCATAACTTTTTTCATCCTCAATCTTTTTCGAAAAACTAAACGGTTCTGAGTTTTGAATCGAAACAGCTATCAAACCATACAAAGCTCAATGCTGAAAAAATTTTTTTGAAAATTCGTCTGCGGTCCCTAACTAAAGCTCCCGAGCCATTAGAGGAAGAACGAGTTACCCTCCGTCCTGGTCAACTATTTGATCCGAGCACGAACCCTGATGGTTTCTCGATTATCACGAGTGTTCACAACCTCATGCTGGGAGATCATCGGGAAAAAAGAACCTGTTTCACCAAACGAGTGAGGGTTCAAACATAGAAGAGTCGAGTTGCTTTCGACCTCCTCCATGAGCTCATTTCGACGAACTGTAAAGAAATCCGAGCTATAATGGTTCTGGATCACAGAACGGTGGATTTCATAGACAATCATTGAGATCAATGATTACTTTACTTACTTTGATACTTTGATGGTCCATCTTCGCTGATGTTCTCAGCGTGGACCACACGTTCTCCAGGCGGCTCGGTCTTGCGCGACGGTCATCCAGTGGCGGCCTGGCTGACTGATGTTCTTGCGGAAGTAGTCCGTCCATCTGGTCGGTGGGCGCCCGAGTGGGCGCTTGATGTTTCTCGGAATCCAGTGTGTTAATCTCGTGGACCAGCGGTCGTCTTGTCTGCGGATGACGTGGCCGCCCCAGCGATGTTTCCCGCGTTGTATGTGCTCTTCTAGATCCCGGATTTGGGATAGTTGACGGAGGTCTGTGCTCCTCTGTTCTTTTTTCCACTGCTCGAAGCGAGTGGTGCCGATGAGAGCACGTTCCAGTGCGCGGTAGGAAGTTCGTAGGGCGGTTGCATTTTTTTCTTCGTGTCAGGCCAAACTTCGGTACCGTAGGAGATGGCAGGGATTATCGACGCTTCGAAGATGTGAGCTCGCAGTTTCGGGTCTTTCAGCTGACTGGTGACTTCTTTGATGGAGTTGAAGGCGGCCCATCCAGCGCGTTTGCGTCTGCCGATCTCTGCTTGCAGGTCGTTCACCATGTTTACTTCCCGGCCAAGGTAGATGTAGGATGTGACCTCCTGAAGGTCGCGGCCCTCAAGGGTGACTTTGCCTTGGTCGCAGAAGCGGTTCTTCATCCACTGCGTCTTCTTGACGTTCATCTTAAGGCCGATCTTCTTGCCGACTTCGTCCAGATCGTTCAGCATGGAGGACAGTTCGGTGGTGGAGCTTGAGAAGAGTACGATGTCGTCGGCGAAGCGGAGGTTTGTGAGGACCTTGCCGTCGATGTTGATGCCTCTGATGTCTGTACTGTCTTCCCAGTCGTGCTCTTCGTCCCATCCAAGTTGGCGCATCGCGTCTTCTAGTGCCGTGGAGAACAACTTGGGGAGATGGTATCTCCCTGGCGAACACCTTTCCTGATGGGGATCGAAAGCTTCTTGTCGAACAGCTGGATGGTCGTGGACGTTCCCTCGTTGCTGTTGGCGATCAGCTCGACGTACTTCGTGGCGACTCCGGCGGAGGCAAGAGCATTCAAGACGGCGTTGATCTCCACGCTGTCGAAGGCCTTGTAGTAGTCGACGAAGGCCAACGCAAGTGGCATCTGGTGCTCCCGGTGCCGTTCCACCACCTGGGTCAAGGCGTGGATGTGGTCGAGGCAAGAGTAGTTGCGTCGGAAGCCAGCCTGCGAGGGCGGTTGGAAGTTGTCGAGTTGCTTCTCTAGTCTGTTGACGATGACCTTGGTGAACAACTTGTAGACGACCGATAAGAGGGAGATCGGTCTGAAGTTGTTCAGGTCGGTGAGGTCGCCCTTCTTCGGAATGAGGATCGTCTTGGATGTTTTCCATTGTTCAGGAATAGAGGCTTCGCTCAGGTACTTGGAGAAGTGCCGGGCAAGTAGTCGGTACAGCGAGTCTCCTCCAGCCTTCAGCAGTTCGGATGAGATGTTGTCGGGTCCTGCGGCCGCTCCGACCTTCAGCTTCCTGATGGCGTACTTGACTTCTTCGGGAAGGATCGGGGGTTCATCTTCTGGTGGCGGCGTTGGTGTTCTGGGGACGGGAACGTCGCTTCGAAAAGAGTTTCGTGTAGAAGTCGACCGTCAGGCGCTCCATCTCGTTCCTTGACGTCTTCAGCTGGCCGTTCTCGTCCTTCAGTGCTGTCATCACCGTTCGCTCGTCGACGAGCTCGAACTTCTTCTTCTTGAGGCTTTGACGTTTCTCAGCTGTCTGAAGAAGTGCACTCCTGCGTCGGTTGGCTAGAGACTCTTGCACGGCCATTCTGCAGGCTTTGTCGATCGTCAGACGTTCTAGGTGCGTGGCTTGCGGGTCTCGTTTGACTTCTCCTCTTCTTCGCAGCAGATCTTTCGCTCGTTGGTCGAGTCGCGGCGGTAGAGACGAGGTTGGTCGAGCTGCAGGTTCTGCACATCTGATGAGGCCATCGCAGAGGATTCGTAGTCGGCTGTCGGGTCGTCGAGAAGCTGCCAGTCGTGCTCCGAGATCTTCTCCTCCAACGTGGTGATGTCGTAGGTTGGTCTTCTCGGTCTCGATGGCTGGTGGTAGTCTTTCTTCAGGAACTTCTGGTTCAGACGGACCTTGGCGCGAACGAGTCGATGGTCGGATCCAACGTCGAAACTGGGTAGTACGGCAACGTCGAGGAGAGACCATTTCCGGTTGGCCAGAATGTGGTCGATCTCGTTGGTGGTGTCTCCGTTGGGCGATTTCCAGGTCCAGCGTCTCCGATCAGGCTTCTCGAAGAGAGAATTGCCGTGGTAGAGCCTTCTGGAGTCGAGAAGTTCGGCTAGGCGTTCTCCGTTGTCGTTCGAATTCCGAGTCCGTGCTTCCCGTGACGAATCGAGGGAGTGGCGCACTTGCCCATCTTCGCGTTGAAGTCACCCAGAACGAAGATGTAGTACGCCTTCTCTCGTTGGATCGTTTCCTCGAGCTTCCGGTAGAAATCGTCAAGTTCCTTTTCCTTCTCTTCCCTTTTTAGCCTTAGATTCGGCTTCTGGTGAGGTCGGCGAGTAGACGTTGATGATGGTGAGTCTTCCTCGTTTTTCCTAGGTTGAGTCGGAGGATGCCGAGGCGGGCGTTGACGATTTCGTGCGAGTCGACGAGGTGTTGGACCGAGCGATTGACGAGGAAACCGACGCCGCCGACGTTCTTCCCAGGGACTTTGTGGCCGAGGATGAGAAGTTCACCGTTTGGCCAAGTCTTACAGCTGGTGTCTTGAGATTTTTGTTTCCTGGAGCGCCACTATGTCGATGAGTGCGTTTCGGTTTGCCGCGAGCAATTGCTCTTTTTGCTGCATCGGAAGCGAGCGAGCGGCAGTTGAGGGTTCGAAACGTAGACAGTCACCGTGGCGCGTCCGTAGTCCGTTTCTATGGTATCCTGTTGCTCCGAGATTTGATCGCCCCTCGTCGGCAGAGGCAGCCCCCGATACCGGAGAGGCGCGTGACCGACAGGGCGGAGGACTGGGGCCGTCTTGTTGAACGTGTTTTTAGCTTTTTTTGTGGTCTGGTTATCCTCGTTGCCTTGCCAGGGCTAGGAGGACCGCCCATTCTATTAGCATAAAGCAAGGCGAACTGCGTGACCGGTGTACCGTTAGCCGCCATTTATGACGTTGCCGCCATAAATGGTCGTTGATCCCCATCACCGCGGAGAGGTGGTACATGAAGGAGGATCACTCAGCCGACTAAAAATGGAGGCTTCGTGGAACTGAATCAAAGAACAACTAGCAAAGTTGGAACTTGATCCTTCGGCAAGATTCAAAGACGTCAAGTCGGAATAGATCTAGCATGCCAAAGTTACCTCATCACTGACAAGGTGACACAGACGCTCATAGAGACGTCCAGGGATAAAGCCAGGAGATCGATCTCAATCACTCATAGATGGCTAGACCAACCGGTTACTGCATTACAAGAGTAAATGATGGTTTGGTATGTCCCTTTTCTCCGCAAATGTTGAAGTTTAGTCAACGGAAGGAGACAGCCTCAGCCTCATCTACATGAGCCAGGAAAGCTTGAGCTCACAAGTATAGCTGACGTATCAGCGATCTGGACAAGAAGAGGTTAGCAGAGAACAATCAGAGTTCCGAGAGTGCACAGGCCAGAATACTGACAGACAGTATGAAGATGCCTTGAGAAACAAGTTTGCCTACCTAAAATAATGAGGATCTACTCATTAGGTAGAAAAGAGTCAAAAATGCGCAAACTTACGCTCGGATCTGATTCGGATCACCAGCTCTCCACGATGAATAAGTAATGATCATCGCGACGTGGCATAATACATGCGTAGAGAGGCGGGTCGTAGTCCACTCTGGCAGAGAGACAGTGTTAAAAGTTCCAAAGATCCTTCGAAACCCAACAATTTGCATCAAATTGTATATTCCCTCGGAATCCGAACCATTGTGTGGTTCATGGGTTGAATGAGGTATCGAAATCAGCAGCTTCCAGGAAAAGGAGCGATGATGCTGTATACGCTAGAAAGGCGTGAAGGATCGTGGGAGCCATTCCAAGGAAGCTAGACCACCTCATGACCAAAGAAGAGGGTTGAGTCGCTGCCAGCTTCAGAAATGGAAGTTAGGTAAAAGTTGGAGGTATACAACTGAAGGCAATCTCCGAACGAAAAGGTTCAAAGAAGAGAAAAAGCTTTACCTAAAATCACTGATCTCGAAAACGTACAATTTCTGCTTAACCAGGAGCAGTTCTCATGGAGAAGGAACATTTCCGCAGTTCATACCCAACGAGTCCAAAGACAGGACTCATCAACAAATACACATGTACGTTGCTCGAGGCAGAGGTTATAAGCGGATAAGCCAGTAAAAGGCTTTATACACGTCGATAGCTAGTACTGACGGATGATCTCCGAACCATGGAGATGAGAATCGCGACAAGGAAGGGGTTTTTCTAAACAAGATCTTCAATGGTGGATAAATCCTCGGTCCGATCGATGCTCGCGAGCACATCTGTCGAAGCTTTAAGAGCCACAGCCTCAATGTTGCTTTAAACTAGCTATGTGATCGTTTCGTAGTATTTGGAATATAATGTTATATTTTGCTGAGACAACGTAGTTGTTGAAGTAAAATATTTATTATATCTAATACGTAGAAACGATCAGATATCCCACCCAGTGACCTTCGAAAGATACAGCTTAAAAGGTTCACTTGATCCCGCCCGGACATTGAGGCTTAGAAGTGGGTCAGCTCGAGCGATCCTCATACATCGGCTTGGAGCAGGCATTAAATTGCTATTGAAATCGTTCGAAATGGGTTCCAAGAGTTTGAACGCCAGGAACAAAGGCTCAAGGTTCAAGGAAAAGGGATACAGTACCGGTCACACCACGAGAGAAAAAGTGGGCAGGCGCACTTTCATAAATTCTCATAACTGAGAGAAGTTTGAAAGCATCTCCTTTGCGCTAGACAGGCAAACCGCAATGGTTTACCAAGGTGACGGGAACCCGGCTAGTTCATTAAGTATATCTGGTAAAGAGTACGCGTAAGGAACGAAGAGCTTTGAACAGCTGGGAATGAGTCTCACTACGCAAAGCTCGTGAGATCGGCTCACGCGATCTGATAGATCACGTATACGCCGAATTTAAAGTTCAGACCATAAGGGCAAACAGCTATAAGCTATGTGATCGTTTCTACGTATTAGGATATAATAAATATTTTACTTCAACAACTACGTTGTCTAGCAAAATATAACATCATCCTCTCAATTTCTTCCTGTCTTTTTCTTTCCAAACAAACAAACTGTTTACCACATCAAACTTCTTATCACACTTGGTAAGAAATTTTCAAAAGCCAAAAGCCGACAGTGAACATTCTCGCATGCTGAACAGGGTGACCCAGCCGTGCTAACACGGGGTCTCCGCGGGTGCCCCCGTATTAAACCCGTAAAAGCCCAGCTGATAGACCTTTTGGCCGTTTTTAGCCCAACTGAGACCCCGCTTTAGCCCAGCTGGGTTACATATTTTTCTTACACCCGTTGTTCCCCGTTTTAGCCCAACTGAGACTAAAATAACCTCAGAAACACGGGTTTAAAACGGGTACACCCGTTGAGAAACCTGCTCAGCATGCGAGGTGCACAGTGCGAGCACTGATTTTGCACTTTTTTTGCTGCACGGTGCATGTTGTCGGTTTGCACCAATTTTGGATCTTTTTTAGTGCGGGTGTGGTGCAACACCGCACGGTGCTGACATTCTGAACCACAAAACTAAACATGCTTTGCTACTCAATTTAGGCCTTTTCTTTCTCCATCATCCGACTTTTCTAACGAAAAAAATCACTACTAAAACGAAAAAAAAAATATAAATAACATGTATAACTGAGAGAAATGGGCTGAATTGAGGAGATTCGGATAACCAATTTTCTGAATCAGAGTGTCAGCACCGTGCGGTGTTGCACCACACCCGCACTAAAAAAGACCCAAAATTGCGAGGTGCAAAACGACAACATGCACCGTGCAGCAAAAAAAGTGCAAAATCAGTGCTCGCACGCTCCTTGTAAAGCCTGGCCGCTATGCGAGAGCATGCGAGTTCTCAATTTTCTTGGGTCAAGATAGTTGACTTTTTTGGGTTGAAACGATCTTCACACTTTGAACAGTTTCTTCTCTTTGAATCAAAGTTCACTCACGTTTTTATGTTTTCTTTTTATAAAATAACAAAAAATGATGAAAATTCACGGGAAAAAGCAAGAAAAGGGAGAATTGAACGTCCATTCAAAACAATTTTACTCATGTGAAGTGCATGTTTCAAAGAAGAATCCGATGATTTTTTGAACACCTTTCAAATTGTTACGAATCGACTATCACTTCAAAATACAATCTATTTTTTTCGCGGCTAGAAACTGCGGCATTTGCGTTCGCGATACGTTTTTGGCGCCAATTTGAAACTCCTCGCATTTTTCGATTCATTTCAGGTTTCTTGTTAATGAGAATAAATTATATAAATCTATTAATTGTTTTTAAAACAGGTGTTCTGGCAATCTTTATTAGCTAAGTGTAGGCGATAATTTTTGAATTGGCGCCAAAACGCATCACAACCGCTTTGCCTATGAACGGCAAATGTCCACACTCCGTCGTTTCAAAACCGAAAAAAATGCATCTAGTGTCACAAAAGTTTTCACATGGACTCGTTGCCCGACTCGCTAGATTCTTCATCGGAACGTCTTCGCAGATCCCGTCTCTCGAGCCGCTCCAATCGTCGCTCCTCCCTCCGTCTCGCTCGTTCCTGCTCCAGCTCCTCGGCTCTTCTCCGCGTTTCAACCTCCTGCTGCTCCCTGAACTGCCGGAGTTGCTCCTCGCGACGCGCCGCCGACGCCATCAAGTGATCTTGGATCTTCTCCTGTGCAGCCTCGTGTTGTTGTTGTAGATGTTCAGCACATCTCTCGTCCATTTTCTTCAGAAAAGACTCCTCTCTTCGGTTCATTTCGCTTGCGAAGCGATCTGTGATTCTTTGGAGGTCTTTCTCCAAATCGGGCAAATCGATTGAAACTTTTCCTGCTTGATCTTTCTGTTCGGATGAGTCATTTCTTCGTTCAGTTTCAGTTTTATTTTCCACTTTCGAATTTTCCTGACTAACCTCCTTGATCGCCTCTGAAACACGATGACTCATAAAAGGTCTTATCTTTTTTTTTTGAAGGGATTGCAAATAAAGAACATGGGTGAAAATGGAAGAGACCTCGAAAAAAGCGGGAATTCCTTCATTTATGCTTAGAACCACAAAAGTTTCTGAACCTCATTATTTTTGAATACTATCTCAGTAAATTCATATGTTCAACATTAAATTTTTTTTTATAGATTTTGTGAATCAATTATTAATGATTCTCATTGAAAACTGGCTTTATTTTCAATTATTTTTTAAAATAAAATAATGGTATTTTTTCTTCCTCTTTTTGAGCCTTTCGATTGATATATGTGAAGTCTTGTCTCGAATCAGGTATCGAGAATTTCTTTCAATATCTTTTCAAACATAAAAAAAAGAAGAATTTTCAACGAACCTTTCAACATTCCTGCTAGCTCACTCATTCCGTGCCTGTCTTTGAGCACAGATTATCTGGAAACTCCCAAAATAAGCCGGAATGGTTTTCTCAACGAGCGAAAAGTAGGAAAAAGTTGTACAGTTGGGAAAGAGAGAGAGAGAAAAGGGAAAAGAAACGAGGCGAATTGCAAATAGAATCAGCTGCCCTGTCATTCCGACGACCGGGGACCGAATTTGCTGATAACTAGAGGTCACTTCGAAGTTCTGTTCTCCCGTTGAGCGTAAATTTTGGAATACTTCTCAAAGTTTATTAGAAAAAAGTTTAGAACTGTTCTTTGCTTTGAGTTGTTTAGGAAATAGTCTATTAACCTCAGCTCAATAGCACGATTTTTTTAAAACAGTAATAAAAAATAAGCTGATCAAGATGAAAAATGTGCAAGTCGAAAAAAGCGACGGTCAGCAGAATGAATTTATCAGTCAATAAATACACCCTTGAACAAAACAACCGGCTCATTTATGTTTTCAAAACAAGCATTTTATTTGAGGAACAGATTCGAGCCAATGTACAGTTCACAAATAGAAGTTATTTACAAAAAAGGATTATTCTGAGCAATCATCGCATAAATCCTCGTCACCTTCTGATTTATACTTCCGATAGGTGAACGACTTGGCGCACTTCTGACACTTGTGGACTTCCACGTCATGGTGCAGTTTGTCGGAGATTTTGTCGGCGGCGAATCTCGAAGCGCTGCTGCCGACGAAGCCCCCAGCGATGCCGCCAACGATGCCGCCGATCAGAGTCCCAACTCCCGGACACAACATACTTCCGACCGTTGCCCCTAAAAAAGAACAATCGAGTTGGAATTTTGTGTGTCGAGGCGATTGAATAAGTCAAACCTCTCTTACTATCCAAGCTTCGTCCGAATTTTCCCTTTCCTTAAAACATACCAGTGATCGCGGCTCCCGTGCCAACACTCCATCCGCCGGCGATTCCAGCCATTGTTTTTGTCGTATTTCGCGTCGTTCCGTGACTGACGTCGTCGGCCACGTTGACGCCAAGTCGCACCGAATCCACCGCGACCGCGACTGCCGTCGCCGCCGGAGTCGCTGCTGCCACCACAGTCGCTATTCTGCTCGTCTGAGAATATGTCCATTTCACTTGCTAACTGTAGTTCATTCGAGGCTATCTTGAGAAACTTTTTGAGAGTAGTGTTATCCATATACTGTTGGCTAAAAAGGTTTTTAGAAGCGCTTTTTCCGCCCATCTGTTTGCTAACCATGTAAAAAAATTTATCAAAAAGTTCAAAATAGCTTGGAATTGTTGAAGTTCAACGTTTCATAGCTTTGGAATTTTTAAAAAAATGAATTTTTTTCATTTACTGCTTAGTAATAAAAAAATATTATTTCTATTTTTTTCGACTGTTTATTCATGACAAACTCTGTTGTTTTTTTCATGATAAAATTTTTTAAAGAAAAACTACTTTAGATGTGACTTTCCTAGAAAAAGAGTACCTCGGACATCGATCTCACCGAAGAGAATCATAAGAAATGATGACAGTTCCACGTTCTTTTCTTTTTTTTTCTGAAGAAAGTTCAATTTTCCTTTGAGAGCATTCATTTAATGCCGAACGTTTTTCGTTAAAAATGTTGGAAGATTGGGTTTTGAGGAGCGCTCAGCTGTCTTCGTTCTCGAATTTCAGACCTTCTTAAACGGGCGCCGGCAAAATAACACGCCAAAGGAGATAAAGGATGTGCGGAATTCGATTTCTTTGAGTCGAAATCGAGGCGTTTTGAGAAGGTTTATCCAATTTCAAGCCACGTTTAGAAACGAGAAGGGGGAAAACTCAATTTTGATTTGTGTCGACCTGCCAGTTCGTCTACACTAAATCTTTCTTGGACTATGAAATATGAATCTGAATCTATTTATCAGAAACTTAACCATTTTAAACTTGGAAAGCCTTAAAAACTGTACTCTGAGCGCCACGCAAGAGCGTAAAAAAAGAGTTTTCGATGGGGCGCCTTTTCGTTTTTGCGCGGTTTTTGTTTTATTTTTTTTTTTGTTTTTTTGAATTTGATTTTTTCAGACTTTCAAGGACGTTTTCTGATTGAATATTTTTCTTACACGCCCAAAGACCATAGCGTCAATTTTATTTTTAATCGTTCAAAGTTTCTGAGCCTCAAAACAAGAGAAACAACTTTTTACACAAAATCGTTTTTAAATTTCTAGAAATATTCTTGCACTTCAATTGAAAGTTAGTTTCTTCGATTTGAGTTGACATTGATTGATTGATAACCTTCAATTTTTTTCGCGTGCCTATTCTTATTCTCATCTTGAATTTTCTTATTTTGAAGGCTGCTTTGTTTTGCATGAATGCGCATTGAACTGCCAGACGTTGAGAGATGCCGACTTTTTCCGGTGGCTGATTTGTAATTGAGCCATTCACGAAGCTCCTCTCTCGGCCACACTCCCATTGAGTTGAAAACGTCTTCTTGTGTTCAGTTGTTTCTTTTTTGTTTTCTTATCGAGGTCAGTTTTTTTTTTAAGTTTAAAAGTTTTTCTTTCCTTTCCGAACGGAACGTAAGTGCGCATCGCCATTTTTAATAACCACGTGTGCCCTGGCAATTATGCAAAAAGCCCTGGTCGATTTTCTCATTGTTTCAAAATTGCTGCAGTGCGCTGAGGAAGAACGATCCTTCTCGCTCAACCCAATTTGCTGAGAAACTGGCGTCTCCAGTCCATTTTTCGTCTAGAAATTCAATTACAAACGCGGTAACGTTTACTTCTTATTTTTCTGTCGTTCCGAGAAGAAAAAAACGCTGATTTGTCGTATATTTTTGACGATATCTTAAGCCCGACCAAAACAAGGAAAGGCTTGAAGTTCTGAGAAAGTAATCGGCACTCTAAATTATGCAGTGTTCGTTTGGGATTGGTTTTTTTCGTTGGTAGCCGCGTCTAATTAAGGCAAAAAGGGGAAGCCGAATGGAAGTAGGCGCCGCCCCACGACACTCGACCTGAAGCCGTGCCGATGGACGACTCCTCGGAGCGACGTCGTCATCCGAAACTCGGAGAGATGGTGAGTCACACTGTGGAAGACTTTTCAGAACATGTCTCGAGGCGCTTCAGTTGATGGATCGACAAAATATCAATACCGCCTTCATGAAACTTTTTCTTTTGGTCTTTTCAGTCTGATCATCGTAATTTACTCAAATTTCGAAATTTTCAAAATGAAAACTGTTTCCTGTGTTTTTCACGACTTGAAACGTGATATTTTTATTTTTTAGCATATAGTCTGCAAAAATCTGCACAACTTTCTAGTTTTCCAGGATCAATGGATCGAAGCCCGAAAAAAAAACCTATTTCAACGTATTTTGACAGTTTTTTTCGAATTCAAAGTTTTTTTTCTCGAAATCTAAGTAGTAATAAGGTCGGGATGGTCAGGGTTTTCATCTAGTGTTTCAAATAGTGTTCTGGCCAATTTTTGGGAAAATCCCAGCCGAATAGTAAAATCACTCTCTTTGTCAGAAGTACAGCGAGGAATTATGAACAGTTCTCAAAGTTTATTTTTCTCGATTGAATTCACTTCCTCTTCCATGTCTCAGAACATTTTCTGAGTTGCTAGTGAATTCTCTATTCATAGACGACAAAATGTGACGCCTTGTCATTCCGCTTTGATAGGGCCATAAATGGGATGAGAGACCGAAATTTCGGTAAATACTTTTTCCTTTGATAAAAATAATTAATCGTAATCATGCAGAATTTCTGAAAGGTTTCAAACCTTTTATCCAATTTTTTGACTATCAATTTTTCTAAGTCCTGACTATTCGACGGCTAGAGCCTGAGATCAGATATGTTTAACACCCATTCACTTCAAAGTTCCAAAAAATCGTTCCTCGACTTCCCTCCTTCTCTTCATACTAAAGTCTTTCATGCGTTCAAATCGCAAAACTTCCTCCAAGCTCATAACTTTTTTGAACCTTTTTTCACCTTGCACTTTTATTTTGTAAAGGGTCAAAATTTAAATTAGAAGTATCACTCCTGAACACTGAGTCAGCCAAAATATTTTGTGTGATTTTCATGACTGTAATGAACGTTTGTAAAAATTTTTAACTGATAGAAAAAAAAACGCCTTGAGCAAAAATGAGCATTTTTAAAAGGCCAACGCTTCCCAGTGGTTTTCGCTTTCAAAATTGAAGTAGACTGACCTTTTTTCGCAAATATAACTTGCACCTGCTCACTTTCGCAAAGCTTTTTCTTTCTTTTCATTATATATATTTTTCTACTTTCTGTTTGCTTTGTTTGTCCTTTTCTGTTGATGTTGGCTCTAAAAAAACAGCGTTTGTTTTCTTTTGTTGAATGCCGTTTTTTTAAAGAATGAAAATATCTTTTTTTCTCATTTCCCAAAAGAAGAAGAAAAAAAGTTTGAAAAAGTTGGCTTGAACGTGAAAAATGGTCGATTGGTCACGCCAATTGTCTTGCCAGCTCAAATTGCTCCAAATTGACGTTCTTTTGCCCTTTTTTTGTTCTCTTTCTATGGATTTAGTGGAAACTTTTGTTTTTTTCAAAGAGGTGTACTTTCTGAAGTTTGATGGACATCAGCTTTGTTTTCTTTTCCGAAGAACAGGACTGAAAATAGCTATTTTCTTTGAGGCCTAAGTCCCACTTGTCAGGCTTGTTTTCGACTTGAAGAACGTCACTTCTAAATTTTGAATTCCGATTTCTAGGCTCCCTCGGGGCAAAAACAGCCACGGAACTTGACTTTTCCCATCCGAAGCTCGTCTTTTTCTTTGAAGGATACGATTTTGAAATGTTGCGCTTTTCTTTTTTGAGTTTTCCCTGTTCGACTCGGTTAAAACTAACAATTTGAAGATTCTTGTGCGATTTTTTCGCTGTTTGTTCTGCTTGTCTGTTTGAAACTTTCTCTCCTTTCATTCAGCTTTCAAATAATCTTTGAAGAGATTTATTTCTGTCTCTATAGAATTCAAAAGAAAAGGATCTAACTTCCACTCGCGAGAATGATAATCTCGGAAAGGTGGATTTCTCGGGCTTAAAAAAGTTCATTTACCACGGAGTTTTGTTCTTGATATCTCCTCCACCCACATTATCATATATTTTCATTTTTCTCTCAAAGTTTCTCACAACGTTGTTCCCAACAGATTCAATCTTCTTATTCTGTTCTCCCATTTAAAATAAAACGATTATGCTCCGAAATTCGAAAAAATCCTTGTTTCGAAGTGTTTACGGCGTTCAAAGAACACAATTTTTGTTTTAAAAGGTTTTTTTCTTTTTGATTAAACGCGGCAAGTGAGAACATTGATAAAAATATTGGCTGTTTTCACGATAAAATCTGTAAGGTACAAAGTTTCCCAAAAACGAACCTTTGAACATTCTTAATTTTTTTAATGCTGATTTATACAAAATCTTAGTAGTTTTAGTAGTTGAAACACGGATTAATAAGGCCTTTATCATTTATTATCATTTAGGCGGGAAAAATCTCAAAAAGAAAACCACAAAAAATGTGTTTTGGCTTTTCTGCGCGTTTAACACAATTTCCATCTATTTGGACACACATTATCTTATTGTGAATATTTCTTTTTCAGTCAAAATGAAGTTTCAGATGAAGAACACTTTTGCGAGATATTCACTGACGATTCCCACGATCCCTGAGAACGTTATCTCTCAACTCCGACAGTGGAACGAATGGTCAGTTTCTCGTAATTTCGTTTTGAAACAAAGTTCATAGAATCTAAATGATCTAAATGCTTTCTGGTTCAAAGTATCAGAAGACATAGATTTCATGGGAATATTGCCCCTTTTCATGGGAAAGTTTAGCTGAAAACTGCAGATTGCAATTAGAATGTGAATATTTGCTTCATGGAGGGTTTTAGTCATAATTTGGATTCAAGTCCGTTCTTATTTTCTCTTTTCTGCAGTTTACACTCATAGAAATTGGACTAAATCAAAAAGGTCAACCGTTGAAATGCTCTGGAAGTAATACTAATAGGTTTATTCCCTGCATACTGTTAGAAAATAATAATTAAAATAGTTCAGAACAAAAGTGAGCCAAAACTAAAAGCCTTAAAAGCCAAATTGTTTTACTTTTTAAGGCAAATTTGATGAGACGTTTTCTAATTTTTTCGCAGGTTTGCTAGAACTTTTCATTTTCAGACTTTCCAGCAGATCTAAATTATTGAAATAGCGAAAAGAAATTGAAATTTCTTAGCTCTTTTTTTGATTAGGGAAAGGAATTATTTGTATATTAGAAAAAGGATCTATTAACGAAATGGTTTGAAATTGGAGTTTTCAAAGGAATTTTGCTATCCAATCAACCTTCAAAATTTCCTGAAAACACATACAGAAAAATATTTCAGACAATGGAAATATGATAGGAGTAGGCGTTACAAAGATCTCTCACTGACGTAAATCAACCTTGTGGCGTACAACCTTTCCCTCTTTCTCAACTCTAACAATGTCGTAAGCAAAAAAATGACGAATACTGGTAGAAAAAGCACGGGAGAATATGTTCGAAAGCCCCGAAGGAGAGTTTTTTTCTTCAAAAAAATTTGTCATTTTGATCACATTATACCTCTTCAGAACACTTTTTTTCTCTTTTTCATTTTCTTCTTTTTATTGAATCACTTAAATAGAATTTTGAAACTGTCCCTAGGGATTCACTTTGAAAAATGTCGGAAAAGTTCGTTTTTCTTTTTCCTTTTGTTATCTGAAGCCTAAAAAAAGCTTAAAAGAACGTTTAGAGAACAAATGAACTTTCCGAACCATTTTAGAGGGTCTTTTTCAGAAGAAAATAGATTCAACTAAACTTTCTTAGTTCAGGGGGTGATCATTAGAAAAACAATTTTTTTAGTTAAGAATAACGAATAAAAAGGAAAGAGAAGGTTAGAAAAAAATTTTTGGAAAATGAAAATAACGTTTTTCTGATAGGAATGAAAAAAAGGATTTCTCTAGAAAAAAATTATAACCTCTACCATTTTTTTGGTTCTGAGCAACGTTTAAAAAAATTTCAATATTTTCGAAAAAAATGTAGTCATCAATCTTTTGAAGCAGTGTACCATGAGAAGAGGTTTTTGATGCGCTTAAAAAAATTTGAGTTTAATTTTTCTTCGGATGTCACTGAGAATAAATTATAAAAATGGAATCGACAATAAACTTCTTCAATCAAATTTTCGAAAAAAAAGTTATTTTTTAGCGTTGTCGCTTCTGAGCAAAGAGTTCGAAAGAGCAAGGTTTCTAATTTTTGAAACATTTGAAACGGAAGGAAAAGGTGGAAAAAAGGGCTCTGGAGATGACGTAGGTGTCGGAGAGGGAAAATTCACTGGATGGCCTATAAAACGTTGCCAAAGCCCCGGAGCATATCGATTGCCTTGGCTTCTGTCGGCTCTCCACGGCTTCTGTCCTGCCTCACCTTTCGACGCCCTTTTTTGCACCTTCCACTCAGGTTTTATCGTCCCGAGCCACTTATGTTTATACTTTGAACCTTTTTGAGCCGTGTCTGACTTAGGAGAAACAACATTATCGCCGGAAGCAATCTTTGCTCTTCTTATGACGCCTTGGCTTAAACGGGGGGCTTTCTTCCCTCTTTTTTTTCTTGTTTCAGACTCTTGACCCGCAATATTTCATTTCAAATGGCTCGTTTGCAAAAAGACAAAGAGAACGCTTTTTTTTCTCAAGAAATCGAGCTAATTTAGAGCTAGACTTGTTTTGCAATGAATTTTTCACGAGCGAAGGAGCAAAACTGACAATTTGAGCTAATCTACGAGATGTCTTGTCATTATTTTGGCGGTCATTTTCTGAAGAGCCATTTTTTCTCAGAAATGTTGTTAATTTGAAGCGAGAAGGGTTTTCAAAAGTTTTTCAACAAGGAATTCGGAGTGATAGATAGTTCAGGACTAGCTACCGAGCTAATTTGTTTGGAATTATCTTATTTTCAGAAGCCTTCTTATGAAAAGTTACAAGCTGATTTTCAGCTAGAATAGTTTGTGATGAATTTTCAACTTTAAAAGCGCTATTATTAAAAATTTAGATTAATCTACATAAATTTAAAAAAATCATTGAGTTTATGTTTCCCTTCCGATAGTTTCCATTTTTCATCAGTTTTTTGATGCTTGAAATTGAATCTATTTTAATCCATTGTGAAAAGAAAGTTAGAGTACATAAGATAGTAGGTAGAGAGCACAGAAAAAAAAACACAAAATTGAATAAAAAATTTGTATCTGAACAAATTGTTCATTTTTAAGTTGATTTTCGGCTTTCAACTTCAAGTTCAAACAAATATTGAAACGTAAATTTCTTTTCAAAATTCAATTGAATTTCCTGAAAAGGTCTTCTTTTTTTTCTGTTGTTTTAAAAGTTTGGGAGTGTGATTAATATAACTCCTAATTCTGATTTCCGTGATGCAGAGTTTATCATTCGAGCTAATCGTCTTGATATGTTATCATCGTTCTGGGCTCATCCTCTAAAGGACATTTTCCTTCTTTTTTCGCGAAGTTGACACATTTTTTTTTGACTTTAAGCATACTGGACAGTTTCAATGGGTTTTTCGAGTATTTCCTTAAGGTTCTTTTTTCAATACTGTAGCGATGTGATAGACAATCAGACGTAAAAGGGCATATTTGTAAGACTTTCCTTTAGTCTATTGTGCTAGAGCTTATCTTTTGCAGCCGTTGAATGACCAAGGATTCTATTTTTGTTGTTCTGTTTTGATATGTTATCATTCTGTTAGGTACATTATACGTGGGCGTTTTTTTCTTCAGGGAAACGACTTTTTTTCGCTTTCTTGGGTGGTCCCAGACCTACGCGAATGTCCTTTTTTCGTTTTTCAATTTCATCTGACATTGAGCCTTTTCAATGCTTTGAGGGCTCTTGATGACCACTTATTTGCGTCTCTTTTTCGTCAATTGCTTCCTGAAATTTTTTGGTTTTTTTTCATGATCTTTTTCTGACTTCTGAATATGGTTTTAAAATGAGGATAGAAAATAAATTTTCAGATAGAGGATCAGCTCAAAAACCGCAGAGAAAGTTTGTAAATTTAACAAAAATCTGCTTCTAAAGCGTTGAAAAAAGAAAAAAGAAAAATACAGTTTTGAGAACCCCATTCTTTCATTCTGTGCTTCAAAAAATGATTTTTTCAAATTTTTAGGTGTTTTTCTTATATGCTATACTAGTCCTCTACTATATTTAATTTGTTTTTTTTTTTGCAAAACTGTTTTTTGAAAAATCTGAAAAAGTTGACAAAGAAGGCTCAGAAGCTCTTAGCAGCTTTCCTCCTTCTGGATCTCAACTATATTTTATGTTTTTTTTTTCCGCGAAAGTAGTAAATAAGTAAAGACCAAGTTGGAGACTCGTAAAACAAGCCTCCGATCCGAAAATCTGGGCTTCTTTCTCGGGATTTGCGTGTCCGAAACTATCAAGATGTCTTTTCGCCTTTGTTCTCTTTTTTTTCTTCTCATTTTCAGTTCTGCAAAAGATTTCTTCCCGAACAGCCGCTATAAAAATTCGAGAAAAAAAATATATATATATGTATATATATCGGTACTTTTTTGAAAGTAAAAGTCTATTCTCCACGGGTCGATTGTAAAATCAGGTTGATGAAGAAGGCGTTTTTTGATGAACTCGCTGAAAAATAGAGAAAACTAGGAATGCTCAAGAAAGTTGAGGTTTTCAAATGCATGCCTGGAAAGAAGACAGTTAAGGATAAAAAACCCGTTTCAAGTTCATGAAAACTATGATTATCCACCAAAATTTGAGATAAAAGTATACTTTTGCAAAAGGTTTTGGATTTATGAGAACAGTATAATTTTTAAAAAAAGAGGTGATTACCTACAATTTAGTCCTCCTCAATTTTTAACAAGACAATACGGCTTTCAAGTCGTTTTCGTGTTTTTCCCGTTGATTTTCCAAAATTTGCATTAGATCAGACTTCAGCCAGCTTTTCACATATTTTTTTCCTGTTCGGCTCCTAAGAGTTTATCCATTATCCCTTGCTGGACCTAAGCCAATGATCAAAGTAGTCTCGAAAATTCTACGAATAGGCTTGGAATAAATCAAAGAAAAGCATGATAAAATTAACTGCCGGATTTGCGCTGACGTTGTTCCTACGTCACGTTCCTTTTTGCAAGGGCAGCCTTTCAAAATTACCTTTTTTTTTCTTTGAGTTGGTTAAGATAAATTTCACATGGTCCTATATCTAAAAATAGTAGAATTTTAGGTTGCGAATTCAAATTACGGAAACTTTAGCACCTATTGATGAACTATTACTTTCAGCAGTTGAAGTTCTTTTTAATATTGGTAATCAGAGTGGTTCTTTTGCGAAAACCCCTTCAAAGTATCCCGAGGAAAATTTTGAATCGATTGAATTGTTCAATAATTTGCAAAAGGAAGTATGAGGGGATTTTTTTTGTAATATCTGGTAAAAAGTTTTATTTTCTTGTGAAAGCTCAAATCGAATTCAAAAATCATTTAAAACTCACATTCAAGCACGGGTTTCGACTTTGATAACAAAACACTTCTTTCAGGCTTTTTCGTAAATCTCAAAATTAAATGCTCGAGTTTCCAGTTTTTCAAGCCTGTTTTAAGGAAGTCCCACTTTGTTTCAAGTTCTTTTTTATTATTGATGTTCATTTCATTTTTCATGCATGGCGGAATTTTTCGGCATTTCACGGAAGGTTCTCTGAGCATAGTAACTCTTTTCCAAATTGTTTGTTTATCTCTGATTTTTTTCGTGGAAATTATACTTTAGGTTCATCGAGTTTCCTGGCTGAATTACAGTTTTTGAATCGAATTCCTAATTTTAGATCCTTATAACCTCATGATTCGCCTTTCTCAAGAAGTGAGGATGAAGCTTTAAGTTTTTTTACGATTGTGAGATCCTTTATTTGACTATTCCGGACGCAAAAAAGTTTTTTTTTTCATTTTGTGAGAACCCGAGCTTTTTTCACTCAAAAAATAAGTCTCCCCAGTTTGAGCTCTCAAACTATAAATGAGAAAAATCTAATATCTGTGCAGAAAGTTATCAACCTGCGGATCAACTGCAATAAAAGTCTCCTACAAACGAATTTCGCCCGAACGGAAATTCCAATTTCCAAACAAAATGTAATCAGCTGCCCGAGAGAAAGAGAAATTGCCCCAGCTGCTCATATTTTTCTCGCTTTCACCTATAATTCACCTTTTCCAACTGAAAGGTTGACTATTCGTTTTTGAACTTTTTCTAGTTTTCTTCTTGGGATTTTCTTTACCCTTTCTAGGAAAAAGTCTTTCAAGAAATTTTATCAGTTCTTTTGTATGAACTTGATGGCACTTTTAAAATTATTAAAGCTGGATGGAAGTCCATTTTTTTGTATCAAACGGTTTTTCAGAAGTTACTTATTTACTTTTTTGATGACCTTTTATTTAAAATAAGTTTAGTGATGCAAACAAAAAATTCTTTCGAAACTAAAGAGAAGAAGAATCTTGAAAAATTACTCAATTTTGACCCCAGCCAAAAGTTAATGTTTTTTTTCTGTCGAAATGATGAGTGAAGTCATCTGTTAATAATTCGTTTCTCTAATTTTCACTGCGATTCATGCCAAAACCCTACTTGGAATGTGACGCCCTTTTTTCATTCAAAATGCACATTTTTTTTCGGTTTGGCTTTTTCGGCTTCTTCCTTGTCCGGACATTCCAATGAGACCAAAATGTCCCGTTGGAGATCGTTTTCAATCAGGAAGAGTGAAAAAAAAGGAGTTTGAAAAGTTCTAAGAATTATCTGAAAGTTATCAATAGAGCGCAGTTGTGCTTTTTCGTCACTTCACAACGTTTTGATTGCCTAATAAAATTTCATAGTTTTAACAACGATCAGCGGGAATAAATTATAAGAAAGCCAGAACATTTTTTTAATAGTTCTTGAAAGGGATTTTTCAATTGGAAAAGTTCAGATATGACTTTTAAGTGGTGGTTTTGGGTTTTATTAAATTGAAATTTGTTCGCTCTTTGTGAAATTGATTTTCTCTAAACTGAAACCCAGACATTGAAAATAAAAATGATAACCGTGAATTTTTAAGTTCAGTTTCGAATTTATTGCAGTGATCACTTCCAATCATTTTCACGATTGAAAAAAATAATTACAACTTTTCTTTGTGAATACTTTTCAGACCTTCTTCCTCATTTTTTATTGGCTCATCCTCAAGTCCAACCTGTCAGACTTCATCAGTTGGAAATGCACTGAATTGATCTCATCAGGACCTCTTTTTCTGAGAGGCGAATCTTTAAGTCTAAGATCCCATCCTAGGCTCACCTTTTTTCGCGTCTGCTGGCAAAATTGTATGAAGCCGTCAGAGGCGTTTTACCGTGTTAAGCCACAAATTCCTACCTTTTTTGTGGTCCGTGGGTGTTAACAGGTACAATCGACTTGTTTGTAGGGCTGAAACCCACGCATCGCACCCGCCCCATTGTTTTTTCTCTTCTTTTTTCGGATCCGGTACTGGGCTTCGGCTACAATTCGTGATGAAGGGCTTACATAAGCGAGGAGTATTCGCGAAATTGTCATTTCTCCGGCGGCGGATTTCTGAGGATTTTCCGTTTCGACCAAATCCTCGCCTCGGCTATCCTGACTATTCTGTTCCAATTCCTGAGATCACTACCCTTTTTTGAGGGGTCGAAATTATGTTGAGTATATAGCCGCGGGTCGGCAGCTTCTTCGTAAAAATAATTTCGGTTAATCATCATTTTACCAGTTTGTTTCCAATTAACTTCTTCATCAGCTAGATCAAAGACGATTTAAAAAAAAGACAATCTTTTTAGAAGATTATATTCTTTTTCTATCATAAGAAGAGTTGGGAAAATAATTATTAGATAAAAAGGCTTATCTAAATTTTATCTTTTTGTTCATGATGCTCCAAATTTTTAAAAAAACTGTCCGTCATTTACAGTTTCTAAGAAGAAATGTCAGTTTTTTTGAATTTTCAAATGTACATGGAAGAAAAAAAGAAAAAGTTTTTAAAAAGTCTGAATTCTGTTTTTACTAATGAATTTTTCAAAGAATAATTTCGAATTTTTTTCTATAAGAGAGGCTCTTTTTTTCATTTTTTTGCGTTCCTTCCTGCTCGGGTCCATTCCAATATACCACCTGTCAAATTCCAAAGATTTATGTTTTCCCTCTTTCAAGCGCAATTTGTTTTGGTTGCTCCTCAATTTTTGTGTTCATCGGGAGCTGTCCTGTCAAGCATGAAATAACTACCAGCCACAAAAACAATCGGTCCAATTTTTTATTCCTCAGCATTTCCATGAGACCTTGATATATTATTCGCCGAAAAAAAAAGAACTTTTTGCACGATATTCTGACTTTTATCAAAAGCTTCATGTTCAATTTATTCTCCGAAACATGCATATGCATTCATTTCATTGGAAATGCAGCCGGCTAGAAGCGAAAAAAATTTGAAAAGTTCCCTTTTCGATGTTTCTCTCGCAGAAGAAGCAAAGGTCCTTTTTTCTTTATTTTTTATTGGAACGATAATATAGTGAAAAATAGCCGAGTGAAAATAGAAGAAGAATGTTTCTAAAGCTGTAGCGCTTTATGGCTAAATTTAAAAAAAAACGGTCAAATCGAAAAAAAGACATGAGAAACTCTTTTTTGGAAAAGCCAAAATTCGAAGCTTCGTGGACTTTAATGTTTCGATTCCTCTGTAGAACGCTTAGTTCTTGTCAAGAGCTCATTTCAAAACGGATAAATACCATTCAAAAAGTGGAAAGTTTCAGATGTACTCCACTTTACTTGGAAGACTCTGAGCCATTGAGTGATAGCTCAGGTGGTGTGAACGCCACTTTAGTGGTCACTTCAAAAGAATTTATTTTACGTTTCGTGCCATGACAAAGTTCAATCCGTTATCATTTTTCGGAATTCCCTAGAATTTTTTACTCTCTTTCAATTTTTCTCCTTTTCATTATTTTTCTCCTTTGTAGAACTTTCACGAGATTTTTAAAAGTTGACTTCTGACGATGAACGGTTTTTTCAGGATGATGGGCGACGGAGAGCAGCCGCCGCGGGCGACGCGAGCGCTGCTGTCGGCGGCGTCGATGGTCCGACAGCAGTCGGATACGACCGGAGTCCGTCGCCTCGTCCGCGCTCAGGCCATCCACGACGACGACGCCGCTCCCACCAGCTCTCAAGTTCGTTCTGACAAGTGTCTGACTCCGTTTGGATCCTTTTGAAAAGAATCTCAAGTTTCCGGAACGTTCAACCTAAATACTTTTTCAATCAATAAATTAATCAATACTTTCCTCTTTTGTTAGTAGATGTAATGAACTGGAAGCTGATCAAGAAGATTTCAAGTAATCTCGAACAACCGCCTTTGGCGAACTAGAAGCCGACACGTGTAGTTGATCAAGTTGAATGCACGATCGTGAGAACCTTCTCCTGATTTTTTTGCGTAGTTCATCCAGCTGCGCCTTGAAGGACCCAGAGTGTAACGGATACTGTAGCTGGAGCCTCTAGACCGTGCTCTAGGTGGAAGCCGCGTGATAAGAGCGACGAAAGAAGAGTTAAAAGTTCACACGGAGAAATTGAATGTATTTGACCTCGGAATCGAGGTTCAATAATTCATTAAAGACTGACCGAGGTCGAGTTCTAACAGAACATTGAAAGTATTGGCGAAAAAATATAAATAATGAAGATATTCTGACGCCATGGTTTTAATTTATGAGCTACCAGGGTTTGAAGTGTAGAAAATAGTCCGTTCAGGTTTTAATGTCAATACATCTCTCAAGCTCCGCCCCTAATGCCGTGATGAGCCAATCAGAATGCTAATACTCCAGAGAGGAGTTTTTAATGACGTCATTGCGCTTGACATTCAAAATCTGTACAGCAGAAAATATACAAAATTCTCACCAATACCATAACTATTGAATTATTGCTAGTAGTATAAATTTTTATATCATAGAAATATTCCTAAAAAAATCAGAAATCTCACGTAAATGTTCTTCTGGCTCATGAAGTATTCATCGGTGAAAAGGGTGGACTCTAAAACTTATCCGTTTTTACACTTTTTTTATGTTAAAAAAAAGCAAGAAAAATATGTAAAAAAAAAAGCAAGAAAAATCTCGTCTATTTTTTTTTAAATTTTAAGCTTCGAGTTTCCAGTAATCAGGAAATAAAATGAAAAATAATAAATTAGTTAAAGGTTTTTTTGTGAAGTTTCACATTTAATACAAAACTAATTTGTGCATTGGAAGAAGATTTATTTCGTTCTGATAGTTGTTATTATAAACCTGCCAATTTTTATTGAAGTGAAACACTTTTCTATAGCCAGGTAACGTCATAGTCGGGAAAGTCAAATAACAGAAGAGTCTGGAGTTGATTAAATTAATTAAAAAGTAGAAAAGATTGGCTGATTGGAAGCTTTTCTCAACATTAAATTGTTGTTAGTAGTCAGAGATCTTTAATGTTTTCTTGCCATTATTTCAGAGTTCTAATGGTTTTGCAAAGTACTTTTCAGCTACAATTATTTACTTTCTTTTTTTTTGAGTAGTAATTTTTTATTTAGCTTAAAAAAAGCCTTTAAATACCATTATTTAGGACTTGAAATTTTCTGGTCGTATTTAGAAATTCCGAACGCTTAGCGGTTCTAGTTTTGATCCCAAACTCGAAATCTCGGGAAGACTTTTGATGCCGGCACGCTCGAGTCGTTTAGTGGTCGGTTGCACTTCCAAAGTCTCCGCTTTTCTTTTCAAAATTAGGCTACCAATTTATATACTTAATTTTTGAAATTATTTTCTTGTAACGTAACACTGCTTTACAAAAAGGCAGAAAGTTCAAGGCAATCCAAAAAAAATTGCAAAAAGTGGCGTTGATGTATAATTTTTTTAAAGTCTTAAAATTTAAAAGTCCTTTTTGAATTCCACAAAGAGAAAAAAATATCTATTTTTTTCTTATGAGTAAAAAGCTTTTTTTAGCTAGAACCTCTCCGAAAGAACAAAAAGAAATATTGCCTTTGTTTGGGCAGAAAGAGCTGCTTGGGAAAAAGCGAGCGCGATAATAAATTTGTGTAGCCGAAATGAAGACGGCGAAAGAAAAAAATTGAATTTTTTTCCATTTTCACCAGCATCTCGAATTCAAGTGACTTTTTTTTCAAAAATTATTTTTTTTTGTTAAATTATTTTTAAGAAAAACAATTTTTTTCATCCGAAAAGCGAAAAAGGCTAGAAAGTATCGTAGCGAAAGAAGCTTCGTTATATTTGCGTATCACTATTAGTCACGGTTTCCAGCTTCAAATTGAAGTTTATCATAAGTTTTCTGATGATTTTCACCAAATCTCGATTTGAAAAGAACATTTTTCGCAGAAACTAGTGCTTTGAATACCCCCGCGCAATTCAAATACCAATTTTAAAGATTAGAAGCCATTCTAGTAGTATTTTATATACGTTTGTGCGACAATGGCTAGATTTTTTTATCCAGTCGAGTCTGGATGAAATCTCGAATTTGGAAGGAGATTAGTTACTCATTCGGATGCGGAATCCCTGAGGAAATAATTAAAAAGAAAAGGATTATCAGTTGACCCCTCATACATGGGATCGCAGTGTGTCTACTCGCACTCCCTGAGTTCTTTTCTTTCCTTCCTTTTTACTTGATAGTGGCTATAAATGTGTATACTTTGATGCATTAATTGAACTTTGAAGTTATTGGTTCATTCACTAAGTATTTTTTTACTTTTTTTAAATCTTAGAGAAGAAAAAAAAGAACCACCAAAAAAAGTTTTCAGTTCTTAGTTTGGTGGAAAAAAATTTCAACGTCTCCAGCCAAGCAGAATGTTTATAGAAAAAGAGCTTGCAGATATTTGAGTAAAAAAATGGTTGGAATAATATGGTATTTTTTCCTTTCAAAAAAAACCCCCTTATTCGGTTAAAATATGAGCCCTTTTCAAAATATGCGGTGTTTCAAGTTTTCTGAAGTCGAGAACGGTGGTATGGATTGAAAAAAGTTTAAAGCCGTTCTCAAATTTCAATTCAGTCTTTTTTGAGAGTTCATGAAGCCCCGAAAGTTCAATTGAAAATCCTTTAAATTAATTCTAGAGTAAAAGAAAAATATGAGGCTCGACTTTTTTTCAAGTTCTCTGTAAGAATAATAGATTGAAGGTTTAGTGAACGAATTTTCTTAGTATCTGGAAATTCAGAAGTTCTTCTTCTCAAATTCAAGAATCCAAAGTAAAATCAACGTAGGAAGTATAAGGCGGAAGTGGAAAATAAGGGAGTCGAAACCATTTTTCAATATTTAATGTATGTTGTTTTGAGCACTTGAATGCCTCGCGGGGGCCTTTTAATCTTGCATTGTGTGGTTTCGCGCCGACGAACGTCGATCCAAAACTCGATTTTGGCCTGAAATTGTTTCCAGTCGTTCAATCTTTCTCTTTATTTCCATTCAAATTTCAACCCGCTCAAAAGATCACGCCTCTTCTTCTTTTTTTGCTCTTCAGAAGATCGCTTTTTAGCTTCTAAAAAAGGTCTCCCACTCTCCTTCAAGTATGATTGCCTTTTCTTTTTCTTTTTTTCTACTCCCCTTTTGCCGTTTTGAGAATAAATTTGAAAGAAATTACGACTATTCAAGAGAATCTCATGACGAAAGCAGTTCCAGTGATCTCACGCCTTATCAGCGTCATTTCTCTATTTTTTGCTCTGTTTTTCCTTAGTTTTAAGAAGTTTCATTCAGAAGTGCAAGTATGCTGGTTGTGAAATTACCCAATTATTTTTGAAAAAGTGCAGAAAAGCTCAAATTTTGAAAACTAGAGAGTATAGCGAGAATGGAGGAACGTTTTGATGTTTTTGCTCGTGGCTTCTCTAGATTCTTACACATTTTTGTGCTCATTTAACTTTTTGATAAAAGTCATTTTCAATTTATTTTTCGTTCCTGAACCTCGTCTTTGGTGTGTTTCTCAAATTTTCAAAAAGAAATGCGAAAGATACTAGATTTTTGAGAGTTTTGAAAGATCGATATCCTGAAATTTCAATAAAACAGCTAGATCACAGTATCATGCAAAAATTTCTTCTCATTTTCGGTGTCAACAGTCCGAAAAAATATATTTCGATAATAGGAGATGAAATCAGACGTCGGTAGTTTTCCTTGCGTGTCTACGCGTCTCCAGATTTCTCACACTGTTCAGTTTTTTTTTTTTGGTGAAGTCACTGTATCAGCCATTCTCAACATGAAGTATATTCATTCACAACTCAATTTTTTGCCTGAAGACGTTAGTTTCGGCAGTTTTCGGCTTTATCTATCCCCAGAGCGTTTCTTCAATCCAACTTTTCCCGGCCGCATATTGCATTTTTTTTTTGTTTCGTTGACGACGACGTGCCGAACATCGTAAAAATTCATGTTGTTCTTTCCTTTGCGTTTTCATTTCCTTTTCTTTGAAGCCTTTTTGTGGCTAGAAGCCGATTTCAGAAGTGTGAGATAAAATTCGAAAAATTTTGCTCATAATTTTTAGGATATTCTTAGGGAAATTTCCGACCTTATTTAAAAACTTTGACTGGATAGATCTTATCAATGCTTGTAGGAATCTTCCACTCACAAACACAGGACGTTGAAATGAATTTTGTTATATTAATGAATAAAATAAAAGGAGATAGTTCATTTTTTTTTTTTGAAAAGTAGCAGAGGTTAAAAATACACGAAGATCCCCTCTGAGGTCATCTGAAGCCATATACTTTTTGCTCGAACTTGGTTTCAAGAATACGAAGATCTTTTTTTCGCTAATGCAGTAGCTATAAACTTTATTATCTTTTTTTCAGAAACTTGAAGCTGCTGGGAAGCTTAACTGATATAGAAACTTTTTATCTTTTTTTAAAAATTCTGAACTATCATGTGACAAAGATCCGCCTGAAGTTGAAGAAGCCGTTTTTGTATTTATTTGAATCTAGTCTGTTCAGAAAGCCTTTCTAGGGTTTTTTTTAAAGAAACAGAGAAAGTTTCCATGAATTTTCAAATCGAAGCGTCGATCTCACTAGTCAGCTCTATTTCGAGCACGAAATTCTTCAGCTCTTCCGAGACTTCCAACAAGTTTTTTCATAGAAACTTTGATCATTTCGAAAAGCCAATAGCTTCATTTTCCACTATTTTATCAGCGGAAAGCTATAAAAAGATTTTTTGAAAGTTTTCAGCTTCTGTAGAAGAATAAGCTGATGTTTTTTTTGCTTAAGAAAATCCAAAAACAGAGATCCTTCTGGGTTCGACAGAAGCCATTTCTTTCCTTTCCTTTTCCGACTAATGGTAAGCCATTTCAAAAATAGGCAAAGCGTGACTTTTTCTGCGGTTTTGCTCTCAAGTCGTTATCCAACCCATAAAAGCCGTCACCCCATTCGGAAATACGTGCCTGAAAGGTGTCCTTTCTTTCCGGCCAAGGCGAAAATTGATTCTCGAATTTTGTGCTCTTTTCATATCTCGTTATTTTTGGAGCTTTTTTCAAGAGCAGAGAGTTCAAAAACTCTTTATATTTGGCTTATAATCAGGAGACTCGCTTTGCTTGGAAGTTTATAATCTATTCACAGGGCTTTTTTATGCTCCAAAATGTCCTATTCACAGGGCTTTTTTGGGCAAGACTATGTTGAGATACTTAGTTATAAGCTAAAAAATATACATATTCCCTATAAATAAGCTTTTTCTTCAGCTGGCAGCCACGATGTCGCCCAACCTGACTCGCCCTACCAGATATGTCAAGGTTCATTTTTCAGTGACTTTGAGAAATAAATCGAAAATTTTGCAGTCGGTTTCTCAGCAACGGAGCGTCAGCTACATTCAACTCAACCAGTACAAACTGATGGAAGAAATCGGCCAAGTATCACAAATTCGAAAATAAACCATAAGGCTTCTTTCTCAGGGCTCCTATGGAATCGTCAAGTTGGCCTACAACGAACAGGACAAGAACCTCTACGCCATGAAAGTTTTGGACAAGATCAAGCTGCTCAAAAACTTTGCCTGCTTTCGTGAGTTTGTCAAATAAGACTGAGTTCCAAAAAAGGTGATCCCAAAAAGTGGATTTTGTATCATACATTAAGAAGACTACGGTAGCACATTGGAAAAATAGAATAAATTGACATTCTTAGTTTTTTTTCGTTCTCAGAAAAGATTAAATCGGAATTTTGATTTAAAAAGATTCTAGTTTTTTTTCTGTCAAATTTCTAATTAAAAATAGGAGGGGGCTTTTTTCAAATCTTTTTCTCGATATCGGCCTTCAAATAAAATATTTATCAAAAAAAAGCCAAATACAGGACAACCGCCGCCTCGAAGAAACAAAGAAAACGCGGCGCCGTCGATTATGAAGAATCCCCTGCAGTTGGTACAAAGAGAGATCGCGATCCTGAAAAACTTGAGCCATTCCAACGTCGTCAAGCTGGTCGAGGTCGTGCCCGGAATCTTCAGTCTTGATCAACTTCAGCTTTTGACAGGTTCTGGACGACCCCAACGACAACTATCTCTACATGGTCTTCGAATTCGTCGAACGAGGCTCCATTTTGGATGTACCCACTGACCGGCCGTTGGATGAAAATACCGCCTGGGGTTATTTCCGAGACACTCTTTGTGGCCTTGAGTACTGTGAGTCGTGGACTTTTGCGGATCTTCAGAAAAATCAAGGACTTTCAGTGCATTTCCAAAAAATCGTGCATCGGGACATCAAGCCGTCCAATTTACTTCTGTCCGATGCGGGTCAAGTTAAGGTTGGTCAGGAAAAGTTATTATTTTTCAATGTTTATCAAAAAAGAAGTTATACATGACTTTCTTTTAAAATTTTTACAAGGACTTTTTTGACATTACAGGGACCTTTCTGAGTGGTAGGTCTACTAATTTACGTTTATTCTGAACTTTTCCAAACATCTTTTTCAACTTCTCAAACTTCGTCAAATGGTCTTGGAAGGCTCAGGATTTTCTAATATACTGAATTGCATAACGAAAAATCATTAAAATATCCTTTTTATTACTTTTCAAAGATCTGAACGTTCTTTTTCAGATCGCCGATTTTGGTGTTTCCTGTGAGTTTGAAGGTATCGATGCGTTTTTGTCCGGTACTGCAGGCACACCTGCTTTCATGGCCCCTGAAGCGCTTATTGGTCAAAAAATCTTTCCATTATTTAGAAGGAAATACTACTTTCAGAAGGAACGAATCATTTTTATTCGGGCCGAGCTCAAGATATTTGGTCGCTCGGCATCACCCTCTACGCCTTCGTCATTGGAGCGGTTATTGAATACTTCTAGCCATTTTGTTATTTTTCTGTTTCAGGTACCTTTCGTCGACAATTACATTATTGCTTTGCATAAGAAAATCAAACACGATTCGATTGTCTTTCCTGAAACGTAAGTTCTATTTTTTATATTGCAAATTTATACCCACTTGCTGGGATTCTCAACGTCGGATTTCATTGCAAAAAATATATTTGAATCTGAAATCTGCTCTATCAAAAATGCCAGCAAGTTATTCTGAACCAATTTAGAAAACTTCCGAGGTTTTTCCAATAACGCTGCAAACTTTCAGACCGAAAATCAGCGATTCTCTTCAGAACTTGATCCTTGGAATGCTAAAGAAAGACCCGGGACACAGATTGATGCTCACCGAAATAAAGGTACAGTTCGACAGGAAATTTCGGAGCAATTCAAAAGGACTTTTGTCTACTCATAAAACAGGATACTTCTGTTGAAAGTAATCTCGCTCTAGCTCCTACCTCAAAATTAGTCAATCACTGAAAACTATATAGTATGTAACTGTAGATAAAAAAGTTTTCGAAACAAAATTCAGCTGTTTTCTGATCATTTTCCGCTTTATGAGTTACGACCTCTGGTCATTTCTCAATCTCGAAGTTGAACAAAAATGAGATGAGTTCCGTCTCAAGGTGCACGACTGGGTGACCCGCTGCGGAACAGTTCCGATGCCTTCGGAACAGGAGAACTGTCACCTCGTGACGGTGACTGAAGAAGAGATCGAAAACTGCGTGAGAGTCATCCCTCGCCTCGACACTCTCATCCTCGTCAAGGCGATGGGTCATCGAAGAAGATTCGGAAATCCCTTCAGGTTCTCCAGAATCCGTCCTCCTCATTCCAGAATCTCGGTGTTCAGAAAGCCGACGCCGACAGTGCCGATCAGAGACAGGCGAAAATCGTCTTCGGTCAAGGATCCGACGTATTTGCCGCCTCCCGTCGGCCAATCTGCCTCCATTCCCCGAATCGCTGACGATCTTCTGTTCGTTGTCTTTGCTATTAACAATATTTATAAAAATTGTTTAAACGAAAACAAAAAAAAAGCGTCCAAATACTTTTTGTTTTAAATTCTATATTCAAATTTTAGTTATAGATGGCTAAATGCATGAATGAAACGAAGAGACTGATCATTCAACATTTTATTATTATTACCTTTTTGGATCACCATTCTGCGAAATATTCGCAAGATATAATTCAACAGGACTTCAAACAGTCTCACCGGTCTGCTCTCTCTTTTCTCTCACCTGCGAGTTTTGAGAAATGGAAAATATCACATAAACGAAACGGCAGGAGAAAAGAGGCCACAGACAGGCCAGACTGTTTGGAAGTATTTTGTCTTCCTAAGACCTTATTTTTCATTGACTTGTTTCAGAAGTGACCGACCTGAAGTCGAAGGCGTCCAAATGGACTTCTCCGGTCTCACTTTACGTGCCGACGTCGACATTCTGCCAAAAGCCGAATCTGCGAGACAATGATGCTCCAGCGAACATTTGCCTTCAAACTTTTTTGCCCATTTTTACTTTTCTCAGTGCTTTCTGTCCGCCTTTCGCTTTTTTTTCTCAAATCATTTTTTAAAGCTTTCATTTTAAGCTCTAGAAGGCTTTTATTATACGGTTTTTTTCAATTCATTGCGTTCTCTGAATTCAAATCAACATAATTAAGGCGCATCTAATGCTGGCTGAGCAATTATTTCCTAGTCGCTAGTCAATCTCTCATTTTCCTTTGCTCAACTCCTTTCCTTTGATCTGCAAAGTTACGGTAATCAATCTACATTTCTTAATTTTGATAATTCGATCTCACTTTCTCTAGAAGATTTTTATTTTGCTGAAACCGCGTCATTTTCCTACGGGTATTTTCTTTTTGTTTTTTTTTCTTTTCAGAGTTATATGAAATATTGAACCTGAAGTTTTTGATCCTCAGTTTTTTGAAGTTTCTCTGCTCAACTTCAATATTTGAATTGAAGAGTTCAAGATTTTTATGCGAGTTGAACATTGATTGATTTTCTGATTTATTATTATTTACATTGAGGTAGATACATTCGAGAGCGAAATAGAAGGGTACAAAACGAAGAAAAAGAACCCGGCGTCTTTTTTGGTCTAGAAAAGTAGAACCGGTAGGTTGGGGAGGAATAAATAGTTGAAGAAATTTCGAAGAGGAGATTTTCTGAAAGAAAGTTTTGATGAAAGACTTGATAGTCTACTCAAAAATCGTTACTATTAATTTAGAGAGGCAACAATTATGGCTTAACTAGAAAATGTCGAAAAAGGGCACCTCGAATTGAAAATATTTGGTTTTAATAAAGCTGAAAAGGTCAAAATTAGACGGTGCAAAAGGCACTGTCGACGGAGACAATAGTCAAATCCTTCTTGTTGTTCTTGAAGTAAGGGGTGATGTTACGGTAGAAGGAGATCGGTTGGTAGCGAGGGGGAACCTCGACGGCGACGCTGTTCTTGCGGTAGTGACGAGAGCGGTCGAGGCCCAGCGAGAAGTCGTAGAGTTGTTCGGAACTGATGGTGCTCATCGTGCCGTCGTCCGTGTTCTCCGACTCGGTCCAGGAGTTGGGTCGAGACACGGCCTTCAGAAGGGCGCTCGTCGACCTCTGCATCTCTCCTCCGCCGATCGAACCGCTGAAAAAAAAGATATTGTTGAGTCTCGTTTTTTTTTTTCGAAAATCAAACTCAACCCCGCTTTTTAATAATTTTTTCAAATTTCTTGAGTGATTTGAAGCTGTTTTTGCTTTAGCTATTCTTCAAAGGGAATTAAAATTAGTTAATATACTTGAAGCTTTTCTCCTCGAAGGATTCTTTCTGAGATTTCTCTCGTCTAAAGCATTTTTGGACTGTATGAAAACAAGAAAAAAAGACTAGCAAAAGAATTTTTAGCCTTAAGGACCCTACTTTTCAGTTTCGGGTACTACTTTTCAGTTTCGGTTCATTACTTGGGGCTATTCAATTAGAGAAATCTTTTGGGAAACGTCGAAAAAAGATGTTGAAACGAACCGTTTGGTGCAGTTGAGACGCATCTTTTCGCTACGAGGCGAACACTCCGTCGCGGAGGTTCTGAATATCGGTTATGTGGTTTATTCAAAGATTTCCCGATTATACCTTGGGTATCTGGAATCGCAGGCGGTCATGATGATGAGGACAACGAGGAGGAGAATGAGGGTACAGGAAAGTCCGATGAAAAGAAGGTCGTAGCCGGCAACCGACTGTCGCAGGTATTCCACAGTTCCGATCTGCAGAATTTGAGAATTCAAGTACAAATTTTCTAGAGATAGAAAGTAGTTATCATGTCATTTCGCCTTCTTTAGAAAAAAAAGACTTTAATACGAGCTAGAACCAATACCATCTATTTTAGGCCGAGAAAAACGATCTTTTGAACTTGTACAGTAAAAAAAAGAATAAATTAAGTGTCTACTCTATTTTACTTTCTTCAAATTGCTTCAAATCTACTTTTTCTCAATATTGCATACTCCTTTTTGGGGGAGTATCACCGACAGGTGGAGGTCAGATATGATCAATGACGGCAATTATGTCCTCCTTTGAAGGATTATCATGGCGTGTGAAACCGACTCGGCTCTATCAGTCCCAATAATCTGTGGAGATGGAAACTCACGTTGATCTTGGGCGATTTCTGCTTGATCGAGCACACTGGACACGTCAAGTCTTTCACGACGAGAACCGTCGATCGGAAACAGCCGGACTTCAGTTTCAGGACGGATTTCTCGCTCGACGTCTCGTCAATCTTGAAAAAGTGAATTGAGAATGAGAAAATTAGAAAAATTTAATTTTAAAAAGTCTTTTCAAATGACTTGAATGCCTATAGCTGGGGGTTAGAAGCTGGGGAAACCAAGACATTTTAAAATTTGATTGAAGTTTTTTCTTTGGAAACTTTCATCAATACTAGAAATTTTTCTATTTTATTTAAAATCTTATTCAATTTTTTCTTACTGAATTTTGATGATAGCGCTAACTTGAGTTTTTAAGGTAGACTTTTCTAAATTAATTTTGAAAAAAAAAAGTTCTAACTAAGAATTTTACTATCCTGATTTGAAGTATATTTCCTCTTTATTTTTCATGATTCTCTCAAAAGTCTTACCTTGGTGGAAAATTGAACAGACTTCACAGCTTTATCACAGATGACGGGGCCGTTCGTGGCGGAAGGTGGGCCTTCTCCTTCGATCTGAAGAATCTCAATTAAATTTTTCTTAACGTGAGCTTTTTTCATAACATTTAGTGCGCTAATCTATTGTTTCAGATTTTGATAAATTCTCTGCATTTCGAGCTTCTTAAATTCAAATTAATTTTCAAACTCACCGCAACTGAGACTTCGACGTTGGACAGGTCCGCAGTCCATTGGCTCGTGAAATGGCGAGTCGCGTCCTTCTTTAACATTTTTTTGAAGGTAAGGACTTTTTGAATTTATTACCATGAAAAGTTGGGAAGAAATTGGCCAGGCGGCTGACGAAAATCGGCTTGATGGAACGCTCACCATAACCTGGAAAGTTGAAAGAATAATTTCAAGTTTTATCATTTTCTAGACTTCATGGGACATTTCTTTCAAAAAAACTGTAAAGAGAAAGAAGACTCACTCGAACGTCAGGATTGATGCAACTGTGAGACGAGGTCCAATCTTGGGCGCAAGCCTTGTCGATTTCGAAATTCGTCAGAACCAAAGTCATCCAACTGGGATCCGCAGAAACTTCCGAAGAAACAACTTGAAGAGTGATCGCGACCAAAAACGCTTTGAACAGCATTTTGTTCTGAAAGAAATCAGTTTAGACTCAAAAATAATAGAAAGATGAAAAAAGCGAGGTAAATGGAAGGAATGAATGGACGAGCAGACTGCGACCTCGTTAAAGTCCGAGACTGAACCTCGCGTTTAGGCATACGCCCAAAATGTGAGAAATCAGGGGGATTACGATGGTACGAATGAGGTGTCGCACTAAGAACTGTCACCACCGGTTGTAAATATTTATAATATACAGGGAGGGCGAGTTGGCCTCCCACTTGGGAACAGAAAATGTGTCAGGCAAAATATTTAATTTAAAAAGTGTAGTCATAAAAAAATGCCATGGCCTGGGTGTCCGTTGCTACCGCGATAAATTACAATCCTAGTCTCCAAAGATAAGAGAACGAAATTTAGAAATGTTACGGTAGGCAATTTTTTGAACTTCAAAATTTGAAAATTCACGGAACTAGAAACTTCGGTATTTTCTAAAGATTGAAAAAAATAACTTTTGGCTTGAGTAAAAGAGATGTGGATATACAAAGAAATCTCAAGTATTGGGTAAAAGTAAAATGAATTTCGAAGGTGTAAAAAAATGGAAGTGAATAGTTCTAAAAAGCTGATTAGTGCGAAAAAAATCTTCAAAACTTTTCAAAAATGAAAAAGTTTATACTTTCTTGCAGTAGGTTTCTCAGAGCTCATCACTTCAAGCTTAGAATCAGAAAGCTTTAAATGAGAAAGTTATAAAAAGGGTGAGCAGTGAAGGCGGTCAAGAAGGCTCAGAAGAGGAATGGAAAGTTCTTTTTTACATCTCCTGAGAATTTTCTTCAATTCACGAGAAGAAAACCCTAAACAGTTTGATGTTTTTGGCAAAGAAGGAGACAAATTAATTTTCGTGTTACCCTTTCGGCGATCACGGAAAAACAGCTATTATCGATGGGAAAGATATCAGAGGGCTCTTAAGCCTGAAAAACGGTAAGGAGAGTCCGAACGGAAGCGAAAAATGGAGTAACAAGTGGTCTCTTCTGCTCTTGGCATTATCTGAGCCGGAACACAAGTGGAAGGTGTCGAGTGGACTCGTGGGCAAACACTTGCTTACTTAGGTAATCTCACACCTTTCCTGCATGCTAATGGCTTGGATCCGCCCATTTCCTTGGAGCTTACTGTATATTAAGTAACTTAGGGATCAAATCTCTACGGAGTAGGAATTCATTGACAGAAGCAAAGAAAATCAATTTAGAAAAAATGAAAGAACTCGGTCTATGAGGCAGGCGTACTATTCGAAATTCGAGAGTGTGGTCGGGTTTTGAAAAGCTGTAGAAAAAAACGAAGCAAGTATCTTATTTAAATAGTTATTTTTTTATTGGAAAAATTTTAAATTATTCTCATCTAATGAGAAAGAAATTTTTTCCTTTGGCGTTTCGAATCTATCGAAAAAAAATTCATAAAAGGTTGATATTTTCCATTGATCCTTGAAAATTGTTTTAAAAGGCTAGTGGTTCATATAATTTCATTTTTTCCGGTTTTTTTAAGCTATAGTTCTTAGAATGTTAACAAAAAACTTTATGACAGATCAATCAAGCGAGAACAGCGTTTTCTTGGAAAGTTTATTAACAATTTTAAGGCTGATTAATTAAAACTAGTTTTCTTTCTGAAGAAAGTATTAGTTCTGAACATTCACGAACACTAAAACTTAAAATAGAATCACGAATACAGTAATCAAAGAGTTACAAAGCACGGAAAAGGCACAACAATTCTAAAAAATTGATCGAGAAAGAAAGATGGGCGAAAGTAACAGCGGAACAGCAACATAGTAGAAAACTTCGACTTCTAGTGGTGTTGTCCTCTTCTTATATACGGAACACTCCTGGGAAAGTTCAGAAGCTCCCAGGCGACTTTTGGTTCCCTTTCTGGGAGCCTTCGACACCAAGGCGCGCTAGTGTCAAAAATCCCGCCGCTGGCTGCGCCGCTTAATGTTCACACCTCCTTTTTCGCTCGTTCCTTCTTTGTGTGTGGCTTTTTCCCATGAATTCTGTGTTCCCATAGCCACCAAACTGTCAACTTCAGCCAGTAGCCCAACATGAAGTGTTACAAGTTTCGTTTGGAAATATAATTATCGTCGTTCTGTCATTCCCCAATTAGCTTGCATGAGAAACTCTTATTATAGTCTGTTCAGATTTTTAATGTCAAGTGCAATGACGTCATTCAAAAACACTCTGTGGATGGCTCGCTCTCTGATTGGTTTATCGCACCATTATGGGCGGGACTTGAGCGACGACTTGACATTCAAAATCTGAACAGACTATATTTGATCACGTGTTGTGAGATTCTAATTCTCGTCAATATTTTTCATCCCAAATTCTAGCATTCCGGCTTTTTTTTTGGATTATTTTCAAAATTTGGTCGAAAAGGTTCCGCGAGCACGGCACATGGAAAGTGCGCTCCACCAAAAAGTGAAGTTTTTAATCCGCGCTCTCGATTTTCAAAATTTGAACTTTTCCAATTGTTTTTTTTTTCTAGACATTCTGACTCATTTTCTTATGAATCTACTTGGTGTTAGTCAAAATTACCTCAACCAAAAACATTTCGAACTGTAAAGGGCCCTTTTTCTGATAGAAAAAAAGTGTCCTTCCATCTTGCCTAAATTTATTTAAAATCATTTTTTCGTTGTTATATTGTTCGTGTTATACTTTTTTTTCTTATCCTGTTTTTTCAAGTTTTATGCTAGTTTGAGGATGATGGTGACAAAAAATCCCGAGCCCTCCAGACCTCCAGGGCAATATATTCCGGCGGAAGGAACGCAACATTGTTTGGTCGCTAATGAATACGATAAAAACACTTACGCGCAGTGTAGCTATATTGGAAACCGCACACTAATCCGATGTAAACAGGTTTTTTGACAAAGTGGACCCGGGAATACTAAAAATTGTACTTCAGATCCGCTCAAAAGAAGACATGGCGAAAAATAACGGCATTTGCGAAGAGGTTTCAGAGATATCTGTAATACTATATTCAAATAATTGGGTTGAATTCAGCACGAGATATTCCGCCAAAGAATCAAAAGAAATTATCAGAAGGAGATGCTGCGGCTCCACGCAGAATGCGACTCCCAGCAGACGAAAAAACGCCGTTATAACCCCACACTTGTTGCCGATGAATGGGTCAGGTAGGAAAAATAGAATATTCAAAGAAAATTTCGATTTTATAACTTCAGTGACGAAGATGAATGGCTGCAGCCGGCGTCGACGCTTTCCGTTGAATTTCCTGAACAGATTTATGAAAATGCGGTTGACGACGATATGTTTCGGTATCTTTTTCTCGTTTCACTCTGTAACAATTTAATGGGCTTCTGCAGACGGAAAGTCGTTCTCCTTGTTATTTTGAGTAATTAAAGACCTCTGTGACTTTAAAAAATCCTGTCATTTCGAAAAAAATTATTAATTTTCTAGAACCTAATTTTCAGCCACGCCGGCGTTTACACCGACAAAGACATCTTGAAAATGCGCCTCAACTTTCTAAAAAGAGATATTCAGGAAATTTCTAACTTCAGGTTCCTTTTCCCTCTAGAAGTTTATCAAAAGTAAGTTTCAGAATGGTGTTGAAGGCGCGCGCCCTGAGGCGGTACGAGGCTATTATGACTTCTCAGTCAAAATGTATCTTTCCGTTGAATTTTACCAGAAATCGACTTTTTTCAGCGACGAGTTTGGAGTTCACCCAGCAAAGGATGTACGAAGCAATGACCGGCTACGGAAAGAGTGATTGTCTTTTTGCCGGCTCCAGTGTGAGTAAATCCCCGGAATATTTACTAGGCTTTGAACAATTTTCTTTCAGAAAAAGTCATTCAGAACTAGAAAATATTTTCCAGTTTTTCAATTTTTGAATTCTGTGTTTTTTTATTAAATTTTTGAGCCTGCGTTGGTTTTTTTGATAATTTTTTTCCCACTAGATTTTTTTGATATGATGAGAATGAAGAAAAAAACCCAAAAAAAATAGTAAACTGGAAGAATTTCTGCGGAAAGAGGATGGAAGGTATCTCAATGCGCATAATCAGAAAAAAAGTTAGTTCAAAAAAATTATTTTTTTATAGGTTTTTTTCAATGACTTTGATGAAAGGCTCTGTATACATGAGAACTATCATTTATAGTCTGAAATAAAACAAAAACGAGTTTGCGCTTCTTCAATTTAGTCAGCGTAACTTCGGAAGCCCCATTAAAAAAATTGTTCTCCACTTTCAATCAGACTTCACCAATACTTGGTTTGCATCATGGGGTCTTTGATTTATTGGTTGCGCTCCCCTTAATTACTGGAAAACTATAGAAACCTTCTTATCTACTCAAAATGAGCCTTGGAGAAGTTTCAGCAACCTCGGAACCGGGAGTTCTGTCGATATGGACACGTAGACGAAGCGGACAACGACTCGGTCGTCAACCACGTGATGGAGAAGCTGATATGCGTGTTGGAGAAGACGCCGATTCCTCGGCCCTGTCACCAATTCTCCTTGCCGGCCTCCAAGTTCTGCATCCATCGTTAGAAATCTTCTTCAGAAGTAGTTCAAAATCATAATTTTGCAGATATCCACAGGGATAAGAATCAAAGTTTGTTCACGGGCTGCTGCGTTTGCGCGTTCCCAGCCATGAACACCGAGCAGCCGTTCTGCATGCAACATCAGAGTTTGTAGCATTTTTCAATTACCGGCTTCCTTGTATTTGTGAAAAAGAGAAAATAAGTGGATCTCTTAAGGAATAAAAAAAATTCTCGGTTTTCAGGTGTTTTTCTTTGTTTTTTAACTATTTTTTTCGTATGAATGAGACTCTCATTGATACCCGCAGAATATATTTAAACAGTTTTTCAATTATATTCTGGTAATCTTCATTTTCAATTGCCATTTTATTGAAAAGTGTTTTTTTTTTCTGTTTTCGTCTCACTGAAATTTTTTCCGAATGAAATGTTTTCAGCCAAATAATCTTATGTTTCCAGTTGAATACGTACGGACGCGAGCTCTGGATCCTTTCCATAACACTAGAGAACACTATGGCGGCGTGAAGTTTGAAGTTGAGCAGGAGAAAAAGAAGGCTTCGGTCACCGTTGCTAGTCATGCGAAGGTGAGTGGGAGTAGATGATAAAGTTTAAAAATTATCTCGGTTCAAAGTTTTTCACAAAATATGGAGGACGATTAATTTCTAGACTTCAAGCGGCCTTTGTAACTTGGTTTTTTTTAAAACTGAAACATGAAGAGAGGAACAAAGTTTGAAATTAAAAAAAATCAATAAGAACTTTTGATTGAATAAAAAGCGCATATATTCCTTTTTACTATGCATTCATAATTTTTTTGGTTTTTTTCGGAAAAATTCATGAAAATCTCTTCTTGTTAACGTTAAGTTGAGAAAAAAACTTAGTATAAGGAAGTTTGAAGATGAAAAAGACGAGTTGAATTTATTTACTTGAAGAAAATCGTGATCGACGAACCGGACGAAGAAACGCTCTCTCAGGAAAGAATCACGGCTCTTCTACGCCATGCAGAGGTTTTTTCTAACGGAATTCTTGTTTCACCTTTTTTTTTACGAATAATACGAGGTTTTTGAAAAATCCATCAAAGATCTATAGAGATCAAATAACTTATTTGAAGTCTCAAATCGCTGCATCGGGAGCTGCGGCACAACGACGTCGGCCTCCTCCAGGCCCCTACGTCCAGCGGCCGGCCACGTACAATCCGTCGGCGGTCAGCTACGTCCACGGCAAGCCTCAGCTGCAGCCCCGAACCCCGGCCCCCGCCCGCAGTCTGGCGCCGCCCATGCCCCGACCCGCGATGCCTCCGCCCGTGGCTCGGCCCCTCGACGAAGTCGCCGCCAAAAGAATCGCCGCACAAATGGCTGAGACCATGAAGTGCGCTAGGTGTGCACTAACATATTTGTTTCGAACTAAAAAAAAAAGGAGAGGTCCAAAATAGGAAAAAGGGGATATCCGGCAGTCAGTGTAAAGGGATTTCTTGATATCTAAGTTTCGTGTATTTTTCGTATTTATTTCAAATGGAAAAATTTCAAATTCGAAATAGCCGAAGTTGATTTGAACCCGGCATAAGGCCTTCACAGAGTTTGGTTAAAGTTTTATAAGACCTGTGTCCCATGTTTAAAAACGCCGTCTCATAAAAAAAAGTTATAACAGTTGAACCTTATTGAAATAAGATGATAATCTGTCCTTGAAAGCTTTAAAGTTATAACGAACCGTTGCTTTTTAACTGTATTTCTAATGTTGCTTCAATTGGTAATTTTCATAAAACGAGGAATCCTTCCATTCGAAAGTAAACCACTTACACGATATAATCAACTTTATAACAAATAAACGATAACTGAAAGAAGAACATAGAACATCTTGTATCAAATTTTGGCCTGACTCTCAATTCTTTTTCAAGAAAAAAGTTTCACCTAGAAAAGTTTTTCGAACAAGATGCTAAAAATTAACTAAAAGTTTTGGCTCTTCACTTTCATCAAAAAAATATATAACTTCATAAGAGCTTTTTTTAACTTTCATAACGCCTTTCAAATAACTTTTTCTGGATTTCGACGAATAGAATTGAACAAAAATGATGTTCAGAGAGCGGCCATTCCATCCAGACTTCTTCGGAGATCGTCGTCGAATGCCGCCTTTCACGACGACGACAGTCCGGCCGATGCCGCCGGTGCGCCCTCTCCAGTCCGGTCGCTACAGCGGACCGACGCCGAGGATCCTGCCGTCTTCTCTGAAGCAGCAGGTCCAGGCTCCGCACGTCATCCGAGCCACGACTCCCTTGACGACGTCGGCCGCCCTTGCCGCCGACAGTCGCCCTTCTCAGCCTCGCTATGTGGGCACTCCAATAGTTTTTTCTAGTCTTATAAGTGGTATTTGTACAGAAGAATAGTTCATTGGTTTTGAAATGTCCATACTGCATGGAAATGTTTTAAAGGTTTAATTTCCAATATGTTAAGTTGACGGGCTAGAAATAAGCGTTAGTTTTGGTAATGTGTATCTTTTCAAAGTTTTATACCATAGAATGAACGATTAATAATTTTAACAGCTTTTGATGAATTTCTACGTTTTGAAAGAATATTATTTTTCACAATTTTTTAAATTTCTTCTTAATTAGATCATAGCTGTTTCATGAAGTCCGTTTACCTCAGTCTGCAAGAAATTTGTAGATCGGAAAGTTTACTCATCTCGTTTCAGACGTTCATTCGTCCTTCTGCTGGAGTTGGAGTGCGGGATCGGATCCCGTCGACGTCGAATTTCGTGTCTCCGCCGAGAGCTGCGGCTCGTCCTCCGATTGTAGCGGAACGTCCTGATATCAATCTCACTGTCAGTTATTCTTTTTTTTTTTCTTAAAGGGATATTGATAGACACACTCGCTTCAAATTTATTTTATTTTCATTTTTTATGTTTTAAGTTAAATAGAGACTTAATGAACATCATAATGACTTACTCTTTGGAAGAAAGTCTGTAGCCCATTCCGCTTCAACGTGTCACGAATTTTTGTCTTCTCATTTACAGGAATCATTGCTTCAAAACTCGCTGCTCTTTTTATTTTTTTATACGCGCCTTTAATATAACGGAAGTTTTTAAGCTGAATTAAAAGCGCAGAGGCCGCACGTGTTTCAGATAAGAGTTCTGTAGTTCGGAGGAAAATATCATGAAAGCTTGGCGCGAAAAGTATCCGCTTTGAACTTGGAAAGAAGGTGTAATCAATATTTTTCTATCATTCTTCAAAAAACTTACTGCAAAGTTATAAATGTATTACTTATCATTGAAAGAACTTTCAGGAAATGGGCGCAGTGTCTCCGGCGTCAACCAACAAATCGGAGAGCATTTCTGTCACCGCTGATGTTCGATCGACCGTTTTTTAAAGATTTAACCTATGAGGGTTCAGGAAGAAGAGTTGGTGGAAGACCGCAAAACTCCGCCGCCACAGAGTCAGTTCCCGCGATCGCGGCCGCCCCAGAACATTGTTCGTGGCGTCACGGGCCCCAGTCGCACCTTCTCCGCGATTCTCCACAGGTAAAAATGATCCTTCCCGAGATTTTCAGCAAAGAATTTGTGTTCCAGAACTGCTCATCCGAGGCCTCCACAAGTTATTCGAGCCCCCGGCAGTCGCGTAACGGATCTCGCCCCGACTCTCCAAATCCAGAAGACTATGCCCCATTCGAGCGGTTTCTTTACATAAAGTATAATCAAGGATCGGAAAAGTTGCAGAGCTTCCCATGAACGTTCTGGAGACTCCACCGAAGAAAGTTGCCGAAACGACGTCGTCTTCTGCACCTCCGAAGGTACTTCTTAAGTTTAAGAGAGAAAAAATTGAGGATTTTTCGGATAAATCTAGTTTTAGTGATTCGTGCAGATATGATTCTTGTAAAGTTTTGTGTAATACTTGAAGGAGATTTTTGGAAAATATAGTTTTTGTACTCAATTTTGTTCTGAATCTAACTTGATTTTTTTCCAAAATCTTTTTATCGTTTTTCAAAATTTTCCAGTGATCTCAACATGTTTTAAAGAAGTTGTCTGATTAAGAAACAGATGGTAATATCGAGAAATCGATGATCGAAACTTAAATGTTTGCAATAGCCTCTGATGCATATAGCTTTCAAAATTGATGAAAACTGCTTTTTTGGTTCCTTTCCCTTTTAACTAAAAATAGAGGTTTGAAGCGATTTTATGAAAGCTTTTTACAAGCTTGTCTTGATGAAATGTTGAGGATCATGTTTCTATCTTTCTATATAATTTATCATATTTTTTTCGCTTTTAGGATCCTGCAGAAGCCCATGTGCAGCAGCCGGCTGAAACTCCGAAAATCATCAGCCGAGTGTCGATAAACGTCTCTGGAACGTCGTTGCCGCAGCCGCCGCATCGTCTCATGAACCGGATCGGATCGCCTTCCGTGCTGCCTCAACGGCTGTCGAGGCCTCCGCCGAAAAGAGCTGGATCGACATTGCCGACGCAGTCTCTGAAGATCCTCCCCAAGGACATGCCACAGCTCGCCGCCGAAGTTCCTCCCCCCGAACTTGCGCCTGCCCAGAAGGACGAGGAACCGCAGAAACCTGCTGATCCTGAGGAAGACGTCGACAGGAAAAGCTCCCTCCGAACACGTATGTCGGATCCAACTTTGGTTAAACCTCAACCGAAAGCCCCGCCGACGCCTCGCAAGACGAAGGAAGTCCCGGCAACGCCTCCGACCAGCGCGAGGACTCCCCGAGCTGCTGCCGTCGCCGCCAACCAGGCCATCAACACGAAGAAGTCTCCAGCTGTCGTCACTCCGAAGGCTCAGACATCGAAATCAGAAAAGCCTCCTGCGGAAAATTTGGAGGTACTTTTACGGATTCATCATATACCCATCTTTTCTGCGGAAGGAATCAAAAAAACTTTCAATTATTTGAATTTTGCTCCTTTTTTTTTGAATCTTGAACTGTTTCGATTTTGAAAAGCCTCATTTTTCTGTAATTTCACAACAAACCTCATAAAACGTCAGTTTTTTAGTAGTTTTATTGTTTTAATCAGTTTGAAATAACGCTCATAGATATTCTTCAAGTTTTTATCGAATCGATTCCTTCTTGCTTAAGTTATTAATTACGTAGAAGAAGTTATTTTTAATTTTTTTCCAACATTTCGAAAACAAATATTGAAAGTTTTTTTCGTTTCAAAACTCAATATTTTTCATTTTTTTAGATGAACACTTCGAGTTCGGAGTCCATGGACCCTCTGAGCATGTTGGCCGCCGTTTCTCTTGCCGACCGGGATCGATCTTCCAAATCAGAGGGTTTCACTGTCCCTCATTCTTCTTTTAAAGTGCAATTTTCCAGAAAGGAAAGAAGAACAATCATCCTCCAAGCCGACGTCAACTGCTGACGCCTCGCAACACACTGACTCTGAAGATTACGATGAGGAACTCTGATTTTCTCTCTTTTTTAACCCATTCTGAAACCCATTCTCATACTTGATATATGTTGAAAAAAAGAAATTCTCTCAAAATCTTGTACTATCCCCACGAAAATCACCTTCCCCGGTTCTTCACTTGTATTTCACATACATTTCACAGCTCAATAAACCGCTCTTGAAAAGATTTCTCATTTGCTTACAGTATTCCCGATGTTATCGAAGCAATATTTGAATCCGATTCGAAAAAAAAACTCATCGGTTTCGATACAGGTTTGTTCATTTACGTTCGCACTTTCAAACTGTCTTTTCTGAAATGACGGCCGAAAGTGTGATGAATCAGAAAGAAGTCTGCTTACAGGCGAGTTTTTTTATCTTTTGAAATTTTTTGACTGGGTGTGAAAAAGAACAGAAATGATATAAAAACGGCTCTTCGCTTCGAGACCCTCTCGAAATTAATCCCTGCTTTTTAAACACGAAAGAAATAAGGAAACGATTATTTTCCACTCTCAACCGGAGGGATTATATTCACCCGAAAAATCCTTTAAAAAAGTAGATTTTCGATGTTCAGTTTCATAATAGGTTTTTTTGAAGAGGAAAATAATATCATTAGGCTCAGCGTCGTTATACAAATAGAATTCCATGTTTTTTTTTGTTTGCTCACAGACAGAATTCTGAAAAAAATAGGAATATTGAAAAAAATGTTGTGATTTTGAAATTTTTTTAAAATTTGTTTGGACTGTAAGTTTTTGTCCTTCTATAATGTAATTTATTCAAAATTGCAGTTTAAATATAGGAAAGAAAATGATAAATTTAAAACTTCCAACTTTAGAAGATTGGTTTTAGGCGGAAGTTCTGTTTCGGCCACAATCCAGGAAAAAATTGAGCAAAAATGATAAGAAATAATGAAATAATGACTCGTCGGGAACACTTTTTTGCGCCAAGCGATCAGGATTTGAAGAGAAGTTTCAGTTTTTGAGTTGAAATTCTAATTTTTAATGGGTTTTCTTGTCATAAATGAAAGAATTTATACGATTTCAAATATTTTGACTTTTGGACCTACAGAAAATCGAGTTTTTTTCGATAAAATTTGGCAATAAATGGATTTATAGTCTGTTCATCGCTGGCTAATAGAAATATTCAATAAAATCTTCCTGTAGTAAGCAAAATAGTGTGCAAAGTGAGAGATTTAGAGGTCAAAACAGTATTTTTCCCTGAGCTAGCGATGAAGGAAGCATATCCTTTGACAAAAGAGCATTTTCCCTGCTCGCCCTCGTCTTTTTATTGCGCCATAAAACGGGTCTCGGAACGACGCCGATCCTACGGTGGTTTATCGACGCACCTTACCTCCCCCCTCCGTTCGGATTTTTGCGACGTCGAGGAGCCTCTGTGTGTTGACCCGTGCGTCGCGTAATTTCGCCGCTCCGCATCGTCGACAACGTCGCGGTTGGTGTTGCTGAATACGTGCGGAGCGGCTGCATAGGCGGCTGCGGTGCGGATCTGCCGCTTCGCGCCGATCACTCGGCTCTCCGGCAACTTTCGCCGCAATGCTTTCCGCATCCGCCGCCGAGCCCTTATGCAGCCGCTCCGAAACGCATTCAACACGCAATTCCAACGGTTAATCATTCGTTTTCAAGTTCTAGTCACTCGGAATATTTTATTTTGATCACTTTGAACATCTTGTTGATATAATTACCTTCATTTTGATATACCTTAAGCCTGGGGTTCATAAATAAGCAACTGTAAAGAGGTTCAAGAACAATAGTCTTTCAACTATGGCTTTTTCTAACCATTTTAATATTGAGTAGCTGTGATAAATTATCAAATTATCGAGTTTACACCTTATCAAAACCTTCCTTATTTTCCTAGTCATATTGGTTCTCATTAGTGGGGGTTTCGAGGCCATAGTGGACAGAAACCACTGTAGTGGTCACTCTGAATATTGAAGTCTTTTTTTAGATTCTAAGCTTGAAACTATTTTATAAACGAGCCCCCGAAAAAAGATATAAATCAACTCTCTATCTGAATCTATTAAAAAGTTGGCTTGATTTCACTTCGTGTTGATTTTTTTTTAAAAATATAAGCCTTTTTTTGATTAGTGATAACAGTACATTCGGTGTTAGCATAAACTAATTTTTTTAATAAGATTATTGAATTATTTGAAAAAAATGTGTGTCCAAAGTAGATTTAGACGTCTCTGTAAGCATTATTGTCCGCATTTTCGTCAAACTAGCGGCGAACGCAGTATATGGGAGTGGTCCCTTAAGTACTCTTCTCGAACTTTTCTTCATTCTATTTTTGGTGCGATACCAAAAATGCATCATTGTTCCGTAGTTAAAGCCATTTTTTGGAGAGCCCCCAGATTATGATTAGAGGTAAATCACTATGGTAACTTGCTCAGAAAGCCCGCATGTCTAAAAGAAATTGTAGTTTGCAGAATCAAAGATCATGTTGGAAACATAGTTTGTGCAAAGCAGATAGATATCCTATAACTACATTTTTTTGAATATTATTTTTTTATTTTTGTTCCAAGACCGGTTTTATTTCTTTTTTTCACATGTCATACAAAAAAACTTCTTGGAACCAATTTTTTTAAATCAGGAAATTAATCTTTTTTTCAAAGATGTCATCATTAAAAAAATGAGACGTTTTTCTTGAGCTTGAAAAAGTTCTTAAACTTTTTTTCGAATATATAGTTGATCCGATGATTGTAATGTTAGAACGGAGCTTTTTCCCAGCCTTTTTCCGTCTTCTAATTGCTAGGTTCAGAATTTATTTCTTTTTTCAATCCTTTTTTTGAAAAAAAGTTGCTCAGATTTTTCAGAGTTCCGAAACAAAAAAATTTCCAATTAAAAAAAGTATTATTATAGTTTTTGTTTTTAGCAGTTTACCTTTAGGATTCTAGGTTTTTTTGTGACTGATTTAATTATCTTGACTTTATTTAGATGATTTTTTTGCTGGCTGTTTCTCAACTATGTTTTGAAACATTTTTTTCAAGAGTTTACAGTAGACTGATTTAATAAGCAGCAAAAAAATTAATATTTTTTTATCCAAACAGTAGTTAAAAACAGATATTTCAGAGCAACGCGGTTGCGTCGTCAAACGAAAGCCAGAGTTGCCGTTTCGCAGAAGCTTCAAAAGGCGAAGAAAAGGACGAAGAAATGTCCGAGGAGCTGGAGAACCAGCGGCTCGAGTTCGACCACAAAACTGTTCCTAAACAAGGTTTTAGTTTTTCATTTGATTAGTTTATTCATGAGTTAATTATTTTCCTCTAACCATTTTCTGTAGGATAGAAATCGCAGAGAACTCTTCTCATTAGAAACCTACGTGGAGCTTTGAAAATTTTCAGTTTTCGTTTTTTAGAACCCCATCGGTATCAGGAAATAAGGTTAAAAAGGATACAAAGTTTAATAGTTTTTCTCATTTTTTTAAAGTTTTTCTCATCATTTTTTTACAAAAAGTTTTTTTGACTCTTGACCAGCAAACCTCGAAAATTTTGAAAAGTCTGTTTTACGAATTTCCTTTGGCCCACAAAAATTGAAGTTATTCCTTGATCTCGTATTTTGTGTAGATCAGAACTGTAGCGCCAAAAAGGAAATGTCGGCATTTTTGTCCTCCATTGTGATATTTCTACTCGGACCTCGGTAACGCGAAACGGACGCTTCTGAGAAATTCTAGATATCACTTAAGAGTTCTGAAGCTACTATAGTGATGACTAGAAATGTTTCGACACGCCCGGCTCGCTTTACGAAGGGCCGAAGATCCTGAACTTCCTTAATTTTCTCAAAACTTCCTCAAAACCTCATTTTTTTTCTCATTCTTTCAAGATCGTAACGAATACTTTTTTTCAAATTTTTTATTTTGGGAATTCTAAAAATTTTAAAAAGCCAAAATCCAAATTTTTCCGAGGACCGACTCTTCTGAGGTCTGGATAACATGCAAAAAAGGAGGAAATTTTTGAGCTTTAACTCTCAAAAGCTGAATTTGTAGACTCCTAGTGCACCCAAGATTTTTGAGCCGATTTTAAGAAGTTTTATGAGTTGCCGGTTGAATATACTTCAATTTTCAGGCCAACGTATGTTTGTATAACGTGGAAATGATTGATTTGCAGAACCAGAAGAGCTGGAAGACGTAGAAGAACTGGTGGAACGGGAAGATGAGCTGATGGAAGCCGCCTCGAGTTCCAACGGAAGCGTCCATCCTCCGTCAGAAGAAGAAATTCACGTTCGTTTTCCTTCCCGCAATTACCTGAGCGAATCGTTTGGCTGACCTTGAATCTGTCGTTTTCCCCTTCACTTAGGGAAATTCTGAGGTCGTTCGGTTTTAAACACGTTTTGAGAAAGTGACTATAATGCAAGATTTTTTTTTTAGTTTTTAGGTCTTCTAGAGGCTATCTAAACATTAATTTAATCAAATTTAATCACAAGCATCCATTTTGATAGCAATAAGAGAAAAATTTCTGCTTTTAAGCGTTGATTGGAAGTATGCTCAAAATATCCTTCACCTGTCAAAAATTGTTATATTTAGCCTTTTTTGCCTCTTTTTTTATCGAAATTTCATCAAGTTTTGGATTTCAAATCTTTCTCAAATTTCATCAAATCTGAACCTTGCTAAACTCGTAAAAGAAGCGCTTCAGGAAAAAGGATCATAAGTTTATTCATTTCACTATATTTTCTTGAACTGCGTATTAGAATTCTTCCGAGTTTTTTCGAATCTGAACATTTTCAGCTACGCCTGATAGACTGCGTGAGAAGTGAGCCGGCCCTTTTTGACCCCAGCGACGAGAATTTCGGAACAAAACGAAGTTCGCAAGCGTTCCGGAATCAAACCTGGAATCATTTCACCGACGAACTCAATTGGAATAGTTCGTTTTCACTTTTTTTTTCTCGTAAATAAAAAGCTTTTGAAGAAAATAATCAATTGATTTTCAGGTCCCGTCTCAATGCAGTCCATTTGGAAATCACTAAAAGAGCGGTATATCCGAAAAAGGAAAGGCGGACAGGTTAATATTATTCTTTTTTTATAGTTCTGATTTCTTTGGAGTCTGTTGAAAAATGATGGTTTATTAAAAATGAAGGAACGATTCGCATTTTCCTTTTCAAAAACTTCATCAATTTTCTTCGACATTCAAAACGGTTATTTTGACTTTTTTTTTTGTTAAGCTGAATTCATTTCCCTAGTTTATTCAAGAGCCCGAACTTTTATTTATACAAGTAATTCAGGTGGAAGCTGAAGATCGGGAAATTTTGACCCCAAAAGTTCTCGAAGCGATGCGGTTTTTCGACCCATTTTTTGGCCTTTCTTCGAATTCCAATCCCAATCCAGGTTCTTTTCTTTCCCTTTTTCGAACCATAAAACGAGCGAACAAATATTCAAATGTGGAAAAATCTATCACGAGAAACAAAGGTAAAATTCTCTGACTCTTAAAATAATTCATAAGTGACAAAATCTGACAAAAATTCGTTTAACAGTTTTTATTAAAGCTCTCCTAGATCGTTTTTCAATTCAGTTTTTTTTTTCGAATTCTGAATTTAACTCGAGCCGCAACGCGACCGCGGTGCTATGAGCCATTCTGATTGCGGCCAGACTCTTGAATTCTCGAAAAATGAAGTACATCGTTAAAGAACATTTTTCCTTGTTTTACTCCATTTTCTAAAGCGCTCGGAATAAAGAAAAAATGATCGTGCAGTGAAATGTTATATTTTGCTAGAAAACGTAATTGTCGACGTGAAATATTCATTATATATGAATACGTAGCAACGATCTTTTTCAGATTCGAGTAATAAATATTTTTGCAGCTTGCATATTAACACGCGAAAAAGACGTTTGGGAATCGCCGCACTCTCAAACAATCCCCCATGACGTCATGATTTCAGGGTTCGTTTTCGGTTCAATACCTAGAAAATATTATTTTTCCTTCTTTTTAGGTATAAACCGCAGACGCCGACGGCCAGGACCAGAATGATGGAAAATGAACCCGTCACTACTAATAGCACCGGTTTGTTTCAAACTTACTGGAGACTTGAAATTATTGAAGACTTTAAGAAATAATATTGTTTCAGTTCTTTTTGTTACCGTAAACTGATTTTTGAAGAGTGCAATAACTCGCATATTTCAAAAACATGAAAAAAACATTTTTTTATGATAACTTATTTGAAATCATATTTTTATTATAAAATGTTTTTTTCCAGTTCTGAGAAACTTCCTAATTAAAGTTATTATCAAAAAAATAAAGCCGGTTTCAATAAGAAATTTTTTTGAGAATTTTTCTTGAAAATGAATCTCAAAAAGAGTTTCAAACTCTATTCTTTCTGAAAAGAAATAACTAATTTTGGATTTATTCGGAGGGTTTTTGAAATTGCGAAGCGGTAGAGTCAACGTGGCTAGCATCACGTAAGCGCGCATCCTTTGCAGTTTTACTTTTGTTTATTTTAAAATTCTTCCTTTCTTTATAGTTTTTGATATATCCATGTTGTCCCTTCAGTTAACACTTCGAATGGGTTTTTTTTTGTAAAATTTGCTCATTAAGCTGCTATAACTTAATTATGCTCTTGTTTCTATCTTTGTAATCCTTGTGCTTAAAAAAGCTTAAACTAACCGGGATTTGAATACTTTTTTGTCTTTTTGTAATTTGTTTTAATGCATTGAATCGCATTCAGGAACCCTGCGAGCTCTCAAGGAGAACGGGATGATGGTAAAAGAAAAGAACCCAGAACAAAATAATGAGCATGAAGGTTTTCCTTTTGGGTCACATTTTCTTTCAAGCCAGACTTTTAAGAGAAAGATGAGCATGATGTTACTTTGGATGCGGATTTACTGAGAAAACAGCAACAGTTCATTTCGACTAGCTGGAAATCCCGTGTTATGCTTTTGATAAAACAAGGAAAAGTGCAGCGGGTTGGGCGACTGTCTTTTCGAAAATAATGGAGGTTTTGAGGAAGTAAGCGCTAGTTTCCCGTCCCTGGATGAAATCATTCTCAAGAACTCCAAGCACACGGGCTATCTCCAGTGCCGGAGGTGCCGGATTCTGTTTAGCGTGAGCGCCGGAGGACACATTCAGTACTGCACATTGCATGAAACCTTGAAAAGGAGACTTTTCAGACGCCATGTCTCAACCAACTGCCCATATACAGCCGAAAAATTACAAGAAGCCATTGAAAACGATCCCGAAACTGGTAGGAACTCTTAGAGGAAACGAGTTTTTTGTCATGAAAATGTTCGTTTCTTTGGACTTTCTGTCCTTTTATGTCACTGCACTTACGGGTTTTTTTTATTTCTCAAATTCATATTTCAATTATGGAATTTATTTTAGCGTGTTTTCTTGAGAGTTTTTTCTGAAAAATCTCACAAGAAAATCTCAAATCGGTCAATAAAAAAGTATATCGCATGTTCGAATAATATTTTTAGCTTCTCTTCTTGATAGAGTCCTTGAAGTATCATTATTGATTTTTCTTAGTGGTTTCGTTACAAAATACAGTTCCTTTTTCTCTCTCAATACATGTTCTATCGCTTTGATTACTATTCGTTGATTAAATATGCTGCATGACCCGAGGCTCGGAACGAAAAGAATAATCGAAAAGAAGACGAGACCGCTTCGCAATGCATGACCCTCGCGCAGACTTGTTTCTCAGATAAAGATGTACTATGACTAGTTTGGAATTTTTACTAAAGATCTTTTTTGCGCGAAATATGTTTATTTTCAAGGGACAAAAAATTTTGGCTTAAATTTTCGCAAAACCTGTTCAGAAAATGTGCGACAAGTATTGATTTACGGATTTAAAATGACGAATATTATTTTACTGATAAATCATCTTCTTCTCGTTCAGGATACGTAGTGGTGCAACCTTCGACGGGCCACGTCAACCGGACAGCTCGACCTGTGAAAGCACATCCAGCCGCGGCCAACGAAGACCCGACTCCAGCTCAAAATTCAAAGTTTCCATCGCTTCTCCTTTTTTTTTCTAACTCCTATATTCAGCAGCTTGCCGCCTGCTCGACCCTACAATCAGACTCCAACGAGGCGATTTATTGTGAGTTTTCAAAGGATTTTTTTTTTCTTCGCTAGTGCTCATGAGCTTAATGAAGACTTTAGCCATAAATCTTCCTCCCTTCGAAAACGTCTCCTTTCATTTTCAAGAGAATATTCAGGTACACACTGGCCCCAAACACAGCAATGGGTCGGCTGCACCTGGACAATTTATCGACAATTCCACGGTTTCGGTAACGGCCAGTGGAAATTCCGGGATGGTTGGGCACATCAAAAAAGGTGAAATTTTGTCTTCATAGGCTTTTTTTAAAATCCTTTCCGAATCTTTGAAGAAGTTCAGACTGGATTTCATAAAGGTTTTAAGGTTTGGTAAAGTGAGTAAATATGACTTCGAACATTTCAGCAAGGTTATGTTCATTTTTGGCTTATTTGCTAAACTTTTCGTATTTTATAGCACAAATTGTCTATAAGATTTGAAAACTGGAATTTTTACAGACCCAAGAACAATGACAATGCTCGTGGACACGTCGACGTGCTATCAAAACGGCTCGGGCCAGAAAATGTTCCGACTTTTCACGGTTCCGTCGAGCGCCATGCAACAGCCGCACCAGGCGCCGTCGACAGGAGCCGCGGTCCCGACTTCGGTCGCCGAGACGCCCGTTTCCATGACCGAATATGAGGGACATCATCGCATGATCGACCCTATGATTGACAGCAGAAGGTTTGGTTTCCAGAAGAAAACAATTCAAAACATTATCGTCCCTGGTAAGTTGCCAAACCTCCAAGTATCAAAAGAAGGTTATCCCGAAGGTTATTATTTTTTTTTTCAAGCCTTTTGTAAATAGGAAAATTCCATATACAAATGAACAGCTTAAGTTAGACTCAATCTTTGGAAGTAAATCGTGAGAATGAGAAAAGTCAAAATAAAACTCCATTTCCTCACTTCTTCCATTTTTGTTTTCTAACTGGAAGCTTCTGATCAAACTCGTAAGGATTCTTCATTTTAACTTTTTTTTCACTAAATTCAAACGTCCTTATTTGAAGCCAACGTCTAAAAAATTCATTGCTGACAGGAGCAAACTCTTTTTCAAAGCGATTTTCAGTGCGCCGCCGCCAAGGAAGAAAATAGCGATGTCGATGCCCCAGAGACACGGAAGTCCGTCGACGTCGCACCACGTCATGACTTCTGTCGCTTCTCATCATCCTTCCAGTCAGTTTTTTCGAATGGTCCGAAATAGAGAATGTATCGAGTCAACCACGGTGGATTTTCTAAAATTCCTCTTTGGAAACTGTAATCTAACGTGCGCAGAAAGTTCATATCCATAATTTTATTGAAACGGGATTCTTTTGAAGTATTGAAAAAGGCGATTAAAAAAGCTTTCCCCCTTTCAAAATTTGTTTGAAGGACTACCAAATCCATCGTTTCTTTCTTGATAAAAACTTTATTGCTCAAATTTTTTTCATTTAGAAAGAATTAAAATTTGTCTTATATCATAGATTTTTTTCAAAGCTTTTTAAAAAAATTAAGTTGAGAAATTGGGTTCTTAAGGGAGAATTCGAACATTTTCTACGAGCTTATCTTTCTGATTATAATTTTTTTCAAGTGTAAATTGATTCGAGTTTTGAGAAGTTTGATGTAAATTTTCTGTATAAGCTATTTGAAACTGAGCTTCGTAAAAAATCGAAGAAGTTCTGTTTCTCCAGATTACGCCCAACATCCGAACGCCCACCACATCTCTTCGAACACGAACGCCGTCTTGGCGAGTACGTTGAGACACTCTTTGGACGGCCTTCTGACGTCTGGGACCGAGGACGAAATCATCGAGGACGGAATCCAGGAGGACACCCTCGTCATTGATCCCACTGGTCCAGACTCATTCCAGCCATCTTTTTTCCACAAGATATGGTTTCAGAGGAAGAATCTCCGTTGTTAAGCGAATCTCCTGAGCTCAGCTCGTGTATGATCAGCGGTCAGCAGACGATCCAGCCGAGAACTTCCATCCACCATCATCATCATCATTCCATGGGTTAGTTTGAAGATATGAACTAATACGGATGATAAATATGAGATCAATCCATTTTGCATCCATTTTGTTGCTTTGAGGTGAAAATTTCGAAAATAAAGGTTTTTAGGAAATTGGACGCCTGGAGGCTAAGGCTACATTAAGACTGAGAAAAACTCGTCAAGCATGAGGCTAAAAAAGATGCGAAAATGAAGAGAAACGACGCGAAAAACTTTAAGGAAAATATAATTTTTGAAAAGGTTTTCCGAAACCATTCAATTTTGTTAAATTAAACGTGATTCATCCTTGTGTGAATCGCATGTTTCAAACTACACCAGAGCAAAAAGAGAACGGGAGTTACAGTTTCAGCACGGAGGAGCTCTCCGGACGAAGAGCCGGCGATGATCAACAGCCCGTCTCAATACGACTCTGATTTGCAGTTCCAACAACTCATCAGCAGCCATTTGAGCCGAATGAACGATGATGATGTTAGTTTTTCTGAAATTATTGAAAAGGGATCATCAGAGAAAGGAAACTATTTATTCCAAGTTTCATCTCGGAGACTACGATCATTTATGCGGCTTTTTTCTTTCAATATTCAATATTCAAACCCTTTTTCTTTTACGAATGTGAATTTTTTGAGTAAACAACTGCTTTTAGAAAATTTGAAGTTTTTCAAAACTTAAATAATAAGGACAAAATGGAGTCCTATGCCTAGAAAACATTCATTTTAAAAGTGAGAAAAACTTTAATTATTTTCTTTTTTGGTTTTAAAATAACACAACAAGTCCAAAATCACTCTCCAATAACCCGAAATCTAACTTTGCCCTCTTTTACAAATTTTATGTTTAGAAAGCGATAATGAAGTACAACATCCAACGGATAATGCTCGACGTGAGATTCGGTTCTGGAACTTCAAATAGAATAGTTCATGTATGATTCCCCTCATTGTGAAGAATCTCAAGTGCTTTTTTAGGAAGAAGAAGTGGAAATTTCGGACGTCGTCTCTCACGAAATGGTTGGCGATCCAGATGAACCCCATTGATTTTACATAAAAATTATAAATACTTTTTCCTCGTTCCTATCATCACATTCCAAATTATTTATTTCGTTATCAATTTTTTTTTCTTTGTCAAGAAACTTGCATCTCATTCATTGTCTCCAGTGATATCTAAGTATCATATTCACTTTATCCTTAACTTCATGAGCTTTGTGTTAATTTCTAATGATTTGTTCTCTTTTACGATTGTATCGATCGGGTCGGGCATAATTTTGTTCTTTTCTCTTTTCTTAATCTGATATGTTCGTTATGCTCGGAATATATGTCTCCAATCTATTGAAACATTTTCTTATACAAGAAATCTCATGAAACTATGGAAAATAATGAAGAGAACATTTTGGTTTTTTTTAATGATGAGCAATATTTATGAACTGGAAAAAAGAAATGGATTGAAAGGTTAATAATAACATTTATATACTTACAAGCAGAACAAAATAACACGTACAAGAATGGTTCGAGACCGAAAAAAAAGGTTAGGAAAAAAACACTAGCAGAAAAAGAAAAGAACAGCTCCCATTGGAGATCTGAGATAGTAGTGAATTTATTTTACGACCAATTTCGCGGAGAGGTTTCTTAATCCTCCAACTTTTTTCTCTCCTATTTCCCTGTTGAGTTTCAGTTGTTTTAATGTGATTCAATGACGCAAGTTACGTAAATATGCTTGACAAAGGCAGGAGACGACGCTTGACCCGAAGGAGTTGCGCAAGCGGCGCAAAATTAATGAAAAGGCTCTCGTTTGGGCTGCCGCCAGGCATATCAATTACAGGTTGAGAGGATGCGCGGTAATCTCCCGGGAAGCGGCGGCCGGAAAAGGGATTACTTACCGTCCAGTATTTGTTCAACAATCCAAGGATTCGGCCACTTTATTAGGTGCTAAGGACAGTCGAGGCTTCGGAAAGAGCTTTTTCTCGTTTTGATAGGTCCTCTTGGTTGTTCTTTTCTAACTAAAGAAAAAACCGTTCTTGCTGGATTTTCAATGAGCGAAAACATATTGAATGAAAGTCTCTTGGCGACGTTCTCATTGTTTTTTGGACTGTACTGGAATACCTTGAAACCGGTTTCTGAACGAATTGTGGAAGATTCGACCCCTGTCATTCCTATGCTCAAATGTAATATTGATGCAACTACAAAGTGAAAAAATAAACTCAAACGAAGTAAGAAAGGGAAAATCTAGATTTCGGAATCGTGAATCTATTCACAGTTTTCCAAATAGAAATATCGAATTAAAAATAAATAAGTTACTCGAAAAGAGCGTATAAATTTAACAATTTATTTACAAAATTACTTTTGAATTATAGATTTCTAGACCTCAGAAGTCAAAGCCTTCATCTTTCACTCAATACCGACAAGTTCAGAGGCTAAACAGGAACAAACGAACTCTCACTGTTCATTAATCATCAAAACGAAGAAATTGGCTGCTGTTCATGGAATGGAAGATGTGACCTGAAGCTCTCGGATTGCGGTTCGTCGGCACGTTTTCCGCGACAAACACGGCCGACACTTCATTAGTGCGGCCGACCCCATATGTTGCTAATAAGATTAATCAAGTCATAGTGGAGTCAATCGAGGCGCGAGAAAAACAGTCCGCACCTACCGTACTCCTTTTCTGTTCGTTGGCGCATCTTTGCAGCCGTTATTTGCATTTGTATCGTGCCACACGGCTTCGGCAGTAATAAAGAAGCGGCTAAGATGTTCCCGACGGAGACGGACTACGGCTGGATTATACGATCACAACGTGTATTGTTCCGATTGGAGCCAACTGAAGGCGGCTCTTTTTGGCGGGACACTTTTGCTCCGGGTTTTTGAGCCACCGGTTGGAGATACTGTCGCTGTACAGAGATGAAAAATATGAATAGACAGATTCAAGAATCTTTTGTTGCAGAAATATATCGATGACCTCGAACCCGATTTAAAGATATTTTGTCCGGCCTTATAAACATCAATTTTAAGCTTTGAAAGTCGATGTTTAAAATATTCATTTCTAGGACTTTTTTTACTTTCACCTTTCATTAGTTTGTAGCCTCATTTTCACATTTTTCACACACACCTTCAAGAAACCTTGTGAAGGATCTCAGAAGATTTTAGAAAAAGCTCAAAATCAAAAAAAGAAAAATTAATCACCCTCAAATTTGATTGAGAACTAAATTTTTTGAGAGACTTGAGTCCAGTGAATCTTCGAAAAATTTTGAAAAAGTCAATCCAAACCTTGATACAGCTCCAACAAAGTCAAAATATTATAAATGAGAGTTGATTCTCCTCCAATGCCCTGACTTCAAAAGCTCTCTGCTTCTGACCATTTGGTCTTTTCTCGAAACGCCGTCATAAATCCAGGACGGAGCAAAAGAGCCGCGTCGAAAACCGCTGCGGGGTGCCTTCCACGGTGGCCTAATGAAAATCGCGGCGCTGATGGATCACTGGGACGGGCAAGGCGGCGCGGCGTCTTCTGTACTGTCAGTCATGCGTTTCACACTCGACCAGTCAGCCATTATGCTAATCCAATTGAGGTTCGCGCCGTTCCGAGACCAATTACGTCACATGCTTCGAGCCTCGGCTGTAATTACAAGCCGAAACAACTTCGCCTCACCGCTGATCCAACTTTTTGTACAACTTCTGGAAGAGCTATGGTTAGATCTAGTGTTAAAGAAGCTTTCATAAAAGCCGAAGAGCTGATTCCAGTGGAAGTTTATAGGTCTGCTTTTTTGAAGAGTAGCTCTAGGAAGAACCATAGTTGTCGATTCATCTCTCTTGACTCAAGTTGCAGCGAGTGGAGGAGGACGAGCTCAAGCTCTAGTGGAAGACTGAGCAAACAGTCTCATGCTGTCGGGTCAGCCCGATTTATGGCACGTGTCTTCCGCTTTTAACACATATTCCTCTTCAGAAAGTTGCCATTCAGTCGACTTTAAGTGGGTGAATCCACTTCCCAACTGATACTTACCGAAAATTGGGCGATAACAGGTGTCCAAGCGAAAATGTAGGATTGAAATTTTACCTTACTCAATTTGTCCTAAACTAATTCGTTGAGCCTTTAGTTATTTCCACATAGAAAAAAATCTCGCAGGGAATATGATCCTGTTATCATCAAAAATTGCTTTCCAGTGAAAAACTCAAATGAATTCTCGAGTTTCCAAGTCCTTAAAAAAATATCGTTGAATAGCAAAGAACTCAGTATAAAAAACCGAAATAGTAAATAATCTGTATACTGAAGATAATAAATTTAACGCAGCTTGGGGCAAAGATGCTGTAGACATCTAAAACTATCTTTTCTGCGCCCTCTCCCTAAAGAAGAAAATGAACCAAATTGAATAGAACGAAGAAATTTTTTTGGATTCTGAATAGCAAAGCACCCTTGTCTCTCAAAATCTCAAGCCATTCAAAAAACGATCTATTCATTGTTTCGAGCCCACTCAAAGTGCCTCCATGATGTAACGAAGAACTGGTTACCTAACAAAAACCGGGAAAAGGATAATCCAGCGTAGAACAGACGAAAAAAGGCGTCAATTGACCTAAGCACTCGAAGGTTTCGAGAGGGTGCCAGCAACAGTTGTCCACTCGGTCCGATTATCGAGGAGCAGCCAGTTGAGAGGCCAAAAAACGGTAATTATGCGCAGAGCTGTTGCCAGCTATTGTGACCTGGGTTAAGAGGCAATTATGATAAAAAATTGAGAGTAACCCGGTCATTGAGAGTGCGCCAAACTCTTGATTATTGTACACGTTTAATTGACTGATCGAGGCATAGCATTATTAGTGCACTTCCGGCTAAATTGTTGCTTTCAACTAATTGAAGACTTTAAATATCCCTCTAAAAGTCCAATTCGTGATTTTTTCTAAAACTAGGTCTGTCCAAAAATAGCTCATCCAATTGAACTTTAAAATCGAGTTGAAACGTTGACGCTTTTCGAAAGCCGAATTCTGAACTTAAAATTTAAAAAAAGCCGATTGAAGGCAAAATTAATGTTTTTTTGTTGATTATAGAGATAAGATAGCTCAAACAACGTCGGATTCGCTTCGCTTGACGAATTTTTTTAGCGTAAAAACTTTAACATAGGTCGTTTTTTTCCAGCTTTAAAGTGAAAATAGCAAAATTAAAGCTGAATAAGCGTTCATTGTGGTATTCCCATCAATCGAAATATTACGCTTAAAACCATGTAATTTTTTTAAGAATAGAAAGATATTTAACCGTTTGATTTCAATCAAAAAAATAGTTTGAAACCTTGAGATAGAAAAAAAGTTTAGAAGGCCCAAATTTTTTTCCTACCTAAATTTATAAATAAAAGCCAAAAAAACACCAAACAAAAAAATAATATAAAAACACAAAAATAATAATATTTCTTTGAACTTCTACAAGTGAAAATTTCGCTCTACTATCCACGATTGTACTTTTCACTGTAAATCGCCTTTCCATGGCTTGAGTCTTCCGTTGCAAACTACAGTAATCCTGGAGATGGGAGGAGCCAGCCGCGCCGCCCCTCTCGGTTCGGAGCCGACCGCCCGGGAGCATCATTCGCGCAGAGCTCAGCGCCAACAGGCGGTCAGCTCGGTTCACTGTCCTTTTTTATCTTTCATATGCAAAAGCTCTTTTTCAATACTTAGTAATGTCAGCAATTTGATTGAAGTTTTTCGGCACAAAATCTAGGACTTTCCTTTTCTAGCTGCTTCTTCCTTCAATTTAACCCTATGCTGAAATTTATCAAATTCTTCAACCTGATTTATTATAGTCACCTCCACCTCTAAAAAACCAGCTCAGCCCGATTTTTATTCTTTATTATAGAGAAAACCCTCTCAATTTCTCCTTTCCCGCAGTCGCCCGAAAATGTATACCGTTTAGTTCTCTGAATCCAATCTTACAAAGACTTTTTCTCAATTTGCAGTAAGCTTTTCGAAATGGCGCCTTCGACCTCTTCGTCTTCGTCGTCGCCGGAAGTCGGTGACCAGATCAAGCGCAAGCAGCGGCGGATCAAGGCCAACGGCCGAGAACGAGCCCGAATGCACGGCCTCAACGACGCGTTGGACGTCTTGCGGCAGGTGAGACCACCACCTTTTATGCCTTTCCGGCGCCCAGGGAAAACGGCTGTCTAATGAGTCCTGACATCGAGACGTAATTGTGGTCAGACCAAAAAGAAATCGAAAAGGGCTTGTATCCGAGAACATTTTGAAAGAGTTTTACCTTCTTAAAAGTAAATGGCTGAAACCGCTCAAACCAGAAAGCGGAAGGAGTTTTTCCAATACAGGAAACTTTCGTAAGAATCATACAGAACTACTAATAACTTTCAAATTAATGTAAAATATGAAGAACTCCATCATTTTTTTTGTAAACTTTTTGTTTTTTAGATTTTTTGGAAACGAATCAGTTTTCCTATGAATTTCTTAAAAATTTGGCTCAAAGTCTTGAATCACCTAGAATCCGACTTCGGAATTTAACAAAAATAATTACATTATATTTCCAATCCTAATTTCAAAAGAATATCAATTTCAGTACGTGCCGCTGACGACGCAACACCAGAAGTTGAGCAAAATTGAGACACTACGGCTGGCACGGTGAGAATTGCATAACTTCTGTTTGTAAAACGCTATTGGCCTGGAGCAAATCTATCAAATTACCCGGGGTTGACATGATGGCACTAGGCCATATCACGTGTTGCTCATGTTAACAAACAAACACCATTTTGGTTGCCAAACAGAAGCTCGAGCACACGTGCAACAGTATCACTGCGATCCGAGCAAATAAACCTCATTCTGGGTAGTTTTTGGATTTTTATGTGGCGAAAGTTCTGAGCGATTCGAATTTTGAGAAGTCCAGCTGAGCTCATTTCCTCAGTGCGCAGGTCAAATAGGGTAATAAACGGGGGTTGCGTAATGAGAACGTAAACCGCTACGAATATTTTCTTGACAATTATACGGATCTCATCACTGACCAGAATATTAAAACATTAAAGTCATTGTGAAACTTGAAATTTTCTTTAAAAGTCTTTCATCAGCCGAAAATTTTTCAATTCAATAAAAATCTCCTATTTAACTTTCTTCTTCAATCAAAACTTTAATCAAAATCCGTCAGTTTTTTTTCTAAATCTATTAACTGAACAGTTTATGAATAAAAAGCTAACTCCTGACTAGGAATCTAGAACTAAGATGCTACACGGAAACTCATTTCAAGACATTACCCAAAACGTGTGTTGCCAGAAGATGCATTTTAATTACCGCCAACTGTTGCGCGAAACGGTTTTTATTGCGAATTCTTGGTGCTTCATTCCAATTTTGGCGCATGACGTCTGCAAAGCCATAACATGAGTAATAATCGGCAATAATTTGCAGAAACTACATCGGCGCCTTGCAACAAATGCTGCAGTCTGGACGTCAGCCGACGCCTCTCGAGTACGCCCATCAGCTCTCCTTCGGCCTTTCCCAAACCACCACCAACATGCTCGCCAACCTTCTACAGGTAGTCCCAATTCTACATGGTTGACAATTTCTATCGATCAATTTTCTGTATTCCTCTTACTAGAAAAGAGTCTGAAGTTACAGTCAGACTAGGATTGCTGAATTGATCCGATTTCCTGGTTCTTGAAATGACAGTTTTTGAGCACAAATCTAGAAATTGCGAGAGAAACTGCATGTCTCATTCAAAATGGTCTTATTTTTTAATGAATTCCAGTTCGAAATTATTGAGACATTTCTTTAAATACCTAGTTGGACTTTCTGATAAATATTGATAAACATCTTCTTTTACAGGTTCAACCGCGGATGTTACTGCCTCCGAGTGGACTTCCTGTCTACGAACAGCCGTCCTTCTCGCCTTGCAGTTCGGCCTACTCTCCAGTGGCTCCTTCGGCCGTTCAGCCGCCGATCACCGGATCTCCTCCGTATTTCTACGCAGCCGACGCTGCTCCGCCGCAACCTAACTTCGGATATCCACAAGGGTCCGAGTCCCACTATCATTGTTCTCCAACCAACAACAATTATCCTTACTCTTTATGATATGTTATATATCGGTTATTCCCCTTTAAATTTGAAATTCAACTCTAAAAAGTTCAGACTTTCGGATTTCTCCCTACCCACTCACAGTTCCCATGCAGCACACGTTCCCAACTAATTAAATAGCCGCGCGGCTCAATTGTTCACTTCCACTATTAACCTCATCCACACGGGTCAAACTCTGCTTCGCTTTCTTCGCTCAATACATGGTAACGAACATTTTCTATATTTTCAATAAAGTATTTTTATAATGAAGAGAGAGAAAGAGAAATGTATTCAAAACAAAGGGCTGGATGGGACGTCGCCAATTAAGGGCGATTGGCCGAGACGCTGACCGATGAAGCTGTAAATTATAGCCGGAAACGAGGCTCTAACCTGTCCCATCCGTCATCTTCTAGCAACAACTAACAGTTTGATGGAAAAAATAAATTACTCTCGCTACTATTTATTGAGAAGAGGTGTACAAAAAGTCTGCAAAAATATTTTGTATCCCTTCAATCAATACCAAGATTCTTTAGACTTGTGCTTTTTTTAATAAAAACTTTTGGAGTCTTTCTTTCTGAAAAACTACTTCAATTCTGGACCTTATGAAAAACGATACCTTTCAGGAAATTCCTGGAAAATCGACATACCGATCTCGTTCCAAAATCCCAAAAGAAAAGCCTCGGACAGGTTGAGAAAGGTGACAAATTACAGTAGAGCCGGCCGCGTTTCACGGTCTGTTGGATGGCTTTTTTTCGGCGGCCCCCGCCGTTTTTCGTCGGCGAGGCCTTTTGTCACGTTCGTTCTGTACCCAGCTTGATTGATGGGGCTTTTTGAAGGCTTAACGTTCGGTAGACAAACAAGCCTTCAAGATTTTCAAGCTTTAAAGATTGAATCTATGAATAGAAAATTAAAATTGTTGTATTGTATGAATTGTCTCAAAGAAGGAAAGGCATTTTCCTTTTTTTGTCTAGTTATGCAAAAATCTAGTGTTCCTAAACAAATACTTTCGAAATGGCTTTTAAAGAATATAGAAAAAGGCTTATCCAAGAAAAAATTAGAAAAGAAAGACACATGAGGAAATCTTTTTTTTTAAACTTTGCTTATTAACCCCTAAAGGCGCTACTACAACTCTTCTTGAATCTGGTCACAAATCCAGACTCCTCGTGTATATAAATCTCATGTCCATTCATATTCACAACTTTTATTCTTCTCCTGTCCTTTTTGTAACAAAAAAACGAATCAATCAAGCCTTCCATGCATTTTCAATAAGACAAAACTTCAAACAATCGAATTTCTATTACGAATTCGGCTGAGGTAACGTGCCAGGCAGGATAATTGCCGTAGCCCTAATTATTTCATCACATACAGTATGCAAAAAAGTGGAAACGCTTCGAGATCTCGGGCCACCTGCCTTTGTTTTCACCTTCTTCTTGCAAAAACCTTATTTCAGAAGCAACATAAAGCCAATGCTCGATGGAATAAAGATTTATCATGGCATGCACGGTCAATGGAAACTTAAAATCAATTGAAAAATGTCCTAATTTCTTGAAAATATTGAAAAACCCGTTGAACTTTCACAAAAACCCAATAATTTTGCGAATAGCTAACATATTGTTTTCTGCGATTTCTCTCGCGGTCTCGCCGTTTTTTTCAAGAAGTTTGTCGATCTGCAAGCAGGAAAACTCAAAGAGTTCATTTTTTGTCATTATTAATGTTTCGTGCAATTATGAATATATCAATACTGGCTTGAAAAGGGAACATGCATGCTCGGATCTTCTCCTCACGAACCATATATCTTTGAACGGAATTTTTTTCTACATAACAGTGGTAAAAAACTTTGCAAATAAAATAGTATCAAGCTAACCTCATCGGTAGCTTCAAGTCCCTGAAAACGGTCCCGAATAGGTGTCAAGAGGCGGTCAACTTCCTCGGCGAGATTTTCCTTCAGTTGCAGCGTTGTCCAGTTCTTTGAGCTCAAAGAGGGAGCATCTACACCAGTCACCGCTGCGTACAAGTCTAGCTGTAACATTTTCAAACTTTCGATTCAACTAAAACTAGGGAAAATTTACTTGAGAATGAGCCTGAAATTTCTTTACGAAAATTCACATATCACATTAAAGCTGAAAGAATTTCGAAAACCTCTTTTCGGTTGGTTTTTCTTATTCATCTTTTTGTCATAGTTCATTCTACCAGCTTCAAGATTTATATCCAGACTAAGCTCAAAACTTTTCTTTAAAACTAATAAACCGTAGCTAAGATAATGTCAAGCAAGCAATATATGACAAATGTTAATTTTTGATATCTATTCTTTTTTGTATTGATTTCAAGTAGTCTTACAAAGCCCTATATTTAATCTTAAGGTCCCCAGCGAAATTGACAGAAAGTGGAAAAAAAAATATCCATATAAATGAGAAAAGTTTTTTTGAAACTTTATTTTTATGAAGTCGACCCCATTGCTTAAAAAACGTTGAACTAACCAAACTAGAAACAGCAGGTCGCAAATTGTGATCATAGGTGACGACGCCCAGGTTATCGCTCACCGCCTTCCGACACTTTTTCAAAAAAATGGCCTCGCGCGAATCCGTTATCTATTTTTTTTTTATAAAACATCACATTTAAATACTTTTCAGTTACCTCGATTCTGGACTTTTCGCTCGGAGCAGATTTGCTCATTTTCTGCGTCGGATCACGAAGACTTTTCACTCGAGCATGTACTTCGCGGGTCACTTGTTTCGGGATCGGAAAAACGTCGGTGTCGAAAGTTTTGTTGAAAGCAAAGGCCAAGTCCGACAGAAGATTCATATGTTGGCTCTGGTCAGCTCCAACCGGAACATGACTCGCCTGTAAAATGGAGTACGCTATATGAACTACTATTTTATATTTATAAAAAAGTTTCAGTTCAAAACTCAAGAAGGATATCAAAAAAATTTGATTTTACGGTTGGCGAAATTCTGCAAACACGCGTTTGTAACTTGCATTTTAACTCACGCGCACTATAGAAACGTGAGACTTTTTAATTTCAAAGTTATTTTTTTATACTTGATCCATAAACGTGAGTTTAAAGCTTACGTTGCACTACACGTCATTGTTAATCATATTTAAGAAAAGTTCACATCAGTTAGCGAATCTGGTCAATGAACAAAGCGATCGTCTTTCTGCTGTTTTTTACAGGTTTTTCAATGCTTTTTAAAATGTTTCATTTCCTTTTTCACCTTTATTCTGTTCAAAATTTCCTTGCTGCTGGTTTTTGAAGGTGCAGAGGACTTAAAGGAGCTAAAAAAAATCTAAATGTTCATTCGTCTGAAGAAATTCTTGGAATTTTTTCTATGTTTTCTTTCTATTCAACCTAATTATTTTATAAACACCCACCAAAGTTTATTCATAAATGAACGGTTAGAGAAATGATCATTACCAATAATAGTGAAAATCGGAAAATTGAAGCTGTCGCGTCTGCATTTTACACATCGAAAGATGACGTCGTTGAGCTAACTGATGGGAATTTCGACAAAGTAGGTTTTCTCGACATTTCTTTGAGCTCAAACTATTTTTCAGTTGGTGACAAAGGGAAGTGATGCCTGGATGGTTGAGTTTTACGCACCTTGGTGCGGCCATTGTCGAAGCCTGACTCCGGCTTGGAAGAAAGCCGCCACTCAACTCAAGGGGAAAGTCAAGGCTAGTGAAAGCTTCTTTTTTTTTAGAAAATGAGAGGTGATATCAGGTCGGAGCGGTGGATGCGACGAAACACGAACAACTAGCCAGAAGACACAACGTCAACGGCTACCCGACCATCAAATTCTTTTCTCCGGACGGCGAAGTCATCGAATTCGACGGCGATCGTTCGGCTTCTGGTATTGTTTCGTGGGCAGAAAACAAGGTCAGCTTTGAATTCGAATTAAATAATGATTAGATTGTTCTCAAGGCTGCCGATTTCAAGCCTCCACCGACTGTCATCGAAAGGACCAACTCAGAAAAAAGTCGAAGGTAATTGTATTCACAGAATTATCAGTGAAGATATTCGATGACTTTTATACATTTGGAGTATTATCACGTTCAATGAGATAATTTAAACTTAATGAGTACTGAGTCTATGATATACCAGCCTGGCGACCTTATAACTGAATTAAAAGGGTCTGTAACGGGTACTCTGATAAAAATCATTGAAGATATATCCAAGTTCTACATTTTAATTTCTGTCAGAAGCCTGTAAGGACACTAAACTGTGTGTGTTCGCATTCCTGCCTCACATTCTCGACTGCAACGCCAAATGTCGCAAGAAGTACGTGACGATGCTTCAGAAGCTGGCCAACAAGTTCCGCAAGCAGCACTGGGGGTGACCATCATCCCCTAAGTCTTCAGAAAACCAGAGCTTTCAGCTGGGTCTGGTTTGAGGGAGGAGTTCAGACTGCGGTGGAGCGCGCTTTCAACGTCCAAGGTCTCGGATATCCCATGTTGAGTGCCGTCAACGTCCGGAAAGGCAAGTACGCAACGATGCGCGGCTCTTTCTCCGAGGACGACATCGGCTCCTTCCTTCTGGGTCTCTCGGTCGGCAACGTCAAAGTCGGCATCCAGTCGCTTCCGGTTCGTTTTTTCAAGAATCAAATGAAAGGTTTTATTGTTTTCCAGGATGAAAAGATGCCCGAAGTTATCGACGCCAAACCATGGGATGGAAAAGACCAGAAAGTCGAATTTTAATCAGTTGTTTTTTCAAAGTTTTGTTAGTAGAGAATAAAGTATTGCTCAGACGGATTTTTTGTAGATTTTCGTTCGGCTATATCAGAGCGATAGAAAGAAATAATCACTTAGTGGCCAAGAATTCAGTTTTTAGAATTGACCGGAAATTTGTAGAAACTCTGTTTTTATACTGAAAAATCTGCCCAAAATTTTTTGAAGCTTCAGATATACAGAAAAAAAAAAGTTTGCGCAAATGGCAGCTGGTTCAGTTTAGTTTTAATAACATACGAAAAGCGCTTCTTCCGATTTACATTCATTTTGAAAACCTATTTTTAAATAACCTTATTCAAAAATAAACCTATACTTAGCGCTCTACATGCATATTTTCGAAGGACAAGCATTTTGAGAAAAAAAAAACGAACTCTGAACATCAAGACGTCGGCGGCCTGCAGAAGGGGATAAGTGAGCAGTCCGACGGGGACGTCGCCTTTCTGAAACCTGAGGCGAAGATGTGCATCAAGAGGAGTCGGACTCACTTGGAGGCCTTGTCCTTGTACTGGGGCAGCCTCATGAGTTTGGTCGACGTCTGCAAGGAGCCGAGGATCCAGGAGAGCTGTGCGATCTGCGGAACGTCGGACTGTCGGAAAAGAAGCGTCCTCGAAGGATCTACGCCGCAGGCGACCAGGCCGGTGGCCATTCGTCGGGTGTCGGATCGGAGCTGAAAAAAAATGAAATGTAAAATCAGAAAAAAAAAAACGAATTGTTGAGTGTGGAAAAAGATATAATATATGAATATTTTTTTGCCTTTAAAAAAGATCCAGTGACAGATCCAAACAACAATCTTTTTTTTCCGTTCCGATCAAATGTTCTCTCTTTAAAAAAATCTTTTTTTAAAAAAATTTGAAAATGTAAAAAAATATTTCTATATAGAATGCATATAAACATTTTTGGACTAAACTTCTGACAATTTGTCCGATTTTGGTGAAAAAACCTTGGAAATGTACAATTTTCCTATTATTACAGTAACCTAACAATTTTACCTGCTCCGGATTCTTCGGCCCAAGGGAAATCGCATGCTGATCAACTACTGAAAGTATCATACAAGTTGATTTGGGAAGGGTCTGAAAAAACAAAAAAGTCGAATTTCAAGACAATCTCCAAACTTTTTGGAACTGAATCCAAGGTTCGATAAAACCAAAATAGTTGCCGAGATGAGGGATTCCAGTCGGCTGGATTCCAGAAAAATATGACGGTCCAGGGTTTGAAGAGGAAGTTGTCATGGTTTTTACAAGAGATGTAGAGATTTGAGATGATGAGACCCGTAACTGAAAGTTTTATCTTGAAAATTTGGCCAACGAAAAATGAGAAATGAACCTTTTTTGAAGTTGTGAACATATTTAAAGCAATCGGTACAAAAAATAAACTGAGTTTTTTAAAGATTGAGAAGGGGCGTGACGTCTCTGGGTTCAAAGGCCAATCGGCACTGTGGACAGCGAGAAGGACCTTCTGCGGGAAGAGCGTGCTCCTTCAAGATGAAAATTTATAAATTTATTTTTTTCAATAAAAAAAGTGACGAAATAGATAATATTCTCCTTTTTTTCAGAGGGATTTGTGGACGACTAAATCTAGTTTTTCTTGTCGATACTCAAAAGATATCAACAAAAAAATTGTTTTTTTAAACATTCCTCGAGGTGTGTGATGGAAGGGACTCTCTAAAGTCCAAATATCTTAGCTTATCTTTGAAAATCGAAACTTTGGGTTCGCTTTGAATTCACATGAGTACGGGTTTGGAAGAAGACATGCTTTTTTGAAAGGATATTAATGATGAATTAAAAAAAAGTAAAATATAAAAAGTATAAACTTGAATGCAAGTCCAGCAGAACAAATGACCGCAAAACAAGGCTGACGGATCCCGTTGTTCCAGGCAAACTGAGCAGCGGAACCAAGGATGACTCACCTAAATTTCAATTATTTTTTCTCCTTTCTGATGTGAATAGTCAATCACATCGAAGACTGAACAAAAATAAAATATTTATCGATTGATTGATTGATCTTACAGAACTCATCTTTATCGATTCTTTTCAAACCAAAAAAAGAGCTTGGACCTTGAATAAAAAAATGAGCGAAGATGTAAAAATATATCTATATAGTTACGAAGAAATATACATTATTTTTTTGTTTTTTTCCACTTGAACAGGATCTTTCCTCTCAATTCCGATTTTTTTAGAACCCTTCAAATATTGCCTAATGAGCTCACTAAAAGAAAATTTCTGAATTTTTAAAAGATGCTCTCCCCCTAAGCTTTTTGAAAATTTGGAAAAGGAAAGAAAAACCGATCTTGAAACACATCAAATCAGTTTCAAAAACTGATATTATACCGCATTAGATTGCACAACGACGCGAAAAACGTCTTCAAAAGTACATCAAACAGATTTTCAAAAAAAAAAAAATTAGAAATTGATACCGAGTTTAACTCTTCAACGACGTCTTCTTCTTGCGCCACCGGCTTTTTCGTCTCCTTCTTCTTGAAGTCTCGTTTCCTCTCCTCTTCAATAAACGAAAAAACGCCGATCAAACAGCTAACGATAAGCTGAGCGATGGTGACGTAACCCAGGAATCGGTAGAGCTTCAGAGCCTGAGAAAAAACTTTTACCAAGCAAAAAAAAAAATCGGTTGAACCGGCAAGTCCGTCTGCGGGTTGACCGACAAAAAACGGATTCCAGTCCAACGTCGCGCGAGACTGTAATAGGCGCCGTAGATGTAGAAGATGGCGAGATGGAGTCGTTTGAATTTGAGGAAAAGCCGTGCCTCTGCAGTGGATATTCCTTGAAATCGCAATCGAAGCTCACCGAAGCCAAGAAAGTAGTTCAAAAAGTGATCGACGAGCTTTGGGATTGTTGCGAATTGGCAGTCCAAGGAAAGTGTCTGTGGAAGGGTGGGCGAGGAGGTTTTCTCCTTTCTGAAACGGCGCAGATTAAAAACTGACTTTGCTCGTGCCTTTGTTTAAGGTGATTTCGCGAGATTTAAAAAGCTGTCAGAGAGTTAAGTATATATATAAGAGGAGAGGGGGTGGGAGAACCATGTTTTTTTACGGCACGTCTTAAGAAAATCTGCGAAAGGCTGGAATTACTCGAAGCTAGAGAAATAGGGATCTTTTTTTATAAAATAAAGAGTAAAAAAGGCCAGTTTCGAAATTTCATATGGTTCCATTTCCACAATCTCACGGTGATCCAGAACTTTTGAACTTTGAAAAAAAATTTTTTTGCTTGAAAAGGCTTTTCTTTGAAGTCGAAATACAGAAGCAAAACTCCAGTTGGCTATGAGATTCAATTAACAGTCCATTAAAGGTGATGACTTGTAGAAAATCAAAAGAAAAAACCTGGATGAGATAATTCGACAGAACTGGCGCCAGACAATGAATGAGAACAAATGTGAACCGGGCAGGGAGAGAAGGAACCACCCGGTTAAGTCCTTCGCTTTCGAACAGCTTCACGTACTCTTCACCGAGCGTCTGATTACCTAAAAAGGAAAAAATGATGTAAAATGAAGATCCAGAAGTGGTCAAACAGGCTAGAACGGTGTTGGCGTAATATGCGGTGGAGGCGAAGTTCCGAAAATATGGAAACCAACGGATCCAACGTCGCTGTCCCAGCAGATCTTTCACTACCTAGAAATCATGAATTTTGCACTTTTTTTTTTAACTCGGAGGCACATATTCAACAAATTGGAAAACTTTCAGCTATTTTTGTGAAGCTCGAAATTGACCTCAACTAGTCTTTTTTACACTGAAATTCGTTTTCTCCTATCTGAATCTTAATTAACAACTTCATAAAAAAAAATTTGAAGTTAATTAATAGCGATTTTCATGAAAATGGTGGAAATAATTTTTCACTTCATTCTATACGGCCTCAGAACAGAGGAACCAAAATAACGGCTACAAAAATAAATTTCATGTAAAGTGTTCTCAAGTGCTGAAAAAAGTTTCTTGCTAGGAATTTTCGTTGGCTCTAGCTATAACTTCAAAATGTTTTATTCACTAGGTACTTTTAAACTTCCCTGAACACCTAAAAAAAATCAAACATTGTTCTCCATCAGAATTATCAAGACTTTTTATCGAAAAGTGGACTACTCTGATAAAACCTTGGAAATACGAGAACTGAGGTCGTCGATGACCTCCTCGTCGCGTCTCTGCGCCCGTACGATCTCACCGATTTCGGCGACGTACGTTTCCATCAATTCCCAACCGAAATAGTCAACTTTGAAACTTTCTTCATCAATTATCTACTAGTAACATACGCAATAATGAAAATATTTAATAAACCTGTACTCGAAACAAAATCAACAAAGAAAAGCAATAATAACGAAATCAACGACGATAAAGCAAAGTTCTAACCTATAAAATACAAAAAAAGATGGGCGAATATAAAAAGAACTAGTGAAAAATCAGAAAAAAATGTTTTTCTAACAAACAGAAGATCAAAGGAAAATTGTTATCTCCGTTCAAGACACACTACACTGTAGCTCTGGCGTAGCTGAAACACTACAAAAAGTGAAAGAAAAAACACTCTAAATGTGTTGAGCAGCATCAAATTATAACAAATAAAAGGTGTTTTGAAACAATGAGAAATTCGATAAAGAAGTGGATATTTGTAAGATGGAGAAGTGGGGGAAAGAGACCGAGAGACTCCCTGCCTACATCTGATAAATTTCTCGCAGCCTAATTCATCCATAACTTTCTTTCAGGATGTTGTTCAAAGGCGCGAGGTTCAGAAAAGAATATCCTTCTATGATATCGGGTAAAATGATATATTATTCTCTTCGAAGTTACGCCGTTAAGAACGCAAAAAAGCTGGATAACTACACAAAATTATTTTTTTCTCAAAGACGCAGATTATAAACTCAGTTCTATTTTGCTCAAATACATCTCGGAGCCTTCAACCACCATCCCAGGAAGGAATTTTGAATGAATGATAAGAACATGAAAAACTACAACTTTCTAAACATTTGCTCGTTCAGTTTCAGAGCTCTCAGACTTTTCGGCAGTATTCTCGATCACAGTCGCCGTGATTTTCGAGCCCAAAGTCTCATCATAAAGTCGTCCTTTCTGTCTCGTGGGCGTGCCTTCTTGATATTTTACTGGCATTGGGTTAGGGAACTGAAAAACTCAGTTGAACCAGGCTGAAGAGGGATTATTCTCACCTTGTTTCCCATCTTATCGATTGCGAAGTCGTAAACAACGGGATTTTCCAAAGCAGCCAGGACTTTCGTTTCCAAGTTGTCCTTCGTGACGAAATGCGCACTTCTTTCTATCGCCGCTTGGACCTTGGAATTTCACGGTTTTTACTGACGATGCGATATCAAGAACCTCTTGCTCTGACTTTCTCTTGGCCTCTTTTTGCTTGAGAAGCGTCTCCTCGATTTCGTTCAACATCGTCAATTTGGTTTCTCGAGACGCGGCTTCTTCTCGTGCAGCACGAGCAGCCGCCTCAAATTTATAAATTAAACTGCCGTTTTACCAAGCTTATAAACATGTTTGGAACTCTTTCAATGACGGTTTCAAATAATAAAATACTTATTTTGACGATCAATAACGAATAGTTTCTTTTGTTGAGTTTCGGATCAAGATTTTCTAATTCATATGGAACAAATGATTTCATTTTGAAATAAAGTTTATTTTTTATCAACGCATGATATTTTTTTAATGATTGAGAGGAGCAGTAAATCGCAATTTTTCTAAAGTACAATAACAGAACTTTCGAAAAAAAAGACTAAATTACAAACTTTAGGCGAAAATGTGTTCTTCCTATGAAATTTTTTTGTAGGAAAATCGTACTTTTTCCTTGTTCCTCCTTTCATTTTCAGATATCAGCTCCTCCAGCTCTTTTTCTTCTGCCTCTTTCATTGATTCGATACCCTTTCCGATGGCGGCATTTTGCTGAAGTTCCGCTCGGAAGACCTGAAAATGGTCCCATTATGAGAAAACTTCAAAAAGTCAATCGAATTGGCTATTTTCGAAAATTTTAGAGAAGAGCTCTTCTAAAGAATCTGAAGCTTTTTTAAAAAATTTTTCATTCTTTCTCATCCGTCAAACCTCTCTTAAAGACGTCACAGCGTTGTTGTAGACGTGTCTTCTCCACAGAAGCTCTTTGACGTCTTCTGGCTTCTGCCAAGGTACGTGCACTACGTGGTAGAGCACCTGAGAAGGGTAAATCAATATTTAAGCATTTTTAATTGCTACATCTTTAGAATAAAAATAAGTTAGTTGAATTTCAGAGGTTGCATGACTAAAAACAGCACTCAAAAAGGCATTTCAGCTCGAGGTGGTTATGAAAAATGTCAACGTCCTCCAGAAAAACGCTTCAGAAAGGATTTTTGAACAGTTTTCGAAGCGGAAAAGTCTCGCGTTGAAAAAAAAAAAGTTGTTTTGACCCTGTCAATCTCCTTCACTTCTGCTATGGTTTTCTTTTCATTTTCGAAGCGTATTCTCTCGTTTCCATCATTTACAGGGACCTTTTTGGGCCAAACGACATTTTTCAATGATTTGTCAGGAATCAGCTCTAGTTAGCTTCTCTTTTCAAGACAATCTCTACCTTCTTCGCCGGCGGTAAAATCGGCGGTTTTCCCTGTTTTGGCATCCGCCGGCCTAACCCCCGCTGTTGTTGCTGTGCAGAAGACGTGCATGCCGACGTCAGAAGCGACGCCGAAGACGTCGCCGCCGCCACGTTCAGCCGCTGATACGCGGACAGCATGTCTTTCAAATGTTGATATTTTTCGATGTGAGAAAAGTTTTCGAGGTATAGCAGAAGTAATAACTTCGAATGAAAGTATCCTTAGAAGCACAAAAGAATTCCAACAAATATTCATTAGATATCATTGATTTAATTTCAACCGTAAAATAAAAATTTACCACAGGAAAATGAACCGAGATAGAAAAAACAAGCAAAGGCAAGATTTTAGAGATAAAAAAATTTTAAATACTTCTTTGAATTTTCCCAACAGAAAAAAAAATCACCGAAAATTAACAATAAAGAGATCTTCTAAAAACAAGTAACACAAGATACTCCTCAAGTTCAAATAAAGATATGTGTTATCAAAGGAACCTCAAACTGAATTAAAAATTGAGAACGAATGTAAGAAGGAATAATAGTGCAACATAGAACAGCATGCAAAATTGGGTGAATGACCCGTAAATGTGAATCTGTTTGAAAATTGAAAGATTACTGCCGCATGTAATAACTTTGGCCGTTTTGGTTTTGCAGGGGAGTTTGCTCTTTTTCGCCATTTGCACCCTGAAAAAAAGAAGTTACGGAATTAACTCTAAAATATTATGATTTCGATTTGATTGGCTTATAAAATAAAATTGAATGAAGAAAAACCTGTCGCTCGACGCACCATTCGTACCAAACTCCGTGCTCATCTGACTTCCTTTCAATCAGAAAACGAATCTAAACAGAAACAAATAGATCTAGCAAAATCATGAACAGAACACCTTATCACCGTTTGAGACCCTGAGCAAGTCTCTCAGCGGAATGACGGCAGGAAACCAACTGATCATTCCTTTCGAATAAGTCGACGGCAGAATCGACAACATCACGTCTTTGTACAGAACCATGTCAAAGTATCCCGCGAAGCCCATTATCTGAGAATCGAGAGTTTAGTTATATACTATCTTCAGAGCCTTTAAAATTTTTTTGCTTTCAAGGAAATCATAAAAATTCTTTCATAACATACCACCGAACGTGTCATTTTTCTTCAGAAAAAAATTCTTTAAAAAAACTCATTAAAAAAAGATTTTTGTAAAAGATATAGAATTAAAAAAAACTGAAATGCACTCAAAAAAATAAATTCCAAACTTTTTCATGTATGGCTATTAATAAAACTCTGATGCCCTCTTTTTAATAGAGATGTCGTTCCTATTTCTCTCAAGCCAACTTATATACTTTTTTTCTTAAAATAAAATTTCTCATTCGTCTAATTTTGAAGACACTCAAAATAAAAGTTCTTAGAATTACCTTTCTATCGCTCTACAATTTTTACTCTAAAAAGAATGGAAGAGACCATCAACGATCCTAAAAGATCAAAAACTAACATCAGCCGGCCGATCGATGTCGAACTCAATGAGAGCCTTCCTATCATTGGAAACGTTCTCGAAGTTTGGATGTTCGAAGGAGAAAACTTCCTTCGGCAAGGCCAGAGGACAGAACTGCCTCAAATAGACGACGTAAATCTGGTCCAAGTTGGAAACATCGCTTCCTTGTCTACAGTATCAATTGTGGTCAGGTATAATTCTCTTTGTTGCCTTACGGATATCGTTGCAGGAAAGATCCGCGTGAGGTCAGCTCGGGACCGTCCCGGCCATGGCCACAAATGCCGCGATTCCAAAAGTTGGGACTTGTCGAGAGTATCGTTTGATACATGTTCAGGGACATTATCGGCGCTGAATTCCAAGATAAAAAAAAGCTGATGATGAGAAGAATAAACCAGCATAGCTAGTGTACTTTTGTGGAATCGAAATGGTGGTCGGCTTGAGGAAAGGCGTGACGCCATCCAAGCATTCGGGACTCAATTCGTTGTCGCCGAAGGAGCCGAGCAACTCAGAAACGATGATGTCCGGCTGATCCAGGCCCAATTCGATAGATTTTTGAGGCAACGATCGCATATCAGATTCGACGATTCGCGCACGCTCTTTCCAACTGAAAATTCGGTTGCAAGTTTTTGAGATTGTGACGAGATTGAATGGAACTTTTTATTGAGTATGTAAATAGACGTGATCTAGTAAATAGATCACGTGGAAGATTAGACTCAACACTTCTGATTTCAACAAAAAATTATTTTGGAAATTGTTACTTGCTCTTTATCCTTTTTTAACTCTCTGACTTTTTCGTGATAAGGACTCATTATTGAAAATAGAAAACTTACGCCTTGACGTTCATATAACGAAGCGTCACGACCGCGTTCGTGTTTTTCTCAACGACAAACATCTTTATTTTGAGCCGATCTTTCTTGGCTCGATACTTTTCATTGTAGGCGCTTTCAGCTTCATAACACGCGGAAACCTACAAAAAAGCGCTTATTTGGCGATGGAAACCCAAAAATCTCACCAAAGGACCCCTTCCAGCTCCTAAAACATAAACAACGACAGAGTTGGGATGAGCAGAACTTTCTCCGAAATCTCGCAGCGCCAATTCTACAGCTTCTTTGTATTTTTGATATTTGATAGGATCTTGTTCAAAGGTGTTGTAAACACAAGAGTCCAAATTGTCAGCGAGAGGCTGAAGAGGCGCCTGCAATGAGCCATTGTGGCTTGATACAGAAATGAGTAAAAAATCCAAACAAAAAGTATTGAAAGAAATGGATAAGAAAAGTGGCAATTTTTTAAGATGATAAAAAAAAATCGAAGTGAATCGATTTCTAGTTACCTGAAGAATATCAGTGTAATCGATGTTAGTATCTGGATAATCAGAACATTCCGCCTTACTTCGGATCCATGAAACGTCTTTCACAGTGTTTCTAGCTGCCTGAAAATAGATATCGTGAGAAAATATAAATTATCGATATTCGTGAGAAAATTGTAAAAAAAAACTTGAGTTGGAATCTTTGACACTTTTTTGATACGCCAAAAAATGGTCTACACTTTCCTCAAAAAAAAATCTTTTGCTCTCAAACAGGTATATTGCAACAAAAAAGATTATGATTCTAAAAATATATATATTCAAAAATCACCCTTGCGTATTCCATTTTCAGAGTATTTGAATGTTTCGACAAACTTCCAACGTCTCTGATCAACAACCGTATGCTGTCGTTCATCCAAATACCTCGAATAGCCACTGCGTGAGGCCTGAAAAATTGGAGAATACAAAGAAGGCTGGAACTTTCGCGGAGATCTGTGTAACTCACTGCGATAAGGTGGCGACGCCAGTGACAGGATCTGTGATGAAAGCATCCGAATCGATTATCATAGCTCCAACCTGAAAATGAGCATTTTCTAACTTCGATGAAAAAAAAGAATACCGGTTCAGCCTTCCAGCGATCGACAAACTTCTTATCGGTGAACTCATCGTCCAAATCCGAAGTGATATGGATACCAACTGCAAGGAGCAATATGAAAAAAATTTTTTTCTCGAGAATCAATTTCTATCACGCTTCATGGATTATCGATAAAAAGTTCAATGAATCCTTAAAGACACTACTCTTTTTGAAAAAAAAAAAAAGAAAAATAAATAAATGTCGATAAGATTCAATGAGCTTTCTAAATTTGAGCCGTTCATCATATGAAGAGTTACTACCTTGAAGTTTCAAACTACAATAATTAGCACACTGAGATCGAAAATCGGCCCAAACGCTCCAAACATCTTCCAGCTCGCCGCCAATAGTTTGGACTGAAGTAGGGACGAAAACCCATATGCTGAAAAATTCCAAGTGTACTGAAACGTTTTTTTTTTCCTATCTTGTTTTCATTCTCAGGCGAACTCGAAGAATGCAATAAAGAAAAAACGTACGTAAAGTTGGCGTGTTTGGTCCAAACCCATCTGTTCAGGACAGAGGCCAGTCGAGGTGACTTCACATGCTTCAGCTCCACAATTATCGTCCTAAGACCCAAATAACACACGTAATTCAGTTCCTAAACAAACAATTTTTTGTGGGTGTTATCTCTTAAAGCTGAAACAAAGCAAAAAAAAAAACTTTACTTTTCATGAAAGTGCGCAAAAGTTTGTACCAACCTTTAAAAGCTCTTCTTCTGATAAACGCGCAAGATGTTCATCTTTTGAATCGCAATCAATCCATGAGGAGACCTGGCAAAAATTAAAATAAAATTCACTAAGTTTGTTTGATTTAAATTGTAAATGGGCTAATTGGGCTACACAAAATTGACTTGAGTCACTATCGAACCTAACTTTCAGCAACAAAACTGGGAAAAAAAAATATTAAACTCTACCTGTCCACTGAAATAAGTTTCCCATAAGTGGTTCTGAAGCTGCATGTCAGGCAAATTTATGAGAGGAGGTTCTTCGTTTCTGAAAGGAAAATCTGATGAAAGTCGCAAGAGCAAAGGTTCTTATTTTTGAAATCAACTTAATCTCCAATTAAAACTGAATAAGAAACATACTTTTTTGGGTTTTATAAGAACCGCTTATTTTATGCCTACATTTTGAAACTAAGAGATATATTTTTCTGAATGACTTTTCCACATTCCACAAGCATTGTGTACCTGGAATACTTCCAAAAGGATCGAACGACTCCTCCGATTGGGTAGCCGACAAAACTGTACTGGAATTTTCCAAGCGCAGTACTAAACTCCACAACTCTTCTGAAACATCTTGTTGGCAATGTTTTTCTGATGTAGACTAACGTGTCCAAATTCTCAATGACATCGTTTGGAGTCGTCATCCATCCAACATTTATCCGCGCTCTAGCCTCATCATTTTGACTGTTCTGGAAAGACTATACTCTAGATATTTTGAAAATGTTAATCGCACTTTTCTGCGTGTACTCTTTGAAGAAAGCTTTCAAACTAGAAATTTGAAATTTGAAATTTTTAGAAAAATCAGAATTCAAAAAAATATTTTTTTATAAGCAAAAAAATCCCGCAATTAACTTCCAAGAAAGCTTGAAGTATCATATCTAAACGCGCAGAACGACGGAAAACTTGTGAAATTTCAATTTCCACTATCCAGAAATTTTTAAAGAACCCTGGGAGAAGAAAATTATTGGAGGAACCTTTGTCGCGTTTTCGGCGTCTCCGCTTGTCCCCTGACATGCAGACTGCCCTTCTATCACAGTCATTCAAGGACACTGAAAAAGCGAGAGAATTTAGAAAGTTTTCTTCTCTCTATTATCATTTTACTCAATTTACAAAACTTACTCATTGATGAGTTTACTGATATTCGGATACTGATATTCGCTCTTTGTTTTTGTTCGAATCCCATAAACATACCATCTTTTTTATAACAGAACTCACAAAAAAAAAATTTGGAAAGTCATTTCAAGTTCCGATTGTTGGTTTCGGGATTCTGTGATGAAACTCTTGCTCTCAACTTAATATTTCACCACTAATTTCATCTTTTTTATGTTTACTTTGATTTCATTCCTCTTAATCTCAAAAAATTCATTGAAAAAATCAAGGCCGTTTATTTTTGTGCCTAAACAGGCTTTTATGAGTTGTAAAGAGGAAAGAGGGGGATAAAAAAGTAAAAACAACGCATTTGATGTTCCACCAAATAGCAGACTGAAGAGAACAGCACTATCGAAACAATACAATAGAACTATACATTAAATTTATCACTAATAAAAAAAGAATGGAAAACACAATCCGTCAATAACAAAAAAAGAACACTATATTGATCTAGCTGTGCTGCTTCGCAAGCTCTTCGGCCTTCTTGTAGACGTCATCGATACCTCCCTGCATGTAGAAAGCAACTTCCGGAAGGTGGTCGAGCTCTCCTTAAACAGAATAATCATATTATGTTGGGAAGAGAGTGATTGATCAACTTCAGTATGATAGATAGAAACCAACTAACCCTTGAGAATCATGGTGAATCCTCGGATGGTCTCTTCGAGGGATACGAACTTTCCTTGGTGACCAGTGAAAACTTCGGCGACTTGGAATGGCTGGGACAGGAAACGCTGGATCTTACGGGCGCGAGAGACAGTCAGCTTGTCGTCCTCAGACAATTCGTCCATACCAAGGATAGCAATAATATCTTGAAGGGATTTGTAGTCCTGGAGGATCTTCTGGACACCACGAGCGATATCGTAGTGAGTGTGTCCGACGATGTTGGGGTCCATGATACGAGAAGTGGAGTCAAGAGGATCGACAGCGGGGTAGATAGCCAATTCGGCAATACCACGAGAAAGCACAGTGGTGGCGTCCAAGTGAGCGAAAGTGGTGGCAGGGGCAGGATCAGTCAAATCGTCAGCAGGCACGTAAATGGCTTGCACAGATGTGATGGATCCCTTCTTGGTCGTGGTAATTCTTTCTTGCATACCACCCATGTCAGTAGCCAAGGTTGGTTGGTAACCGACAGCAGATGGAATACGACCGAGAAGAGCAGACACTTCAGAACCGGCTTGGGTGAAACGGAAAATGTTGTCGATGAAAAGAAGCACATCTTGTCCTTCTTGATCACGGAAGTACTCGGCGACAGTGAGTCCAGTCAAGCACACACGAGCTCGAGCGCCTGGGGGCTCATTCATCTGTCCGTACACAAGCGATACCTTCGAGTTCTTGCCCTAAAAAAGAAAACTTGACGAAATTTAATGATAAATAACTAAACTGACAAGCTTATAAACGTATTGAAATATAGATGACTAACCTTGAGGTCGATGACACCTCCTTCGATCATTTCGTGGTAAAGATCGTTTCCTTCGCGAGTTCGTTCTCCGACTCCAGCGAAAACAGAGTAACCTCCGTGAGCCTTGGCGACGTTGTTAATCAGCTCCATGATAAGCACAGTCTTTCCGACACCGGCACCTCCGAAGAGACCGATCTTTCCTCCCTTGGCGTATGGGGCCAACAAGTCGACGACCTTGATTCCAGTCACAAGAATCTCCTGCTCGACAGACATGTCGACGAATTCGGGAGCTTCAGCGTGGATGGGAGCAAAGTGCTTGGATGGGATAGGTCCTCGCTCATCGATGGGTTCTCCGATGACATTCATGATGCGGCCAAGAGTTTCAGGTCCAACGGGGATCTTGATCGGATCGCCAGTGTCAGCAACAGGCTGTCCACGGACAAGACCTTCAGTTCCGTCCATAGCGATGCAGCGGACAACATTGTCACCTGAAATTGGTGTTCTAATACCAATTAACACGAAATATTCTGACAAAAAACTTTTCCCAAAAAACGAAAATTTCAGAAATATGACTATTTTAACTTCGATTGTAAAAATATTGCTTCAAAACTTCTCTGTGAGTTTCTTAATTTATAATTTTTTGATAAAAAATTGATAGAAAAAAAAGTAATTAGAAATATTGGATACAGTTTTGAGTTTCAATCCTTCAAGACTATTTCGAAAAACATTGACAATGTTGAAACACAGTAAACCTAGTTGCATTCTATTCAAAAAAACTATGAAAGTTTTTGGAGTGTCGAAGCATGATTGAAACTGAAATGTTTCGTTCAAGAACCTACGAACGATTTTTTTCTTCAAGAAATACTAAAATGAGATTTTTTTACGACACGAAAAATTTTTATTAATAATAAAAAAACTAACCAAGATGCTGGGAGACTTCGAGAATGAGTCTTGGGCTTCTTCCGACGACTTCCAGTCCGTTGAGGATTGGCGGGAGGTTTTCATCGAACTGGACGTCGACGACGGCACCAATGACAGCGACGATGCGTCCCTTGGCGTTGGCGGCCGTAGCCTTTGATGACACCTAGAGCGAAATTTGATTTTGAAAAATTGTTTCCCATGTATGAAACCTTAGTTTGAGCTTGAGCAGCTTGGGTAGTCGCGACGCTGGTGTGGATACCCTTCTTAGAATCAACGGTGGAAGAGCTCAAACGAACTGAAAAAAAACTTTAATAACATAAAATTTCTTTTTAGATTTATCGAAAACATGAAACTTGATCCGAAAAGCGACAATAATCCTCCAAAAATTAGTATTGTTCCGGAAAAAAAAAACTTGAGTTGCTCCAAAAACAGTGACAATTTTTTGGAGCATTTTTTCTTGAATTCCGGAACAATTTTCGTTTTATCGATGAACACATTAACACAAATATTAAAAAAAATTAAATTTCTTTATATACTTTTGATGGGTCTAAAAATTTGAAAAAATAGCGAAATGCGAAACAGCTCAAACAGCCTCATAACACAAAAAAAAATGAAAAAACTTCATAAAATTCATACCACTGGCAGCTGGCAGAGCCATCTTCTGGACGTTGGACTGCAGGAGGCGCGAGGCCTGACGGCCGAAAGCGGCCAGCGAACGCGAAGCCATTATTATACCCCTTCAAGTAAAAATAATTAAAAAAGAAGCAATTAATAAACGAGTAAAATGAAGGACATTTTTGAGGAGACAAATAAAAATCCTAAAATGAATAATGCAAAAAACTTTGGATATAAAAAATTTTACGCTAGTATAATTTCCGCAATAAAGGCGTATGGGTGGCTTAGATGTTATTTAACACAAAATAAAAGCATATAAAGTTCCGAAATCAAGAAAAGAGCCTGCTGAAATAGCTTTTACTGCAGTGTTGAGCGATGCACCGCCCGGAGAGCGCGGTCCAAGCGTCCTGCCACGAACAGCCGTCAATTTTTGTTTTACGCTCTGCGCCTTTAATGATTCACGAAAAAAATTTTGAAATTTGTTTTTTTTTCTTTTTTCCTTTTTTTAAAATTATATTTCTCTTTCTGTGCTCGAGTTGTGTAATAGATGGAGATCCTTCTCAGTTTTATTTTCAGAAACTCGAAGGGCGATTTTTGTTACTGAGGTTGAGTGTGGGACTGATAAATTTTTAACGGTTCGTACTTTTTAAATTACTTTTTATTTTCTTGCGCAAGTGAAATGAAACTCCAACCTTGAAATAATCGTATTTTTGAATTCCCCTTTAAAACATTTTATTTCTTACTCTTATTATGTCAAGATTTGCCAAAAAGTTCCAATCGCTGCGTCAATAAAATTAATTCTTGATAATTTCATTCAAGTATCTGAAATAAGAATAAAAATTTTTGTAGGGCATGCCCAAGCAGCAACGTCTGCTTCAATACGCCACCTCTGTAGCCGAGTGTCCAACTGAAGCTTTCGCCTACGGACGCTGCGTCTCCTCTCAAGCCGAAAGAGTCAAGCAACACGACTGTCAAGCCGAGTTCAAGAAGCTGCTGGATTGCGTGACGAAGCAACTGAAAAAGAAGTAAAATGAAGGCCAAGAGATACAAGCGTGTCAACCGCCTGATCACTTTTTTCAAGTACAACTATAAGTTCCTCCCTCCTTATCAAGTTCTCGTCGACGGTACTTTTTGCAAAGCCGCACTCGAAAACAAGATCAATCTGATGGAACAGATGTCGAAGTATCTCGGAGAAGAAACCCACATCCATACGACAAAATGCGTCGTCGATGAGCTGGAGAAGTTTGGCCCGCTGCTTTATGGAGCTCTAGTGATTTGCAAGCAGTTTGAAGTCGCTCCTTGTCCTCACAACGGTGGTCGGTCTGCAGCTGAATGCATCGCCCACATGGCTCGACGATCGTCAAAAGGCAAAACAAAGTTCTTCATTGCGACCCAGGACGAAGAACTCACTGAGAAGCTGCGAACAATCCCAGGAACTCCCATTTTGTACATCAAATACAATGCGATTCTGCTCGACAAAGTCTCAAAGGCGTCCGAAGATAACGTTCAAAATGGTCAGGCCGAAATTGAGCAACTGCGAAAGATCAAAGAAGAATTGCTGCCTGAAGGTCCGCAGAAGAAAAGAAAACGCAAGAAAGGCGCCAATCCTCTATCCTGCAAGAAGAAGAAGGTCGTCGTCAAGGATCTTCAGCAATCATCTGGAGCGCGTACCGTGATCGGCAAGAGAAGACGAGCCAAGAAAAAATCAGAGGATGTCTAAAATCTTCATTCTTTTTCGTTGCTCAACTGATCTCCTCCCAAAAGTCAATTTCTATTTGCTCGCTTGTAAAAGCATACCAAATAGTTTTTTTTTCTTGTTATTTGTACAATTTCGTTGATTAATTTGTTGAGTTTAACAAGATCCTCATGATAAAAGAAGAAAAATTTATTATGAATGTAAAATGCACATATGAGAAAATGGTTTGCACTGGGCAGGACAGGGTAATTTCAAAATTAGAAAAATTACTTTATACATTATAAGCGAAAATGCGATAGGAATGTGAATAAAGGCCGAATTAAAGCGTTTAGTGGCCGGCGGTGGTGCCGCGGTTTCCGTTGACGATGGTGATGAGAGCATCACGGTAGGTTCCAGAAGTGTCGCCCTGAAAAAAAAAATATCAGAATGGGAAAACAGGTCTCAGAAAGTTACCTTGATCATGTCAGCAAGGCTCTTCTTGTGGAGCTCCAAGAACTCGGCCTTGATGAGCTCCAAGTCGACCTCCGAGCGAGTGACAATGACGCGGATGAGGTCGTTGTCACGAGTTCCAAGACCCTTCATCGAGTTGTAGAGCTGCTGGGCGAAGAATCTCTGCTTGTCGGTGGCTGCGCGGACGATGGTCAAGTAGCTCTTCTGGAGGTCGCCGCTGTACTCCTTCTCGATGACCTTCTCGATTGGGACACCAGAAAGTTGCTCGAAGTGAGCGAACACCTGAAAGCATCCCATTAAACTCTTCATCGTAAAATATCACGTCACTTATTGAAATCGCCTGTTTCTCTAGAAAAGCCTAAATGTTGAAAGGAAGGTTGGACTCGCCTTGCGGAGCTGATACTGGTTCTGGGTGGAGAGGATCTTGAGGAAGTGCGAGGGCTCATCCTTTGAGGTGAGTTTTCCCTTGCCGTCGGCGAAGAGGCGAACGGCGTCCTGAAAATCATGAATCAAACACTTGAATTTGACAAGGCTCGACAAATCAATGATTTGATGAATCTTACGTCCTTGGCCGCAGCGTCGTTGGTGTCATGAGTGCCGTCGCGGCTGCCAGTCACCAGCGAAACAAGCAAATCCTTGAATTCGCCAGAGGTATCGCCAGCAACCTGGAAAGCTTGAAGTTTTATTTATTTTCACTAAAGTTTTAAATATATTTCCACATTTTTTTTGCGCGTCGAATTTCGTGTGTCTCGTGTAATGCGTACACAACATTTTATATCCCGCTTCTGGCGTCAAGACGTGCTGAATTCAGAAAAAAAAATCATACGTCTTTCTCGAGCTGATGGCCGAATTCGCGCTCGTAGGCGGCGCGGATAGCGCGGAGCTGGTCAACGGTGCGAGAGCAGAGAATCTCAATCAACACGTTCTCATCGGTTCCGAGGCCCTGAAATTCTTTCAATTTTGAATACTCTTCTTTAATTTTTTCTCAATTATCTACCTTCATGGCTCCTTTGAGCTGCTTGAGGTCGTATTCGAGAGGAGTCTCCATGAGAGCCAGAACGAGCTTCTCGGCGTCGCCACTGAACTTCTTGTCCAGGGCGGCAGACAGCTCCTTGCCGTACTTGATCTTGTAGGGATCGCGAAGCTAAAATTTTGTGTCTAAGTCGCCGAATTATTTTAAAATCAAGATTTACTCCTTTCAAGCTTTAGGCTGATACAATTAGTTCATTAACCTTGTTCAATGTGAACTTTCGTAATGTATTTTTTTCTGATAACTGCTACGAAGGAAAGGTTTCGCTTTTCTACATCTGTTTTGGAAACCCTCAGAAAAAGCGGCGAGCTCGTAGAGCTTCATTGCAAGGTGCTTCCTAATTGTGTTCTCTACGGAGGCTTCATTGGACGGGCAAGCTGGTCTTTGATCTCTAACACTAGAAAACAAGTCCACAGAAAATGATGATACTACATTTTTACGTATATTCGCCCTATTGTCAAAAGAAACCCATAAATAATGTTCGATCTTAATGATAACTTCCGGTTTTGTAAAGGATTTTTTTGAAAGTTTTTTTAAAAATATATAGTGCCTGTAAGTTTTTCTCTCATTTTTATAATGCAAATTCCAACCTGCTGACGCTGGTTGTTGGAGATGGAAGCGAGAATCTGGGCGACGGTGTCCTTCTCGCCGGCGCGAAGAGCGCGGTCGATCTTCTCGGCAAAGAGAGGAGCGTTGAAGTCGTTGGCGTCCAAGATGGTGGCGTACGGGGAGTTCATCCTCTTTTCTGTATAGTGTAATGATTTGAAAAACTCTCAAAGATTGCGCGAGCGAAAGAATACACAGCGGAAGAGCAAATGGAATATATAGGAGGCCAATGAACACATAACAAAAAACAAAAACAGAGATAAATGTGCAGTTAATTGCGTCTTAGTAGCAGCTGGTAAACGAAAATAATGCCTTGAGAAGAGAAATAAACATCACTCAATCCATCATTGGCGGAGAATAAATGCACCTTATGGCTGGGATAGGAGAGAATATAGTCGTCACAAAACCAAATGTCCAAAGCTTTAAATGAAAGGAATATGAGAAAAAGCCATTAGAAAAACAACGGAAAAACAATAATATTTACAATGACGTCATTATCAAAACAACGTCGATGAAATCATATTTGGGAGGTCAATGCTCGTAGGTCGAAAAGATCAATTGGTTTGAAACTTTGTGTTTTTTTTAATCATTAACGTGAAAATTTAAATACAAAGAAAGTTGTTTCGAGCCGCGCCTTTTTCAATTTATTTTCCTTTACCAAATGAGCGAATTTGGAAAGAGGCCATTTTATGAGGTTCCTCTATTTAAAAGGACTGACTTCTAGAAGCTCCAGTTTAAGAGCCTCAAATTTCAACGGTCAGGATTCTAGTTCTGAGAAATTCTTTAATGGTGTTTCGAGAAAAAAGACTTAGTGAATCTGAAAATTACAAGCCCGCTATAACAAGATATACTAATATTTCTAGAAGCGGACAGAATAGTACATGTCTGTTTGACTGACTCAGGCCTTTCTTCGAGAAAGAACGCCCCGATGACTAATCCTATATTGCCCCGTTCGATCTGTATTTTCTTTCTTTTGAAAAATATGGAAAGTCTAACGGTAACATATACGGGCAGCTAGAACTTTCCTTTCTGAGGTACACAGGAACTCAAAAAGGTTTTGCAGTTTCTAAAAAAATGTATAAATTTTGGGGTGAATATCAAAAACATTAAAAGCATTTTAAATGTATTGAAAGGTTTCCGAAATGTTTAAATGAATCATCCGATGGATTTCTAAACTTTCTCGATGACTAATATGCTGTGTGAAATTTCGACGAAAACAACGCCTAAAAGCGTTTATTTTCATTTTCGAAGCTGCGTGAAATGTTTTTCACACAAACACGTCTGTAAACGACTCAAGCGAACGTAATGGTCCTGAAAACGCTTTTTGACAAGCAAAAATTCACAAGAAATAACACATAAATATGGAATTTCTCATGCGATGCAGACTTCCTGCAGAATTCATCGCCGAACAAGCGTGAAATGCAAGAGAGAAAAAGAGAAAGGCTTCAAAAGGAGAAGCTCAAAAATCCATCTTTTATCAAAACATGTTGTTCTGTTTCTTTGGTCATGACAAAAATGCTTTGTTCATTGCTCTCTTGGGACTATTGTGGAAGAAATGATAAAGCTTTGAAGAGAAAGGAAAGACCTTTCAGGCTTACTTCAACTATTAAAACTAAACGGAAGGGGGTTTTTTGGAGGAAAATGTTTCGTCACACTTTATCATTGAGTAGGGAACGAAACCTTTGATTTTTTTTTAATATTTCGAGGAGACAAAGTGAGCTTTCTAGTTTCGAAAATATGAAGAAATTTCGCGTTTCAGTTCTTCCTGCATTTAGCATTTTCAAGAGTTCTAAAACGAGTACAAAACTCTTTTCAACTGAAAATTTCGCGATCATTTTCCATAACGATCTACCATGCTCTTATGTGTGGCTACAGGTTTTTCATCCCAGAGCCAGCCAAGACATTTTTTGACTACCGTTCTGAAAAAAAATTCACAATTTTAGATCAATTTCTAGAGCAGTAGGCTCGAAACAGAAAATGCAAGCGCTGTTCAAAAAAATTTCCCATGTTGTTCTAGAATCTTCATCTACTCATACATCTGAGAGCATGTCAAGCATTGCAATTTTCAAATCTTTCGAGTATAACAGCTTCTCTCATGCGAAAGAAAAGCTCTTGGCCAAACTTTAGAACGGAGAAAGAAGAAACTAACTGAAGTTGAAACTTGGTTTGCTCGGAGGACTGCAAAAGAGGTCGAAGGCTGGACGGAAGAACGACCACGCAGCGCGACTCCACAGCCACACAAAATGCGTCCTGCGCACGCCGCAAACAACAAAAGTGGGCGGAGTCGCGGCACCTCCACAACTTCGAACACTATCTCGCGCTCTTCGAATCTCCCTCGGCTGTTTTTGATCTCTTGTTTAGACACGCTGCCTCTGAAGTTGTTTATCTTTGAATGAGTAAGCACCAACGGTCGAGGCGAAAAAACTCTTGAGTAGATTTGTCGTAACCTTGAATTAGACGTGTCCGATGAACATAGTACACGTCGGCGGCCTTCTTGCACTTCACTTCTTACAAAAACAAAAGTAACTTCGAGAAAGAGGCAAGACTTCCAAAGAGAGCGTATGATAAGCTATCAAAACGAGGTAAACAGCTATGTAGCTTATCGAGGAAATTTTCTAACAGTTTCGGAGAAAGAGCTTTTTGACTCGTTCAAACTAGCGACGTTCGAAACGGAAATAAATAAACTATTACGGAGCGAGTCGATTGAACCGCACTTGAGTCAAGAAAAAAAAAAAATTAAATTTTACTTTGCGATTGGAAGTTTTCTGAAGATTGACCGAAACCGTACTCAATTTTCCAGACTTTAAAAGTCTCAACCTGCAAAACTTTCTAGTTTTTGAGAATGGACATCTCAAAGTCAGAGAAAACTCTAAAGTCCGCCTAAATAGGCATTTTGGGTTTTAAGCCCATTCCTCGAAAACTAGGAAATTTTGGAGGTTGAAACTTTCGAGATATATTTCTGGTATCTTCAGAAAATTTTCGGTCAAATTTCATGAAATTTTAAAACACAAATCGAGGTGACCTTGGTTGTAGGAGAAAAAAGAGAGTAAAAACTCAAAAACAAAAAAAAAATTTTCAAAAAGAAAAATTCATATAACATCGCATTTGCGCTTCACATACAATCGTCATTTGGAGCTTCGTAGTTTTTGTGCAAAAACTTTCAATTTTTTTCCATTTAAATGATTTTTTCTTACGTGTACGAAAAAGAAGTTTCGCTTTTGGAACTAAAATTTTACTGTTTCTTGAAATTTAGTGACTAGAATCTTGTAATAGCGATCCTCTATCAATTTGCTTCTCCGACTTCTGAAAGTTTTCAAATTTTCTGAATCTTGAATAAACTCAAAAAAAAGAAAGAGGACATTCGAGCCGCGAAGAAGTGCCTCGACAGGTATGTTTACCGTTGAACTTCCTCCCACAATTGTTTATTTCCCATGACCCACTTCGCAAAAAATATTGACACCAAAGACAACGTCAAGTTTTTTTCGGATACTTTCTCCGACCCACTGTTAAGATCAGAAAAACATTCGTGGGAAAACGGATTGTTTATTTCTACTTGGTTTGAAGAATCGTCATGTTTTTTTTCTTGCATTCATTGCGGTTCTGACTCATCGTCCACTTCGTTTCATTTTCTTCTAACATGTTTTAATTTTTTGAAGTATTCTAAACGTCGCGAAAAAAACGAGAAGGAATTCCAGTGAGTCAGCGACGGAGAGAAGCGTTCTGATGAGCATTCCGACGTGCGAAGGAGAGAAGGCCACGCAAAAGATAGAAGGCCGGGGCGATTCAAGTAGTAAACAACTGGGGCCTCAAAGATCGATCGGCGCCTTTTCTGCTGTTTCCATCAATGTTTGTTTTGAAATTCGGAAAAAAGATTCGTTTTCGAAATGAGACGTGCGTGGAAAAATGAGAAGGCCTTTGCGCTGTGATTGCTGATGAAATGAAGGGTGACTAATGCCGGAAGTTTTCAAAAAAAAAGAAAAGATAAGAAACTGATAAGATTCAGCAAACCAGTGACAGTTTCCACCCACGATGGAACTTCTGAAAATGAATAAGTAGAAGAAATAGATGCAGTCTTTCACGCTTAAAACGTTTCTGGACTTGTGATTACTAAAAAGCCCCAGTAGGCTCTAGACTTCCGTACTCCGAGAAAAACAAATTGAGGACAAAATGAAAAATTTTGAGAATAAAGTATACATTTTTTTACGTCAAACTTGAATTTTTCCTTCTTAAAATTTGAATAATCTCCATAAAAGCAAACAAGATCAAAGTGTATGTGCGTTTTCAAGTTTTTTTTTTTGCCTCATGCTCTTTTTCGGTTCCAAGAAAATTCGATTTAAAGTTTTACCTCAATATTTATTTTTCAACTTCTGAAGAGCATAGTTCTTTTTTAAATTTTTTCAATAATCCTTTCTAAAAACCTCAAAACATTTTTTCAATGGGATACTTCCTCCTTCTGAACTTCTGATTCGATCCATCGCATTCAAAGTCGCAACCTCTCGGTAGACAATTATCCATAAATGCTCGCAGTTTCCGGGTCAGCATTCAACCTTTTTCTCTTATTCTTTCGTCGCCGCTGCGTTCGACCTTTTTTTGGAGTCAATGGCCACTTAGAAGTGATTTCCGGGAAAAAAACATTGAAACTGAAAATCTTTATACAATAGTTGCACTTCGAAGGTAAGGTAGAACCCGTTAATTTTACTCAATCATAGCGGATAATTATTATTCGTTGCATCACGTAGGAAAACTATACACAATAGATTTTCGGGCAAATCGATAAATGAGATGCATGGCGAAACAAAGATCAAAGACCAAGGAGATTTAGGAGAGCGAAGAGGGGAACAAACCCTCGTTTGATGGAACGAGCGAGAGAATAGCCTTTCAAAAAAGCAAGTTTAAAACCGAAGGTTAATGAAATGGATCTCTAAAAGCCTTTTTTCAGTTTTTTAGAATTGGTTTCAGGCTTGCCAATACCTTAGTTGTGACGAAAATTGAAAAAAAATATGCTGTTATTTCCCCAGCTGAAAAATAGTGCTCCTAGTTTCTATTCATTTCAAGGCGATTGAGTTTTTTGAAACAGTGAACGAAATATTATTATTTTAGTCATGAACTCAAAAAAAGGAGGTGAACTAACGGAGATTGTCCATATGTGCCGCACGGACAAGAAAAAAAGAATTTTTGATTCGATTAAAAAAAAATAAAACTATTCAAAAGCTGAAACTGAAGTGAAAATTTAAAATAGCGAATCAAAGTCAATTTTTTTCACTTCAGTTTTTTTACTTGAAAACATTCTTATTTTTTTAAAAAAAGACTTGCAAGACAAATTAAATTTTTTTATCCGTGCGGTGTACATGTGAATAACTAAACCATCAAAATGAAGTCAGGCATTTTCCATTTCAGTTATTTTTAAGAGCGCTGGCTTTTCATAGTTCTCTTATTCTCACTAATTCGAACTCCATCAAGAATTCTAGACAAGTACCGCCGTTTCTTGGCTCCGAGAAGTGAAGAGCGAAAGCAAGGACTGGAGACTCTCCATCGAGGCGAGGGCTCCGTAATCGATAAATCTGATCTTGCTGAGGTCCTTCGGTGCGTAGGCGCCTTTCACCACGATCGTGTCGTGCGTCTTCTTGTGTCCGTATTTCTACAAAACTGGGGTTTCAATCAAGAGGAGCTACTCAAAGAAGAAATGAATTACCTGGACTTGGCTTAGAAAAAACGTTTGCCAGAAGTCTTTAAAAAACCGACACTGTATTGGGATATATTTGATAACAATCACAAAAATGACCAAGAAAGAAGATTGTATAAAAAGACACAATAATTGGTCTCCAAAATCTTATGAAACTATATATGCCCCAGGAACGCAAATTCATTGAAGAGAGTGAAAAATTAAAATATTTTTTCTCATTTTAATTACTCTCCTGTCAGAACTTTTGAAATTTGATTCAAAAATACACACATTTTCTCATTTGATTGCACAGGTTTTTGTTTTTTCAATTTTGACAAATATTGACAATGTTATAAAACGTGCAGTCTTTATGAAAAGCTTTCTGTTAAATTGAGAAAAATCGCGAAAAATGAAAACCTCTGTGATTCTGTTCACTGTTTCTCGTCATACTTTAGAATTATTCCTTCTTTTTTCGATGTTTGGATTTCTCACATTGTTCGAAATTTCACTTAATAGCTGTTTTAACAAAAACTTGAAGCTAGAAATTAAAAAAATTGAATTTTGCAGTAACTTTTTGAGAAAGGGAAGAAGTGATCAGAAATGTAACCTGTTGCAAAACACTGGCATATCGCATCAAATCCGGAACATGAACCATTTTTCCGCCAACGTTAACAAGTGCAAATCGGGCGTCCTGGAAATTGATTTAGAAAACAAAGTGAAAAAAGATTAATTCATACTGATTTCACTGTTTTCGTTCAGAGGTTTTCGTTTTTACTCGTTTGACACTTTAATAAAAATAAAATCTTACCTTAATAGCTCTTCCAAAGTAGTGAATTTTGCGAATGTACTGAATGCCGACAAGGTCGATGCACATGGTGCTGTAAAAATTTGTTTATGCTCAAAATATGCTTTATTCGCTCTTTTAGCTACCTTCCAAGGATGTTTTAAAACAAGTCGAAAATGGTGAAAAAGTCAGTGAAGTATGTTTTGAGTCAAGTAAGTGTGATATCAAAGTTAGAGTTCAAAAACAACTTACGTGATTGCTAGGCCAATGATAATGTAGCACAAATCCAAGATGTAGAATTCTCGCTTTAAAGGCACGATGTCGCCGAAGCCAACCTGTAAAAACTCAAGATTGCCTCAAAACTCTGAACGAAGTTATTTATTCTAACTACGAAGGCTACTGAAATAAAAATAATCAAGTCCATCATCAAGACAGACTTAAAAGAAAACACTTTATTCGATCGATTTTCCGTTTCAAAATGAAGGAAGTTACGAAAAAGATCTGAGATTCTTTTAAGCTACAGTAGGAAACGAACCGTAGTCATGGTGATGAAGCTGAAATAGAAGCCAGAGAAAAATTCCCAATTCTCCCAGGAGCCGAGAAGAACGGCGCCAATAGTAATGTATCCGAGAAGAATCATAACGATCAATGAGATTGGAATAGAAATATAATGTTCCAGGCCCTGAAAAAAATCAAGGATCTTTAAAATAAAATAAAAAAATTGAGGCGAGAAATCTTATAGAAATTTTACGAATCGCTTCCAGTTGTGGGATATTATTTTTTGAAATTAAAATGCGATATCTATTTAAATTACCTTCTTTTTCTCAATTTTTCCACTGATTCTCTATGTTTAAAAAATTCATTTTTGAAGTGTTTGAAAATATTTTGGACTTGAGTGAATTTTATGGACTTTTGCGATCAGTTTTCTTTTCTAATTATACTTTACTAGATCTAAGTTGACTTCCGTGGTCGCATTTGGAATGGCTAAAAATTACAAGGTCGCGTTTCGTTCAGAATGGGTTATATTACATCCGATTTGAACTTCAAAATCTCAGTTTCAGACTGTACAGTGCTACTGCGCGCAACTCGTTTCAAGTCTGATACGGTTAAAAATAATTCGCTACACGGTGGCTTCAAGGCTTAGCACATTGACTAAAAATTTCAGTACTCCAGGCCGATTTTTTTTTCAGATTTTGCGACTTTTTGCGTCAGTTCTGGTATTCAAACTCACTTGGATGAGCTGCTCGCCGTCCTTCTTCTCCTCGATGGTCGGTATAGAAGTGTACTGCCTATTAGTGCATCTCTGACGGAGCTTCGTGTATCTCAAAAAAAATCTTTTCTTTTTTTTTCCAGCCAGAATTTTTTACCTTGTGTAAAGCCAAATGATGTTTTCGGAGAGGAACTTTCCGATGTCAGCTACAGTAATCAAAATGAGCGGAACTCCGAGAAGTGCGTAGGCGATGCAGAACATTCTCCCGTGCCAGGTGACCGGCACCAGGTTACCGTAACCGATCGTGGTGAGAAGCGTTGCTGTGAAGAATAAGGCTGTGATAAACGTCCAGCTGTGCTGAAAATATTGAGAAGAATAAGTTTGTTTGGGTAGAAATGGGACAAAAAAGCTGGAAAGCTGAAATTTTAGCGCTTCAACTAAGTATAGGTAAGAAGATCGTTATAGCAAGTTGTCTTATAAAAGTCACCAGAGAGAAAAGAAAAAGAAAACTTAAAAGTTGACTTTTTCACAAGGTTTGGAGCTAATCCTACTTAAACCTCAAGAAACAATGAAAACTTGATTATTTCAAACTTCTTCGTTCTCGCCACCAGGACGGAGATGTCTGGCCCCAATGAAATGGGTGTCGAAGGCTTCAAATAGAATCCTTGTAACGTTGTCGACGTACTGGACTGCTAGAGCGTCAAGAAAATCTGAAATTCAAAATTAAACTTTCCGAAATTCGCTTCTGGAAGTTTTCATATAGAACACTGATACAGTTTTTCTGTACTTCAGTGGAAATTCAGTTTTTTTTTTAGAAATTTAAGTTTGCTCATAAATTTAAAGTTGTCTTCCGGTGATTTTTTATTCCAATACTCTTTTTGAAACGAAAAAGAAAATAAGAACCTTGACTGACGCCGGCCTCGCGGAGTTCCCACAGCTCGTCCATCATCGTGTTCTTGTGCTCGATGAACCGCCGGATGTTCTTCTCCCGGACGGCCATCTGAACGTCTCCAGAATCTTCCTGTTCATGGAAGACAGCAGAACCTCGTGAGGCCGTTCCATGTGATAGAAGGCGATGGCGCCTCCGATGACGTAGAGCAAAGAGAGAAGAATGAGACCGACGTGGGGCAGAACTATCCGGGCGTACTTTTTCCATGCCGGCATCGGCGGCGCCGTGATCTGAACATTTTTTTTGTGTAAAATTGCAGGTTTTGACTGTACCTATCCATCAATTGGATTTTTTTTTCTACTCTCAGTTCCAAGAGTGAATTTTTCTAGATTTTTTTGAAAATCGGAATAAAATTAAAAACAGTAGTTAAGAAATCTTTCAAATTTTTTCGAAAACAAAAAGTGTGTCTTAAAAATTTCGTTAACAATGCGTATACTTTCTACATTTCAGCCGGCTAAAAAAAGGTTTTGAATCCAGTTTTTATACTGTGAAACCTCCATTTCACACAAAGAAAAAATCCGAGATTTAGAGATTTTTCGAAAATTTCCGTTTTCGTTAAACATTGAAAATGAAATTAGATTAGTCATTTAGTTCTTCGTTATTACTTTCTCATTAAGAAAAAAAATTTTACCCATAGGTAAAAATTGACGATTCACTAGCCAGAATACAAAAATTTGACACGTGAGAAAAAAGTGAAAAAAACCTTTACGGGATCTTCTGCCAATCAAAATATTATATTTGAAAAAAGGTCCTGAACACTCGAAAGCCGTCATTTCTCCGACTAATTATTCATTTCCGATTCCTTCAGTCATTCCGAAATAAATGCCGTTTATACGTCGTTTTCGTTGAGGTCGGTGGGATTTTTGCGGCGAGCATATCTGCCCTGATGCTGGATGAAGAGTCCGACTCGGCCGGGGTTGTAGGGCAGGTGCGAGGAGAGGAAAGGCATCTGCCAGAACCACAGTTGGACCCGAATAAGAGGGAAAAAAGCGAAGAGCAGGAGGAAGGCCGGAGGGACCTCCATTTTTCAATTGCAAAACAGAAAAATACTTTTTGACTTATGCTCCGTTCAGAGTGGATAGAGAAAAAAAAGAATACCAAAGAAAAAGGCAAAAATCAGATCACCTTCAGAACTCTTCAAAGGAAAAAAAAAATCGAAAACTTCATATTCTTCTTTTTTTCAAAATCTTTCTGTTTTTGTGTCGATAATCAACTGAGTATCAGTTTTTCACTCGATTTTCTTATAGTTTCTCTTTGAGTCTAGCTTACCAAATCCTACAAGTGCGCCCCATGGAACGATATCTTATTGACTCGCCGAGTTGAAATAGAAGCTCGGACGCGCTCCGGACGTTTCTGAGTAATTCTAGGGATCACTTAAAGTGCTGAAGCTACTAAAGTTGTCACTAGAAATGCCGCGACACGTCGGATTCGCGTTACCAAAGTCCAAAAGGAGCGTGACGAACCAATCAGATGCATATAGCTCGTCAGAGCGCATTTGGGATTAGGACTTGCAAAATAATTCACAGTGCTCAACTTTATTGACAAATTAAAAGAATTTACTTTTTTCCCATCAAGAATCTAAGCCGTGATCGACTCTGAAACCTGTATACAACTGAAAAATTTCGATGCAAAAACTTCATGCAAAACTATAATTTTTTTTCATGCAAAACTATAATTTTCGAATGAAAAAGGGCAAAACGTGAGAAAAAGTTCACGGTACAATGAAATGAAAAAGCGCAAAGTGAAAAAGCGGCGCTGACCCGTGAATGCATGGCTCCTTTGATGGCCCCCAGGGCACGCCCGTGAGCTCGATTAATAGTCCGGCAGAGATCCGGTCGGATCTTCAGAAGAGTAATTAGCGACGTCAGGAGGTCGAATCCAGAAGATCTCCACGGAAAGGGCAAAGTGAGGCCGAAGGCGTGGTCGTTCAACGGCAGTTCGCAGTCCATTCATCTTCAGTCCTAGCCCCACTTTATCGATGAAAAACGACTCTTTCTACTTGCTTTTTACGGCGATTCGAATGGAAAACTTGAAAAAAGTCGGCAAACTTATGACAGTGAGCTTCCTAATACGGACTCTTCTTAAAAAATTTACCTTTTCTGGAATTGGCTTCTAAAATCCTTGATGTATTTTGGACGAAAATCTGTTTTGGTCTATTAAAATTTAGGAAAAATGAGAGCAAGCAGCCTCATGCGAACCATAGAAAAAAATAATTTGAGTTCCGAACCGGCTTTTCTTAAAAGCAAAATTAATTTTCAATGCTTCTGAATTAATTTCCAAACGATTAGTGATGTTTTTGTATGGAAAATCTGAATACATCCAGACTTCTTTTTACCAAGTTTGACAACTTGAATTTCTACTCTTCATTTATAGTACTTCAAATATTTTTCAAAAATTGATGAGTTTATAAGAACCTGAATAATCTCACGAACCATCAAATATTTTCTAACCTTTTTTTTTACTGAGATCTCGATTCCTATTCCCACTTCTCACTCGGATTTTCTCTCATTCCACTCTTTTTTTTGTCTGGAAAAGCTGAAAATCCAAAGAGCTTCGAAGATGATTGGCTCGCGGAGCCGTTCGTCGGTCCTCAAGGGACAAAACCTTTTTTTTCCTTCTTTTGAAATGATTTTCGGAACTGAAAATCCAGTTGATGATCTCTATTAGAGGCTCGTTTTACAGAACAAAATTAATTTAAAAGCAAAGATGAGACTTCAGATTAAAAAAACAATTTAATAAGAATTTTCGCTCATACATTGTTTTCAAACAGAATGTTCTTTGCTCATTTCTTATTTGCTACTTTTGCAAGACTACGTTCCTTTTTATCTTTTTTCCTAATCAGAAAAAGCGAGAAATATTCGAAAAATTGAGGCCTTTTTCCCGGGGGACGAATCATGCATTTGGCGGTCCGCGCCAATCTCTTTTGTTTCACTCCAAAGACACACAACTCTCCGTTTTTCATCAGGGAAACGTTCCTTCCGAGAGGAAATTTCCGTTCGACGGGTTTAGTTTGAACTTCTAAAAGAAATTTCCTGGTTTCTAAGTCCTGAAAATCTGCTCTTGGTATAGTTGGAAATGTTCATTCAAACTCCGCTTTCGATTATGTTTCAAAAAAATTTTCTCAACTTAACTTTGTAACTGGATACAGAGTGGAAAAATTGAAAATTTTAAAGTTTTAAAGTTTCAAAAAAAAAAAAAGATTTCTCGCGCGATTAACAAAGACATGTTAAAATTGAACTTATAAAAATTAGGACTCTATCAAAAAAGGCAAGAAAAAGTTGGTAAATATTTCGTTATAAAAATTTGAAGTAATCAAGAAAAAGAAGGTTGTTTCCATTTTTTAACCCTACAATTTTTTCACTCCGAAAATCATTTGTAAAAATATTGAGAAGAGTAAGTTTTGAAGAAAAAAGAAAATGAACGCACTTTTGTTCAGTTTGATGGAAGATAATTCAAAAAGTCTGTCTCGGACGTTAAAATCTCGCACTACATTGCAAAAATGAAAACAGAAAGTCTTGGAAAACAATAAAAAATATCTTCGCTTCAAGACTTAACATAGGAAACAAGTCCAAGCTTCTTCAAATACCTCTAAAATAACTTTCGAATAAACTCCACTTCAACTCTACAGTATATGAAAACAAAAACTAACCTGAAAAAAGGATCAAAGAGGGAGGAATGAACATTTTCCCAGAAAAGATACAGAGGTCAAAGATTCGACAGACCCTCGGGCCTTATTCAATTAGTTCTTAAGCAAAGTGTCAAAAGGAAGAACTTTTTCGGATGCAATAAGACAAAAATGCGGTGCAAAAGGAGGCTGAGCCGCCATATAATCTAACCGACTGCCGGCGCAATTTGCGCAGACTTTTTTCCATCTAAGGACATAACCTCCGAGAAAAAGGAGAAGCGCGAAAATTTTCGAGGTGTTTATAGTATAGAGCATTCTTCAAAATATTCTTCCGTGTTCATAAAACTTACAGAAGAAGAATAGGTGATCGATTTTTGTAGCTTCAGTTTGGGGAAACTATCCCGATCCTTTTCTGTACAGTTTTAGTGGATAATAGTAGATTCGATCTGACTTCAAGCTGTAAATGGTAGTACGAAAGTCTCAAACCTTTTATGTTACGTCAAATTCTAATTCACATACAATTTTTCACAAGGCTTGATTGAAACTGAAAAACATTTCTTTTTCATTTTTTGATATTTTTTTTAGCTCTGGACAAAATTAAACACTTTTTTTTAAAAAGTCACTTCAAAAGATAATTTTTTTAAAATCAAAATTCACATTTTTTCTAAAAAGCGACAGTTCTTGAAGATATGAAGAAAATATATCATTTCGCTGTTAGAGTATTATTTGAAAGTCTAGATCTTCGCGTTTTCCAAATTTCGGTCAGAAACAATTCCTTTCAACAATTAAAATCTGACGGTCACTACTATTTTTTAATATATTCATCTTTTTTCAATCCACCTCACGTACTGTTCGTCTTCACGAGGGTCTGTCACTTTAACTCGTAACTAAAAATGAAACTTCCATCTTCTATTGTCCTTAGTTGTATTCTTGTCTATTCCAATTTCAAAAAAAAGGACAGATGATTTTCAATGAAACCTCTCTTAGACCCAGCACTAGATAGAATAATTATAAAAGCCGGCAATAAGCTCTTTGAAAGATTTCTGAACTCTCGAGAGATTCCAACTGTTTCCTGGTTCAAGTTCAACCTGTTCGCCGAGAAGAAGCTGGTCGAGGTCCCATGGATCGGCCTCCGGTAGTGGCGACAGGTCGCTAGGCGATAGTTGATCCATTTTCTGCTCTGAAACGGGAAAATTCGACTTTCAAGAAAGAGGAACAAAAATGAACGAACAGCTTGTGAAGCACCTTGCTCGGAGTGAATATTTGATGATCCCCTAGAGGTTACAAAAGTGCAGAAAGTGAAGGATAAGTCTTGTCAGAAAAAAGAGAAGCTGCATCAAAACATGAACGAGAAGATCTATGATATAGACAAGCACTACTTTTTGCATATATGCTGTTCTAATTACTTAATTAAGACTAACTTCGGAATAGGAGTAAAAAAATGAAACTTCTATGATTCTTTTTCAACTCCATATTTTTCTGTCCCGGATCCCTTTTTTTGGGAATTTTTTTGAACAAATATTCTTTTTGTTTCAAATAAGGTTTCTTTTGAAATTTTCTGTTTCTCAACTCTCTTATAGGTTTCAAAAATTAAAAAAAATATAGTAAAAAAATGGCGTCGGACTCTTCGAAGTTGCCGGAAATGAAAAAAATTTGGAAAACAATGAAACAAATGTTATATAGGTTTCTAGTTTCATGAAACTTCAAATTTCAACTTTAAAAGATAAAACTTCTAGTTTTTTTATGAAGTAACAAACGTTAGAAAAAAAATATTTTTCGTTGGCGAAAGATTTATTTTCAGTTTCATCAGTTTCAGCCTAGTCGTAAAGTACGTCTATGATTTTAAAAAACTAACACATATGCTCTAAAAACTAATCAAAACGGAGGTGGCTATATTATTGAAATAAGGTAATCTGAATGAAGAAGATCATCTACAACTTCCCAATGATTGAATCTTTTAGCATACAAGCAATAATCACTGAATTTTCCAAACAAAAGGCTCTGAGAAATTGAAAATCTAGACGTTTTACCATACACTACTGCAACAAAGTTGAACTGACTATAAAGAAAACTTGTGCTTTCTGAAGTTTTCAATGAAGTTTCAAAATTTCATGGAAAAATAAAAGCCTTCAATAGTTAATTCGTACTCTTTCGAGAATATCCGAAAGCTGAATGGTGATAAAATCAACCGAAGGTTCATGATTTTTAAATTTGATCTGATGATGATCACAAAAATAAATTTATTCAAAAAAAACAGAAAGGAGCTTACAAAAGATTAGCTGATTATAATGAAAATTCACGCTTTTTAAAATTAACTTTCCAATTTTCATGAGCAAAAAGAGCCTTTTTTGGTTAATCCGCACTCTTTTGAAAATATCAGAAAGCAGAATAGTGATCAGATCAACGGAATTATCATGATTTTTAGGTTTGACCTGATGATCAAAAAGCAAGGATTTCTTCGAAAAGAAATCAGAAAGAAGCTTACAAAAGAGAGCCGAGAAGAGGTTTCGGAATCGGACCAATCTCCGGAATCCCATCTGTCCTCATCTCACTCTATCAGGCTCCGCCGCCACAAACGCGCATCCCCAATTCGCAACTTCAATTTCGGCAAGAGATGCCAGAAACAAATCCAAAACGTGGTCCGCTCCATGCACTTTTTCCGAGGCACAAATTGGAGTTGAAATCGGCCGCCGGCCTAATTTCGAGCCCATTTGCGTCGGATTGCCGACAAAGCCCTGAAACAAGACCATTTCTTGAAGGAGATGGTCAGAAGAAACATGTGAACCGCTGAAAGTTTCAGATATTTCAAAAATGCTGATGAACAGAAGACTTGGTTCCAATTAACAGAAAATAAGGCTTTTTGTTGCAAGAAATCTGATACATAAAAAAGTTTTAAGAACCGCCCTTTTTTGCTTTACCGGATTTGAAAACTATTCAATTGTTCCCTGAGAAGATAATTTGAAGAGATTAGAAAAAAAAGAGAAGAAAATCCAAAAGGAAAAAATCCCGGTTTTCAGCTTCTCATTATACCATCTTCATATAGCGTCCATTCACGAAAAGATTGATATTATTTTTCAATTTATTAAAGAAATAATCGAAAAAAATTTTTATTTATTTTTTTAATTTGGATCTCTCAACTTTTTTTGATGAATATTTACCTCATAAATTGAGAAAATAAAAAAATTTTTGAAACTTTTTCTTAAAAAAATGACAATATTGTCACAAAAATCACACAGTTAATAAGAACGTTGCTTGATGTGCACACTTTCCAAAAAAAAAACCCGGTATTTAATTTCCAGTCCTTAGAAAATCTCAAAAAAAGTAACAACGTAAACTTCAATACAAAAAAACACGAGAAAACCGAAATCTTTCAATAAATAGTTTATTAGTTTATTCATTTTTTTTTTCTCAATAAAGTTAATTTGAAACAACTTTCAGAGGACGTGCATTAGGGTATAGAAAATGTGTGTCTAAAAAGACCGAAATCACAGAAATGGTTGGGAAACAAGCTTTGGTAACGTTCACGATACTTTGTGAGAATTGCACGATTCACCGTTGGAAAGTCTCAAAACGAAGGAAGAAAAGCCATTTGGAATCAAATCGAGGGGCAAGATTTTCAAGCAATCTGCTGAACCAAAATGGAAATCAAATGCTCTCTGGAAAAAAAAAAATCAAGATTGAGGAATCGGAAATTGCGAGACATGGCGTAAAAGATTTCGAAAAATACTGAAACTATTTGGGAAACAAAAGTTCTTAGCGACTAGGAGTTCAGGAAAGATGTAACGGGTGTGAAGCAAAATAAAGCCAGGAAAAAAAAGAAAAGAAAAAGAAAAGAAAACACCGATTGAGTGGGCGGGGCCTGCGTTATATATTGCTCATGTTACATACCATGAGGTCATAAACATTTGGTGGGAAAGTAAACTAGAAAAATATTTGTACATTGGTAAGATTTGTTCAGAAACGGGCAATTACACACGGCTAAAGCAACAAAAATGGTTATGAAAAGGCAAAAAATAAATAAATAACAACTCTGGGAGAATAATGACTTGCCTAATGGAAAATCAAAACTGAATTCATGGAAAGTAAACGAGAATGATGTACAAAAACGGACATGAAGTTGATTTTCAGTTTTAAAAAGCAAAATTCCAGAACTCGTCCAGTTTATCGAAACGTATCTTTACGTTGGCTAAATGAAGGTACAATAGAACTTCTACGCAAAATGAAACATCTCGAGATAATTCCTGAAAACCTTTCAGCAGGCCGCGGACCCATTAGGAGAACAATTATGAGAAGAAGATCAAGGGGACATCTCAGAGCATTTTGGCGACCAAATTGCGGTTGAGACGGAGGAGAAGCTGTCGTTCGACATTCTCCGACGTGGCGAGAAGTCGGCCGGCGGCGTCGAGCTTCGCGTACGGCGACAGTGACGTGTGCATGGAGAGAGCACGGTCGACGGTGAGGGTGCAGGTCGGGAGAGAGAGAAGCTCGGCGGCGAGTTCGGACAGTGCCGGACACTTGGCTGAGCACGACCTCCAGTAGGCCAGAGGAGCCTGCAGAGGGTTGCCGAAGGTTCGCACCAACGGCGAGAAGAGCGACTCCACCGGTGACTGCAAATTCCGGAGTTGGAATGATACATTTTCTTTATAAAACCAAAAAATATTTCTATTTTTGCACAAAATGATTTGATTTTTAGACTTTTACCTGAGGCTTCAGAGTCTTTTTTTTTCACATTTTTCCTAGATGAAGCCCTGAACTGCTGTCTAAACATTTAGAATTGTTTTTCCTATCGAAAAGCTCTGATCTTCTTCGTCTTTCCACTCACCGAGTTCGAAATTTCCTCGAAATAGGAGTTGACGATGCTTTCATTGGCGTTGTCGTCCTCTTTCTGGAACAATCAATGGAGTTGAAAATTCATTTTTCAAAAGAAACCTTGATTTGGGAGTTTTGGAACAAGTCTCCGTAGAAGGTGAGCTCGTTCGACTCGCTCACGTTCTTCATCACGTTGGCCAGGATCGCGTCGACTCCAATCGCCAGTTTTCGTTCTTTTTTGATCGAAACTGCCCGTTTCGAAAGCTGAATTATTCAATTTCAACATGTATTTCTTTAGGAGTGTAAGGCAAGAATTCGTCAAACTAGCTTAGCTCCGTCAATTTCCCAGCCCATACCTCTTTCTCGATAGTTCTCTTGGCGCAGGCCAGCTGATCGGGCGACAAAATGACAGCCAATTGCGGATTCAAGGCGGTCGCCTGGAAATTCTACTGGTTTTTGGCTTTTATCTCATTTATTTTACCTGAACAAAGGTGGGGTCAAACTCGCTGCACTCCTCGTCAAGAACGAAAGCCATTCTTTCGGTGATGATATCCCGGAGCTCCAATCCCAACTCGCCGAGGTTGTAGGCGTCCTGAATTCAAAACTGTTAACTTCATCTCCAAAAAGTCTCGCACCTTCTCAAGAGTGAGCAAGATCTGCTGAATGGTTGGAAGGACGCTGTCGATGGTGGTGACGTCACTGCCTGGCGTCGTCGAGACGTACTGCTTGAAGACGTTGCAGAGGCTATTCAGGCCGTATACTCGGCTCCACTGCTGCTCGGTCAGGTCGGTGTTGTTGAGTTTCAAGCAATCGCGCATGCCGACCACCGCTTCCAGAAGGATCGGAAGGGACTCTGGAAATCATTAATCTATATTTGATCTGAATGAAGATGAGAATATAATAAAATTTCGTTCTGGTTTTGCAGTACTGTGAAAGCTTACCGAGTTTCGCATTTCCTGGGAAATTCTTCGTTTCGGCAAACAAGGAGTCCAGCATCGCAATAACGGATTCGTGGAGGCTTTTGACCGTCGAATTGTTTTCTAGCCAAAAGTTCAGAGCCGACAGAAGACAGCTAGCGAAGGATTCAATCTTAATGAACACATTGAGATTATTTCTTGGATTTTTCCTGAAACCTGCTTATCGACGACATTGCCGCACTCTTCGCCGATGAGGTTTCTGATTCCAGAGCAAACGACTCTATTGATAGATTCCGCCACAATACCGTAGTCCGAGATCACCTAGAAAGAGCCAAGATTCGCAAACAAGATTTCTGGTCGGAAAACCTGCTCGACGGCTTTTCCAACAGATTCGGAGAGGTTATCACTGGGGGCGACTGTTCGGAAGGCCAGGAAAATGGTCTGGATTTCGTGGGTGGCGCCGGTGGCGACAGGGATCGAGGCGGCGACGACGAGTTTGTGCGTCGCGGCTTCAGAAAAGCCAGGCGTCGCGATTTCGACGGCGTCGACGAGGAGACTGACGCGTTTAGCCGAATGGAGCATCGATCGCATCGATTGCTGCAGACGGAGGCAAGTCGCAGAGACGATCTAGATAATCATTATTGATTTTTCCCTTTTGATTTCAATCCAACCTGCTCATAGATGGAAACTTCTTCGCACACGGTGAACTTGGGCTGAGCCACTTCGAAGAGTTCCTTCCAGTGGGGATTGTGCAGAACCTATAAAATGATAAAATGCGGAGAAATGACGTGAAGGTCTGACTATTTTCAAACACGTTTGGCACAATCTCCATTTGCATACGTTTCAACTTCCCTACTTGTTGTGTAGATGAATGAATTTTCAATCTGGAGAGCCTTCATTCATTCATTTCAAATGTTTTTTCGCCATTCCGCAATCTGCACGACAAATACAAAAAATAAAACATCAAAACAATCAAATACATCTAACAGCTGATTTGTGGAAACGGCTGGAGGAAAAGATTGTCTGAATAGACGGTGCTAACCCCCATTTGGTATTTAAGTTTGTTGATCATTGGAGGGATCATTTTGTCATCTATTTTGTTCACTTCTTTTTCATTGTACTATTCGGGCTAAATTCAATCCTTGGAGGTTCGAAAAAATCGTCTCAAGCTTTATTTTTTTTCAGTGAAAATTGAAAAACGTTTTCTTTCCAATTATTCAGGTTTTCCTTTTTCTATTAGACTTTATTATTCCAATGTTAACATCCTTTTTCACTCTTTCAACCATTTTATATGCTCACATCGAATCCAACATGCGAGCTGTAGAGGGCAAGAGCCAGCTTCGTCTCGAGTTCCTTCTGCTTCCGGTCGTCCTTCCGCCACTTCTTCGACTGCATCATCTGGCCGCCGGGATTCACCGCAAGTCCTCCAGCCGAACCATACACTGAACAAGGCAAGTTCCGAAGGTTCTCAGGGAGTCGAAGAGCTCACCAGCTTGTTGAAGAGCGGCGGCGTGGGCCGGGGTGAACGAGTTGGAAGACGTCGGCAACGACTGGGCCAGCATCATCTGAAGCGGGTTCATCGCCCCCATCATCAGGTTCTGCATGAGGTTCGGCATCGTCGGCATCGTTGGCGTCGTCGCGGAAATCGGTGGTGTTCGGAAGACGTTCATCAGCGAGCTGTAAGACTTTTACGTGAAATTTTCTCTTTATTTCATAGTATTTTTGAGCAAATACGCATCCTTTCGAATTTTTCTTCTAAGTTCATCTATTCAAACTTCACCTTTTTTTCAAGATCTAAAGATTTTTATTCTGAGCCTGACAAAGCAAAAAGCCTGCTCAGTTTTTTTACTTCAAACTCGTGAGTTAAAAACTACTGATTTAATTTTTGAACTTCAAGAACGGTTTATTTTTTAATTTTATTTTTTTAAACCAAGTCAATGCTAAGTGCGTAAGAAAAAATCAAAATTTTTTTACAATATCTAAAATATTATCGAAATTTGAAAGAAAAACAAAACTTCAGTTTTTTTTCCCTCAAACTTTTATCTGGATTTTCAGCATAGCTCAATTTCATCATCCTCTGATTCAAAAATGCCTCTTCTGATGAGCTGAAAAATCCCGATTTGATCTGAATCGAAAAAATAATCCCGACACGATTCAAGTCAAAATTTGATGCTCCCTTATGTTAAAAGGGTCTTATCGTCCCCGCTGACTCTTTTCTTGATATCGAGTCTCCGAAATCCGGGAATTCGAAGAAAAAAAGACAAGACTTAGCCAAAAGCCCTCATGAAATCAAAGTCCGCGCCTTTTCAACACGGATTCTCACGGAAACTTGCAAATTTAAGAGGCTTTTCGGGAGGATGAGCCGAAGCGTTTTGAGCATTTCAATCAAGAAGAGAGTGCTCAAATCTTCGGATGATAAAGATTTGGCAGATTGATGAAATTCAGCTGTTGTTGTCTATTCGAAACGGAATAATCGCCTTTTCTTAATGTCGCTTTCATGATCTGTTGATAAAAAAAATGTTATGAGAAAAAAAAATCTTTCTTAATAAGGCGTCGTGTTTTTCGATTCTTATAAAGTACAAATATTAAATTTCATTTTTTTGTATAAAAAAAGCAAGAAGAATGATTTCGAACGATTCCTATACAAAAATATAGCACGGTGGATCAAATGATCATGTGCGCTTTATTGTCAGAGACTGCAAAAATATTTTCAAGTTTTTTAATTCTGCTTCATTTCCAAGTTTAGCTTTATATCCTCTCTATTCGAAAAAATAGCCTCGAAATTTTTAAAAATAAATTTCATACAGTGAGGGCGATATAAGTGACTTCCCATTTCAATCTGATTTTAAATCAAGTCTCCGAGTATTTCCATTGAAAATCTTTCATAGTTCTCGCCAACCCCTTATGACTTTCCGGTTTTTTTTGCTATTGTTCTTCCAAAAATTTTTGTAACCCTTTTTTGAGCTGACTCCCACCAGGAATCGAATTTTTTATCGACAAGTTCTGACCTAACGTCGCCAATCTTCGCGACAGGCTCCTTCTTGACTCGCGGCTTTCCGCCTTCGCTGGTCGGCGTGATCGGCGACTTGGGCAGAGCTTCGCGGAACTCGCCGGAGTTCGTCTTTGGCGGTCCCTGGACGTCGATCTTCGTTCGCGAGTAGTCAGCCTTCAATTTCAACTTGAAACTAAAGATTTATCAAATCGAAGAAGAATTTAGCTTAAAATATTAGTTGAGTAGAAAATAATTAGAATGAAAAACTTTTGATTATATCGCGCAGAATTACGGAAGCAGTGAGAAATGGTGAAACCTTGAGCTTCTGGAACTCGGCGTACTCCTTGACGTGCTTCTTGAGATGACACGCGAGGGTGCTGGTGTGAGGTCCTTTCAGCATGTAGGTACAGTCTCCAACAATGCATCTGGAAACAAGATTTAGAAAAAAGTTTCTTCTCTTCTTCTCTCTAAATTTTACTTTTTATTCGAGAAATCACCTGCTGAGGTTCTCGGCCTTGTTGTAGACGAAGTACTTCCAAACCGGCGTCTGTTTGTTCGTTCCTCCACTTCGGATCGCCGCCGCGGGGTTTCGGTGCCAGCTCCAGTCATCCTGAAAATTTAAAACCAATTTAATGAATAAATATCATCAAACGAAAATAAAAAGATAACATGAAACTGTGAAAATTGATGAAGAAAGTTTGTTTTCTCATCACCACTGTATCATTGGGTCTTCTGTTCTAGTCCTTGAAATCAAATAATTTCAATTATTATCATTATATTATTATTATTATTTTCACGGTAGAAACTATTCGCAAAGAAGACGGCAGATGATTGAAAGAGTTCATTTTTTTTCGATTTCAGGTTTACCTCGGCGAAGAGCTGAGCGGCCGGAGACTGGGCGACGGCGACGGATCCTGGAAGAACCGGAGCAGACGGGGCCGAGGGCAGCGGCGATGGCGACGTCGACAGCGACGCGAGCAGCTGCGAGGGCCGTGCCAAGTGGTCGTCCACCTGAAGAAACTCCAATGAGTTCCAAGACAACTTCTTCGGTTGTAGGAGGCGCCGACAAGTCGCGTAAAGCTGGATAACACTCTACAGCTCGGATAAGTCGCGTCTTTAGTACTTTCGGCGGAAGATAGGTCGAGTAAAACGTCAAGAGCTTGTAAGAGTGTGGCAAGAGTGGCGAGGTTATGATATAAATCGTTTTTATTTTGTTTTTGAACACGTAAGAATATCAAACTTCTTCATAGAGGCTACAGTAACTCGAAAAATATGAAACTCAAGAAATAAATAAAAATTATGTAGAGGCCTTCAAAAGTCGTATCTTACCATACTTCTCAGGAATGATTTAAATATTGATGTAAAAGTTTAAATGAAAAGTGAAATTTTAAAAACTGTAAGCCAATAAGAAAGATCAAGAAAATGGAAAATTAGAGAAAAACAGACAAACTAACTCCACTCTCACCATACACTTTCCAAAGACTTTGTGAAAAAAACAATACCGACCGTTGGAAAATGGGCGCTGCTGCCACCAGGAGAACCGCAACCTTTTCAGTGGCTGGAGGTCAGTTTTATAGTCCATAGATGACAGGCGCTTGGAAACAACAAACACTGCGTCAACATGCGAGATTCCGCGGAACAATTACCCAATTAACGCGACGCAACATTGGCGCGTGCGAAAAGTTATACCGGAAGTGATATGCCTGGGGCAGCATAGACAAATGACGTTGTAGGCGATTATATCATCGCGGAGCCAAACAACACCAACTCGAATTCCGGAAAGTCCACTCGAGTCAGATGTTTAGACATAACAAATCCATTTGATCATACCCCCGTTTAGTCAGCCAGGAAATGAAAATTGGAAAATTTCGATTCAGGCTCCTTCCTGGTAGCCGCAAGATCAACGACGAAGTCTTTTTCACGAAACAAACTTTAGCAGTGAAAAAACTATAAAACTACTTTACAACATGAACGCTCCATAGACAAAAGGTAACTACAGTATCCCTAAAAAAAAAAATGTGTTTTTTTATTTCTTGCGTAGATCCTTCAATACATCCGCACTGTTAAAGATCCCTGTGGGGAGCGCATATGTTTCAGAAAATTCAGCTTTTCTTTCAACTTTTTAATTGTACCTATCCTCCTAGAATGTAATATACTTTTCTTTTTTCTGATTCTGATCAGTTCTGATGGACGGCTTATATTCCAGAAATAGATATAACTCGCTGAAAATCCCAACAACACTAGTAAACGACCACAGCCACACACAGAACCACAATTTCCTTGTTAAAACTTGTTGGAATTGAACAATTCGGAAAAATATTCTACCTTTGCGAAAGAGAGCATCGTCTTGCTGATCATGTCGAGAATGTCGCATTCCGAGGAATCTGGCCCTTCATCTTGCTCGATTTCCTCTTCCTTCACCGGACTGTCCGTCGAGACGACGCTTCCGTTCGAGGATCGATAGCTGAGAACATTTTATATTCTCCTTCATCATTCATGTTTTGTACTTGAATTTTTCGATTTGAAAAATTGATAATAAAAAGCTGAACTTCAAAAATCACACTCCTACCAAACCTCTGTAATTTAATTTTCCAAGAATTTCTGTTTGGTTTATAACTGGACGTTTTAAAAGTTTATTGAACTCTGGAAATGTCATCCGAGTTATTTTTTTCTTTGAAACAGAGAGGGAAAAGTAGAATTTCAGAGATCATGCTCAAAGAGAATTCCAGGAGGTTTCGCTCAACTTTCGAATTTGAAAAATTATAACAGGCTGAACTTGAGAGCTATTCAAAATGGAATTTTTCATGAAAGGATAAGTTTTAGAACCCAAATCCATAGCCCATACCTTTCTTCTAGTTATCTTTTGGCTCATAAATGTCACGTCCCCACTTAGAATGGTCCAAAGCGTCAAAAAATCAGGGATAAATTGAGACGATTGATATTTTATGTACTTTCTAATGTCTCTGCGCGCAAACAGTTTTGAGTCAGACGCGCTTTTGAGAACCCGCTCCGCAGCCGTTACGCGTGAGCCATTCTACATGCGACCACGGCCTCCGAAATGAACTGTTTACCTGGCGGAAGAAGGTGCCGCGGGAGACTGTCCTTCTTGAGAAGCCTCGCCGGCCAACGGAGTCGAAACCGAACAAACGACATCGGTCGCCGCGTCAACCTCCACCTGAAAATCCAGTTTCGGTTTCTTTTCTCTTTTTAGTCTTATATCCCCTTCTTTCAATTATTTTAGAGAATCTATTTTTAAAATGTTTTCGATATACATCAAAGTCTTTTATTGGAAGTTTATCCTCACATCTTCATTATAATCAAGCTTCAGTCTTTTCCAAATAAAAAATAACGCCCTTCCAATAAGCTCTTTCGTGTGATATTTTTCAACAACTACATACAAAGGAAAGAAGCAATTATCATAATGCGCTTTTTCCGAAAGATTAAGTTTTTTTTAACAGATCACTTTTCAATCTTTATGTGGGAGTTATAGTCTGTATTAAAATTAATTATATATAAAGTATCGTTTATCGCAAAAAAAAGGCCACGTTTTTTTGTGAACGGAAAAATTATTCTGCAAAAATTTTAAAATATTGAAAGACAGAATTTTTTTCTGAGGTTCTGCTTAAATATTAGCAGAAGCCTGGTCTTTTTCTTCTTTTGAGAAACTCTTCAAAATTTTTGAAAAACTTCTATCGAGATGGCCCCAACGAGAGAAACTTGTGATATTCGGTTTCAAGCATGAATGAATGACGGAACTCAATCCGGGAATTCTGTACAGTTGCAGCTCAACACCCTGAAAAGGACGGGAAAGGCACACAGGTTGTTTCATTAGCGGCGCCACCTTTTGGGGGGAATCGCGCGGGTGTGGGAGCCATTTGCGCAGCTGTGCACGTCTCTGCACACCGTTACGTCGTTTTTATACAATTCCCTAGGTTTTTCGGACCTGAGTTGGCACGTCGATCCGAAAACGCTTGGCTTCTGGCGGACCCTCGCCGCAGTGGATTTCGACGCTGCTCATGGCTTGCTTCGAGACGGGCAGAAGGTACACGTTGCTGCTGCTCAGTGGAGCGCCGTTGCACAATCCTGAAACAAAAAGTGGTTGTGAAAGAGCGAAGTGAGAAATTAAGAGAAAAATTCTTGACTAAATTACGCGAACTGTGAAAAAGAAAAATAAAATTCTTGAACGAAAATATTTTCCTCACAGTTTAGTTCAAGTTACTCGAGTTGTGAAACTCAGATTGGAAAACATTTTAAACAAATTATAGTCCTCCTGATAACCAAGAATCAATTTCCCATTCACAGGATCAAGAAAAACAGTTTTCGCAACACTGGGTTCAATGATGCTTCCACGGCTTTCAAATACGCAGAACTTCAGTTTGCAATTCAAACTTCAAATTGGTCTCGTAATGAACTACATTACTTGCGCCTTGTGCCTTCAAAAACTCTGACGAGAAATTTTGGATGAAAATCTATCTCAAAAATTCCAGAATTAACTAAATGAGCTCAAAAATACACCATTCACACATATATCATCTTGTCGAAACTGAAGAAAACTTTCAGAATTGTCCTACTTCGCAGATGAAAAACTGAGAAGCCTCAAATGATCTCTACGAGAAAGATCAAATTCAATAAAAGCCAAGAGTTGCGCGATAAAATACGGCGATTTTTGTTTTATTACATTCGCCCGGTGTCGGCATTTGACACCCGCGGACATCAGTAACGATTGAAAGTTGGAAAAGAATCGAGAAACGATAAACCGAAATTCGGGTGAATCGTAAAAGTATCGTACGGTTGAGGAAGGGGACGGCCCTTTTATGCTCGCCGAAGTATCAAAACCGCTAAAACACCAAAAAGCCGCCAATAACCGACGGAGGAGGAGGTGAAGTTTTCCGAACTGTAAACAAAAAAGGACTGAAAATACAGGGTCGTATCGATTGGCAATGGGGCGATTTTAGAAGATTTTTTGGTAAAATAACTTGCTTTTCGAAACAGATCAGGATAATTTATAGCGAGTCCAACTAAATAGTATTTTGAAATTCTAAATTGGACCAAGTTTTGCTGTTTCAAGCTCAAGTTGTTAATTAAGTGAAACTTTGATTATTTTTTTTTCGATATTCTGAAATTTACTGAGAATTCAACTCAATTTTTGATTATATTCTTCCGATTTATATCGACTTATTTGCCTATTTTTTTGCATGTTTCGAAAATACAGCACTTTCGTAAAGAATTATTCGATGCTTTTTGAAAACGAAAAATGTAATAACTAAAAAAACTTTTTGTTATGAAAAAGCTCAATAGCATAATCTGTGCCAAGCTCTGCGTCTCTGAGCGCTTTAAAAAAATTATCGATGAGTCAGCAATTCTGAAAGAATTCTTTTTCTTTTCTATGAACTGTATCGGAAAAAAACTTATTTTTCGCTAACTGGAAAAACTTTACAGAATAATATAGTACACTTTCGATCATTTATTGTTGACTCAAGAGGCAAAGTTAACTGGGAAAACAAGTCTTATTTCCTCTACAGGTTCTACTCGCAAACTCAAAACTTCCGTGAAACTTATTCACAAGAAAATAAAAGAGCTTAATAACGAATGGGAAGATTATTCGGCCGATAAATGGCAGACGATGGAAAGTTGCAAGCGGCAAGAGTGAGTCAACTATGCAAAATGAGGAAAAAAACGACGACTGTCAAAGACAAGAAAAAAAAGAGTTTCTGAGAAAAAGCGAGCGCGCGGATGTCCGCGTCCCGGCACAATAATTGCATTCGGCGGAAAGCAAAAAGGAGTTTGATTTTCCTTTATCGATATAATCGACGGGAGTAACTTGTGGGAAAAAGGAAAACGTCGGCCTAGGCGATTTATTGAAAATATACGTATGCTCTGCGGACAAAAATTAGTGGATAACTTCAACGACTTAATAGATTTCTGCGAAATATATTTAGTAAATTAGTATAAGGGAATGGGAGCATTTCGAATTCGTTAAGAAACTAGAGAGTATTTCGCAATTTTCATGGTAATTTTTGGTCTATAACCACGTTAGAATAACAATTCGAATGAGGTTTATAGCCGCTTATTTGAGACTGTTCTTTCGAATGAAATAGAATAAAATGCACATCTTGATGTGAAAGATTGGGGGATAGAAATTGAAAAGTATATAATCTCGTGTGGAAATTCAAGTGCTGAATACAAAAAGAGCTTAACCGATGTGGAAACAACTCAGAAGCATTGGACAGCAGCCGATGCAGCGTATCACGGTATTATCGCCGGATGAGCTCTTGAGTTCATGGACTTATTTTGTGATGAAACAAAAGTTAATTTGAAAGGTTTTTGCAGATTCTTACTGAAACAATAGTAAGTTGTTTCAAATTTTTAAAAAAATTCAATTATTGAAGTTCAAAACTCTACAAGTAAATTACTGTATTGAAACAAAAATATTAATACATGCTCCACATCTGAATCTCTTCTTTTCTCATACTGTTTCGCTATTCGTGTAAAGACCCTATTTGCCTTTAGTTCAAAGGCGAATGAGCAGACCGTTCATGAGGTGGGAAACATTTTATAAAGAAGCTAAGCAGTCCCTAGAGTGGACTTGTGAATCTTGAGCATCCCAACTTTTACTAGGTAGTTTTAATCACTCAAAAATTTCGCAGTTTACCAAGTTTGAAGTTTTTCAAGAGTGATTTATTTTTTTAACTGATTATATTGCTTGAACTTCAAAAATAAAACAACTGCAACTAGACACTTATACTACAGTAAGCTAAAAAAGGTACCTAGGTTTTTTTTTTCTTCGGTCCTCAAGAGTTGGTGAATAGATCTGAAACTGGGATCCATCTTATGCTATTTTCAACCAAATAGTTCGAATGATCCGTCTGGAAAAGGGTAAACCAAGCATAGGATAATGTGAGACGGATGTTCAAACTCAAGTCGTCTTGTTTAACCCAATGATGCTGCTCTAAAGTAGTAACTTGACAATGATCAGCTCAAGTCAAGAGAGCGATACGGTAGAGTAAAACTGAAGAGGTGCGGACAAAAAGTGTATCAGATCACGAAGTGCGGCCGGTCTGCGTCTACATACTCACTTTATTTACCTTTTGATGAATGTGAGCTCCGAAATGGGGTGAATAAAGAGAAAGCGAAAAGGGAGAAAGAACCTTGGGATGGGTTGTTAGCTCAGGACACCGCCAAGCCACGCCCACCTTTCCATAAATGTCCGCGACGACGCAGGCAAAAACGTTTTCATCCCATATTTTACACTTTTATTTGTTGAGTTGATAAAATTCGTAACTTTCTTGAAAATTTGAAGCTACCATATCCCCAAATCTTCTTAGCGGCCTTCGCATAAACAAAACAAAGAACTGGGATTTATCTTTAGCTGATATCATGAAAAACGAGGGGGGCGGATAATTAATTGGCTAACGAGTTAATTGAAATCTGGCGCGGAAATGACCTCTGAAAAAGGAAGAGCAAAGATTTGAATCGCAAAGAAACCCGTAAGAACGATTATCGCGGAGGATCCAACTCAAATCCAGATATCTTCAGGATCACCCGTTTTAGCCGGAGACCAAGCCGATTTCGCAAGTTCAGCTGGTTGTATGGTTCTTTGAAAGAACCTACTTTGAAAAAATTACAACAATGAGAGAAAGAATGGGAAAGAAGACAATTTGTGGATGGGAGGTTTAACTTCATATGATTAATCAGAGTGTTATTGCTTCTATCGAGAGCTGGAACCGATGAAAGTAGACAAGCTTCAAAGATGATTCTAACTGGAGTACTCAGGATTTTTCGTGAAGATTGAAGAATACCTACATTCCTAGAAGCACCAGAGTTGAGCAGATGAGAAAATAAGTTATTAGAACAAGTCCGATCTAAGGAGAGAACCCAAGTTGGAAGTGAAACCTTGTGGCGTCCAGTAGATCATCTCATTTGGCAGAGGCTTACGGTAGAAGCGAGGAGAGGTCATCCAATGAAAATGAGAATGTGTGCGGTTGGCCACTATGTTGCTGTAGTTGAACATGAGGAAGGCCGGCTGGGTGTTGGAATGAAGAGAAGAAGGAGAGTGAGGAATCACGAACAAGTCCTGACTGACTGACTGATTGACAAATGCTCGAATGCAAATGAAAAGCGTAAAGCGAGAAAAGGCGGTCCGGAGAAGGCGAAGGACTGAGCTAAATGGAAAAACTGTTAGATTCGGGAATGCAGAGCGAGAAATTCGAGGACAATCCAACTGGCTCGACGGTGCCTCCGCCTCGAAGTCCGACACACAGAACAAAGTCGGTCGAAAAACGGGCCCATCATTGGGCTAAGTCCATCTTAGGAGCCACTCTCGCCGTAGTGAATTATCCTCATCGGAGCGCTGATAAGCCGTCGGCAAGATAAGCGGCCTCAGATTCTGTCGAAATGTTCCCATCCATCCAGCCAAAAACACATGAACCGCATAAGCGGGTGTAGTCATGGCTAAGAAGGATGTCGTAACCCTTCGTTTTGTTGCTTGGAATCGAAATGGAAGTCGTGACTTGCACGAAAATCCTTGGTGGTCTGATAGCCGAATAAAAAGTTACATGGAAACCTTCTAAACTCTTCTCTCTGCCCTTGAAAGTAGATTGAGGCGTTTTTCAACCTTCGAACTTTATTTGACTAATACTCGTCGAAAGAAAATGCTTGGAGGTTCTCTTTCGTAAATAAACCGAATCAATAAAATGGCTATTCGAGCAAGAAAGTGTTGAACCATTATTACATTGCTTATGACCTAACAAGGAATGTCATTTTACTTTGCGGTTCAGAATTTCCTGAAAATTGACCAGAGCGCCCCTTGATGCCAGATGAATATTCCGAAAGTCTCAACCTGCTCAAATTCCTAGTTTCCGTGAAAGGACACCTCAAAGTCAAAGAAAACTCTCAAAATCCGATAAAATGGGCTATTTTTGGACTTTGTGTTCTAATTTCTCGGAAACTAGGAATTTGTGCAGGTTGAGACTTTCAAAATGTTTTTTGGTACATCAAGAAGAGATCTGACCAACAATCAGAGAACTCCTAACTGCAAAGTGAAAGAGGCATTGTTACTCTCCAAAGAGAAAAAATGGTATGGATTTGGTCATTCCTCAATCGGAAAGAGTAAATTAACGTTTCATTCATGCTTTCCCAAACTATTGATTGATTGCTGCGAAACTTTGACTCTAAATAACAGCAAAAAATTTGCAAAACATTTGAATGTAAAAATCATCCCATTTCCGTCAAGGCTCAACTCCTCCTTACAAGGAAACACTTCTTCTAATCAGTCTTGAAAGGGCTAAGAGCACATTTTGGAGCAATATCGCTTTTTATGATTGATAGTGTTGAAAATACTCCAAATGATTGCTAAAAGAGTGCCGAAAATCTCAACTGGCAGATAATCTTCTCATCCGCTCGGCTGTTGAAAAAATATGTGGGCTTCCGTCGGCTTTTTGAGACCGTGGGATATATTTCTATATCTTTTTTTTGATGTTCAAGAATGAGAGAAAAATGGAAAAAGGAAAAAAAAATTGTAAACAGATTTACATCTTTTATCTTGGATTGGCTTGAGATAGGGAAATTGTGGGGAATACTTTTTTAATTTCAAAAAAATCTGGCGCGAACTTTTATATTTATTAAAAAATATGCATTTGATTGGTTTGGGTGGAGTGCGATAAATTCTTATTTTATATATTTTTCTCGATGGAACAAAAAAATGAAACTCCAAATAGAGAAAAGAAGCAAAACAATCAAAAAAATGCGTTTTTTCAATTTTTTTCGAAAATTTTTCCTTCGAAGTTTTTCATGCTAATCTAACGTAATTATCATTTTTTGAAATATGAACTATTCAAAACTATGTCGACCCCATGTTTTGCCCACAAAAACTCTAAAAAGCCATTTAAAGTGACAATAAATTACTTACTCTGGATGAAAACTCCTTTAAATACCTTCCGTTTGCAGAACTACAGAAAATCAGGAGAAAGAGAAGATTTCACAACTTTTCCTCGGAGATCTCAATAACCTGATTAAAGACAAAAGACGGGGAGAAGTGGAAAAAGCAATAATGAGAGTAGCACCTGCTTTCCTGAAGCCCGACACTCTGGCTAATTACCGGCTTGGCCAAGAGACGAAGAAGCCTGTCGAAAGGATTTGGCCACAACTTGTCGGGTATAAATATTGTTATTGTTATTATATACCTCTCTTTTTCCACTTAAGGGTTCTTTTTGAGGTTTTCCTATTGCGAGCTTTGATGCGCTGTTGTAAAAAAAACGATTGATGGTTTATGAATTTGTGATTTTCGCTATTGACTCCTCACTTCTCCCCCTATTTTTCATGAGGTGGATAATATTTTATAGGAACCGCTACTGAGAAAGACTTAAAATGAAAGCTTTACACATATTCTTGACCTGTTTTAGGTGATTTTAGGATAAAAATCAATCTTCACCTTCAATTTCAAATAGAACGAATGAACTGACCTTTAAAAAAGAGAATGGCTCCTTTCGACGAATTCAGTAATTTTAGTTTGCGCGGTTTCTGGAAATCACGTTTATTGAATAATTGGAAAAAAAACACGCAGACAAGAAAAAAACCCGAAAAAAAAATTGGTTTAATGAAAACGAAGTGGTTGAGGCGGAATAAAACGCATAGTAAAGATAGAAATCTGGTAGCCCTACTTCTCACGGCCTACTCCCAAAACCCAAACAACTGGGTTTTCCAACAACCGAGAGATCCAAGAGACGATAATACATCTGAGTTCAGTTATCTGGTTTTTTGATTCTCGAGTATTTCGTCCCAATTAGTTCTCGACTTTCGAAAGGGAAAACGGTGAAAGTTGAAAGCTTTGGGCAAAGTTGAAGTGGTTGAAAAAGATACAAATTTTAAGAAAAAGGCTAGAATTATCGGTTCGAAGAAAATCAAACGAAGCGGAATTGAGAAAACCGCTCATGTCAGTTACATGGTAGACTAGCAATTGGTTTCCCGGAAGGAGAGAAATGGTTTGAAGTAAAAATTAGAGTGAAGTTGCTGAAGATTGCTACCGGAGGAATGAAGGTGAATGGCATAAAATGAAGAAAGAAATTTCGAAAAAAATTAAAAAAATTATTTAAAAAAATTTTGAGCGATCGTGCGCTAACGGGAACGTCTATCGTACTCCGAAAAATCACAGGTTTTTCAAAAGTTTCAAACTTTCATTAATTTCCTTTTTTTCAATTTGTCCTCTAAATATTCGAATATTCCGTGGTTTCTGAATAAAGTTTCCAGTTAAATCTTTTTGAAGAAATAAATTGTGAAGGTCATGAAGAAGCTCAAAAATTTTGAGAAAAAAAAAATCAGAAAAAGGCTAATAAATACCGGAAATATTGTTAAAATTCTTTTTGAAACTTCGAGAAGGTGAATTCGATAAATTCACATCAGTAAAAAAATATCTTCCAGATAAAACTTTTTTGAATTTTTCAGAGTTCCGTTTATTCTACTGAATGAGAAGAGTTTTCCTGGTTGGAAAAGGGCTCCAGAAAAGACGGACACCGCCAGTTTGAACGGAGCCGTCGGAAGCTACTGAGAATTGCCTGAGGGGATGATGGCGAGTGTCAGTGGAGCGAGGAATCAACCGAGGCATACGGTAGGTTGGATCGCCTACGCCTCTAACCCTTCCGCCAATCTTTGGCCCTCTCCTCGCTCCTGTGTACTCTCTCGTAGCCTTTTTCTGAAGTCTCCTTTCGGTGGGTAAATTTTTCCGAGTCTCTCCTCGCTGTGCACGATCTCTAACTTGTCTATGCTCGACGCCTTTCAGCCGGGTATTCTACCAAATTCTACCAATTACTATAATAATGCACCCAATACCATCTTTGGAAAAGTGGCCATATTTTGGCTGCAGTTATGATTGAGTCTAATATATCGGGATCCTAGAAACTGCAGAGAAAGATGATTTTGTTGAAAGTTTTTGGAGAGCAAGGGAAGCTGGGAGATTTTCGGCAGAAACCTGAAAGGACACGGATCTTTATTTTAGGAAATGTTAAAAAATGCCGTTTAATCCTCCACGGCCCGAAATCGAAGTAAACAGCTTTTTTTGGCGCATGTGAAAGGAGAAGCAGGAAAAGGATGATATAAAGTGGTGAGGGCGTTATTAAGAAGTATTAAAATAGATCAAACACATTTTAGTTCGAAATTAAATTGCAATATACTATCAATTTTCTCATTTTCATTGAAGCGAAAAAAAACTTCTGCTCACGACAAGGCCTGAGTGTCTCAAACTACTACAATAGGTTCCCAAAATTTCATTCCTGAGAGAAAACTTCCCGTCGAGTAATTGTTCTTGAGTTACGCCCATTATAATTCCTCTCAAATCATCAAAACCCATCACTCGACGCGCCGGAGAACAAAAGCAAGTGCTCGTCCATTTGTGCTCAAGGAGCTCCGGGGCCTTACCCAAAAATTTTGCTCCGGTTCTTCAGGAAGAAATAGGTCTAGTTAAACTTTCGAAAAAGATTTGAGAGAAAATAGTTAAAACTTCTAAAAAAAAATAGAGCCTTGTTGGTTAAACCCCTTTTCATGGTTTTCTTTTCTTTGACTGCTCTTTTTGACACTATCTGCACGAGTGATTGCAGTCGTCCGAGGATTCAAACAAGTTTTTATCCATAGAGCATAAGGTACAGCCTTCCGACGGCTATTTTTTCTCAAGTTTTCTCAGTTTTTTTGCTTTCAAGGCTCCAGAACAGGGAGCAACGTATTGCAACTCTACAGTTTTCAAGAAAACAATTAGCCGAAGAACGCAAAAGCGTCCATTTTTCGCATCCAACTTCGCCTAGCTCTTGATTTTTGCTCATCCTAGAGGTTCCGGCTCAGGTGGTTCGAACTCCACAGGGGCACTCAGTAAACACGTCGGTAGCTGCAACTCCCACCGGTTTTGAGGGGATGATGATGAAGTAGTCGGCTTGTCATTCCCGATTTCGGTTCGAAGCTACCAACTTGAGGCGCGCTGATGATGATGGACGGCGTTGGGACAACTGCGGCGCGAGAAATATATGCAACACAATGATGAAGTCTTTTTTTCTTCGTCTTCGGCAGCTGTGAAATATGGCCTAGGCTCGCAAAATATGACTTGGGGCCAGAAAGAGGTGAAGTTGCTCCGAACTTCGAAAATTACTTGGGTAGAAAACTAGTAGTTTAAAACCATCCGACACCAGCCGAAGAAAAAAATATTGAAGATTTTCAAAAAAAAAATAATAGCGAAAGATCTTCAAATCTGAAAAAAAGGTTCTTTTTTGAAGAAAATTAACCGTTTTCTTTTTAAAGTATGGTTCTATAATTAGAGGCGGAGAAATTATAAGAATGACCACTAGAGTGCACTTTTGTGTAAGTCCAAATCTTATGACACACACTTATCAATGTTTAAAGAGAATCTTTCTTCAAATTTTCGGATTGCGAACCTTCTTCCCACTCAACGATTTCCACATGTTCACAGTTCTT